TTTAGGTACAGCCCACCAAGCTACCTCTACCTAGCCGCGCACACCAACTGTTGTCTGACAGTGGTACATCCCGTGATCCAGTGGTGTTCAGCGTTGCCTTTTCCATGTTCAATTTGGGTCAAAAAGATACTTTTATACTTTCGATTTCCACTCATGTTGACCTTCCCCTTGGGCATCCTAAAAATGGCCTCTCACTGAGGATGGAACACCTCTAACAGGTGAAGTTTACCGCCTTTTCCGAAGCAATTCGGGGCCCTGTGGGCTTGAGCCTGTGACGTCATCGTGACAATAGCGCCGGGAAGTTCCTCGCGCCTGCACGGGCTCGCTGGCTCTTTTGGGCGAATTGGGAATGGCATCTTACAAGGGCAGCTGCCCTGGGTGGAAATTGGCGTACCGTACGGACCATGAAGTGTAAACTGTGTCCCACTTGGACCGCAAAGTCGACGCCGCATTAGCTGCCTTCTCCCTTCCCCTCCTTTTAAACGCTCTCACACACTGATTCGAACTGACAACTTCACACAACGGAAACGCGCTGTGCACACTCACGGCGTGATTGTCTCTTTGAGCTTTCTCCTTGCCGATCAGGGTACTCGTACAGATTTTTACGACCCGCGCGCGCACAATTCTGTCTTGGTGCGATGTTGCACGACTGCCTGTGAATGAGGCACGCGGGCGACAGAACGCACATCTTTCACCATCTGTCACCTCTCGCGAATCGGCTCTTATCAACCACCTCGTCCATCCCAGAAGCTGTGAGAGAACACCACGGGACGAGAGGCACAAGTGTCCACACAGCTCATGTTCAAAGCGCACGGTCCCCCACGTGTCCCCCTTCCAATCGCGTTCCTTTGCCAAAGACGGGTTACGGTACGTGACACAGAAACATCAAGACCAGCAGAAGCACGGCTGGGCCCATCTGGTCAGCCTTACCGCGATCTCTTTCCCATTTCAGTCACTCAGTCAGTCACTGTGTAAAAGAGACGTTACATACTCACCAGTCGGATCTTCGGATGCCTTCTACATATTGTACTCTGGGGCTGTAACACGGTCCGCCGTCCCCTGATCACGTGGGTAAAACGGGCATTATCATGAAGGGTTGCATTACCGGTAACGGATATTGGAATCTCAAACCCCTCGCGCGCGGAACCCTAGATGTCAGCGCTACAGTATGGATTACGGACGAGAGGAGCGGGAATCGCTCTCGCGTGGACTGTTGCGTCTTTGCAATTTACGGGTCCATAACGAATCCCTTCTCATCTCTTCACAAACCAGACTATTTGTTACATGCAGATTTCACCAGCCGCCCCTTGTCTGAAAGCACAGTACACAGTGGCAGTAACATAGCGGCCCGGGACTATCATCCATTGAAATCGAGATCGGACGGATTCTGCTGATGTCTGCAACACATGGGATGACAGGCCCCTTACAGATCACGTTCCTGATACGACACCTGTCAAGCTATAAACAACATCGTGGACTCTGGACTCACGTCCGAGGCATCCAGAATATCTCACGCGGCTGAGTGCGTTGATATGCTTTTGCAGCTGGACTTGGTCGGTTCTTCTTACCATTCGTCTTTTTGACCTACGAGCACATCTTCACCTCTGCGTTGCTTTCGACATTTCTGCGGTTCTACGCCATACGATGCCCTCCATTATGCTTCAACGGCTACTTTTACCTCTTTCATCTCAAAGCTGCAAGTGTTATCAAGGTCTACAAGGTTTCATTGGAGAATGATCAACACCCGCATCACACCATTCTTCTGTAATCGAAAGTGTCTATCGTCGACACCGATAACGATCTGTTCCGAAAGATCACAACGTGTACATACTGACTTGCAGAAGCTACAATACATGGTACGTATGCGCAAAGCATGCGGTAACTCTGTATCCCTCAACCATGCGTGTAGTGTACATTACAAACCTGCACATCTGTACAATTGTCCATCCCACTGGGACTCTATAGTCGAGTGAGAGCCTGGGAGCCGGGTCCTATTTTTAGTGCCAGGAAGGGCGGTGATCGGCAGACGGAATGGAGGAGCAGATCTGGTTTTTCTTTCCCTCGTTGTTAATACTCTATCGCTGAGTGGTTGCTCGGCCCGGCAACATTTTCCTGTCAAAAAACTTTCCCATCTTTTCTTTGCAAACTTTCCCATCCGATCTTTCCTTGACATGGGACTTTCCCCACTTTGCCATTGCGGTTCTCTCTGCGGCAGTCTACCACTACCGCCTAGATGTACATTATGTACATATGTACACTGCACTTAAAGGCGGCATGGGATTGTTCATACACACAACGGACTTCCGGGTCGGTGACAGTTCACTGCCATGTCCTCTACAGTCTACATCAGTCTGAGCATCGTGAGTTTTACGGGTTTCTACGGTAAAACGTCGACTGTCGACTGTCGAGTGACACATCGCAGCAGAGACCAGCCATTCACGATATCTACCGAAGGACTTCCTCTTGTCGACATGGAGGCTATGTTTCCGCAGACACATGAATGATTTCGCAAAAACCGCAGTGCGTATGTAGAAGGTATGGATGGCGTCGTTTTTTCCCCTCCTTCTCCGTCATTTTCCGCGGTGCGTGGATGAGTGTCGCACTGCTCTCGAATAGCGAATTGTCGTTGCAGAGGGATACGTCGTTTTGGGTTCAGAAGCAAGATCCGTTTGGTCAGTCCGTTGGGAATGTTCACGAAGTTACAAACTCGCTGTAGCGGCGATATTTGTCATGTACCGACCAACGTCTATCTGCTGCTTTTGCAGAATCATCGCCATCAGACTCTGCCTGTTGACGCCGTCATTAGCTGCAATTCGCTATGGGTATAGACGCCCTTAGGTGTAAGGCTTAGAAACACAGAACGTAGGTACGAGTATACCTACGAGTCCCTGCGCTCAAGATAATGCGGTTTGCTCTTTTTTCTCTCCCTTTGTTTGAACCTCACAACCCGGGAGGACCTTTGGAAAAGATTAGGGATGCAAAGAGGTTAAAATTGCATGAGTATAACAGATCTAGGTTGACAAATATGTAGGAACAAACTCCGGTTTGTTTACCATTCCCATGGGAGTTCCCGAGTCCCACAACTTAAACCCACACCCTACCTTAGTACCGGAACGTGCTTGCCAGTGCATGCGTGATAATGTCCTGAATACTTCATATAACATATGCTTACGAATCCCCAATGCCCACACACTTTTGACTTCTACGGAACTCATACGGTTATCCAAATTCCAAGTCTTGTGAGAACGGATGTCTTCGTCATAGACTTCGTGTTGCAGAGACTTTGCCGAGGATTCGTCACCCAACTCGACTCGACTCAACTCACACACTGCCTATGTAAGGCTCTTCCCTCGGCCTCTTTCGATGCGCTATGCTGCCGTGAGTGCCGTCATATACATATGCAGACCTTTACGAATCTCAACTTCCATGTGATTCTAGGAATATTTCTCGTGATATCATCATCCACTGCTTTGGTAACGGAAGTTCTCTTCAGGCCCGATGGTACCCGTCCATTTAGGAGGTGTGCCTTACAGTTGTTGCGTTGTGGCAAAGTTCCATGCTTCTGACACATCCAACAAACGCATGCAAATTCAAGATGACTAACTGAAAAGACGGGTCTCGTGGGCTCTCAACACTTTCACTTTCAGTTACGCAACTTTGCAGCTGAGAGTCTGAGCAGGAGGCGGGAGGCGGGAGGCATGTGTTATATGTCCCCAGACATATGTCTGGTAGGTACGCTGCGCGCCTCCTACCTGCAACTGATGTGCCAGACGGGACTTCCCCATTGGATCATGAACGTACCGAGGATGATCCAAGGTCTCCAGAGGTATGGTATGGCATACCGTACGTCTATAAACTCCAGCCGCGTGTCTTGTAGGCAACACTGTATACCGTACAGGTAGGCTTCAACCAATGGGATAATGGCCGTATCTGTAGATAGACGCGCAGCTTGAATCCCTCAAGGTTCTTTCTGAGGGATTATAAAGACTCAAGCAGTCTGCAAGGCTACTGCTACATGTGCCTTACATCTGTTTGGGAACAAAAGTGAGGCTGTCCAATTCCCCAAACTCGTACGCCCCGGGTTTACACAGTACCTTAGTCTGGCCCAGAAAACTGGTATGGAGCTACTGACTGCGATGTAATGCTCTCCTGGCAGTCTGCAGATTAGATTCGTTGCCATATCATGTACAATGTTCCATAGAACCAGCAAGCATCACACACATGGCATGGGATGGCTCACGTCTATCAGCTGTCACATGTCAGCTATCAGAAATCCCAAACATAGCTCGAAGTACATGAAGCTGCCTGCGCTCTATCATGCGCTGCGCTTAAGCTAGATGCTAGAGAATCCGGTTTTGGCGACATTATACACCGCAATGACTCCGAGAATTTGGGACTCGGCGCCAGCGCAACGTGGACAGGACAGATGCTGTGGGCAGGACAGATGTCATCGCAGGGACAGATGCCTTATCAGAATAAAGGGTCCTAATAAAATTAAACGAAACCTGTAATGCTGAATGTGTGCTTGAACATGGCAGAAGACGGGAATCAGCCAGATCCCGAGTCCCAATTTCCCCCGAGTCATTGCCGCCGTAGTGTGGTTCGGCGGATGGGGGTTATCTCCGACACATTGGTACCTGTCATCACCGACCGGCTGGGCCAGCTTTGTTTCCCGTGACTTTCCTGCCCGTCCTGGATGAAGGGGACATTGTGGGTAGCGGTCTTCCTCAACTTCTCCCAAACATCAAACTTCAGGGAGGGAAGAGTCCACGCCCAGACTCCAACCTCGTGGACTTGACTTCCATAATCAATCCCCATAGGGTGTCTAATCCAGCCTTGGTTTATTTCTTAGCTTGGTACGAAAAAGCCAGATCCTACTAGACTTTGGAAACTGGCCGAGATGTTCGCTGATAGATGCTATAAAGTGGCATCTTGAAGTTTTCAGGACGAGGGAGGAGATGCATCTGTGGCGTTTGGTTGAGATCCTTTATGTTGGACATGGTCGAAATTCTACAAACGTAAACTGGTTGCTCGTTCCCTGAGGCCGATGAAGGCTTTGGATTGCCCTTGTTCTGTCTGCCCTTGTTCTCCTCAAGCAGAAGAACCACGCTAACGAACAAAACAGTATTGTATTGTAGATGGCCAAACCGACACCAGCTTCCAATGCCGGATATTGAGTCAACATGACCCGGCGCTGGAGCCATCACCGATCGACGGCAGTTCCATCTCCGGCTCCAATGTCCCGAACTGAAATATCAGGTCGGATATCGGATTCTCTGCTTCCTGGTTCTGTGTGTACTCGGCCGTTGGCCGGCTATTTCCAGCAACAGGCCTGGGAAGAGCGAGTGTCCAGCCCAAAGTTCAAAGTTCTGTCCAAGGGACGGGATGTCTGTCGGCCGAGACTATACCAATTGTTGCTGTCTTTTGTCATTTTGTGTCTTTCCTCTTGTCATTGCCATTGCCATTGCCAGCGGCCGCGTCTTCTCTGTTGGCTCTTTCTTTCTGAACTCATCGCGGCAAGACTGAAACTGCATGTGGTGCAAGCCGCCATGGGTATTTCCATCCTTCCACTTGCTTCCAATCTGTTCGCGAAGACTGTCCAGTCCGAAACGAGAACTCTGCCATGTCGCGGTTGTTCCTTCCGTATTCCTTCCTCGTAGGTTGTGTCCACCCCGTACCTTTTTTCCCCTCTTCGTTCCTTCCACTCCACTGCCCCCTGTCATTTTGTGTGTTTCTTCTCGTCCTTTTGTTCTGCTATGCTCTGCTCTTTCCTTTTGTTGTGTTCTTTCCTTTACTCAGATCAAGTACACCTGTTTAGAAAATTCTTACCTCTGGCCCCCTTGCCCCGGCCTGGCCCAGCTTTGCCCTGCCCGTAAACCCGGACATTCAACCTGTCCATTCTGATTTGATACATTTTGGTATCTAACCAATCTGTTGGGAGGGGTGTTAGTGAAACGACACCGAGCCGAGAGCGGGCGGTTACATGACGATGATTCTTGTGCGCGAGTGCTTGAAAAGCAAAAGCTGATCGGAAATTATAGGGTTTACGGGTCACGATGCTGGGTGTGTTTGATGGCGGCGATGTTGATGATTTACACGATTTGGGTATTTGAGGATGGGGTGATGGGTGATGTTGATGTTGATGAGGGTATGGAAAGTATATGGTGAGTTGGAGGTAAATGTCCATATTTCGAAGAACATAAATGAGCGAGAATGGAAAGATCTCAGGGGGGAGTATGAGACAAGTTGATTTCCTTCTCATCACTCTGAGTCTTCGCAGTCACTCATGGAGATGATAGAGACGACGCCCAACCGTTGCCCATACAGAAAGCAGTTGATATTCCAGCACAGTAGCATTATGAGAATCCTCACGGATGATCCGCGATATGCACGTGCTCAAGATCAACTGTCTCAGCCGTCCCATGATGAAGTTCGGATGTAACTGACCTTGTGACGAACATGGCCACAAACAAACGGGCACCTGCCACTGATCAGTCTGAGTCTAACTCGTGGCCAAATGATTGGCTAATTGATCAATGATGAGGACCGTTTCTGAGAGTGCTTTCAATAAATCGAGAACGAGGACTGATGGATATGGTCTATCGTAACCAGAGTCCAGAATCTGGTCGCTTTCTATGAGGTCACTATATACCACCTCCTTTTCACTGCCTCACCGTCCGGAAGATAGGGGCTAAAAAGGGCGTTAATAGACGGTGAAGAGAAGCAGTAAATTGGATGGATCAAAAAGTAATTGTTGACCGCTTCAGGCTTGTCCCATTCAAGCGTCTCGGGTGCCCGGTGCTTGACCCCCGGGAGACCAGGAGACAAAGTGCAGTCGAGGCTCTGGAAAATGTTGGGGTCATCACTATCGGCTAGCGAGACCACCCCTGTCTTATCGCTTATCAGTAACAGCGCAGGACGTCAGCGCATTGGCCGATGTGCTGTCCGCCCCCATCGCCCCTAAAGTCAGGCCAACCGAAGACCATCCTATCCAGACAGTGAATCACAACGGCGCCGCGGTCGAGGTGCTTGTATTGGATCTTTTTATTGTGATGATCCTATTGTTGCTGCACCGCTAAAACTCCAAGAACGCCGGTGGCGGAACTCCGACTCCTGAACTTCAAACAACTTGTCATCACGACCGATACGAAAGAGGTGGGTTTCTCTTTTGTCTTCGAGCGCATTCAACCTTACCCTCTACCTTCTACAGTACAAACCTCGGTTCATGATTCCCGAAAGCTGACATCTCTTGTTTCCATCAAAAGTATCCGGCAACTCTCTCACCGAACGCCATTATCTCGTCAGCGCTTTTCGCGACGCAAAAGAGTCCAAAACCGAAGGCTCCTTTTTTGCCCATTCTACCCACCCGCTCCATCGAACGAGACTAGTCCGGTGTCGGACCTCAAAACGAAGCCCGAGTTGATTATCATCAGTTATCGACAAGTGGAAGAAACCCTTTGATTAGGAAAGACTTCACGATGTTTTCCGCATTCACGGGCAGGTCGCCAGCTCCCGCTGCCGCTCCCGCAGATGGTAGTGCTCCTACGGCGGAGGAGCAGCCAAACGATGGAAACAAGCTATCAACCTTTCTCTCCATTCTAAGGAAGTGAGTAAATAACCAACCGCGCATTGGGGAAGCCTCGGAACCAAGGGTTATACTGCCTATGCGCATGCCGAACACCGGCGATGCTGGTGTCATTGCCCAAAGCGGTGTCTTGGTATAAGACACACACGTACGACGATACAGTCTGCTAACCTCGTATGTCCCTACAATCCAGATTTATTGGTGTCGCCGATCTCGCTTCTGTACGCTTCTCTCTTCCCTCGCAGCTTCTCGAGCCAACACCCAACCTCGAATACTGGAACTATCTCGATGCGCCGAACGCCTTTGTTGCGATTGGTACCGCGGACGAGCCGGTCGATCGCATGCTGGAGGTGCTGCGGTTCTGGTTTACCAAGGATTTGAAATATGCAAAGGGGAAGCCTTGCAAGCCATATAACTCTTGCTTGGGCGAGTTCTTCAGGGTAGGTTTTCCAGCCATTGGAGGGCGGCAATGAGGAGAGCTCGGCTGACTGAAGGCGTCCGTAGTGTAACTGGGAAACCGAAGATGATGCCCCAAGGATCAACACCAAGGCTCTAGAGGACACCATCAGCCGGCCATCGAGCCTCAAATCCGGCAGCTCCCGCGCCGCATCCACAGTATCCGTGCCCGCCACGAACCCGAAACCGTCGAAACCCGTCCGGATTTCCTACCTGACCGAGCAAACGTCTCACCACCCGCCCGTCAGTGCCTTTTACATTGACTGCCCAGAGAAGGGCCTTCACGCCAAGGGATTCGACCAGATCACAGCCAAGTTCACCGGCACCTCGATCAAGGTGATGCCCGGCGAGCACAACCTCGGAATCTTCATCACGCTCGAGAAGAGGAACCACGAGACATACCAGTTGACACACCCTCCCGCTCATCTGGGAGGTATCCTCCGTGGTGCGCTAAGCGTGACGGTCGGCGATATGGCTTACATCACCTGCCCGGAGACGAAGCTCAAGGCGATTCTCCGCTACTACGACGACGGCTGGCTGGGCCGGACCACGAACAAGGTCGAGGGCATCATTTTCAAGTACGACCCTGAAAACGACGACAAGATGCAGATCAAGGATGTACCGCAGGAGGACATTCTGGTGCGTCTCGGCGGTCCTTGGAAGGAGAAGGTGGTCTTTACAGTTGGCCCCAAGCCCTTGGTAAGTTTTTAGTTCTTCCTTCACCTCCCCCATCCCATCCCATCCCATCCCAGACCTACTAACCCCCCTTTCCCACAGGACTCCTACCCCCCCGATCAACAAACAACCATAATCGACATCGCCCCCCTTTCCGTGGCCCCCAAGGTCCTCCCGCCCACCGAGCAACAGCTCCCCAACGAGTCCCTCGCCCTCTGGGGTGGAGTCACGGAGGCGATCCACGCCAAGCAGTTTTCCCGCGCGACCACGATAAAGCAGGAGCTCGAGGAGGCGCAGCGAGAGAAGGCCCGCGAGCGCGAGCGTAAAGGAGAAAGCTGGCAGCCCGTCTTTTTCGTTACGGCGACCGATAAGGCTGGTAAACCGGCGCTGACGGAGAAGGGACGGGAGGTGCTTAAGAGAGCGCAGGTGGGGGATTGGAGTATGAATGGGATTGTTGAAGAGGGTGCTGAGGTTAAGGATGTCGCGAAGGTTGCGGAGGTTGCGGAGTAAGTGGGTGGGATAGAAGTGGCACTTCGCTTTGCGCGGCTTAGAGAGAGGGAGAGAGTGTGGGAGGGAGTCTAGCATGGCATGGTCTGGGATTGGGATGTGTGTGTATGCTTGGAGGAAAGGGTTGTAGGATTGGCTATCTGGAGTATTTATAGCAGGAGGGAAGGCAGGATCCCTTGGTATAGAAGGGGACGACAGTCGTCGATGCATTGGAAGCTCGTTCCTTGGATTTCTTCACTTTATCGGTCTTGCTTTTGCTTTTCGGGGGATGAATGGAACGGGTTTTGGAGTTCGCACTATCATTTACAGTATTTTAAACAGGAACAACAAGAGAAAGGCGCTCCTTGGTTTCATGATCGGTCGGTCCGGTCCGGTCCCGGTCTCGCTGGCAGGGCTTCGAAGGGGAGGGAGGCCCATGGACCCCGTGAGGAGTAGATGAGATATACAGGTTGCTCATTACAGTATATATATGTATGTATCAAGCGGGTTGTAATCATTCGGAATCAGAGATGTGGATTTTGAGATATATAGGTTGCCCATTACAAGTACATAATACGTGTGCCGCGGGTTGTAACTAGATGACGGCGTTGGTTTAATATCAGGTTACGCATTTACGAACTGGCTAAAGCAAACCAGATAGCTTTTAGACATTAGTCACCGAATATCTGGCCGCTCTGCCCTCAAGGTATATCCACATCTTCTTTCTCTAACCGTATCCTGTTCATATTCCATTACTTCCATGAATAAAGTAAACTGCTAGACGTACAAAAAAGGTGCAACATCAATCAATGTGTAAAAACCACTACGCTTTCACCCCCCTTCCACCACCCATTCTTCAAACCCGCTTTCATCTTTTCGTTATCATTTTTCTTTTTCACCAGCCATGCGTCTTTACTTCCCTTCATTGCCCATGACCATACATTCATCCATCTATCCATTCACCCAGTGCAACCACACCAAATCGTCGCCTTCTCCTCCAACCCCCCTTCCCCCATTCCACCACAAGGAGACTGAGTGGGAAAACGAAGAGGGAAATTAAAAATTTTCATCATCATACCTACCCTACCATACAAGGAGACGGGGTAAAGATATTAAGTAAATAGTAGGCCCTGCGTTGGTGGTAGATCAGGCGCTTCGCTGCAAACGAGAGAGAGAGAGAGAGAGAGGGTATGTGTGTCTTGCCCCCCCTGCCGAAAACAATGTCGGCCTTGAACTGACGCTTGCTTTGCTCGCTCGCACACCCAACGCCCTCCTCTTGTTCGTGATCGTGAAAAAGACAAGGGTTTTGTGCAACTCTTTTCCCCACTGACTATCACTCACCAAGCACAACAACACATCATTCTCGCTTTTCAGGTTTGTTTCCCACGCTTGTTCTCGATCGCTGGGTTGTTGGTTTTTTCACGATCTATCTCCTGCGCCACCTCTAGAGCAGAGAGTCAAGGCGAGTGAATACGCTCAAGCAAGCTGCCACGACTTCAAGCTGGAGCTCCTTGTCCTTTGCTTTGTTGACCTCCTATTTTTTGGTGAAACATATGAGGTTAGTAAATGCATGCCATAGTCTCTCTCTCTCCACTCCGTTCGTTTTCTTCTGCTAAAACCTCTCCAACGAGCAACCAAAGCCAAACCAAAAAAATTAAGCTCACCTCATTAATAACCTGCGGCAAGTTCGCCCCCACCCCACCATTCCCACCGGGCAACGGCCTCGCCGCAAACGGCCACTGGCTATACTGCAACAGGAGCTCGTCCGCAATGCTGAAGGCGTTCTCCCTTGCCTCGTGGCCGAGGGTGCTCAGCGCGTTCTCCAGCACGTTGGCCGCGTGCGCGGCGCACACCATGGCGATCGTCCGCACGTTCCGGAACTCGAGGTCTTCGGGCAGGTACTGGGTCGGGGTGAGCACGACGGTGCGCTGCGTCAGCACGTTGCGCACGCGCCGTCGGATGTCCTCCTTGGCGGCGCCCTCGACTACGGGATGCGTGGCCATGTCGAACAGCAAAAAGTTGCGCTTTTCCGTGCGGAGGATGCCCTTGTCGACTAGACCCTTGGCGAGCCGCTCGCGGACTTGTTTGAGTTGGTAGCCGATTTTCATTAGGTTCCAGGTTTCGCCTATTTGCAATTATCATCATGACATGTCAGCTTGTTTTGCTTTGGTTTTGGGTATATGTGTACGATGCAGAGGAGGAAGGGGATGGATGGGGCAAGTAACGCAAAACGTACCGCTCATCAAGTCAATCCAGGAGCTGACGCTCATCTTCTCGCTCGTCTTCATCATCTTGAGGGCCTCGTCCAGCAGTACCTCGCCCGTAAGAGTGTCGTCGATGACTTCGATAATTCGGTCCGCCAAGGGGAAGCGCCGCCGAGACGAGTCCTTTTGCATGCTGATGCGGCCGCGGAAGGCCAGCTCAAGAACAATGCATCCGCGAAGAGCGTAGGAAATGTTGTCGTTCCAGAATGAAAGATAGCCCTGATGGGTGGTGTCTGGTTAGCATACTCAGAGTCCAAATCGTCAAAATGTCAAGCAGCACGTGGCGCATTACAAAGGTCGACTCAAGCCAAAGTCAAAAGACAGCGCCTTTGGTAGGCCCCTACAGCATATGAAGGGATGGTGTCACAAGACTGAGAGAAAGAGAGACGTGGGGACAAACCTCGCGATCCTTGATACCAAGCAACAGCACCTCCTCCATCAGCGTTAGCTTAGGCTGCTTGCTCCTCTCTGCGCTCTCGCTCAGGTCGCGGGGGTCGAAGGCGATCCTGTGTCCGTTCTCGCCCGTCTCGTAGCTCGTGTCAGGCCCAACGTCCCTCGTGTCGGAAGCGCCGCCGCCGCCGCCGCCGACGTCGCTGCTGCCTCCTCCGCCTCCTCCCGCGCCCCTGCGCCGGGTCAAGCCTGATGTTGATGCCATCTTTTTAGTAAACTGTTTCTGATGTGATGATTGGCGGCGCGAAGCGAATGTGGTCGGCCGAGGGTGGGCGTGTATGTGGTATTATTTCCCCGTGTTTTCGCGGACAGGGGGAATTGAAATAATTTCGGTTTCGCGGTAACACGTGGGGATTAGGATGGGGGATTGGGGATTCGGTAGGCCTGGGTGTAGCCTGTGTTTCAGAGGAAAGGGTAAGGCCGACTAGTAGAGGTAAACTAGTCGATCGGTCGTCCCGGACGTGGAGGTCCGTCGTTCGTTGTCGTCGTCTGGGGGGAGAAACCGGTCTTCGGCGCGGCTCTTGATGACGCGAGTGTTTGTCGTTCGCTAGTTAGTTGGTGTTCTCTTGGCTACCTCTTGGAGGACCGACGAGGGGGATGGTTTGGTTGAGGCTGAGTGGTGGACTCGGGGAACGGGTTGGTGCTTGATGGGTCCCTCTTTTCAGCAGTGAACTCTGTTTGTGCAGCGGTCAAAGAAAGCAGAGGTGGGATCCCGATCCGCGCGGCGGAGTCTGATCGGGGGCAAGAGCCAATCTCAGGGTCCAGTTCACCTGCGGCGCAAAGGGGCTCTATCAAACCTTAACTCGATGCAGTTGGGGATGACTTTAGTCCAACAATGTATTTCCACAGTAAACACGTCTCAAGACAGCTGTTTCTTTGTCCAATGCTAGGGATGAAGTAAATGATCCCCTTCCAAGGCTGTGGGACGGGACACCGGATGCTCTGATAACGATAAGGTCGGCTGTTAGTACCTGTATCAAAATCCATGTCGGCCTCCAGATGCCGTGTTAGTGCTCCAGCAAGAAATGCAGGAGGAACCAACCACCCGGCACTAACAGCATCTCAATTCACGGTTGCCTGAACAGAGAGCGCCTCGGCATCAGATGCCGAGTCTTGATAGATCCTGGTCTTGTCAAGCAGTAAAGACGAGCTATGCATCTCGAATCACCAATTTCAAGTCACCGAACAACCAAAGAACCCTCTATGAGCTGATAATCACTTTTTGACTCCTTGCAGATGCTGCCTCGCTGAAGAAGAAGAAGGGGGACTTCCGGTCCCTGCCTCCTCCCTTCGCCACCACTACTAAAAGCTAGCTAAGTATAAAAGAACAAAAGACAAGGCTTGCCCAGCCTCGTGCCATGTTAACCGCTTGTTGTGATCTGGTCCAGTTGTGATATGTACGTGTGATATGATCTCTTTTTCCTTTCCGACCGTGCAAAAAAAGAGAGAAATCATGAGGAAAAACAAACGCCAAAAACACCACCAATTACCCCCTCCCAAGAAATATGTACGTAGCGACAAGGCAGAAGAATGGGAAAAGGATATGCCAGCCTCCCGAGCATCTGCCGCTATGCAGCAGCAGTGGTATCAACATCTCTCTCCAAAAAGACAAAACACCCCTTGCTGAGAACCATCCGACGCGCTTATTTCTTCTTGCCACCGAACCCGCCCTCGAATCCAGGCCTGCTCTTGCCCTTGGAAGCACCCTTGCCTCCGCCCTTGCCGCCCTTACCGCTCTTGACCTTGATGCCCATCTTGCGAGCCTTCTTCTCATCCTGCTTCTTCTTGATGTTCTCCTCGCGCTTCTTCGACCTGTCGTACTGGGCCTTGGCGACGCCCTCCTTGCGCTCTCTCCACTCGTTGGCGCTCTTGCTCTTCGCCTTCTCCTTGCGCTTAACAGCCTTCTTGAGGAGGTGCTCGTCGTCGTGAACCTTCTCGCCCTCGGCACGCTTGCGGGCAGCGAGCCACGTCTCCTTCTCAAGAATTTCCTTGCGCTTATCTTCAGGCAGGGTCTCGAGGCGCTTCTTCTGTGCCTCAAGCTTGGCAAGCTTGGACTTGGCGTCCATAGGGCCCTTCTTCTTGGCTCCGTCGGACTTGACAAAGGCGGCGTCACGAGAAAGCTGAACACCATCGGAAAAGGCGAGACGGCCGAAAGCAAAGTTGGTATCAACATCGTCCTTCTTCTTCTCACCACCAAACGTGGGGCTGAGCATGCTTAGGGGAGAGTTGCGCGAGCTGGCAATAGCCTCTGACCGCTTACGATCCTCCTCCTCCCTCTGCTTCTGTCTCTGCTCGCGCTTGTGGGCCTTGCGCTTGGCCTCCTTCTCGCGACGCATCTCGATAAGTTCTTGCCTGGTGCGGATGGGCTTACCCTCGTCGTCCTTCTCAACCTTACGAGCGGCACGGAGTTGCTCAATCTTGGCGGCGAGACGCTCGCGGAGGACGGTGGTGTCGGCGGGAAGCTTGAACTTGGGCTTTTCCGATGGGGGGATGGCGGAAGAGATCGAGGTGTTGGCGCTGGCGGGCTCAGCGGAACCGGTCTTGTCGCGGCTGTCGAAAACAGAAGATTGCGCGGATTCCTGGGACTCGCCCTCGTCCTCCTTTGTTACGAGACCAGACACATCAATGGGAGCCATATCGTCGTTCTCGTCGTCCTCATCGGCTTCGGTGGAAGGCTTGACTTCTTCGGCGGTGTCGTCCTTCTTTTCCGTCTTTCCACCCTTGCCCAGTTTCGCCTCGAGCTTGGCCTTCTTCTTCTCCTGCTTGGCCAGTTTGGCGAGTCGCTTGGCCTCCTTTTCTTGCTCCTTCTTGCTCAAGGGCTTCTCGGCGGGGGTCTCGTCGGTGACCTCTTCGGCGGTGGGGGCAGCCTCGTCGTCCTCCTCGGAGAGTTTCTGCTTTTTAGGCGCAGACTCTTCGGCCTCGGCATCCTCCTTGACAACTCTCTTCTTCAGTCCTTCGAGAGGCTTCTCCTTCTCGACACCGGGGATCTCAATGTCGACGTCGCTGTCTTCAGTGCTGCTCTCCTCCATATCCTGGAGCTTGCGCTTGTTGCGGGCGCGCTCATCCATGACCTCCTTGGCGTTGCGGTTGAGTTCACTGTCGGGATCGAGCTTCCCCCTCTTAGCAGCTTTCGCCTGCTCCTTGGTTTGCTTCTTCATCTTCCACTGATCCTGTTGGCGGGGTAGTTGCGATCAGCGATGTGATCGAAGCCATTTGACGCCAACACTGCATGGCCAGGTTATGGGGAAAAAACGTACACTCTTGTCCTCGCCGTAGTACATCTTGGCTGGGATCAGCGACAGTAGACCGTCAAAGGCCTGGGCGTGAGAACGCAGGCGCTCCTGTTCGTAGTCGCAAGACGGCATGGTCAGCGTCGGAACCATCGCCATCCCAGCTTGGCCACAACTACCAGGCAAGGGTTGAGGGGCATCGGCATGGGTATCACCGTATCGGTGGTGTGCATTCCAGCGCCGGTCTGCTTACCTGCAAATCGGTATCCGCCATCTTTGCACACGCTTGTTTTCGCTTGTACGATTCGACCTGATTGATTTCGAGTCGCTAATATAGAGACTGAGGCGATTCAAGACAGAAATGCGAATCTGGAATTTCGCTGCGATGGGTGGTGATGACGAGCGGGCGGAATAACAGTCGAGGTATGTCGAGGTATCGAAACGAAACCCAGGCGGAAAAATTGAGATAGTGGAGGGCGGGTCTGTTGTGGTCGAGCGACTGCTTGTCGATGAATTTTTGTCGCCAGTGGATTGCAGTGGAATTTTAGTGGATTGTTCCCATCAGTGTGGAGCCCCCCAGTCCCTTGCCCCACACTTTCACGGTTGTGGTTCTGCCATTCTGCCAAAGGCGGTGAACTCGTACATCTTATCGATCTTATCGCAGTTACCAATTCCAGCACCATTGAACTGAACTCGTACGTACAAAGCTCTATAGAATCCCTGTTTGAATCTGATGGTGGCATGTCTCTAAACAAAGCCTTGACTGGCGCAATAGCAGCCCTTCATCATTGTTACCATAGTTTGTTTGATTCCTACTTAAGTGATCTAACTACCTTGTTGACAAGGGCCATCAGCAACATGGCCCATCAACGATACTGCATAACAAGCAATAGAAGTTCTCTTCATATAACCCAGCCTGCTCTTTTCATGATTCTTTTCCTTGCCTCATAAAATCTCCTGGCCCTCCTGTTTCCTCTTTTCCCTACAGCAAACCATAGTGCCATCCCGAGCCCACCCATATTCCAGGCGGGTTCCTTCCTTACCGGTACGCCGAGCGCTATGCACACATATCTGGTGTCTCCTTATATACACCTGAAAGCCCAAATTTAAGGCCTACGAATACAGGTACTGCGACAAGTTGAGCCGCGGACGAGTTGCTGTCGTGCCCAAATCCGCTTCTCCATCACTCTCCGGAATGATCTGATCCTCGCTGCCCTGAAGGGGCATGTTCAGGGCTCTAACTTCAGCAAAGTCGACCAACGGCAACGGAACGGCGGCGGGATCCACCGGAAGTGAGCCGAGAGATTCGCTTGGCTTGCTCGATTTACGTGCGCGGACGCTGCTAGGAGGCGTGGCGCGGGGTGTAACTTGCTTCAGAGCCCGGGCTCCCATGCGTTGCAACGGAGTCAACATGGGGGTGCTTGGATTCAACGATGATCTACGCATCGCAGCAGGTCTCTCTTGGGTTGAGGAAGGTGTGGGTAGACCGTCGACAATGCGAGCACCGGGTTTACCTGGTTGATACGAGAATTGCCGGAGCCGAGGGCCCAGCGGGGTCTGGGATTTCACAGTCTTCTTGGTGATGGCTTCTTGCGGTGATGATCCAGGGACTTCCACTTCGTCCTTGGCATCGCTGCTGGCATCAATGGCGGCAACTGGCATCACAGGAAGAGACGGCTCCTCAAACTCTTGCTCCTCCTTCTCCTGAGACACTGGTTCAGAGGACGATGACTCCTCAACAAACTGAACCTTTCCGCTCCGACGACGAGCCTTTGACGAACTCCATACAGCATCCGGAACGCTCCGGAAAGCTTCCTCGATAGAATCATCCGACATGATGAAAGACTCCGACTTCCTAGCTGCCGCCTTCTTCGCCTTGCTTTGAGGGAAGAACTTACTTTTCTCGGGGGTAGCAGTGACGGCATCTTCCGACACTGCGTCTGCACACAGTCGCGCTTTCTTTGGCGGTCTTGTGGAGATGGCAGGGTCAGTGTCCGTGAATACCTCGAATCCTGCTCCTGTTGTCTGTCGTCGGGATGTGACGCTGGATGTGTCGTCAAACGAAGCCAGAAGCTTCGATATGGGCTCACTCTTGCGTCGGCTGTTTTGAGTTGTGTAGCGCCGAGTAGGAGCTGCCGATGTTCCCACATCCTCCACATACGGTCTCGGCAACGGAAATACGATAGGGCGAGGTTCGGTGGTCGCCTCTTGTTCACCATTGTCAGGCTCGACGTTGAAACAGTTGGGGTCCATCTCTCCGAGGGGAATCCGGCGGTCCTTGAAGTACTGGTCGATAGGCTTTCCCATTTTCTTGCCTTCACCGTAAGCGGAAGTGAAGACCTGGCTGATCCTTCTCTTGCTGGGGGAGGTTGCTGTGATAATGATTCGCTCCTTGGTGATCGGGTTAACATCACCAACAGCGATGGCGCGAGCTAGCTTGGCATCGATGGGTGCGCCGATGTACGGCATAGTGTCGACATTGATAGACTCGTCGGGTTCTGTCAAGCACACCACCGCTTGCTTCTCTGGGCAAAACACGCGTTGGTAGATGAAAGTCAGTTCGGCCTGCTTAAACCTTTCGAGATAGTCATCGGGGACTCGGATTTTGCCGTCGAACTGGATCTTCTTGACGATACGCTCAGGCGTCTTGAGCTTTCGAATCATGCGGTGCGCCGTCTTGAGACCCATGCTGGGAAGGCTGTCGAGGTAGTCGCAGCCGCTGAAGATGGCCATCTGGCGGAACTCGGCATCCGTCCATCCCGTCAAGGAGATCTCTCGGACAGCACAAAACTGGCTGCGGTTGATTTCGATACATTGTCCGTACTGATCCATCTTGGTTAAGAGGCGCTTAGCTCCAAAAACCAACAAATCAGAATCCTCCGAAACAATGCCACTGATGATGCCCTGGCGCTCGAGGTAGATCAACTGTGCATCTGCTTCGTACGGCGCAACGACATATGGAACATTGGCCTTTTTCAGCTCGTCGATCAGATGGCGGGCCATTTCTGGTGTGACGTCGATGGCCTTTTGGAGTTCAATGTGGGCTTGTGATGGTTTGCCGGCCTTGAGGAGTTCTAGGCCTGTCTTCCTGCTCGCCTCTCGTCTGCTCTCGCGGTCCAGTTCCGTCTTGGCCTTGCTGGGAAGATAGTCGCCGTCAAAGACAACATAGGGCGTCACGCCAAAGTGCTTGAACATTTTGACGCGGTGCATCGCAAAGTCGACATATCTTTTTAGGGGTTATATATCAGCATTGAAGTCAGACAGTGGATGATAGCCTCGACTGGAACCTACTTGCGGGTTGGCTTGCCTTGAGCCAAGTCAATGGCGCAAGCGATAGCACCTCGATGAAGCCATCCATAGCCGTCGATGCCCAGCGTTTCGCCCGCGTACTTCCTGAGTTCGGCAGGGCGGTGGATGGATTTTAGCAGGGGGAGAAGACCGTTGATGCCCATCTTTGCTCCGGTGACGAAAACGCGTCACAGGCGCCTTGACAAGCGCGGCAGGTTGCAGCAACCGACAAGTTGAACAAAGGTTCACGCGACTGGCGAGGCCATGGAATTTTCCTCCCTGTTCAATGGCGGCAATTGCGGTGAGATATCGAATGCCGGGTGAATTGGTGATGATGCGGAGGCTATGTATGTATAAATGGGCGTAGTTCCTGCAGTCGAGGACGCGTGTATAAATCCGTACTGTGGTAGTATGCTGTGCGTTAATGCGAGTTGCAAATGATGTGCCAACCCACTGTTTTGTCGATGTTTTTGTTTTGTTTTGTTTCAAGGAGAGTACTTGAGCGAGCGATGGCGCGGTCCAGATATGGCTGAATGGTTGAAAGACGTGCAATTCTCACCAAGCCACTGGAGGATTGGCGAGTTTGGAGGACGGAAATGCAACGACCTCGATTTGAAGCGAGGGAGGAAGGTGAGCTCGAGGTGGTTGCTGCGCACGGAAGAGGAAAGGTGAAGTTGCAAGTGTGAAGCAAATCTGGGCGGGGGACGACCTGACAAGGGCTGCTGCGGTCCCGTCTCGATAGGCGATAGGGCCGGTGAAGGGCAGGCAAAGGGCAAAAATTGGTGGTGGAATGGCAGGCACTGCCAAAGGTTCAGTTGCAAGTGCAAAGAATGGGAAAATGGAGCCGATCCACGCCTTCCCGCCCCGTAAAACGACGTAAAATCGCCTGGGGTGGCAGGTTTTCCATTTCCAGAAAATGGAAGCGCGTACCGCGTCGTTACCCCCGCGACCAGACTGCCAGGCAACATGCCTGTCAATCGCTGATCCATCTGATATATGCGGGGCGTTCAGGGGCACCCAAGCACTGGCTCTGTTTGTGTACAAAACATAGAGCTTGGGACATGTACCTACAGGTACCTACCTTGACTCGACGAAGTGTCTTGCATGAGCTTGATTTACACCTCTGGACACCGGTTTTCAGCAATAAAAGAGGTATCTGAGTGCCGATTACTCTATACTGCGATGAAGTGTGCATCTAAAGCCCCAAAGTGTAAATCTAGATACCTCAACTCTCGGACTTGAGAGCGGGTTGTGTAGGTACTGTGTAAGTACTTGGTGCCCTGATGGCAGCTCCCTTAGTTGCACTAACAGCTTGAACCACTGAGCTCACCGCCAAGACATTCAATTCTCCAATCGAACCCCACCCAAGCTGCAACCACTTAAACGGTTGTCAGCGTCTAACGTTACCTGTAAACCTTATCGGTAGGTCCACCGTCCCCAGTGCTGGCCGCTTATCGAAAAATTCCATCCCAACCGCCAAAGGGCAAGTCCCGTCCGTAGTGCAATTCACCTGTTGATATACGTACCTTGTTCACCACGGCAATAACCATCATCATCTTCCAACAATCATCGACCTTTATTCTTCACCATGCCCAAGACTCTCGAAAAGGCACGCAAGGCCATTGCAAAGAAGAGGGGCGGTGCCATTGAAGCCCTCCACGCCAAGAGTCGCGATTCCCGCCGTCTTCACAAGGCCCAGGTCCGCGATGATCGTCTCGTGAAGATGTCTGAGGCCAGGCGCAAGAGGGACCAGCCTTTGATCACCCGTATCGCCTTCTTCCAAGGGGCTACTCGTGAAAATGAGAACAAGCCGCTTGAGCTCCCTGCCATCCAGAAGAAGATTGCCGAGTGAGTGTTGACTGCGACTGTTGGACAAACCATCTCTAACCATCCACCCAGATTCTGCCATCAACATGATGAGGAGTATGACGAAATGAAGAAGGCTCGTCGTCAGGGCAGGCCGCCTAGCGCCAAGGAGGATCTTTTGAGGATGAAGATGGAGGCGCTTCACAAGGAGGAGCGTGATGGTTTCTGTGAGTCCTCCTCTCTTCTCTTCTACGAGGGATAGCTTGTCGCTGACCATTTCACAGACTTGCCCGATCTTACCAATGAAAAGACCACTGAGATGTTGGATCGATGGGATGGCAACTGGGCCTTCCTCACCAACCTCACATGGGTCAAGATCCAGGCCTCAGGAAGATCCGCGCCTGCCAGCTTCCCTCCTCAGACCAACTGAGAGCACATCGCCCCTTCTTTTTCCCATCTAACCAAGGAGATACCCAGAATGAGCGAGGCAGCTGGACCTCAACAAACATTAATGATACCCTTTCCAGCCCTTCAGTTCCAGTCCCAGTCCCAGTTGAACGCCAGCCGGCTACTCCTCCCGTCTCCCGCATTGCTCGTCACCCTGATGAGATGCCATGCGTCGTGCTACATAGCCGTGTCCACGAATGATATCGAAAGGTGGGCCAGACAGAGATTTATTCATTCCTCACGAGCCTCATCAATCAACCTGTCACAAGCCACTCTACCTCTCCTACCTTACCCTATCCGCAATCCGTACCTTGCTTGCTTACTACACCTTGAACAAACGCGGCTGCTGCCGTGACCCCTGGGTTCGATTATCGCTGTGCATACAAACTGCAGTTTCACCTTGTCCAAGCACCAGGCACCAGGCACCAAACGGCTCTCGGGCCCGAACCGATTGAAAGAGGGCTGAAGGGAGGAGACTCGAGAAGGAGGTGGGTGGGGTGGGAGCAACGTGTCGAGGACGCCATTTCATGCTGGGTTCAGTTACCGACAGCCTGTCCCAGCCAGCCAGCCCACACTCCCCGTCAACTCGGACAGTTCACCAGTTAGGGATGGAGAAAAGGGTTCATGGGAACTGGGAGAGAGAAAAGAAAACATGTTTCAGACCAGCCGAAGACTGTGCCCTGGGAAGGCTTGCTTACAGGGCTGCAGGTCTCCTACCGTGAGACCACGTGTGAGAGACATACCGGTAACAAAAAAAAAGTTGGAAGTGTGGAAATTAAAGAGGTGCATTGCCCCTGGAACCCGTCATGAGTCCTGCATATAGAAAGAAGGACAAAAAAGCCCATTCTACACACAATGTCATACACTCCCTCAACGGCAACGCCCGATTCGACGATTTCTTACCTCCCTCGTCCCGGATCTTTTCATCCCGTCATTTGCAAAGTGATCGACAGCGACACCGAGTGTTCTAGTGCTTCGCTTCGTTCGGCGCCGCTCGGGAGAAGCTGCCAGTTGATGCTGTACAACACTACGTAGCTCGTGGGCATAAAGCAACGCTAAGCTAGATCCTACTTTTCCCTCCTTCCTCAATCCCCCTCTCCCGCACCCAAGTGTGGCGGGCGGAAACAGTCAGAGAGGAGGGAGGGACTCATCGATATGCACCTGAAAAGCAGGTAGCCGTGGGCGGTTTGGTATTATTCCCCCCCTTGGCTCGTTGGCTGCCCCTTGGCTGCCCCCTGGCTTTACCGGTATTCCACATGTCCTGCACGTTGCCATGGACCGGGCTCGGGGGGGGCGGTCTCACCGGAGTTCGGAGAGCCCTGGCTAGGGTTCTCCTGGGAACTTAGAGACTCGTCAATACTCGGAGCGGTTTGGTTGTTCTGTTTCCCTATAGGGTGGAATATGATTTGGGATGAGGGATGAGATAGGACTTTGTTACTTGGCTGCAGTTTCAAGGTCCAGGTATGTATGTATGTAAATTTGTCGTTGCGGTTGCCCAAGTCTTCCATTCAGGCGCGCTAGGGAGAGAGAGAGAGGTTATTCGGTGTTACACACAGGAGGAGGGCCGGGGAAAAAGAAGAAGAAGGAAGAAACCCTACCTAGGTACACTACCATTTTCTTGGCAGGGCTTGCAAGACAGGTGAAAAAAGAACATGGTACAGCATGGCATGACATTGAAGCAGGGTAAATAAACTCTTTGGTTCGAAAGTCTCAAAATATCTCAACTTGAACAAAACCGCCCATCTGTTTTGGGAGCGGGTTGCAGAACTGTAGGCCTGGTACTTTCAGAACTCTATAGAGGTAGCTAGATCCATTCTTTCTCAGTCCTCTTCTTCTGCCCCCTTCCCCTCATCATCTAGTTCATCTAGGGTAGTTCTATCGATTGGCTCGATCTTTCCTCCATTCCTGGACTACTACATACTCCATGTGCAAGTAGCTAGCCGCGGCGAGGGAAATGGGGTGAGGAAAGGGAAGGGAAGGGAAGCACGAGCCCCAAGCAAGCAAGCAGCTAGCCCACCCACCCGCTAAGGTACGCCAATAGCTGGTCGATCAAGTTATGGTGGATAAGAAGGGACGGGAGTTGTGTTAGGTTGTACGTTTTCCCTATAGATAGAAAGAAAGGGGGGTACAAGATGAGGGGAAAGGTGAACGACAGACAGACAGGTCGGGTAGTGGTAACAGAGGATGATGATATTGATGGGGATAGGTAGACGGAGGGACGACGAACCGGCAGGCAAGGAGAACCATTAACGCACACATGATGAGTACGTAGTACACTTGTTGGTGAATTTAACGAGAGCGAGAAAAAGAGAAGAGGCCCAAATTCATTGGACCCAGGAAGTAAACTCGTCGGGAGTAATTTTGGTCGGGGAGGAAGCTCGAGGCTTGATGCATGAGACAGACATGTGCAGTTGGACACTGCTACAAAATAGCCGGACACGCAAGATTTGATAGGGTGACGAGCGTTCGTTTGGTTGCTTTTTTACCTCTTCCCGACACTAGAAAGAGGTAACAGAACGCATGGCAATCTGCTCGATCTCTGACCGGTAAGTAGGTAGACAAGAAAAAACTTGATTGGCAGGAGAAGAGTGAGTGGATGGATGTTTTTGTGTACTGGTAAACGTCCATGGCCATTCAGCGGCGGATACTTTTAAGCTGAGGTTGCACAAGACTCAAGATATTCAATCCAGACCCTACAGACCAGACCCTTTCCCGTCTACGCCATACAGCCACCTTCGATGCCACACATGCTGACATCCATCCATTCCCCGTTCCAAAAACCTCTTCCCTCCTCGAGTGGAGGAGGAGTGTGTGTCGTGCGATTGGAGTAACCATTCAACATGTCTACCAATCGTGAAACCCACTATGTAATGTATGGCTTGCCGGAGCTGCACTGCTACTGCTACCTTCCACCCCAATGGCCACCACCACACAACCACAACGGGCACGACAGACAGACGGACGGACGACACGCGCGAGACATACAAGACACACGGGAAGTAAATCCTGGACTGGACTGACGTCGAGTCCATCCTATCATCCATTGCATCCATCCATGTCATGTTCCGGTGGGCTTTGACTCTCTCGTCCTCCCCAAGTTAGTTGGAAGTAACCGACAAGCCGACAACCGACAAACCGACAAGCAAACCCCAGGTTTCCCAAAATGATATAAAGTAGTACGTCAGTCCCCTACCTACTTCTTGGGTAGAAAAAAAAGCCGACAAAACCTTTCATGGGCGACCCTTGGATGTCTGAAACAGACTAAATCGTTCTTTTTGTTTTCCATTTCGATCTTTCCATGCTTCCATGCACTTTGGTAGGGTTGCGGATTACCTAGGTACACCATCACCACGAGGCACTCGCATTAAGCACACCTGTTGCACCTGTTGCACCGGAGAGAATTAGACGCTGGTTTTGTCTCGGCCAGTGTGTGTGCTTCGACTTTCGGTTATACCGAGGACGGTTTCCTGGGTCGACGATATATAGGTGTTGGTGGTGATTCCAACGTTTATGAGTTTGGCAAGACGTCAGCGAGTATTTAAAACAAAACAGAGGCTTCGAAAACCGAGAAACATCCCCACTTGGACTTACAAGGTTGAATACCACCACCACTCGTTCTCGAACCTCACTCCAAACAATCTCCACGTGGGTACTAGCTCTTCTCCAGTCCTATCTACATCACCATCATCCATCTAACCACTTGCCTAGTATCCGCCACAATCTCACACATCTTTTCGACCACCCTCTTGGTTAACTTGACCGGGTACACATCACCAACCAGAAACCAAAGACCAAAGACCAAAAAACCAAAAACCCAAGACCAAAAAAAATGTGCACCTACAAAACCCACATCCGCGTCTGCCGCCGCTGCAGCAGCGAGGACACAGTCCTCATCTCCGAACAGCTCTGCTCCGTGGCCAAGAACAGCGGCAGCGGCATCTTTGGCTCTTGCCTCTCTGGCGTTTCCAGTCAACGAGATCAGACGGGGTACAAGTGCTGGCAATGCCAGGACGAAACAACAACCTCCTCGGCATCCCGGTCTCGAAGCAGTAGTGGTAGTGGAAGTAACAGCCCGAATAGCAGCACAGGAGGCGGAGGGGGAAGAAGAAGGGGGAGCAGTGTTAGTGTTGGTGTACCCATTGGGCCACAGGGTGTGAACTCCATGTATGGATACAACAACAACAACTACCACTATGGAGTTATGGGGGGTGGTGGTGGTGTTCATAATAGGGGGCAACAGCAGCAGCAGCAGAGACGGATCTCGGTATCAGGTCAGGCGACGACGGCATCGATGATGATGCAAGGACAAGGGAGGGAGTATGTGCCAGTGCCGCCGGTACCTTTATCGGTATCAGAGCAACAGGAACAACAACAGGATTTGGAGAGGAGGTTGAGGAGAATGGGGAAGATGAAGGCTGATTTGAGGAGGTATGATGGGCGGTTCATATAGATGAGATTCTCTTACTGGCATTGGCTATGGCGTTCGTTGTATCCGAGGCATTCAAGGCACTTGATCCCTGGAAGCAGAATGCTGTGAGAGTGGGGTCTGGACCCTGAAAATGTTGGACGCTAAAGGTAGAATGGCTAGAGGTTATAAGTGTGTTAAAGACATGGCCGTGAGGAAAAGGGTAGTTTCGAATAGAAGGAAGTAAACTTTTCATCAACAATGGTCATCGGGAGGTGAAGTGAGAGCAGAAGAGGTCGCCGTCGATACTACGGAGAACAACTGAAGACAAAGTTTTAGTGGGCCCAAAGCGTCATTGTGGGGGAGCTCCCGCCAAGAGGAGCTTATCGGTTGACGCTATGCTTTATCGGTGGGGCTCTTATCGATTGAGCCGGGGTCCCATGGTCTGTGCTCGGAATTTTCTGCGCCAGCGACGGAGCTTTTGAAGATTTCTGGGGACCAGCTGCTCTCAGGTTCGTGGAGCTCTCGGCGGATCCATCGAGCCATTGTGGATTGTCATCGAATTCCTCCATCACTCCCGTTCTCTTTTCGTCTCTTCACTCACTCGACAACACTCCAGTCCTCTTTCCCAACGCGCAACAACACGATCGGACCCAAACATCCGATCCATAGTCAACAACCCCCCACCAAATCCGTCAACATGATGTCTCTTCGTGCTGTCGCGCGCACCGCTGCGCCCCGTGCTCTCCGCGCCGTCTCTGCTTCTCCCATCACTCTCGGCCGCGCCACCGTCCGCGCTACCAGCAACGTCCTCAGGACTCAGCTCCCCCAGAAGGCTTTCTCTACCACCGTCTTCCGCGCTGCCGCTACCGAGATCGACTCTGAGCTCTCCGAGAAGCTCTCCACCGAGATTGGCTACGAGCAGGACATTGCCTCCAACGAGCCCGTTCCCGCCACCGTCAAGGACTTCCTTGAGAACGGCCCCTTTGAGCTCGTCGACACCCCCGGCAAGGAGGATGTTGTCCTGAAGCGCACCTTTGGCAACGAGCAGTAAGTTTAATCCTCAGCAACTGTTAGCAGTCACAGCTTGAGTACTGACCCGTATACCCCAGGATCACCATCTCCTTCTCCATCGCCGACCTCCAGAACTACGAGCCTGGCATGTTCGACGAGGACCCGGCTCTCGGTGACGAGGAGGGTGCCCAGAACGAGGAGGACATGGGTGAGGACGGCGGCGCTCCCGTCCGTCTCAACATTGTCATTGAGAAGCCCAGCAAGGGTGCCCTCAACATCGACGCCGTTGCCCAGGACGGCTCCATCGTTGTCGACAACATGTTCTACTACCACGACGCCAAGCTCGCTCACGGTGACAGCGCCGAGACCCAGCACGCTGCCCAGGCCGTCTACCCCGGCCCTCCCTTCGGTACCCTCGATGAGGATCTCCAGGTCCTTATGGAGCGCTACCTCGAGGACCGTGGCATCAACCAGGCCCTTGCCCTCTTCGTTCCCGACTACCTTGACATGAAGGAGCAGAAGGAGTACCTCAGGTGGCTCAACAACCTCAAGGGCTTCGTTGATGCCGAATAAATGGGGAGAGATGAGATGCTGTGACGAGGACGGAAAAAGTTAAAAAGGAGAAGGAGAGGATTTGAAGCTGCGGGACGGCTTTTTGGACCCGCAGCTGATGTATGACATGTACCTGTAATTATATCGCTATGTTTATACCACGACTCAATACCAATTTGTATAATGCAACAGAAGCCGGCGGGAATAGATTGTGCGCGGACGAAGCTGCTGTTTGAGAGGGTCAAAATCCAGGTGGACAAGGCTGTTTCTAACCGAGATACCACCAGAATTGTGATTGCAAAAGGTCCAAGTCATTATGGTGGTATGGCACGGCTTGCCCCTTCCAGTTCCAAGCCATGTTAAGGTACCCCTGGAAGCCAGCGGCCCTGCCATTGGTTGAATGGGGGGTCATTGACTTCAGCCCAGCTGAATCCAACTTCAACTCTCTCTCCGTCTTACATCTTTTGAAACAACATCTTTCTCTATTACAATGTGTTTGTGATATCCCCTCGTTTTTATCAATCGCTGTGTCGGTTCCGAGGATTCCGGCCACACTCACTTGCATCTTTGCTCTCAATTCACACAGTCACCGAGACCAAATATTCTCATTGTGGAGAACATCTTTCCCCAGAACTCCGTTAAACGGCAGACGAGCACTCAGGACATACATTGCCATTACAAACGCCCCAAATATCAACAATTGATATGAATACAACATGAATCAGAATAATCCAAACCGGGCCCAGTACAGCGGTCTACAACAAACCGAAGACGAAGATGATCACCACCACCATCCAGCCTTTCCATCCCGGTCCCAAGCCAATGACGACCACCAACCAGAAGAAGACGAAGAAGCCCAACTGCTTACCAGCGAAGATTACATCGAGGAATTCGAACTAGACGACACCGACACCACGACCAAACCCACCCACTTTCACCAAAGATCCAAGTCCCAACTTGGCCTCTTCCGCCGCCTCCTCACCTTCCTCTCCGGCTCCTCCCACCCCCAACGGCAAACCCTCACCCCATTTCTTCTTCCGTCAATCCAATCTCTCCCCCGCCTTACACTAGAACGCCTCATTTCCTATCAATGGCAGCGCGCAGCACTTTTATCCATCGGTCTACTCCTCTGGTTCACCATCTTCTCCCTCTCTTTGGTCCACTCCAAAGGTACTCTTCTAGACCCAGATGGAGAGGTGGTGAAGCACCTAGACTGCGTTTCAACACTTTGGGGACCAGGAAACGAATGCGGCGTGGACGGCGAGCGGTGCAAGCCCTTTGGGAACGTCAGTTTTTCGTTTCGTTGCCCGGCGGATTGTAGGCAGGTGAAGGTGCTGAATCCGAGGTGGGTTGGCGGGGAGGAGGTGGTTTATAGGCCTTGGGTTATTGGTGGTGGGGTGGTCGGAGATGGTTCTGCTGCTGCCACGGATACAGGAACGGGGACGGGGACGGGGACGGGGACGGGGACGAAGATGGGGGTATACAGAGGTGACTCGTTCGTCTGTCAAGCGGCAATGCACGCCGGCGTCATTTCCGACTCTAAAGGCGGTTGCGGGGTGGTAGAGCTGGTGGGAGAATACTACTCCTTCTTCGGCGGAAAAGGAGGCGGAGGGATCGAGAGTCTAGGCTTCGATTCCTATTTCCCCATGGGCTTCACCATCCATCCAGCCCTGACCGGTCCCGAGGAATGTCCACAGATGGAAATGAAAACAGCCCGCTCCCTAGCCCCAACCGTCCTCCTCACCTCTTTCGTCTCCCTCCTAACCACCTCCGCCACGACCCTCTGGTTCACCAGCTTCCTCACCATCTTTACCCACGTCGGCCTACTCTCCGACCCCCCCAACGTCTCCGGCCCGTCAGACACCATCCTCCCCCAATTAATCTCCCTCTTATTCGAGCGCCTCCTCCCCGCCACCTTCACTTCCGCCGTCCTCTTCTATACCTGCTCCCGTAACACCACGCTCCGCGCCATCCCCGCCTCAGCAAACGTCGAAAAAACAGTCCTGTGGCTCGGCGCGCTCTGGACAGGCGCCCTCTCCAACTTCACTCTCGAATCATGGATCCCCCTCTCTCGCTTAAGCGCGCACGACCTTTCCCAACAACCGGGCGCGGTGGTAGCTCTCATCGGTATCGTGGCCGTTTTGTCGCTGACCATCGCCTACCAGGCTTATTCCTTCTGGCTTGAGAGTCGTGTCCTCCCTTACCTATCCTTTTACAGCCTGTTACTGGCGGGAATCGCGGTCGGCGCGATAATCTCTCTAACGGGGCTAGGAACGCTAGAACTGCGAATCCATCACTACGTTTTAGCTCTACTGCTACTGCCGCTGACGAGCATCCAGACGCGGCCCGCGCTGGTGTACCAGGGACTGCTGTTGGGGTTGTTCATCAACGGGGTTGCGAGGTGGGGGTTCGATTCGGTTGTACAGACGGCGGAGGCGCTGAGGGGGGATGATGGGTTGTTGGGGACAAGCTTGGTTCCGGTGGTGGATGGGCAGCCGTTGGTTTATCTTACTACTGAAGCGTCGGAGATGTGGAGTATTGCTTTTAAGTGGAAGGGGATTAATGAGACGCTGGAGGCGTTGGTGCTGCCGAAGGTAGGGGAAAGGGGAAGGGAAGAGGCGGACCGGTTGCAAGGGGTAAGTGTCATGGTGAATGATGTGGAGAGGCATAGAAAGTTCTTTGCGGAGGAATCGCTGGAGGATCAGGTATTTAGGTGGGAGAGAGACCCACGGGTGGTGATGACGCCTGAGTATTTTCGGTTCGCTTTCTTGGGAGAGGACGGCAGGAGTATGGATTATTCTGGGGTCGGGACGTGGTTTGGGAATGGGACTTGGAGCTCTGGTCCGGGGTTTTATTGATCATGCAGGTCTTTGTGGAGAAATAGTACAGCGATGATTAGATTTTCTCTTGATTCAAGTATGCGACGCTATTTACGCGAATCTCTTGATAAACTTCTCCCGTTTGCCGAGAGCCCAATTATCCCTACACCTGGTATTTTGGTATGTAAAGACACCTCTTAACGTAAGCCTCGCCGGATCGACCCAAGCTTGAAAGTGAAGAACAAAACATCAACCCTTTGTTACACCCCAACATTCCCTATGTTGACGTCCTATTCCCCTCCTCCCCTTTAACTATCGCATCACCCTCCTCCAACAGTCTCCCCACATCCTCCCCTCCAACCCCCCTCTCCTTCCACCTCTCCAACAACCGCCTTGGCATCTCCCATTCCCTCGCCGCCTCCTCCTTCTTCCCCTGCTTCATCAGCCCCCTCAACCGCTCAGGAACCCTCACCACTTCCCTCGCCAGCTCCTTCGTCCTATCCCTCCTCTCCTTCCTACTCCTCCGTTCCTCCTCATCCTCAATTCCCTCCAGCAGATCCCTATCCTGCAGCTGCTCCGTCTCCCTCCGTCTCTCCGCAGCATTTTCGTTCCCATCCCCACCCCCACCACCCTCCGACAACCGCTGCCGAAGCTCGCCTCTAATCCCGCTAGCAAGCTCATACACCTTCCCCAACACAGCATCCAGCGTGCTAGCCATGGGATCCAGCTTGTCGGCCGTCGACGAGTTCGAGTCGAACATGCTGGTGCGCATCTTGCGAATCGTCTCGGTCGCGCTGATCAGCTTCGAGTAGTTGTCGTACACCAGCGCCTTCTTCTCGGCATCCAAAGCGCGGATCTCCGACAGGATGCGGGCGTACGTCTTGAGGAGTTCGGCCAGCGTCGACGACTGTAGGAGCTCGGACAGGTACGGTTGCGCCGAGAAGTCGGGGGAGTCGAGGACGGGCGAGGCGGGGATGGAGTCGAATGAGGACAGGGATTGTTGGAAGCCGCCATTGCCATTGTTGGATGATGGGTCGGGTGATGGTGGGGTGGAGGTTACTTCAAGGATCGGGGTCGAGGTACCCGTGCCAGAGGCCGCTTGGGCTTTTTTGAGGTTGTAGTACTCGCGCAGGGCGGCGCGGTTGGCGCGTTTGCCGGCGGCGGCGGGGGCGGCGGAAGGGTTGGGCGAGCTTGAGGCGGATCGGGGCACGTCGAGGCTTGGGCGCGTGGAGGAGGTGGGTGTTGTGTTGGAGTTGTTGAGGGCTTGGGAGGAGTTGATGCGCCGCGAGAGGGGCGTCCCTGTGTCGCGCGGGGTGGCTATTGTTGACATGTTGGAGTGTCTGGCAGGCGCTGGTGGAAGCCCGAGATGGTGGTGCGAATGGCGGGGTGAAGATGCGCGTGGTCGGTTAGGAGTCGATAATGAATCGATATTTCTCGAATTCCGTTGGGATTGGTAATGACCGAGATGAAACTGTAACCGCTATGTCGGTCGAGGGGTATCGTGATGCTGGAGATGAGATGGAAGTGGAAGTTTGGCGATGGAATTGAGACTGGAGAGCGGGAATGGGATGACGTGGAGCTCTGACCAACGTTATCCCCTGACAGCACTCAATCGGTTGCGGCTGAAAAGGCTACCCCAGCGTCCATGCTGCAGTGGAACCGCACTAAAGCTCAGGGCAATTCAGGGCTGCGTTAGCGCGGCAGGCGCGTCAGCGGCAGCTCCCGACCCGCCCATTCCCCAGGGCCCTTCCCCGCACCGCAGCCATAAAGGTTCTCAATGTCGTAACTTTCACCTTTCATCAACTCAACTCATCATTCGTTCCCAAACATCATCATCAAAAGGAAGCATCCCCACCCGACCAATACAACATTAAAAAATCAGTTCAACCTTTCAAGCTTGGTTAACAACAATGAAATGTACCCCGCGAATCACCTCCAGATACCTCGTCAAAATTCATCCCACCAGCATCAACAAACAGCATCCGAGAAACGCAGCCATCGATCGACATGATCGACCATGAACAGGCCAACAACGACTTGGCAACGTCAACGATGGATCTCCTTTCCAACCCTGAGATGATCTGCGAAGAATTGAAATAACGGTTCGAATGGTTTGACCCCAGAGCTTCCAATCTCTTCACTTATTCCTTCGAAACCCTATCCCAGTCTGGACCCTCAAACAACCCCCTACTCTTCCTCGTCCACGATAGACGTAAACTTCAAGTACCTCTTATCCGTCTTTCCCTCGAAAGCCTCCTCCCGATCGGTCCCAAAACTGGCCACCTTCCACTCCGCCGCAACCTTGACCATCTCCTCACACTTCTGCACCACGCTTTCATACGCATCCGATCCAAGCAGCACCCTAGCCACCCACTTCTTATCACCCACCACTCCCTCCGCCTTCACAATATCGACAATCGCTGTCCCAACCCTGGTCAAATCTCCCGGCATGAATTTCATGGGATCGCTCATGAACATGCCTCCCACCTCCGTCAACAGCGGGCCATACGCATCCGGCAGACTCGTTCCTTCTGTGCCGAAAGCCGAATCCGCCTCAAACCGCGGCTGGCCAAGATTGGTCGGGAACCCGCCGCACTCAATGGAGACGCACCGGATTCCAAGCGGCCTGAGTTCCTTGTGCAGGGACTCGACGTAGCTGGAGAGAGCGGCCTTGGAGGCGCTGTAGGTCCCCATGAAAGGGAGCGAAGTCCAGGCGGCTGCTGATGAGGTGTATGCGATTGTGATGGGGTGGCGGTTAGCGTGAGAGGGGCGAAGAGGTCGGTTTGGAAGATACGGGCTGTGAAGGCTTCGCTGAAATAAGTGAACAGGTCAAGTTAGCTAACTTACAGATGAGTCGGGGTGTAAGCAGAGTGATTGTCGGGACGGTGACGTACTCGGCTTCTGCAACACTCTTCATGGATGACATCCCAGCGTTGTTGAAGAGGACGTCAATATGGCCAAAGATGTTCCAGACTTCTTGAACCTTGCGCTCCAGGATCTCGACGTTGGCGGTAATGTCCAGTTCGAGCAGGGCGACGTGGCCGGACTTGAGTTCGCCGAGGCGCAGTTCGACATTGCGGCCGGAGGCGATGACCTTGTCACCGCGAGAAATGATCTCATTGATGGTAGCACGGCTGATTCCGGAAGGTGCGCCAGTGACGAGCCAGACGAGGGGGGGCATTTTGATTTTCGGCGCCGGTGGGATAGGCAAGATGGAAGCTGATGATGACAGCGGGTTTTCATGAGTGAGAAGCGTGAAGATCAGCCGACTTTATACACCTCGACTCCATGATCTTTACCAAGTCGTTGCTGATATCCATCATCACGGCATCTTGGCTGCTTTCCTAAGCACATGCGGATTGTCATCTTCAGACATCACGGTGTTCCTAACCAAGATGTGATGCGGCCGCATGGTACGCGGCAGGTCTTCAATCATCGTCCAAAGATGGAGTTGAGAGCTGGCGATTACTCAGGGCACGAATATTGCTGAGCCACTCAAAGGACGCAGCCACTCAGCGATGTGGATGTTGCGGGCGGGCGGGCGGACGACCGCACCGGTCCGTTCCGTTACATCTGTCGGTGTTCACATCGTGAGACGCGGACACGGCCGCGCCAAGATCTTCAGGGTCGGTAGCGCACTGGGAGAGTGGGAGGTGAACGGTGAGATGGATCTCTGGGCATGGGTAGGCTACAGCATGCTTACAAAGGCCGCTGACTTATCAAGCTTTTGAGTCTAATCAGACTTCAGGAGAGGGGGCAGAAGCAGTCCATCTCCTTGCAACCACTTGTATGCCTACCTCTGTCAACCTCCAACCTCAACCCATCAATTTTCTGAAGACCAGATCAGCAGCTATTGATGCGGATGAAAGGCCGAGTTGCAGCACTCGTTCCTTAGTCATCACGTCGACATAATTTCCTTCCAATCTGCCCTGGAACGACGATTTCATTCGAAGCCATATGACGCTGTCCTACAGCGCGCTTTTCCACAGCGCCCTCCCCGTCACCTGGCCCCTACGTGGACACCGCTGACTTGGACGCAGACTGTTCTATATACTTTCGAGCCCTTTTACCCCCGTCCTTCCACTTAATTCTTTGCTCCCAACATTCGATCAAGTGTTTCACGAACAGTGGCGGGAATTGACATGTTGAATGCAAGTGCAGGTTTTTGGCCGCCTATTGGCAGCTTATTCTCAAACGGGATGTCCCCCCTTTTTAGTGGCCCCTAACAGACATGTGCCAAGACTCTTAACATGTCAACAAAAGACCCCAACACCTTGTCCAACACCCATCTTATATGTATCAAAATGGCCTCCTTGATGCAACCCGAGTTTTTTTCTCCGACTCGGCGATTACCCATGTTTGGCCTATCGGCAAAGATATGGATTCCAGCACCGCCTCACGGAGTGCCGGAGTTGAGGAAACCCCCTTTCTCGGAAAAGCGAGATAATCAGACCAGCCAGGGCCCAGTTGGGGAAATTGCACGATACCGTACCGACGATTTGGCGAACAACTGAAAAGCGATTGCACACGAGGGCCAAAGAGCGAATATGGCTACAGACCGAGCTAGTAGGGTTGTACAATTGACCACTCGCCACCAGTGCTCCACGAGTCAGTTTTATTGGTAACCTTTTTGGGTGGATAGGTGAGGAAGGGGGGATGGGAGGTGAAGATCAAAAGAACCAGAACCCGCTCACGTGGTCCACCAACCCTCCAACCCAAAGAGCATCTCATATGGGCGAATCAGGCCAAATATAAACCACATGAGATCTTGAGGAAATCATCGGTGAAATGTCTCGCATGCACCCCAGCTACACCCAATGTTGCCATTGGATAGAAGCGAACGTTCGATGGCGGTGTGCAGGGGCGTGTGTTAGTTTCTAGCGGGAGAAGCCTTCGGCTAGACAACCAAAATGCTTCGAAATTCGAGACCCTGTGCTGGTCACTGGTCAACACCCCCTGATTATGAGCAAGGCCTGGAATAGCATGAGAGGGAAAAAAGAAAATTGACGACCCTAGGCCTCCGATCATTACCGATATATCCCGGATCGACTGCGTGTATAAGAACCGTTGGGCTGGGCTTGCAAGTCTACAAACAACAGGGAACTTCTCAACCCGACTGAACTTCCAGTCTCCTACTCATCACTCATCAATAATCCACTTACAAGTTTACGACTTCCAAGTCGAATAAACAAACCACAAAGATGGCCCTCTCAACCGAAGCCAACATCACCGTCAACCCCCCTTACCACCTCCGCGACGGCGCCACGCCCTCCCACTTCACCCCCTCCAACCTGCCCTGGATCACCGGCACATGGCACACCACGCACTCGACCAACACCGAGGAGCAATCGGACAAGCGCAACGCGCGCATCTGTCTGTCTCTCATCCGCGGCACCAACTCCGTCTCTTCGGACTCTGAAGGGTCCGACTCAGACATGGAGCCCGACAAGGACCGGATCCTCGCCGTGCGCTCGTACCAGAACCTACACTCGCCCGCGATCCAAGACGTCGGGCAAACCGATCTCTTCCTCGACGAGCTGGACCAGGGGTTCACGCAGGTGAACGGGCCCATCATGCGGCAGCGGTGGGAGATTTTGGCCTGGGGCAAGGAGGGACAGCTGGAGGAGTGGATGAATGAGGATGAAAGGAGCGGTTGGATCGTGGATAACTCTGGGGAGTCCAGGCCGGATTGGAGGAATAGCTATGTGGTGGTGTATATTGGAAACGATCTGGGGAAGCTGAAGAATGTGGGCGAGGGCACGATTGAGATTTGGGATCGGTTTGGTCCCAGTGGGCCGTTGAGGGAGGAGACGGTGGAGAAGATTAGGGAGGCGTTGAAGGGGCTGGCAGGGAAGGATGAGCGGTTTGCGAAGTTGGCACAGAGGTTGCAGAGGATGAGGATGGATGAGGGGAGGAGGAGTGAGGATGATGCGAGGATAAGGGGGTATTAGGTGGTGCTAGGTAGCGAGGTGGGTTGACAAAATGCGCGACAGAATGCTGCGCTGTTCGAGTTGATTCATGAAAAGGATGAAACGAACTTTTGACTTGTAAGTTTGGACGATGTCTTATAAGTTACCTACTAGAGGTGATAATGTGTAATAGTAATGCATTGGTTCACACATCCTGACCATCATATCGGGCTTGGCTCTTCTTCGTCTTCGAATTGTCTCGTGTGCTTTCTTTGCAGTGTGCTCAGCTCAGCATCATAACTTCCAGTGTCACGAGCAAGCTCCAGAATCTTGGGAGGTAGGTAGGTACTCAATCAAGGATCATCATGGAGTGTGGAAAGTAGGTGGCACTCGTGGACAATGTGAGGGAGGGACTGGCACCAGATTTACCGGAACAATAAATATCAAGGCAATATCAACCTCCAACTTGACAGCCAACAGCGGCAAAAGAAAGAAAAAGCAAGACACAACCACCGTTCGAACCCATTACCTCCTTCCTCCCAACCCATCACCCCATCTCACCTCCGAAAATGGTACAAAAAGATACAAAAAAAGTACCAACAACCGCTCAGCCAATCACACCAGTCAACCGTCGAAACACCTCAACCTTTTTGTTTTTGTCGTCTTTTTTTGTACTTGTGATTACCTTCTTCTGTCGCTGCAGATACTAACAGATCCCACTTGCAAGCAAGTGGTCGCGGTCTACGATGTGGAACGCTCTTTGGGTTACTTGAATGTACATCATCGTTCCCGAACCGACAGGTATCTTTTTCGGAGGTTTGAGGTGTTAGGACGGCTGATCACTGCGCCATCGGCCAAGCGGTTGTTGGTGAAAGAGCTACCAACCAGGTGGGTTATATACCCGTTAGGCTCCTGGTCTGGTCTGGGAAGGAAGGAGCGGCGGCAGGTGCGGGTGGCTGGAGGCTGGTGCGTGGTGGATTGTCCCGGGTGTAGGACATGGGATGGAAGGGGCAGCACGAACAACATCTACAACATGCACCAAGTGGAAGTGGAGGATCAGAATGGTGGAAGGTGTGATGGGAGGCAGTTGACATGTGGCAGGTCGCACCTCCCAGGCTTGCAACTACGGTGTGTATCTCGTTCCATGCCTTGACCGTGCTTGACTCACCTCCGCAATCCATAAGAACTTGAACCGGGAGTTTCCAGATTTCTCTTGGTGTCCGAGTCCATCTCATCTGATCACATCACATCCTTCGAACACACCAGAGATCAAAAACACTCCCCCCAAGCCCAGCAATATCAACTTCATCATGCAGCTTTACATTGGAGCAGTGTTCTGGACACTCGCTCTAGCCCGTGCTGTCCCTCCTCAATACATCAACTTTCCCTCTACCGACAATAACCACGATGCTTTCAACGGTCATTTGCATTCATTTGACCTCCGGAGCGCTGATCAGTTTCAACGGAACATAAGCATTGTCGGCCTGTCTGCCTCTGCCTCCGCGAACCGGCCTTTCGTCGAGTAAGCCCTGTTCTTCTCAGTCCTGTGAAGCTGCTTTTCGCTGACCTCGTTGCAACACCAGGTACAACTTCAACCTGACCGCAGGCCCCTTTGCCCCCGCCGCCTATTGTCACGCCTCCATCTCCACCCCTGATGCAAACAACCTCCTTACCACGGACTGGATTCAATGTGACCTTCCGCCGTTGGATTCAACCGACACCAAGTCGGACGACAAGGCCACTCCAACCTCCTACAGCCAATACCAAGGCTCGAGCAAGGTCCGCAGAATCGCTGCTGCAAGCCGAAGCGAAGTTTCCCGAGCCTCAACGGCCTTCAGATGGACTCAAAACCCTGAAGGAAGCGCCACCCTCGATGTTGACTCGAACATCACCGTAGCCAGGGACGGCGACGGCAACAGCAGAGGCGTCATCATCCGCCAGCAGGCTGTGTATGACATCCCGGCCGAGGATATCGTTGGCCACGCCGAGTACCGGGGACCACAGGAGGTGGACGCTCGGGTGCAGAAGACGGAGATCTGTGACGATGTGGATGGGAGCAAGACTTGCAACGAGATTGGCAATGCTGCATAGAATGCTATGGCAAAACACAGTGAAGAGAGTACCGGAAAAGTAGAGATATCTCCGCGGACTAAGGTCTTCATGATATTGAATATCATCAGTCCCGCACTCAGCGGCTTTACGTTGATCATATGGCCGATATTCGATTTCGTTTAGGCCATGCAATCTGAAGCTCACAGCACTGGTGCTTTTTCTGAGCGCAGCGAATCTCGTATTTGCTCTAAAGTACGGGTGCTGAGGCTTAGCGGTTTGTGTATACGCTATTTGTGTTATGCTTTGTTCTTTAGGACGCTATCCATAGCTTCGGTTCCGGTACACGGTTGATTCAGCGAAGTCTTCAATTACCATTAATACAGCAACTTCTTCACTGGCAATCTGCCTCTTCCTTCTCCTAGTTTCAGTTCTTCGTCATCTAACGACATGGACCGATGAACATCTCTTCAGCAGAACTTCTCAAAATCCAGCCCAGTGCCATTCATACCTCCTTCTCCATTACAAAGTTTCCTCATCTCAGCACCCAAATCATCCATCCCACCCTCTTCAACCACCTCTCGTAACTGTAACCGTCTTTGTAACGGTAGTCCTCCATCTCCCCCTACAACTCCAGTTTGTTCTTGTCCCCCGCCAGCCTGGTCCATCGGTCGGCCAACCTCATCATCACCACCACCATCGCCACCACCCTCGTTACCGTAGCCGTGGAGGTGTTAACCCTCGTGGTTGTGCTAATGCTGATACTCGTCACCGTCTGCGTCTGGGTTTGCGTCTGTGTCTGGGTAATAGTCCACGTTGGTCTCCCACCTCCCCCTCCTCCCCATCTTTGGGTGACGGTTGTCGTAAGGACTAGGGTCACGGTGCTGGCTGGGGCGGTAGCGGTCGTGGTAGTGGTGGTGGTGATGATGCTGCCGGGTGCTGTTGCTTTGATGGTCTTGGAGACAGTGAATGTTGTCGGAGGAACGGTGACACCGGGGAGTAAAGAGGTTTGGGTTTGTGTCCGAGTTTTGGTCGTTGTGTTGTTGTCTCTGTGGCGGTAATCGTGGCCGTTATCTGGGCGGTGTTGGTGCTGGTTGTGGTTGCAGTCGTGACGACCGTATTGGTAGACGTTTGTTGTCGAGGTAATCAACGTAACGAGTGTGATGACGGTGGTCAGTGTCGTCGTCAATGTTTGCGCAGGGCCCGTCTGGCCGGATGATGATGATGATGATATCCCGGACCCCGGTAGACTTGAACCTGAACCTGAACAGAGACCGTAAAGCGGCGGGTTACACCCGACGCCGCAGTGGTCGGGCGTAGAGCCGCACCAGCCCGAGGCAGAACAGCAGTCGCCGAAGGAGGACCGGTGACATGTTATACCTTCGGAGCGGCGGCCATCTGGGCTGACTTTTTGACTTTGGGCTTGGGCTGCTTGTGGTGAGAACAGGAGGAGGAGGAGGGGCGATGTTATGGCGAGGAGGAGGGGGAAGGAGGAGGAGCTAAGTAGCCTCATTGTGGTTGAGTGTGTAGCAGGTGGTCAGGTCTTTGAGAAGACAAGACATCTATACCGAACGGCCTGTCAATATTGGAGATGTTATGGCATGGAGTGGTGATATAAACGTTTTTTAAGAGACTTTTTCGTCCGAAAATACTCATGGGTTTCAGTCCCGCGGGATTCAACCATCCCTGATGGGACAGGCGCCAAAAAAATAAGTGCCGAAGAACATCTTCCATGTTATCATCCACAACATGCGTTTCAGCTCAAGTGCCAACTAAGCAACATTCCTTGATTCCTTGCCTGGAGGTTAATATGTTTTCTGTTCAAAGAACGCCATTGGACGGATAGCCGAGGCATCATATAGAACAGAAAGAGGCAGAGACGGGACATATAGGCAGCTTTTTATCCGTGCTTCCCCAACTCCCCATGAGCCGAGCGACCGGGTTTATATAATAGAGTAGAGAGCCTCAGAACCCGGAGTCTTCTAACCACCATTTTGGACGCTATTTTCCTTTTTTTTTTTTTTTTTTTTTTTTTTGGCTAAAAAGGTTGGTGTTGGACTGTATGCTTGGGAAGAGTTCAGGAATAGCATTCCTGTAGGTGTGTGCGTTAGCCAGGATTCGGTTGAACATGAAGTTAAACTCTAGTTTTTTGGCGTCGGATTCATCACTGCGGTCACAATGGAGTAATGGCGTCGGACTCACGAGCGTCTTGGATTCATGCTTTCTGGAAAGCCAAAGAATAAGAAAGATAGAGCAAGGGCTTCTGTTCGCACATTTGGTCAAGCTTGAAAAAAGACTTTTTGTCTGTAGCCCATGGCACGGGGAAACTGTTTTGTTTTTTACTCGGCTTTGGTACAGCATTTTCCGGGTAATGTGTCTCTAGACTCGGAGAGATTTCGGTCTGCTTCGGCAACCACCTTATCGATGTCGACTAATGACGCCGTGGTGCAGATACGATTTCCAGTGGCATGAGCGCTCCTTTCAGTCTGAACCTTCTCGGCAAAACAGTTCTTCCATTTGACAGCAGTAAAGAAATTGAAAACAGAAGGAAGGTGTGACGGCGTGGGCAACGACAGACGGCAAGAGCCGCCGCAGGTGCTATTTAATCCGGGTGACCCGTTATTCCGACATCGATGGTCAAAGTCACTGAATGGCAACCTGGAGAGCCAGTTGGAAGGTTGACTTGTATCGACACAAACCAAACGGGTCACAATCGGGTCACCGCGAGAGAAACCGAGAGGATCCCAGCGGAAGCAGAAGGCTCCATTACATTGTCACCGTCGCATTCCACCTGTCATCCACTTGCCTTCTCGTTCCATTCTGGTCATGCACCGGGATATCTTCACGACGCTGCAGTGCCGCCATGATCCATTCAACTGCGACTTTCCCGATCAAGCCACCAACGGTCGACCACAAGAAACGGGTTGTTCCAGTGGGTCATGCACCCGGTAATGCACACTGGGGGCTGCGCCGTTGTACCGCGGAATGCATCCGGTCTCGCCGGTTATGCTTTGTTCCGTTAGCTCGAGACAGCTACGGTCGGCCAAGTCGTTCACCGTCCTACCCCAGCAATCAATGGCTTCCATTTGACAAATCTTCGCACTGTTTTGGCGGTGACTACGAACGGTTGATCGCATCTTTCACGCTCATTTCTCCAAAGGGGTTTGACCCAAACACTACAACTCGAACAACCTACTACAATGACGACAGCAACGGAACCTGAAGCTGGACCGTCCACATTGGCGCCTGTATCGGAGCACTTACAAGAGCCGTTCCAGCAGCATATCATACCAGTAAGCATCCCAAAGAGGTAAATACAACATACACGGGTTCCAGTTCCTAATGACAACAAGGTCGAGAACTTCAATGACGGTCCTATGTTTGAGGTTGACAATATCGACGAAAAGTCTGACCCTGGATTCGAAGATGGCGAGTATGCATCACCGTTTCACTCTTACGTCAGAATATTCAAGTTGATCAGAGGTTAGCTATCGATCGGTCACTGTCTCTTTGAACAGAACGATTCGGGAGTACCGCCATATAAACGGCCGGTCGTACCACAACTATGACGGCGCCTACTACTGGTATAACCATTCTCCTCAGCCCAACAAGGTATACGGAAACTAACAGACCTCAAAGGGCACCAAACGATGACACACAAAATGATCATTTGGACATGGTGTATGCTCCTCTTCATGATACCGCCCGCAATACCTTTGACCCCATGTGGCTCTAACCCCCTTTATAGTCACCATATGATGTGTCTCGCTTACGACAATCAGCTGTTCCTTGCTCCCCTGAAAAATCCCCAGAGGGTGTTGGACGTCGGATGCGGAACTGGCATCTGGTGCCTGTTTGTTATTCCTTTTTGTTTCCCTTGTTCCTTCGCTGTTCGATACTGACAAACCTCAACTCATCAGTGATTTTGCAGAGCAGTTCCCGGGCGCCCAAGTCATCGGCACCGACATCTCCCCCATTCAACCACGCTGGGTCAGCCCCAACTGTAAATTTGAAATCGACAACTGCGAGCTCGAATGGACCTTTGCAGAAAACGAGTTCGACTACATACACATCAGCTCGCTCATCGGCTCCATCCAAGATTGGCCCAAACTCTACAAGGAAATTCTTCGCGCCCTCAAGCCCGGGGGATGGTTCGAGCAGCGAGAGTTCGCGCTTCCTGTCCGTGCTAACGAGGGTGCACTCCCCGAGGATTGCGTCTATGACGAGTGGGCCAGAATACTCTACGAGACCGGGTATTTAACAGGCTGCACGTGGCGGGTGACGGAACATTGGAAGGAGTGGCTGCGAGAAGCTGGCTTTACGGAGAAGATTCACACCCACCAGGTCAAGATACCCATCGGAGGCTGGCCGAAGGATAAGATCCAGAAAGAAATTGGGCTGTTCAACCGTCTTTCTATCGAGACTGGGCTGGAAGGAGCTGCAATTTATATTTGCAAAATGGTTTTGGGGTGGCATGATGTTGAGATCCAACTGTTCTTAGAGCGGATGAGGGCGGTTGTCAAGAACCCGAAGATACATGCTTATTTTCCTCTGTAAGTACTGATGGAATGATTCGGAACACCGCCGATAAGCTAACCATATCTTCTACAGGAAGTCAGTCTGGACTCAGAAGCCTTTCACTTGGGTAGAGAGACAGCTGTGTGTTTAGATGTGGTTTCTAGAGAAAAGTGGTATGTCAACCTTGACCTCCAACCTTCGTGATAGCGTTAAAGGCTCCCCAATGAGACAGATGTAAACACAAACTTCACACGATACTTGCCACAACTCGTCAGTCATACATCAACCTCAAACCAGTTCTGCCGAAAATTCTGCCCAACCCAAAAAACGGTTTCCAAAACCACAGGCGCAAAGTGATCATAACCCCTATTTATTCCAAATCCAATCCTCAACCTCAAAGCCTACCCATCTCTTCGCCAACCCGAAGATGGCATGCCATAATGCAGCCCTAAACCACTCACTTACCTCATTCCCTTAACCAAACCTAATCAAACCCTAACAAACTCCCAAACCGTCCCCTCCACCTCCTTTGTATCTCTCGCCACCAGTCCCCCCCGATCCTTCAAAAATTCAATCTTATACAACTTCTCCCAATGTGTCACCATCAAATACCCCCCTTTTCCTTCCGGTGTTGGTCTCACAGTCATCCACTCCCACCCGTTATGCTTGTACGCACTCGCAATGATATTCTGCCGCATGTCATGTCCCAAAAAGGTGCCCGAGGCCGCGTTGCGGAAGCCGAGCCACCCCGAGGTTTCGACGCAGTGCCAGTGCCAGTTGCATTGGCCTTTTGTTACACATGGATCTACCCTGCCCGAAAGCTCAAGACGGGATTTTTTAGTGATACTAATCAAATCCGGATCTGGAACGGGAACCAATCGCAAGCTCCCGTCGATTAGAGTCAGCGCCCGGCCGGTGGAGGATTCGATGAGGATAAAAGTTTGGTTGGGAACGGGGGCGGCGTGGCGGGTGTAGCGTGAGGGTGGTGGTCGTGGCTTGGAGGGCGGTGGTTGTGGCTTGGATTTTAGGGCATCGCCGGAAGGAGACGATGGAGCACTTTCATATGCTGGCGTGGGAGTTGAAGGTCGAGTGTGAGTTGCTGTTGGTGCGGGAGTTGAAGATCGGGTGTGAGGTGCTGTTGGTGCGGGAGAGAGGATGGTTAATGGCGGGAACTCGAGGTCGTCATGATCATGGGACATGTTGGAGGGGCTAGTGGTCGACCTACTCAGAAATGAGACGGTGACGTGTAAGCAAATGAATGAGAAGCCGAGAATGAGGACGAACAAGAAGTGGCGGATGGTGACGAACTTTATGGATGAGGAGGATGAGGACGAGGAGGAGTCGTGGAGCGACGACTTCGATCCTTCTCCTCCTTCTCCTCCTCCTCCTCCTTTCCTTCTTCTTGTCTGTCCGTTGCCGTCGAGCCTGGCTCCTCCTCCTTCTCCTACTCCTACTCCTCCTTCACTAGCCAAAGTCGTGCTCGTCTGGCTAGTATTATGCAACCGCAAGTTCCCAGTGCTTAAGGTAGTGGCCGTGTCACTTCGGTCTCTATTATTTCCGTTTCGGTCTCGGTTTCGGTTGTTGACAATTTGCCGTTCAATCTCATCGTGGTTCACAGCTCTCCATTGCATCAAGATGGTATTAGTAAAATGTTCATCATGATGATAAGAAGAAGAGGAATCCATTTCATGTAGGACCGAGTTGATGGTCTGTAGGTTTACCCCTTCAGCGCCGGCAACGGTATGGGCATCTGATGATGTGGGAGTGAGAAAGCCGTTGCCGCCGGCGGTGCTGGTGGTGCTTTCGGTGAGGGAGGAGTAGGGGATGCTGATGTCTGATTGGGCATCATCTTCGTTGTCGTTGTCGGAGTTGTCGGAGTTGGCGTTGGCATTGTCGTTGATGCTCCAATCGCGGGGAAGGGGTATCATGGGTGGTGGGCTTGGACTCCTTGAAGTCATGTTGGACTCTCTCTGGGGTGGTTATTCTGAGTGTAACTTCTTGTTCGATGTTGTTTAACTTAATGGAATTGAGCAGATATTTGGTTTGCACATGTAATGCTTAAACCTGTAAAAGAATTGAAGTTCGGATCTAAAGCCACGATGACGAGCAGGTCAGGTAAATATATACGTCTTACATACCACATGGACGTCGATCCTTGTCCAGGGTGGGGTTGGGCTTTGGGCGGCCAAACAAACAGCTTTCTCAGGGCGGCTGCTGCACCTTTCTGCATGTAAGTAATCGCTGGAAATTCGGGATTGGCCGCAGATTAGGTGTGGTTTGTTTCTCTCGTTTCGTTTGTTGGTTTTATCTTTCTGGGATTTTGGACGTTGAAGACCAACGAATGAAGGCCGATCAGATTGGCCGCCCTGGATTTGGGGTTGACGTGTGGGCCGGGCGGTTGTAGAGGGGCGAAGTACATAAGAGGCATCAAACGAACGGGAGATATCTACGTAATGGGAGAAGAAGCTAGGCTTAAAAGAGAACGTGGGGAAGACGGGTTGGTTTTGGGGATTATCATGAGTCTCTTTTGTCGAAGAGATTCTTTCTGATATAGGTCGAGACTGCAAATGTGCCGCCCGTGGTCTTGTATACCTAGGCGTTGCTCTCACAGGCGCTGGGTGTTGAACATGCATCATGGTTTCCACGGGTACTCCCCTTTGTCTGTTAAGGCACTAACATCTATATACCTAGGCTGTTTACCCGTCACGATAGGCAGGCTTAAGTGTGATAACCTCCGTTTGATAACTTTGAAGGGTGGCATAGGGCGTCAGATGCACACACACATTGCTAAAAACTGGATGATTATACATATCTACAAGTGGCTCAAGACCGAAACTCTATAACTTCTTCCGCAATCACTCATCGCTCCTCTCCACGCCTTCCGTCTCCTTAATCCGATAAACATACTTCACCGCACTCGCCTTTCCATCCCTCAACCTCTCCAATCCCTCTTGCACGCCCGCCAAGCCTCCGGGCAGCACCTCCGTCCTTTGGGCCTTAAACCAGCCCTCCTGCAGTCCCCTCGCCATATAGCGATACCAGACATACCCGAAGTCCTTCTCATCCCGATGCACGCTCCCAACATTAGTAGTACTCTGATCCACATAATCAGGCACGCCCATCTTGTCAAACAGGACAAAAGTCACCTTAGCCCTCACCTCCTTATCCCCCTTCTTCACCGGCTGGCTAAGCACCTGCGCCAAGTGCTCAGGCGTTCCCTTCTCCGACACCGCATCAAACGCATGCAGCAACGGCCTGCCGTTCAACGCCTTCTTGATGCCCTCGACAACCGCCTTTTCGCCCTCGCGGTAATCAATCAGCACATCGCCCTTTGACTGGTCCAGAAGCGGAGCGATCCTCTCGCTACCCGCGCGCCCAGCGATGCAGATCAAAGGGTGGATGTTACTCTTCTTCGCCAGCTGCAGGGCGTAATACCCGACAGCCGACGACGCACCATAAATAACCAGCGGGGTGTTTTCGCGCTCCTCATCGGGAACGGCCTTAGTCCACGGCTCCGGCAAGCCCAAGCGGGAGAAGAGCCCCAGGGCGGCGGTCATGGCGGCTAGCGGCAGAGCGGCGGCCTCCTCGAAGCTGGTTTCTTGAGGGATGTGGAAGGTGGTGTGTTGCCATGCCACGGCGTACTCGGCGAAGCTGCCGTGGGGGGAGAACATCTCGTGGAAGGCGGCGACGCGGTCGCCCGGTTTGAACTCCCATACGCGCGAGCCGACTTTTTCGACGATGCCGGCGATGTCGTCGCCTTGGTTGAGGGGAGGCTTGTCGGGCATCCATTCGGGGAGCTTCCAGTCTTTGGGGTTGCAGCCGCTGACGATGACGCGGATGAGGACCTGGTCATCGTTGGGCTCGGGGATGGGAGAGTCGATGATTTGGACCTTGGGCCCTGAGGATGGTGAGAGTGTTAGTTGGTGGTTCTTTGGGCGGTTTCATTTTGCTGGGGAGCTGGGGTAAAGCTTACCGGCTGCTACGATGGCTTCCTTCATCTTGACTGAGGTATGTTCAAGGTGTTTGTCTGTTTAGCTGTGATTTGAGCAGTTCGAGGTTGATCAAGTGAACGAGTCTGCAGGCGTCAAGGAAGAGGCTTCGTAGGAGGTAGTTTATGATAGTTTGAGAGAAGTCAGGATCGTATAAGAAGCCGAGCCATCAAGGTGGGCGGTCAGTTTGATTTATAATATACACAGTCCAAGGAAACACTAAACATGTGGAATTTCGATAGCGTCATCGAAGGCAACGTTGACACGATCTCCATGTCGCGGGCGGGACGAACGAGAAGGCCGAGCGGTTGGGGCGGATTGTAACCCATTCAACATTCACACCGAGGCACCGTGGAGACCCCGGATCGTCGATTACCAATTCATCTTGCGTACTGTGGATTCCGAACCCACGATCTTGGTGGATTTACTGGCTTTAACCCGGGATTCCACGTGTAGAAGGAAAAGAAGTCTCCGAACAGTATCCATGGCCCGGAACTATTTCCGGGTTACTTACCGACCCCGACTTACCGGAATCCCGGATGCTGTCATTTGCTTGGCATCAAGGTGACTAAAACGGGCTGCCTAAAGCGACTGTGTATTTGGCTAAAGCGATTGTGTGCTGACAGAAGGTACAAGTCGTCCAAGGTAACGGGGAAGGTTAGGATTTGTTAGTGTTAGGGTTGGCGGTTAGGGTTAGTTAGGATTAGTTCCGGGAGTCCAGGGGGCTGGCGAGAGACCCCCGCATTGTGAATGTGAAAAAGGTGTTCGGAAAGACGTTGTTTTGAGCTCTCGTTGTCGTCGTTCAAGAAGATGATTTTTGGTGGTGTTTCGCGATGGACCCGATGCCAAGAGCTGGAGATTTTGCAGCAAGAAGCCTGCTCCACACAGTCGCTGCGGCCGATTACACAGTTGCTTTAGGCACCCCGGACTAAAAGGTCCTTTGCTCCACCCGAATTGGGACTTTTATCCCATCACAATCACTTGCCGAAGACTGAAAGAAGCTCATGCACTCTTTCCAAACTTGAGACACAACATTTTCTCTCATTCCGTTAGAAGGCAACCTAAAATATGCTTCTTACCCCACCGGAAGCTCCCGGAGGGATACGACCATCAGACGCTGCTGCCGGTATCTTCTTCCGTCTGATACATAGACTCTGACACTATGACCGTCAGACATGAAGGATGAAACCGTTAGGTAGGATTCCGATAGGTGGAAGAACTGACTGTATCAAGGAGTTCTAAAATCGTAGTCCCATTGAGCGGCTACAGGGCTGGACGACTTGGAAAACGGAGCAATTGCGGGATCTTCTACGAATATCACAAGTGCACGACGGAAAGCCAAAGCAATATTCAAAGTTCAGCTCCAAAATATTCACATGCATTCAGGCGAATCCCTATACCATGTTATCACCAAACCATCCCACCCTCTTCACATCCCCTTCCTAATCTCATCTTCCAACCCTGCACCTATATACCACCCCCCTCGCTTACTGAGAAACATCAGTCCCAGCAAACCCCAAAAGCTCGTTCCACTTCTGCGCCGTAGAAGCGTCCCTCGTTCCAAGAGCCTGGATCTGGGCCTTGGCATCCAAGCACGCCGTCTTGGCCGCCGCGTTGGCCTGGCAGACGTTGGTCAGCTGGTCGCAGATGCGGTTGGTGATGATGTTGGGGTTGAGCGCCTCCTGCTGGCCCTTGGCGACGAGCGCGTCCTTGGCCTGGAAGGTGAATTCGGTGGCCTTGCGGTTGGCGCGGCCGCCGACGAAACTCATGGTGGGAACGCAGAGACCAAAGTCGGCGCCGGCGAGGGTGGACTTTTGGACGCCGTTGTTACCGGTGTTACCGGTGTTGCCGGTGTTGGCGTTGTTGTTACCGTTGTTGTTGTTGTTGTTGTTGTTGTTGTTGTTGTTGTTGTTGTTGTTGTTGTTGTTGTTGTTGTTGTTACCGACATTGGCAGCCGCGGAGGTGGCGGCGGGCTGGACAATGGTGGTCAGAGTCCTGACCTTACCGCACTTGGACGCGGCGCTGGTGGCAGCAGGAGCAGCGGAAGTGACGGCGGAGGTAACAGCACCAGTATTTCCGTTGTTGCCAGTGTTGTTATTGTTGTTTCCCTTGTTGTTACCAGCAGCAGGCGTGGTGGTAGAGCCGCTGGAGCTCTGGGCAGTGAAGTTGGTGAAGCCATTGGCTTTCACGATATCCGCAACACTCAATCCGTCGTTGGTGAACGGAGTGGTGAGAGACTTGGCGGAGTTGGCATTCTGGACATCAGCGCCGGTCACAGCCGGGTCAACAAGGGGAACGATGCCTCTGAGCTCTTTGGTGGCCGGCAGAGCTGGATCGGAGCAGATGGAAGGAATGGAGACAACGAAGGGGTTGAAGTTCTTTTCAGCGGCGACAAGCTTCTTGGCTGCGTCAATGACGGCCTTGTCATTGCCGAGTTGCGAAACAATTTTGTCGGCAAGGGTAAGCTAGATATCTGTCAGTAAGGAAGGGTATAGGCAAGCTTTTAGATGTACTGACCTTGTCACAGGCGTTGGCACCGGCGAGCAGGACACCGGGAGTGGCGCCGGCAAGGGTGGGAGCAACACCAGGGCTGCCAAAGTTGCTCAGAGAGGAGATGATGTTGGCAACAGACTGTTCCTGACCGAAGCGAGCTTCGGCAGTGGCCAAAAGAAGGGCGGCAAGAGCAAGTTTGGAGTACATGATGATCAAGCTTTTCTGATATGACGGGTGAAAAAAACTGGTAGTTTAGAGGATGCAAGAATGCTGAATATGGAAGAAGCGAAGACCGGCCGAGCGGTTTGGAAAGAAGTCAAGTGAAAGAGTAAAAGAGTGAGAAGAACGAAATAGTTACCAGAACTGTAGAGACCGAAGACCCGAAAGAAGAGAGTGAAGCTGAATGATGAGAAGGAAAGAGAAATTGGTGATGTTTACGGGAGGACAGTTGAGTTATATAGAAACGATCATGGCATCCGAGCGCTCTGGACCCAGGATCAAAGACCATCTGATATCATACAGGCAAACAACAGATCAGGTACTGGGGGAAAGGGGGATTGTTGATGTCGTCCCATCTCAGACAAGGCATTGCTGTCCCTGCGTCAAGTGTTTCTGGTAAGGCTAGGGGAATCCCCTGCCCAAACTCCATGGGCGGTAAACAGAACACCATCTCATCAGCCTGGTGAACTCCGGGTCCATGCTGAGATTCACCTGAACCTTGGCAGATCTTGCCGGCGGTCTGGCCAGATGCTGGCTGGATCATGGGGATCTTGAGACGCAAGCGATGATGCCCCCAGGTTCTTGCTAAAGAAGAACTCGAGAACCACAGACGCTTGGAAACATTGCTCACTGCTCACTGCTCACTTCACCACCATATTGAAGGTGGCATTCGGGAAGTTTCAAGGAGAGCCATTCTGGGACAGCTAGCCTTGAAGTTTACCGAGGCTTGATATTGGGCCATTGTAAGAGTTGGCGCCCGGGGGAAGAACTGGGCATGTTCCCGGGGAGTGAGGCTCATCAGAGCGGAATGTGGTGGTCGATGAAGGTCCGGATCCTGATCCTGGTGTTTCCTTTTGTTAGCGCAGGGACGCCCGTAGCATCAGTCTGTCAACATGCAGGCATTGTGAATAAGCTTAAAATTTTGGCGTTTGTATTAGATGACATGAGGTCGCGATGAGGATGGAGGTGTGGTGGTGAGGGTGAGAAAGTCGAGGTTGGATTTTGGTTCGGATGTTTCTCGCTTCGGCGTTGCAAGCCCTGTCAGCCACTGTTAGCGCCTCACTAGCCCGCTTTCGATGACATCAAACCAGGGTTGAGACGCTCCCGAGACGTCGGCACTTTTCTCTCCCGGACTCCTCCCCATCTCTCGCCTGAACTCTTCCATCTCCTCCATCTCCTCGTCGCCGACAGATGTCACGATGCCCTCAGCAAATCTGATTCCCGATTTTAGTCATGGATTATCGATTGATTCAAGCAGTTTCGGAGGTCCGTCCCGCACTTCCACCGGGGCTCAGATACGCCGAGATGCGCTGCAATGCACCGTGACGACAACTTCTTCTCACAATGACATGACATCGTCCGGACATCTCAGCACGAGGCCAGTACCGGCACCATGGAGGTGTTCCTCGTCACTTTGTCTTCCGGTCATCTCGCCACGACAACAGTCCATACCGAACATGGTTCATCCACTCCGGCCTAGAAGCGGACAGCATCGATGCTACTTCCTTGGAGAATGTTAGCTGCTTACCTATTCTTCACATCATCTTGAAATAGGAGACGAACCAGGTTGTCTCTGATGGCCTGCAACGCCCTCATAGGCCCTCTCAGCTCACTTCTCACCTCATGATCATCCAGGCTGAAATACGTTCGGCTGTACGAGTGGAAGGCCCGGTGCTTTGTTGGTCCAGTGGCCGACATCTCTGTCTCGTCCGTCTCCTCAGTCCCTTTGCCCTCCTCACACATCACTTCTTCATGACCCAACATGTTCAAGCAGTCCGGATCAACAATAAGCCAAAATTCCTCCAGCCTCTCAAACCTTCTCATCACATTGGCCACACATCTGGCGCAAAAGGGCGGGTCGGCATCGGGATAGTGGATCTCTAGATCCATCCTCCCTTCCCCGTCGCCGTCAGGCCCGTCAGGCCCCGGCCCCCCCGCAACCCCGACATGTGTCCAGTGCATACACTCATGCCTCCACATGGCCTGCAATTCCTCCAGGCTCAACCCAACCCCTTCGTCGCCGTTGGGGTCGTCCTCGGTCGAATTCCCCCACTCGTTCCATCCAGATCGGAAGTACCTCACCGCGAACCGCCGGGCGCCCGTAAACACAATGTGTTCGAAATCGGCCCAGTCCACCGCCGCCATGGTTTCCTTTGGTCCGGCATCCGCTCCTCCGAAGCAGATGAGATCGGTGGTCAGGTCGAGGGTCAAGTTGGTCATGGACGCAGGCGGGCTACCATATCTTGGCATGGGCACAAGTATCTTGCGCTCCATGGCCCGGACGTGTCGGATCACGGCCGAGCGAGCGTCCTGGCAGGCAAGTGAAAGATTTCGCAGGTTCAGGTCTGCGGATTGGTGTCGGTCCGGAATGAGTTGCATGTCCCAGTCCACCCAGCTGGTGTCTGGGAGCTTCTGGAGGAAGTGAAGACATGGGGAGAGGGCGGCTGCGTGGTCCCAGACTATGTCTTGGAGTTCTGGAGGGAGACGGACGAATTGGGTGAACGCCATTGTTTGTTGGTGGCTTAGTGATGATTTCCTCGGAAGAACAAGGAAGGGAGGCTAGGTAAGTTGATCGATATACCAAATAGCTGAATCCGAATTTCTCCATACAGGTAAGTCTTTGAAGTGCTTCTTCCCAAGTCGAGATCCGCCAGCACCAAGCACGTGGCCACACCTTCAAGCTATCACATGGCACATTGCAATGGAGCTTCTGGAATTGTCCAATCATCTTACAAAGGCGAATCGTTCCAAGATAAAGCCCCTTTGACGGTCAGACATCATCATGATGCAACAGCTAGCTCTTGGTCGGGGTTAGGGTTTATGGAGCTCCTGAAGCTGAAGATGGAAATGTGCCGTCTCATCTCTCTGCACATCAAACAGATGCTATCCGGGTTACGGAGTAGCTTCGTCTCGGCCTTATCGAGCATTGGAAGGAAAATCCCGTGAGGGTTTATTAAATGTCGCCAACTCCGTAGATGTTCGACAGCCATGTTGTTATAATCACTTTTTTTTCATTATACCTCTAGACTTCTTGCTGTCGTCCTGAAACAACATCTCGTTAACTGCCTTGTTACACCTTCCCCAAGCCCCCAAGCTAATACCCAGAAGACAGACACTCTTCTTCTTTTCGACGAGGACCTGCTCACTTACCTACCTAACCTGGCTTGCTTCGACCCTTTCGGTCGGTAGTCCTTAGTCCTGACGAAGCGGATATCGTTTTCAAAGCTTCCCGGGAGGCGGTTGGCATGCACCACAGGTAGTACCTAGCATGCACCCCTCAATACCAAACGTCAACGACATAACGCCGTACTCCGTTGGCTTGCCAGCCTTGCCAATGAATCTCGGAATGAAGCTGTATGACAAGCACGTAAGATTTATTGGCACGATGGATGGTTCCCAGAAGGAAGTGCCGGGGTGGTACAGCATTGAAGAAGGAGAAGCACAAGCATCATGAGATGCAACATGGAACAACCCGGCGTACGAGGCTCTATGTAGGAGATCCATGGAGACGGGAGCCCCGTGGGGATGGGGCCGCACGTGGGTATTAGACGGGGCGGCGATGCTCGAGACGGTGTTTGTTTGTTTCTTTGGGATCCAGTCGAGATGTTGATGGTACGTATAGTTCGGGTGGGATATGTTCATGGTCTCGTCGTTGATGTGCGAGAGGATTAGGAATGGTATGGAATGGTTCAAGGAGTGATGTTACCTATCCCCGGAGATAAGAAGCTTACCTCCATTCACAAACTGCGAGTACGCGGCGCCAATTCCGAATCCCATGGCTACGGTCTCTGGTGAGAAGCATCGGGTGTGAGGAATGTCTTCCTCGTGCTCACTGTGCTCACTGTGCTCACTGTAAGCTTTCCGTTACAACGCCTCTCGTCCCTCTTCCCGCTCCCGCCAAAGACGGAAGGTGATAGGATACCGGCAAAACACTTCTTGGCAGCGGGCCAATCAGCAGCATGGACCAATCTTTGGGAAGAGGAAGGAGGAGCGAAGAAAGCTTGTGTTAGGTCGGCGGGCGGCCTTGTGCATCCGACGAAGCTTGTCAACGCCATCCCATCCCAGCCAAGCATCAGCCATTCAAATTCAATAGGCTGACTTTCCCCCCAGCCTAACTGCATCGACCGACGACGGTTGTTGTGTCGGCATCGTGCCGCTGTCCGCCCTACGGATGGAGTGTTTGCTGGTGGTGGTGTTCAGCTTTCTGACAAATGTGCATATCCCCGGATCGACGTCTTCCCGGTACTCTTCCGGACAGTCATGGAAAACAGTTTTGTGCACACTTTTATGCACGCCATGAGTACAACAACCATACAACCTCACAACGTCCGATATATTTCCCTGCCGCCCTCTTTTGGCGCCTTTCCTTTCCGGGAATGCAACCTGAGCGACCTCGCACTTGTTGGGAACCGATGAACAGCCTAGAAGAACAAAAGTGACGCTATGGACAGTCTGGACTGCCCGCTCTCACCCGCCGATACCCCAGAAACTGAGAACAAGCGTTGCGTTCGTGATGTGCGATCGAGTGACGGAATGGAATCTCGGCCCCTCTCGGCCCCACGGAATCACAGTCCCTACAGGGCTCCATTCGCACTCACTCCTCTTGTACGTTATGAGTCTAGCGGCGGTTAAGGAGATGTTTACCCATACTTACAACATGTACATCTTCCTTCCTTCTTCTCCTCTAAAAAGTGCTTTTCCCCTTGCCGAGTTGCCGACCGCGTGTTCCCTTTGCTCTTTGTGACTCACTTCGATCCCTACAAATCGTAATTCTCCCTATACCTTTACGATTGCGAGGGCATCATTGCCTTCACTGGCAACTTTGACGACGGCATTCTACAACGAGAGGTCTTCAGTGTTAGAATAGCTATCATTAACCATCAAGGTATGTGTGGAGTTGTTTTATATCCGTCTCAAGTCCCTGAAAAGACCATGGCAGGTTCCACTGATTTTCATCGAAAAACGTGGGCGAGGCCCGCTGTTATGGAAATAAGGTTTGGCCTCCACTCAGTCCACGATCCACCATCCTTCCTTGGTTGGCATGATCATGATCATGGTTCAAGTCGACGGGGGTGTACCTTCTTTTAAGTCATCAAGGATCATGGTCTTACTCCTTCCCCAGCAAAAAAGACAAAAGAGCAGATATCATCTCTTCCAATTTCACCAGTGACAATGGCTGACAGTCGTCTCAAGGAACGGTTTGCGCTGCGCTTACTGAGCACCTCACATCCGATATGACGGGATCACAACTCCCGGGGCAAGCGGCCCCGGCCAGCAATGAGCACCACAATAACCACCGTTCCCCTACACCGGAAGAAGCAGACCGGCTCGCCCTACAAAGACAAAAATCGATAGAACAAGCCATCGACGAGGGTCACGACGCCGACATCCCATCCGACATCGGCTACGTGCTAGACGAACAAGGCGAGAAGCGGCGTAAAGATGCCATCCGGCGCAACTCTCTCGCCCGGGCACGGAGTCATGCCAGCCACACTACTAGCCACCACCATCATGATCACGACGTAGAAAAGGAAGCAGCCGGGGACTCATCAGGCGCCGTTACCTCCTCCTCAGAAGAGGACGAAGCCAACATAATCTGGTGGACAGAAAACGACCCCGAGAACCCTTTCAACTGGCCCCGGTGGGTAAAAATCCTCAACGTCGGGCTCATCAGCGCGCAAACGTTCATTGCCCCCTTAGCCTCCTCCATCTTCGCTCCCGGCGTCCCCTCGGTAATGAAAGAATTCCACAACTCCTCCCCGGAACTGGCCTCCTTCGTGGTGTCGGTGTACATCCTCGGCTTCGCGGCGGGACCGCTGGTGATCGCCCCCCTGAGCGAGATTTATGGAAGGCTGATTGTTTACCACGGGTGCAACGTGTGTTTTATTGCGTTTTTGATCGCTTGCGCCGAGGCGCCGAGTTTTAACGCGCTCATCGCGTTCCGGTTTTTGTCGGGCATTTTTGGTTCTTGCGCGGTGACCAATGGCGGCGGGACTATTTCCGATATGATCACGCAGGAGAAGCGGGCGACGGCGATGGCGCTGATGACGATGGGGGTCTTGCTGGGTCCCATCATCGCGCCCATTATTGGGGGTGTCATCAGCAGCGACTCGGACCTGGGCTGGCGCTGGGTGTTTTGGATCGTGACGATCCTGGCGGGCGTGGTGGCGCTGTGCATGCTCGTTTTTGGAAGGGAGTCGTACGCGCCGGTGCTGCTGCAGAGGAGGGTCGACAGGCTGCGCAAGGAGACGGGTAATGAGATGCTGAGGAGCAAGCTGGATATCGGGCTGAGCCCGAAGGATTACTTCAAGCGCAGCATTGTGAGGCCGCTCAAGATGCTGGTGTTTAGCCCGATTTGCATCATCTATGCGATTTATATCGCTATCGTGTATGGGTACTTGTACCTCATGTTTACCACGATTTCGAGGGTGTTTACTAACCCGGAAACTTATAATTTCGGTATGTGCAGATATGACCCCCCTGATATTCCCCCAGGCTGCTAACATCGAGTGAATAAAACAGGCACCAAGATCGTCGGTCTGGTCTTCATCGGCTTGGGCGTCGGCTCCCTCATGGGCCTCGTCTTCTTCAGCGTCGCCAGCAACCGCATCGTGAAGGCCAAAGTCGGCCCAGACGGCAAGGGAACATGCACCCCCGAGGATCGGCTCAAGGTTCTCCCTGTCGGTGCCATTTTCCTGCCCGCCGGCTTCTTCATCTATGGCTGGACGGCCCAGTACCATGTCCATTGGATCGTGCCGGTTATGAGCCACGCTCTGATCGGATTCGGCAATATAATCATTTTCATGGCTATTACCATGGTGAGTCTTCCCGTATGTTTGTCGGAGGAATTCAAGGACGAGACTGATTAATCGTTATAGGCCTTGATTGATACGTTCACCATTTACGCTGCCTCTGCTCTGGCGGCCAACACGGTAGCGAGAAGTGTCTTCGGGGCTGTCCTTCCCATCTTCGGCTTGCGGATGTATGACACCCTCGGGCTGGGATGGGGGAACAGCCTGTTGGCGTTCATCGCCGTGGCATTGATCCCGGTACCGTTTTTGCTGATCCGGTATGGTGCGTTGCTGCGGACGAGGTATGAGATCAAGAACCTCTAGGCGGAGTAGTTGAGCATAGCGTTGATGACGGCATGTTGTGATGGTGAAGAGGATGTTTGGCTATATGTTCTGGAGGATGTTTTAGTGTTGATGTTTATACCACAGACCTGTATGTACATGATGAAAAAAGTCTCAACCTCATTGGAATTTCATAGTTCCCAAATCGACTTCCACATGTGATCCATCGTCAATGACTCGTGGTGCAGATGCCCTGAACCTAGCTGAACCTGGAATCGTGGAGCCTGTTTACTGGCTGGCTGGCTGGACAACAGCCCCAGAGCTGCATCCCTGCGAATAAGGTAGCCGCGGCTATGATTCGGGAACAAGGGTCGGGAAACCACGGGATCACGAACTGAACTTTGAGCCCTACCTACAGCCAACAACTTGCGGAGACAACGAACACGCGCAAACTCTGGGCCACGAAAACTGCTGCGAGAACCCTTGGAAAGGTCCCTGGGAATCAAAGTGCGGCTGTTCCTGATTCAAAAACCCTATCGGAAGACACACAAAAAAAGAAATAGGTATGCATCCCGCGGCCATCAGAACCGCTCCCGTCTCCCGAACGCCCAATCTTCAAAGATCCACCCCCCTCCCTAAGGTACCCAGCCTGGCTACTGGCACCCACTGCCGGATATGAGGAAGCCGATCAGCACTTGAGCCGGCAAAACTGTCCAGACTCAGAAAGACCTTATCTCCTTCCTCTCCTCGACAAACATAACGACTGGCCATTCTGTCCAAGAGATGTATATACGTGTGGTGGAAAACGACAACCCTCCTGTCATCGCGCCACAATCCCCTCCTCCAGCTCGAGTATAACTGATTCCGACTCGACACGCCGTCTTGGACAAGGACAATGATTTCAATCCTCACTCCTCGGCTGTGAAGGATGGTGTCGACGCGAACCTTCTTCGCCTAAACCATTTATCGGGTCCTGTCGAACCAGCCGCTGGATCCCGCAATGGCGACAGACTGGTCCATCACCCATTCGCCGACGCCGAGATACTTGTCAACCCACTTTCCAACTTCCTTGTTCTCGCCAGCGACCTTGTCGGTTTTGAAGCTGTAATCACCAAGTGTCAGTCTTTTTGCTCGAGGATGCCACCGGAAGGCATGGACGGATCGATGATTTCGGGTTCAGAATAGGGGGCGAAGCCGTGTGGAAGGGCGGTGTCTGCAAGGCAGGGAGCGCATCGAAAGCAACTCACGTCAGACCGGTCGAGCGCTTCATTCCAGCGAGGAATGCCGAAACTGTTAAACGCAACGCACATCGAGTCAGCGGAAACCGAAGACAGGCCAAGAGAACCGAACTTACGCAGGACAGCGTCAAAGGCATAGTGGCTCAAACGTCCGAGCTTCGACCATAAGCCTAGTGTCAGCAAATCGAGGAGCTGGGAGAAGAGATTCTTAGAACTCCGTTGAACAGCAAGCGACGACGCAGCAGCAGCAGCAGCGGGCAAGTTCGAGGGCAAGACGTATATGGAGAATAACGAAAAGATCGGAAAATCCGGAGAAGGGGCCGGGGATCTCTGTACATTGTGACGGAGGATGAAGAACAGCAACGCTAACGACGCAAGAAACTTCGGGGTACCCACCACCATCTTGAGGAGTGGCTTTGTTGAATGCGACAAAAAAAGAGGATCGAAAAGGGAGGAAACGCGATGCGATGCGATATGCGATGCGATATGCGATGCGACAAATCGGTTCGGGATTCGGCGCCGTCGGGGTCGGGGGTCAATGTCGATGGTGGTGGTGGTGGTGATGATATTCCCGGGGCGGAGCGGTGTTGCAGGTCAGGAAGGTGTTTCGGGAGGTGCTGTGGGGGGGAGGATTCGAGTGCCTGCAGCAAGGCGTCGGGCGAGCGGTGGGCAACGCAACGGGGCGATCACAGGGAGGCGGGAAAGCGGCCTTTGAGGTACCTGCGGATAAGAATCGTGCGGAGCGGGGCTGGAAGGCTGCAGTGGAAAGAGAAGAAGTGGAAGAACACGGGCCAGGGATTGTCAGGAGACAAGGACCAGGGAGTTCAGTCTCGAGGGATCATCTTGGCAGAATCACGTGTTGATGCTCGTGACTTCTCTTGGCTATCTTCAAGAGGGTCCATCACCGGTGGAGCCCAACGGAGCGATGATCGGGCAATGGTCTGTGATCCGGCCAAATTTAGGGTTGGGTTGACCATTCCCTTTTGGGGGGAAGCGGGGCATGGTCAGCGACCTTGGGTGGGGGCGAGGGGCAGAGGCAGGCATGAGCTGCGCGGCACCGGGCGGCCAGTGGCGGCTTGGAGGCTGTTTTAGTGGGCTTTGGTGGGATGTCCTCCACTGCGGCGGCGGAACTATTACGGAATGACAAGGTTGCAGCTTCCAGAGCTCCCAAGCTATCCCCAGAGGGCAGCGCTCCCCAATGCTGCCTCCGCGAAGACGCCGACACGGGGGCGTCAAGAGCGGATGCGAAGAGGGGATCCAACCTTCCGTCGACGTTTCGAGGGCCGCACTGCCGCTTCCGCCCTGGGAAGGAGTCGACGAGAGATACCAAAGTGCCGTGACCAACGAGGGGAAGGAAGGGAACCAGTGGTGCAGGCGTGGTGTGCTAGTGGTGCCAGGCGTTTCTCTTATCAGTTTTTATCGCGCAACAGCCCGTCAAAGATTGGTTCGAGCCTGGGCGAAACGAGAAAGGCAGAAAAAAAAGATCCAGGTCCATTTCCCCTCCGGTCTTGGTGTTGATTTCTGATTTCTATCCTCTCTCTTCCTCTCCCTCTCCCCAAACTTTTCCCCTTTCTCAACAATTTCCCCCTCCTTCATTCGCCCCAATCCCCCAGCTCCAGATTTCGTCGCGAGATCTGAACAACTGAATCATCAGCTTCGGTTCTAGGTACGTTTGACAGAAATGACGGCGATTCCCCAATTGTTTCCATTCCCTCCAATTGAAGGTGGAAGTGCCACAAAAACCCATGGGGAGGCGGGTCATTCCCTTCGGATTCGGATCTCCTTGCTTCGTACGGGGTCCATGTTGTGTCATCATTATTTTGCCAAAGTCTGGACTCCAGCGGCGAGACGTGGGGTAATTTGAGCTGGACAGAACAGTGCCCCCCCAACTTTTGGATCAAACCACAAAAAGATCCAACAAAATTTCCTCCCTCCAACACCTCTTTACCATTCTCCCTCGCATCTGCACCAGCACTGCGCTCTCTGTCCTTGTCTGGGTTGAAACCTTGATTACTGACGCTAAAGCTGTCGATCTTGCAGATTTCCCTAAACCCCAAAGCTTCGCGTCAACCCCGCGCGCTTCTCCCATCTTGCACCTCGAAAACATCTCTCATTCCCCTCAACACCACACATAAACCTTCACAATGGCCGCTACTGCGCTTGACCATCTCAGCCTCGGAGGCAAGATTCAGTGGCTCGCTCAGCTCAACACTGAGTTCCAACCCGCTCGCGAGTTCCGCCGCACTTCCATTATCTGCACCATTGGCCCCAAGACCAACTCGGTCGAGGCCATCAACAAGCTCCGCGATGCTGGTCTTAACGTTGTCCGCATGAACTTCTCCCACGGCAGCTACGAGTATCACCGTACGTATCCTCCCCTCTAACATCTGGCGGTGCCTTTTGAAAACCCGCCGATGGTGTGAGGTCCGCCAAGCTTCTGCGCGCTTAGCTTTCCGAGACCATTGGCGCCTCGTTTCGAAAAAGTCCTCCTGCACAGCTTATCCGCTAACACTGAGCCTTCCATAGAGTCCGTCATTGACAATGCTCGCGAGGCTGAGAGGGTCCAGGCTGGCCGTCCTATTGCCATTGCCCTTGACACCAAGGGCCCTGAGATCCGTACCGGCAACACCAAGAACGATGAGGATCTTCCCATCTCCGCCGGTGCCATCCTCAACATCACCACCGATGAGCGGTACAAGACTGAGTGCACTACTGAGAACATGTAAGTTCGAATGGATCTGCTGCTGGGCATGCGCCGGTGGGGCCGATCACCGCTGACATCATTGCAGGTACGTCGACTATGAGAACATCACCAAGGTCATTGCTCCCGGCCGTGTCATCTACGTCGACGATGGTGTCCTCGCTTTCGAGGTTCTCGAGATTGTCGATGATAAGACCATCAAGGTCAAGGCCCGCAACAACGGCTTCATCTCCTCCCGCAAGGGCGTCAACCTTCCCAACACCGATGTCGATCTCCCTGCTCTTTCCGAGAAGGATAAGGCCGATCTCAGGTTCGGTGTCAAGAACAAGGTCGACATGGTCTTTGCTTGTAAGTTTACCCTGGGAAGATCTCTTGATACGTAGAATGAGTTGCTAACAGTTATGTAATAGCGTTCATCCGTCGCGGCCAGGACATCAAGGACATCCGTGAGGTCCTCGGCGAGGAGGGCAAGAACATTCAGATCGTTGCCAAGATCGAGAACAGGCAGGGTCTCAACAACTTCGCTGAGATTCTCAAGGAGACCGACGGTGTCATGGTTGCCCGTGGTGACTTGGGTATCGAGATTCCCGCCGCCGAGGTGTTCGCTGCCCAGAAGAAGATCATTGCCATGTGCAACATTGCCGGCAAGCCCGTCATCTGCGCTACCCAGATGCTCGAGTCCATGATCAAGAACCCCAGACCCACCAGAGCCGAGATCAGCGATGTCGGTAACGCTGTTACCGATGGTGCTGACTGCGTCATGCTTTCTGGTGAGACCGCCAAGGGTGCTTACCCCAACGAGGCCGTCCGTGAGATGAGCGAGGCCGTCCTCAAGGCCGAGAACACCATCCCCTACGTCAGCCACTTCGAGGAGCTTTGCAGCTTGGCCAAGCGCCCCGTCTCCATTGCCGAGTCTTGCGCCATGGCCTCTGTCCGCGCCTCCCTCGACCTTAACGCCGCTGTCATCCTCGTTCTCTCCACCTCCGGCGAGTCCGCTCGTCTCATCTCCAAGTACCGCCCTGTGTGCCCCATTATCATGATCACCAGGAACGATACTGCTTCGAGATACGCCCATCTTTACCGTGGTGTCTACCCCTTCCTTTTCCCCGAGTCCAAGCCTGACTTTAGCAAGGTCAACTGGCAGGAGGATGTTGATCGCCGCATCAAGTGGGGTATCGGCCACGCCATGGCCCTCAACGTTCTCAACGAGGGCGAGACCGTTGTCGTTGTTCAGGGCTGGAAGGGTGGTATGGGTAACACCAACACCTTCCGTATCGTTAAGGCCGATGTCAACCACCTTGGTCTTGGCCAGCGTTAAGTGCAGGCACATGAAAAGGGGAAAAGTTTGAAGATTAGATGAGTTGGCTTAATCACCGGTTATTTTCGTGTCATGATTATGATGGTTACAAGGCCTCGGTAAAGGCTATTGGTGTTGGGTTTTGCGGAGAAATTGCTTTTCAGGTGGACACATTTCTAGGTCCATTCAATAGACTTCCTATGCATGATCAATTTTCGTGTCCTTATCAGTTGTTTCAATCTTTCTTTTGTGGTTCTGCGCGTTAACGTATCACATGATCACAAGATTCACTCAAACCATTCGAATTATCGTACTGAAAGCAGCTCTATTCCAAACTAACACCCAACTACCCGGAAGGCTTGTCGGTCAGTACAAAACATAACAGCTGCCCGATTACCACTCCTCCCACTCATACGCGACGCCTTCATGGTCATCTTCTAAACTTCTTGGCCGAACCAGACCCAGCATAACTACTACAAGCGTAATCGGATTCCGTATCCGATGACAAGTTTTCATCCTCCTCGTCCTCGTCCTCCTCCACATCCGACGACCCTGCCGAGCTCACACTGGCCACCATGACCGATTCATCCACGACCTTGCCCGTGTCCCTCGACACATGGGCCGGCTTGAACTGGAACATGGTGGTCCCATTACCGCCAAACAGTCCGGCCGCTACGGGAAGCTCCAACCGGAACACGGTGGCATGGTAGGAATAAAAGGCCTGCTGGATGGATTCCTCGAATTGTAGACCGGGGACAGATTCAAGGTAGTTCCGGAACTGGTCAATAGCCAAGACGAGCGGATCACTGGACGGAAGGTTACGGGAGGGGAAGCGCCCGGGACGCTCGATGACGTATTCGCGCGCGTCGAGAATGAGCGCCGTGAGAGAGTGTAGGGCTAAGCAAGCTTTACGGAGAGCTTCACTGGTGGATGGGGATGAGAGGCTTGGAATGGTGTTCATGGTCGCGAGGGGCTTGTATCCGGGACCCGGAGGAGCCCCGGAGGGGAAGTAGTGCACTTGTTCGGGATTGGGTCGAGACATGGAGCAGAGATAGGGGACCGTGGCTTCACGGCCTCGGGCTCGGGTCATGGGCGGGTTGGTGCGAAGGTACCCGGTCCAGCTTTTGGGCACTTTCCATTTGGGGCCACCGACGATGGTGGACTTGTCCTGCCCCTCCTGTCCCACCTGCTGCCCCTGAGGGACGTCGATGTGGAACCAAGCCCCCGAGTACTTGGGGTCGGTAACTACCTGCTCCCAAAACGGGCTAAGGTATCCGGCACCGGCTTTGTCGGTGTCGTTACCGACGAGCTGCATCTCGGCGAGGTCCAACTCACTGGCAGTGTCGTGGAGCGCGTTGAAGAGGGTCGTCAGACCGCTTTCGACGACGAGGTTCAAGTGGCTACGGGAAGGAAGGGGAGACTCGGTACGGTTACCAACTTGGTTTTGGTGGTCGTAGCCGTAGGCGTAGGGGTTCATGCCGCCGCTGTTTTGGAACAGAGCGGTGATCAGCCAGTCGGCGTGCTCGGGGTCAATGGCGAGGTAGTTCTCGTGGTTGATGCCATCGGGGTGGACGAGGTGGAACATGGAGTAGTCGTAGCCGGCGCGGGGGAGGAGGCTCTTGAGGAGTTCGTTGCGAGCAAAGGGGTGGGTTGGTGCTGGGGCTGGGGTTGGGGGCGAGCAGAAAGTGCTTTTCATGCATTGGCTGGGAACTTGGAAGTTATCAGCGTTCGTGGTAGTCTTTTTGGGTCTTCCTGGTCCGGCTTTTCCAGTGTTGCGAGTGTTCTGTTTGCGAGGGGTCATGGTTGGTGGAATTGAGTTGAATGGTTTTGGGGTTGTTAACTCTTGACGGGTGTATGTATGTATGCTTTCTTGGTGCTAATGTGTGTTGTGAACCGAGAGCATGTTGAATGAGAGAGGAACATGCCCATTTATAGTTCCATGATGGCAGTGAGGTTGTAAACCATCATCATAAAAATGCAAGATACATCAACCTCGTAAACAACGCACTTGTGATAGGTAATATATCAGGAGCATGGACATGCTATGTGGGCTTTGAACCATCTCATTGTCATTCAATGCCTTTGTAGAGCTGTAGATGTGTTACGACGTAAGTTGTTCTCGATAAAGGAATCCGCCCCTGCGCTGAAGCCATAGTCTCGCTGAGAAACCATGGGATGAGGTTTGGATCATGGTGTTTTCAGATTGGCTAACTGGGGCGCTGGCAGACAGAGATGAATGGACAGAGATGGAAACCCGGGCGCTGCCTTGACACAAAGAGACAATGGCTAGCTCAGTTACATTATGATATGAACTCTCTTTTTCGTATCAACCCAGTCTAAGACCAGGGCAGATATGGATGTCTTGGGAATAAAAATTGGATTGATGGAAGGATGAGTCGAAATACCTCTTGAGAAAGTGCACTGGAACACGAGCTTCAAGCTTCAGTTTGGATCCGCGCAGGGGGGAGCTCAGAGAAGTGGGTCCGTCGGTAAGGTCCAATGGAGCCAATGGCGTCACTGCCAGCATCGGTTGGTGGGGCCAATACGTACTTTAGGTGGGGCACATGCCACCTGCTCCTCCCCCAAACTGCAGTGACAAACTTCCCTCGTGGTGCCTGACAACGGCAGACACTTGACTGTCATCTGAGCCTCTTATCACTGCGTCATCAGATCAAAGAAGCATCCGATCATCCCCGCCATCAGTCCTATCTCAGTCATCTTACAACCTCTTGCTCTGTTGTTCATACTTGGACCATTCGCACCGCTGGATTCGAGTCCTACCGACTTCGTTTGTTGTTTGTTGCTATATTCGTTTTGCGTATGTCCGAGTTGTTCATTGCCGGTTGTTCCTAAACTCCCCACTACACTTCACTTACTTCCTTCGATGTTTGCCCGGCTGACCCTCATGTAAGAGTGACAGTCTGGAATATAATGCCTTATTGGTACAAACTTATCCATCCGTCTTTTCTGTGTGCGTAGTGCCTCTTCCATGCATCCGTTGCTGATGATATATCTCTGTGCCTGCAGCGACCTTCTTGCGAATGAACACGACTACTTTTAAAGCCACTCAACAACCCCTCCTTCTCGCGACTATCCTGCCCCCGAGACGATATGTGGTCCAACCAAGCCAACCGCTCCGTCCGGAAGAAGTCCAGCGAGTACGACTTGGACGATCTATCCCCTCGCCCTGGCGACCCCTTTTTAAGCCACCGTATACCACAGAATCGCAGTCAGCCAGCCTTCCGACGACGAACTTCGCCGTCCCCATCCCGATCTTCGGCCTTCAGTGACAAGGCAAGCACGACTAGGTCGATATCTAAGAGCAAGAAATCTCGTGTTCTCTTCGCCGGGCCGCCGCCACCCATATTCTCGACGCAAATCTTACAGCGAGATGATAAGGATCGATACTCTTCTTCGCCAACGTCACCGCTCGAGTTCGGAGTGTCTTCCATCGCCCAGAATATCAACAGCGTCTTATTTGACAAGGGGGGCTCTACAGCGCGTAATCGAGATGACATCCGCTTCGAACAAGACACGTTCTGGCGCAACCTGCAGCATCGTGAACGGTTGATCCAGAAAGAATTCCAACACATACTCGACGCCCAGGCCACGGGGCTGATGGCGAACCTCAACCCAGATGCTGCCCCACCACACCCATCATCAAGCTCGAACATCAGTGACGCCGGGAGTACATCGACTGCTCGTCGGTCACATGTTGTCTTTGAGCTGCCCACCCGTACAACGGAAACAGGAGAGATCATTCCCGTTCGCCAACCGCGTCAGAAACCCCTGAATTTGCGCGGGGCCAGAGCCGCTTTAGCAAGGACTATGGCACTCGCTGCCGACCTGAAAATTGAGGAGGAGGCGAACCTCGACTCTGCGCTCTTTGTCCGCAAGAAGGTCTTGTCAGAGTTGCGCAAGCTTTCGACGCAGCGGGATGCGATTGTGGGAGAACTACGCACTTTGGAGGGCGATGACGAGGAGCCGCTTGCTCGTGAACTGCGCGAGCTTGACGAGGAGTACGCCAATGTGCGTGCGGAAATAGCCGAGCTGGAAGAGCGGTTGGTGGGCTTGCGGAAGCGAAAACGCTGGCTTGATGGGCGGAGGCTGGACGTTAGGAATCGTCGCGAGGCCGGCCTCAGTGGTTACAAGGGGGCCCTGAGAGAGGTGGATGACAAACTGGAGGATATCTTGATCAAACCGAGGGTCCTGCCCTTGGATGTTGAGTCTGTGGTAGGGCCAACTCAGAATGAGGGTAATCAAGAGGTGGAGCAGCAGGCCTTGGTAGGTCTGGAGTTCATGCGCCTGCGACCGGAGCGACGGACGGCTAATATGGCGAAGGATTGGTGGGAGAGTGAGATTGCCCTTCTCGAGCGGCGCAAAGAGGAGGTGAACAAGGAACGTTCAGCACTAGAGGAGGGTGCCGAGGTTTGGAGGGAGGTTGTCAGGCTGGTAACAGCGTACGAGGAAGATTTACGCAAAGAGATTGCAAAGGCCAGCCGCGCTGAGCCTGGGGGCTTCAGCCATGACAGCGGCAAGGGCAAGGGAAAGGCCGTTGCCGATGATCAAGCACCAAGCCCACTCAAGTTCTATTCATCACAGCTCGACAAAATCACGAAAGTCATGGGTGATCTAGACGAAGAGTTCAACCTTGCGGATGAACACGGGTGGAAGTTGCTGCTAGTTGCTATAGGTGCCGAGTTGGAGGCGTTCAAGCAAGCCAAAGAGATGATCCAAGACATGCTGATGGAGCAGGGGTACGAGATTGAAGATGAGAAAGAATATCAAGGGAGTAACGGCAGTACTCCGCGATTGGGGAGGTCCGCGGCGACGGTCTTGCAGGATTCTACTGGAGCTTGGTCTACCAGTAATCGACCAACAGCCACTACTGATCATGGTGTTGACGATGTCGGCCATGGCAGTGATGACAACGCTCATCATACCTATGGCCGTAATCACCTGGATTTGGTGGACCTCGAGGATGAAGAACCGCATGAAGAGAAGCATACGGATGCGGACCATGACGAAAGTGACGACAATGAAGTCCCTCCGGACTTGCTAGTCTCCAGTGTCGATAACGACGATCGAGATGAACCGGGAGGAGGAGGAGTGGGTCTCCGCGCTTCGCGACAAGGTCTCGAATCCAGCAAGACGGCGGACAGTGAGAACGATGTACCGCCAGAGTTTTTGGCGCATCATGGCGTTGACGACGTGGAATAGTTGGCCCAACGATTCGCAAGGCTGTCGGCTGAATGAGCTCATACACAAAGCTGTCTTTACTGGGTAGGTCTTGAAGCGACTCTGCCCAAATGCGCTTCGCGGCCCGAGAAATCCATGACCGACGAGAACAAACCCGAGAAACATGACGCGAAGCCACTTCTTAAGGGGGCAGAAGTGGCTTCGACACCTGCTGAGTAATGGCACATCACAATTTGTTTTTATTTTATTTTTTTGGAAGTCTTGATTAAGCGCAGCTGTTTTTGGAATTTGTGTTAAGCGGTTCGGTGATCTGGATACCGGCTTTGGATGGTGGTGCATGGCTTATGAGACATTCCCTTCGATACCAGTATTCCTATGAACAAGTCGATACCATCATATTCCACTCCACCTTAGCACGCTGTCTCTAGTTTGGCCTGCGATAGTCGCCTCCTGCCTGCCCTCGAGCCCCGTGTTTAGCTCCTAGCGACTACCAGGTCCGAGTAAGTTCAGGTCGCTTTGTTGCATTGTCACCTTCCGCCACTAGGCAGATTTCCCCATCCCGTTCTTATATGACCCAGGCTGATATCTCGCAACTGACATTGCCTTGCACATTTCAGTTTCCGTTCGCTTCAATTTTTCGGAGCTCTTCCTTCTCAGACCTCTACATTCGCTCCGCACCAAGTGCGGGGCCGCTGTCAACTCTAGATCTTCCCACGGGACAGAAAGCTCATGCGAGACGTCTTGCTATCACGCATCCGCTAGTTTAGTCAAACTTGCAACCTCCTAGGGGGCATGGTTCGGAAACATTCAAAGACGAGAATGGATTATGGTCCATGTGGATTGATCTACCCTGGCAATCCCCGTACCATTACCTGCATGGTAAGCAACTTTATCCAGACTACCACTTTTCAACCATGCTTCTGACAATTATAATAAGCGAATACAACGCATGACCGTATAGGTGGATAAACATAATGCGACGAAGCCAGACATGATTCCAACCCATATTTCAACCTGCTAACGGATGGAAAGGGAGGATGCGAGGATGCTAGTCTAGGAGACACATCAAAGGTTATTCATCACAAACGCCGGTTGGACCCGCGGCGGCTTCCTCGGACTGGCAAGGGATCGACTAACAGTACGGTCCTTCTGCATAACAAAAGTGATGGCGGCTGCACAATACTTTTTAAGAAAAAGGTCTCGATGATGCCGGCGCGGGCTGATGCGAGGGACTTCTGATATGGAGCTTGTCCGACGTGTAACCCGGCTTTGCTTGGACCAATGCCGTGGCCTTTTGCCGTGGTTAGATACTTCCCCTTTTGTGATTTCCCCGCCCAACTTAGCAAATGGTATCTCACTGACCGTTGATGATGGTTATCAAGCATGATCTGTCGAACCTTCTCTCCGATTTCATGGCAGATATGCGCCGCGGCGCTCTTTCAACAACATGGCCTTTGCTTCAGTTCCCCCAGACTGCCCCAGTACCACGTGTCATGGACATAAGGGGCCTCCATTTTCCCTTGCTTCAAAAGTACCACACATTGAATTAGTCATCTTGGAACATCAGGTAGCGTCCTCATGGCGAGCCATGGTAGGCACCACTGGGTTTCCCACATCGCTTGTGCAGACAGGCTTGGGAAGCTGGATCCAAGTATTGTGTTCGTCCTCCTGACACCCATAGTATTTGCTCGAAGCAACTGATGACCAACTCGCTTTCATCAACTAACACCACGACCACAATTCCTGGATTCACTCAAGGGTAACCTCCAAATCAGACATCGACTGTGCTGGACCGTCTAATGCTTGGGCATTCGGGGCAATACTTTCAAACCTGTGCGAAAAAAAACGCCTAGCACATTTGTGAAACGAAGGACTCAACTTCCGCGTTCGTCAAGGAAATAGGGAAAGGATATGTCGCAGACGCCATGGAAGGCGTGAGACACACTCAACAACAGCAACCCCCAGGGTGGGCAGGTGGTGACGAGTGGGAGGAGCATCGAGGGAGAATCCAGGAGCTTTACCAGAGCCAAAACCTATCGTTGAAGGAAGTGATAAGGATCATGGAAGAGCGTCATGGATTTCGGGCGACGTAAGAGAACATATCAGCTTCCGCGCGCACTCAAAGTATATGGATTATGTGGACTGACTCATTACACAGACAACGGATGTACAAGACACGGATCAAGACCTGGGGACTGGACAAGAACTTCAAGGAGTCGGAAGTTGTTGAGCTCTTCCGGTTGAGACGTGAGAGGGAGAAGCTCGGAAAGCCAGCAACTTACAAGATACGCGGCCGCGAGATCGACTGGGACCGAGTCAATAGCTACGTCAAACGGAAAGGGCTGGACATCACCCGGTTGCTAGAGACTGACCGGCCCCACAGTCCGGCAGTAGCGAGTGAGATAACTTGCCGGACTCCGTCCCCCCTCTCAGAGAATAATCGGCATTACCAACATGAGCCATCGGCCAGCACTCCGTCACTCTCTTCATCGGCCGGATCAGATCACTACACCCACAATGTGCCGCCATTCACAAGACCGATGACCGCCTCATCAGCCTCCATCATGGCCGGGATGGATCCCCGAACTACTAGCTCAACACCATATCCCGCATATACACAGCCCTCTTCTCCTACTCAGACCCTTCGACCGGCAGTCAACCTGGGTCACTCCGCAACCCTCCCCTCCCTCGGACACTCCGTCACCATCCATTCTTTCCAAAAGTTTCTGACCCGAATCTACGAGACTCTCCTCTACGAAGACAACGACAAGACTTGGGGCACAACACAATACTGGCTAGGGTCCTCGCACGCATTAGAATGGCTGATGACGATCCGCTACAAAGCCGCCTTCTACCGTGACATCTTGGTACAGCTCTCTGATGCCGGACCCAACCCCAACGTCAGCATAGCTGCCCGAGATATCGTTCGTCGTTTCCGCACCATCAACAGGTCGTTCGCTATGCTCGAGCCCATGGTTCAGAGCGTGATCGGGGCCAAGTTTTATTACTTTCTTAACTTCATCCACGCCTTTGGGCTGTGTACGGACGTGGCGCAACTCCCGTTGGCGTATCCGCTTGTGTCGATTGCTAGGATATTGCTCGAGGAAACACATAATACTTGCTCGGCACCACACCCTCCGCCGGTATTGCCGGGTGGGTTTGCCGATGGTCGAGCCCCGGAGATGGGGGGAGCTTACCGACGCCCGTCTTTTAGCTGCAATGGTGTCGTCAATGGTGGTGGTCGAGCCGCCGCCGCCGCCGCTGAACAGGAGGGTTTCGTGTCAGCTGCCGGGTATGATGCCGATTACTACCTCCTGTCTCACCCAAACGTGAACGCGAACGTGAACAGCAGCAGCAGCAGTAGCAACAGTCAGCCGAGTCACCACCACTCAGACGCATCCGCATCCGCATCCGCATCCGCATCCAGAAGGCTCATGTTGGACAGCAGCAGCCAAGACTTTAAAGAATCCGCCGAGCGGTTTCTAAACACGGTGCTGGAGCAGACGGTCAAAGATTTGGGCGTGTCTCAGGTACCTTTTGAGTCGTTTCTGCTTCTCAGAGAGACGATGGACGGTCGACCTATACTGGGTCATCATATCCCATTTCCATTATCAACATCTATGACCGCCGCCAACACTAACGTCCGGAGACCCGTCGACATTCAGGTTCCGGGACAAGGAGCCTTCAACCCCAGCCCCTCGGCTTACACGCCAACAAACCACCACCACCCACTAGCATCACAACAACATGAACTCCTACAAGAACAAAATCATCAACAACACCTTCCCAAAAAGCTCCTCCAAGAGGCCATATCCCACCTAGAATCCGCCATCTGGCTGCTCTCCCACGGTAAAGACGCCCAAGCGGAATCGTATCTTGCATCAGTCATCAAGACAACAGAAACCTTATATCATCTACCAGTACCTCTGCGCTACAACCCCCCCTACAACCTTCTCTTCCTCACCCTCATCCTCATTCAAACTCCCAAACCCAGACCCTAAGCAGCGGCGAAATCCCCAGTGTCTCCTTAAAAGTGTTACTCAAAAACGACTCGTCGTCGTCGTTGTCGTCGTGGGTAACCAAGGCTGCTAAAGTGGTGGGCAGGTGTGCGCATTATCACCTTGCTAGGTTGTATGGGAGGCGCATACGAGCGGGAGGCGGGGAGGGAACGAGGGAGAGGGAGAAGGAAAGAGAGCATCTGATCAAAAGCCTGGAGGGAACGGCGTTGTTTGATGAGTATGTGCAGTGGGAGGAGGTGGAGTTTTTGTTTTGATCAGAGGAGGGAGTCCGAACTGAGTGTTTTTTTTTTCTCTTCGTGTCATGTCTGGTTAATATCCAGGAGGAAAATGAGAGTGTGACGGAGGGGACGGCGGGCGTAAAACCTGTACCGCAGTAAAGTCAAAATGGAAGATGCTAAATTGTTGCAGCAGTCGACTGACTATATAAGTTCAAGTTCTGATGCAAATCTTCAACCAATCATGGCAGCTCATTTCAGCTGCCCGGCTAGCTCAATCGGTAGAGCGTGAGACTCTTAATCTCAAGGTTGTGGGTTCGACCCCCACGTCGGGCTCAATTCCCGGCGTTTCCAACGCCTTCTTTTTTTTCATCCTTCTTTTTCCTTCACCTGCGATTGTGGACTGTTTTTGTCGCCATTTACTTTTTTTATTTTTTTGTGTAGTTTGGGAAGAGTGAGGAAGGGGGTTGGGTGCGGACGCTCTTGAAGTGTTTATCTGCTTCAAACTCCCTTAGAGTGGGCAGGTGGAGTGGAGTGGTCGAAGTGAACTTTATTTTTGTTCGGAAGGTTGAGCGAGGTAGGCACGATACTGTATTCATATGAGCATGTGTAAAATGACTCTTTCTATATTTCCATCTCCGTTACTGCCTCTCCGTACATGAGCCCTTCCCGGCGTTTATATACGTAGGTACGTGGCTTTCATGACCAAGCAGGGACAGCTCACGTTTGCCTGAGGCCTCAAATCCTTGCTTTTAGTATTTGAGCTTGATGTTATTTTGCTGGCTTTGTGTTGGTCGGAAAGGGCTGTTCGCTCTGTGGTTACTGTGCGCTGTTGGGTCCAGTCAAGGCCTGCTGACAGAGTTTATTTACATCGGGACAAGTCTTGCTTTTATGTTTGATCTGCTGTCATCGACAACCTTGGATCGTGCAGGATATTTTTCAGCATTCGCAAGGCCCCAAACTCCCTCGGGGAAATTAACAACACAGCACAAGTTCCTGTCATGGTTCGTTTGTGATATCGGTGCAAGAGTGTAGGGGCATAACTGTCTCAGTCAACCTCTTTGGTTAGCACAAAGGGCACGTCGTCCTTCACATGAACTAGATCTTATCTTGAGTTTCAGGAGTCTGAGATACTCCAGAGGTATGTGATCCCATCATGAATCAGACCTTGTTGAGACAAACTTGAAGTCTGTGCGTGCATCGAAGTAGGTTGGCAAAAGAAGCGTCAAGGTATTCTGCGCCCGTTCATCGTGTATTGACGTGTCAGTTGTTAGGTTCCGTAGACGTTGTCTCTTTGTTCCTTACCGCGTCAGAGTTTAAGCACAAAAAACGTGTACCTTTTGACGTTGGTCGACCCTCAGCAAAATACACAACGGCAGATAAATTGCGCAAAAACAAACAGCCCGATAGAACAAAGCAACGAAATACACGGCAATATATCAGTTTGGAAGGCAACAACTAACATTCACACCTGGCCGTGTAACATTCACTGGATCTACCTACCCATCCTTATCAGCCAACCCCCACCGATTTCTGCAAACTCCCGTTTTTTGAGCCTCAACCTTTTGTTTCGGAAAGTCCAACTGCATCTGTTGACCCCCAACATGATCAATACCATCCCGCCGCGCGCATCAAAGCAATGAGTGAGCCACCCCGGCTCCAACGACAAACGGCAAGCGGTTGGGCAGTATTTGAGCGGATGAGCTTGCTATATCATGGTATGCTGTCCCAGCTATCTTGCTTGGTGGGACTGTCGTCTTGTCAGGACACTTGCAAAACACTCCTTCGCGGTGAATCGTTATCGTCAACCGATATCGCAGAGGCGGTGATAGAACATCAGATAAAATTCCCTTCACTTGTTGGAGCATCAATGTATAACTCGTGACCTCATACCGGCAACTCGCTGGCTGGTGAGCACGAGCCCTTCGGCACATCATCTTGAATTCCTCCTCAAAAGTACTTAAAGGCAGCTAGACTTGCTTTCTTCCCCGAATATCCTGCTTTCAGACCTTCAACCTCCAAGAGAGAGAAACAAAACATACCTATACGACCCAAGTCAAACACGGGAAGACGACACATACCACGAAATGGGTTCTATTGACGCAGATAAGAAGCTTCAAGTGCTCCTCGTGGGCTCGGGAGGCATCGGTACCATGGTTGCCTATGCCCTCGAGAAAGGAAGCAAAGCCGAGGTAGCCGCAGTTCTGCGGTCCAACTTTGAGGCTGTTTTCGATAATGGTTTCACCATTCACTCGGTCGACCACGGCGAAATCAAGGACTGGCAGCCAACTTCAAGTGAGTTCTGAGTTCGATAACTCCTCTGCAAGCTTCATAAACTCACATTCGTACAGTTCTCGATAGTATCCCTTCTGTCGACAAGGAGTCATGGAGAGCCCCTTACGACTACGTCATCGTAACCACCAAGAACGTACCCGACATCCCGCCCAGTATCCCTGATCTCATCGCCCCTGCCGTCACGCCCGGCCACACCGCCATCGTGCTCATCCAAAACGGCCTCAATATCGAGCGTCCCTTCCTCTCCGCCTTCCCCACCAACCCCATCCTCTCCGGCATCACCTTCACCGGCGCCATCGAGTCGCCCCCAGGAACCATCAACCACCACAACCACGACCGCTCCTTCATCGGCGTCTTTAACAACCCTATCGCAAGCCCAAACCAGAAATCCCGCGCCATCGCCGCCGCCCGCCGCCTCGTCGACGCCTACAGCGCCTGCGGCCCCAACGTCGACTGCACTTACGAGCCCGACGTCCCTTACTCCCGCTGGCGCAAGCTGCTGTACAACGCCTCGTACAACGGCGTGGCCGCCATCCTGGGCATGGACACGTCGCGCATGCGCTTCACCGAGCACATCATCGACGAGCTGATCCGGCCGCTGATGCGGGAGATTCGGGCGACGGCCAAGGCGGTGGCCGGCGTGGAGCTGAAGGAGGAGCTGATCGAGAGCATGATCACGGCGGACGGGTATGATAAGTTCTTTAAACCGAGCATGTTGCAGGATGTGGAGAAGGGTAGGTTTATCGAGTTTGAGAACCTCGTGGGCGAACCGTTCAGGGAGGCGGAGAGGGTTGGGGTGGAGACGCCGACGCTTAAGGTTGTTTATGGATTGTTGAAGGGTCTGCAGTTCAAGGCGAGGGAGAGGCACTTAAAGGAGGTGGTGGTGCCCAGGAGTGGGGAGGGATTGAGGTATGGAGGTCATGGAAAGTCTTAGGACAGGGCATGAAATGATGGCTTCGACGTATCGGAGTGAATGACTGGATGTGAAAGAGAAAGGGAACTGAGGGCATATCAACTGAAGGAAAAGTAGGGAAGGAAATACGGGGAGAGAATAATACAAAGGTCGCGATTCAAGCCTAAAGGGAAAATTCACCACGGTACTTGCAGTATCAACTTGAAAGGGGACTGGAAAAAAACTCGTGAAACTGCAGTGGTATATTATCAAAAATCATCGCCAAATATGTACGGCCACTGGGCGCCCTAAACAACGAAACATGTCGGACTCACTTGTAGCATGAATGGACCTCGTGAAGCCCAATATGAGCACTCTTAGACCCGTCCACAACATCTACTCCAAGCTCTCCCACTGTCTGAGCTGATCCAAGAAATAAGCCTCGTCGTAAGGTGCACAAAAGCGCAAGTCCGCCTCATGACTGTTCATAGGGTAAACGAGACTCATATAGACGCCGTTTGGGCCAGCTACCGAAAAGACTTTGAGACAGAAGCCCTGGCGCTCGGCCTCTTTCTCGCCAAGTCGACGCCTCGCTTCAGCTCCCTTTTCAAACTCGTCCATGGCGGTACTGAACTGATGGGAACGGGCAACGGTGACGCGGCGCCACTTGTCGTCTTCCAAGTCCCGGCAGAGATATGAGACAGATTTGCTGTTGTAGGCGATCTTGTGTAGAACTCTGTAGCGGTCATCGAGAATGTCGCCTATGTTGACAACCTTGCGGTGGGACGCACCTTGACGAGAGAATTCGCTGTTCTCGGTTTGGGGTTGAAATTGCTTTGCGGAGCTGTAACCAGCTGCTCTGCGGCCGTTAAAGCTAGCGCTGGGCATCTTGTTAGTGTAGAAGATTTGGACAAAGGGTTAAATGGCTTGCGTTCGATGATGCTGACGTAGATAAAAGGGAGTGCGAGATGAGAAAGAGCATGCGTTTGAGACATCAACAACAATCCGGGATGGTTGACCGAGAGACATGATGTCGAGCTTTATAGATTCCATGTCTGGACTGGGATTATCGTTGATCAAGGACAATGATGGTGTCTGCAGGACAGGAATGTCAAAATGAACAATGGCTTCGTAGACAACAACCGTCTTCTTTGTGTGTGTTTTTCACGAAGGCGCTCATTGTTCAAGAAAGTGCTTCAAAATACGGTTAAAGAGAAAAAGGAAGAAGGAAGACAAGGGGGAAGGAAAATGAACAAGGGAAGAGAAAGAAAGCAAAAAAAAAAAGGAAATTTCCCCTCGACCGGAATCGAGCCGGTGACCTTTCGGTATACAATCATACAATTACAGCCGAACGTGATATCCAACTACACCACAAGGGGATATGGTTTGTACGTGTGGATATCAAGCTTTTATTTCCCTCTCTTGTTGGGCCCGGGTGTCGCGGATGGTGGTGGCGAAATGGTTTTGGAGGGTCCCATTACAGCGGGAACAACGTTGAAGTCATGGTGCTAGGGTTAGGGTCACACTCGGGCTGAATTGCACCGACCAAAATCAAGGGCGACCGTGCGCGCCAAGGCTCCATTCTTCGGCTGCGCAGTCGGTTGATGGACTTCCACTTTGATGGATCATGGGACTGCAAGGCCCTGACTCGACTTTCTCCATCACGAATCCGGGGCAGACACAAGGGTTCCTTGAACTACCCCAGATTTTTCCGAGTCCTTGTTCTTGAAGGTACGTATTTACTGATTTGTTCTGCTACTTCTGTAGTCAATCGCTTCCAAAGCGATGCTTCAATGGTGGTTCTTGATTGGCTGACTGGTTCTCATTTGGCTTGCCTGCTCTAGGGAAAACCATCGAATTATTAGCACCACCAGCGATATCCGACAACACTCCGACATGTTCCTTTCAACGAGAATGAACGTCTCTACGCCTTCTTCGTTAGCCAAGTGCAGCCGCCTACTGCTACGGAACACGCATACCTCACCCGTGCCGGGAATACCAAGAATCTCTAGACAGACCTACGCCACGGGCAAGAAACCAGTCGGGAAGTCCGGGAACTTCAAGGCCACAGGCGACCAACCCAAGCGGGTTGACCCGAACAGTCCCGAGTACAAGGCCTACCAGAGAACATGGACAACCGTCATGATCGGGACACCCATCATCCTCGTCTGCTCTTATGAGCTCTGGCAAAGGCGTAAGTGGCCCAATGCCGGAATTCGCCCCCTCAAGCCACCAACTAACCGATCTTGCGTCACCAGTTATTGAGGGCAAGAAGCCTCTTTCTTTAGAACCCAAAGACACGACAGCCCTCACAGAACTGACACCTCACTCGGAGAGCCCAAGCACAACAGCTCAAGATATCTGAGTTCTCGTTTGACTTCGACCATTATCAATACATAATACTTTGGGCGTGGTAGCGTTGGCCTTCCCTAACATCGTTGGCGTTCAATCAATCCCCTTTGTCGTTCCACTTTCCTCTACTATTAAGTTGACCTTAATTGGCCCTCAAAATTGCCCATGACAACGTCATATATGCTGAGAAATGCGAGAATAGCTAGCCTGTTGGACGTATGAAAGCGTTGGTAGGATATCCTGTCAAGCCCCTACAGAACTCAAAGGCATTGCTGACACCACCGTGCTAGATACGCGTGCTGTTTCTCTGGTTTTTATCCTGATACCACTTTCTTTTCCCCAACCGTTCGGAATAGCCCTCGACACTTTTCCACAGTCTGCTTCGCGCCCAGTCATCTATGGCTCCTGCGGACACACAACTGGGGATCGAGATAGGCAGGGGAGCGCCGACCCTTTCATGCGGGGTAGCTTGTCGCCATTAAGACATTGACGCCTTCTCTTCCCCAATTTCGCTCTCCTAGCTCCCCCACAACGAGAACGTAGTTGCAGGTACGGCACATGGCGATCCTTGCGGCTCCCTAGCCTACCCTCACCTACCCGGTATCATCCGCCTCCCATGAAATTGTTCAAGGTCACCAGATGTCTAGACTGCTCCGTAATCAGTCATTACTATCACGTACTTGTACCACATTGACAATGGTATTGACGAATTGCAACATTCCAGTTGCCTCTAGCCATCGGCTTTAACTACTTGATATGGCTACGTTTGCAGTCGGGCTCCGCTTGGCTTCGACTGCTCAAGTTAGATTGTCCCTGAGCAACTCCGCCTCCGCAGAGGGTAGTGTAAGATAGTCACTCTTCATGGGCCTGGCCTTCGCTTGACCCGATGTCTTCCTTTAGTGCCAGCCCGCATCGTGGGGAAAATGGAGGTCAGGATCGGGTTGGGGGCGTCAACACTTCTCGACGGCTTCTGGTTGGCTCAGCCGGCGTGTGGAAGGATCCTGGCTAACGTTACATTGTCACACCAACCCACCCCCGGCCTCTCCAAACGTGTCCAGCATTAGCGTGCCATTGTTGGTCTCGGGTTTAACGGTCACAATGTGCTCCACCGGGTTAACTGATGGTCCTCGGCACATCCAGCGAGCCGCATATTTCTTCATCCGGCAAAGGATCTTGTTGGACAAGCTGATAGGTGCCGTCTCTTCGAAAATAATCCCGAATCCCGAACTCACTCAGTGTCGAAGGACGTCCCGCGTTGGCAGGCCCCAATTCGACATTGAAAGTCACCATGTCATATCCATAAGAGTTAGAGAACTCGCAAGCAAGATTGGAAATAAGGGGCAGGACTGGGAGCCAACAAGATCGCCATCCCAACCGCACTAAAAGAGAAAAAAAGAGATTCCCGGTGGACCTCTCCGCTCTCCCCGGATTCTCCCCCGCGTTTCGACGCGCAAAAAAGTTGGACAAGAGGAAGCCAAGAGGCGTATTTGCTCCAGCTGGGCGGAGTCTTTGCGGTGCCTATTGGAAGCGCTAGTGCCTAAGGGGGCAATCCAATGGCTTCGAGAACTCCATCAACTATCCAGGTGGGTCTCTTTCGGTACCGCCAGATCATGGACCGAGTGGACAAGGGGGACATTTCTTGCCCACACCGAGCCTGGAGATGCGGAGAAGTCAGGGGCCCACGTTCGTCTGTCTTGGTCACGGCTGTTGCTAACGGGCGTGGCAGCAAACCGTGGCAGGGGATGATCATTGTTAACTGGACCATGGATGACGCTGTTCTTCATGGCTCCCAGTAAACGTTGCTTGTGTCCTCCAGCTACTCGACAAGATTTCACAGCTTTCATCTTCTTGACAACTCATCATACCTGTACGGCGGTAACCAGACGCTTCACCGACCCAGTCTTCCTTTCCAGCCGCTTCACTCCTACTCGTCTTTGATCTTCCTCCCGCTCCCGCACCTTAACGTACACACTCCCCATGTCCACCCTGCATCGAAACGACAGATCTCCCTCCGCGGGAGTTAGCGAATCCTCAAGTCCTGACTTTATATCACATACCCCAAGGTCATCGAGCAAACAAGTGCGTCATCGGGCCTCAGTTGCCTGCGCCTCCTGCCGGGAAAGGCGGATACGTTGTGTAGTGCCCGAAGGAGAGTCCGGGTGCACACAGTGTAAGAAGACCGGAGCAGAGTGTATCATAAGAAACGATGACGAGAGGCGAAGGTGCGTACCAGGACCGACACCTTAGCGCAATCTGACATATCTGACACTTCAAGAGGCCTATATCCAAAGCATACATGTCGTCACTATCCAACCGAATCACTCTCCTGGAGGAGATGCTGAGAGAAAGAGGCGTCGCGCCTCCTCCAGCCGTCCATCCTCCAAAGACGAGACAGGAAGCCAAAGAAATGCAGGAACACGAACAACACGATGTACGGTTCCGCGAAGACTGTGAGACTCCTGGCCCGAATCAGGCCAACTCTTCCATGGTGGCAGATACCCCCTCCCCACCGAAATTCAACGTGGAAGAAGTACAAACAGATGCTACCGACGACAATAAGCAAACACCCGAAGCTCCAAGCGATGATTCTACACTTTTCCCAGAGTTCGCCTCCCAATGGGATGGAGATGTACGCCAGTTCTTGGGTGTAAAGAGCAGGTTCTCTGTCATGTCAGGGAGGCTGCAGTACTTTGGTTCTACGGCGAGCAGCCACGTTCACGCCCAAAACACCTCGCAGCCCAGCCCACCAGGGACAATAGATCACGCAAGCCGTGTCAAGCGTGTCATCAAAATTCTTGGCTCATCCACCCATGACCACCTTATGAGCTGCTTCTGGGGCCATTACAACCCTGCGGTTCAAGTCGTGGACCGTGAAATATTCGAGTCAGGCCGAAAGAGCCAGAACCCGAGGCATTACTCAGTATTCCTTCATATTACGATGCTTGCTGCCGGGTACCGATTTGCGGAGCGAAACAGAGAAGATGTGAAGAGGTTGATACTTGGAAACTGGGAAAGCACGTTCCATCGGGAGTCCAAGTCTATGCTGGATGCCGAACTAGAGAGACCAGGTGGGATACCGAGCATCCAGGCGCTCCTCATCCTCGCAGACCTCGAGTTTGGCGCTGGCAGGGACTCAGCCGGCTGGATGTATTCTGGTATGGCGAACCGATTGGCTATCGACATCGGACTGCACGTAAACGTGCCAGACAGCGGCAGCGAGGTTCTCACGGCCGAGGAACCGCTACGTCGGCGAGTCATGACGGCGTGCGTCTTGTTCGATAGATACTGGGCACTTCTACTCGGCCGCTCCCCAAGCATTCGGCATCGCGACATTGGCATAGAGCTGGGGCTCCAGCCGAGAAAGGGCACAGCCATGCCGACTGCATCACCGACGACCCCTTTCGATATGGTGACGTCCCAGTCACCGGAAATTTCCCTTCACCAACATCTTCTCGAGCTCATGAGCATAGCGGCCAAGATCCTGGAGTTGCAGAACCAACACGACTATGCCGAGTCATTGTTTGCAAACAACAAGGCAGGCGAGGAGGCCTACCAACGATTGTTTGCACTGGACAGAAAACTGCAAGCGTGGTACCGCCGGTTACCGGACTTTTTGGCTTGGACACCCGCCAACATTCAGGCAGCACCCGTTGGCTTCTTTATGTTGCATCAACAATTCCATACTTGCATGGTTCTGCTCCACAGGCCTTGGGCAATGTACGGCAATGAGGACGGATCCAATCCTACCATGTCATATGGCCAGTCCACCGGGTCGCTCCCGGGCGTCAGCCATCACCATAGGGTTGCCATTGCTCGCCGGATGTGTACCCAGCATGCCATCCGCGTCGCCCGCATCTTCTGGCACCACCGCCTCCGGTTCGACGGCAGGAGACTGCCCATCTTCGCTATCCAGCAGGCGGGCACGTCGGCGATTGCTCTGATGGCAGCCCTCGCGAACCGGACCACCGAGGTTGACCAGCAGAGCAACCTGCGATACCTGCAGGTTTTGTCGGCGGCGATTTATGATATGTGCTATATCTACCAGCCGGCAGCGAGGATGTACCGCCTGCTTAAGTCGATGTTGGTAGACATTCGCAACGAGGTTGTCACTGGTGTAAGCGGTGTTCACGCTCAGTCGAAGACGTCGCCAGAAGTGACAGCATCGGCGCCTCCTCCGTTCCTTTACCATACCCATCAGAGGAGCTACAGCACTCCCATGGTCGGCCTGAACTTTGGCGCCCCCGACTGGGCTACCCGCGGCTCGATTCCCAGTGGTGGAGGAGACACTCATGGCTACCCGCAATTCTCTGGTCGGCAACAACCGGAGAATGATTTGTTTGGGGAGAGTGAACAACCTCCTTCATCAAAGAGACAGAGGTGCAGCGGCCCGAGCCGAAGAGCATCCGATTTTGGTGGCTGTGTTACTCCTTCACTTTTCAATTTTGGTGGTTTTGGTGGCACCTCGTCGTATCCCACTCCACCACTGGCTTCTCCTAGAGATTCCGGAGAGGTACTGGGCCAAGGCGGTCAGACTAAGGATAACAACACGCCGATTCCGGATGCATACACTGACGACAATGCGCTCTTTGATTTTTTGGAAGCCACGGCGCTTGCTACGGTAATGGAGGAGGATGTCGAAACAGACTCTGTGTCCAGAGCTGCCAGCACGCCAACTGTCACTTCCCACAGCCACAAGGAGGGCAGCGACACGGCGGAAGAGAGTGCAGATAAGCCTGCTACTGCTTCAGAAACTGACGCCAACAAGGCTACCGCCGAGGAGAGCCAGGAATCTGGAGCGCCAAAGGATGATCAGGGCAAGGTGGCCTCTCCTGAAACCACTAGGGATCCCAAGGTCTCAGTCTCTGCTCCGGCTCAGGAAGAGGATTCAGACAGCAACATCATCGAAGAATGGCTTGCCGAGCCATTACCCTCCATCGCCGCAACCTCCAGTACCAGCAAAACCATCAACCCCGCCGCCCTCACAACAATGACAAACCCCACAGCTGCTCTGATACCATCACCAACGACGACAACCCACCACCACTTGGGCAGGTTCCAACCAATTATTTCTCATCATCGTCAACAACAGCAGCAGCAGCAGCAGCAGCAACAACAACCCCCAAACCCACCACCCTACAAACGAGACGCCCGCCTAACCAAGCATGACCACGCGGACCTCTTTCCCCGATTTAACAAGTCGGCCATCATCGACGCGCTCGTGTCGGCGGCGGGTATCAACTTTGATCTGTCTCTTTGTCGGGAGGTGGATGTTGAAGATCGGAATTATGACCATGAGCATGATGATGTTGCTGTTGTTGTCCATGATAACGATAGTGAAAAGGAAAACGAAGGTCAAGCTGGGAAGGGCGCAAGCGGTGGATCAGCAGCGCATGGCGTCAGCTTGAGTGATTTGCTGGGCAGCATGGGAGGTTATGGGAATGGGGGTAAGAGGAGGATTGAGGAGGTTGAAGGTAGTCACGGTGCTGGTCTTGGGTGTGGTTATGCGGCTGCGACGAGTGCTGCGAAGCAGGCGAGGAATGTGGAGTTGGATTATTTCCGGTTGTGAGGGGTTTGGATGTTGTAAGATGGAAGTTGTGTGGTAGAAGAATTTGGATATAGACTAGATTTCTTCTGCCTTTTGCTAGAGATAAACCCAGTATTTTGTTTTGGAATAGAGAAGCTGGGCGATTAGTCCCTTTTCTGTTGTTTCATACGTATAGACTTTTTTTCTTTTGAAGCCGTTTGGGCACCATTCCGAATTACAAAAAAAAATCCAATCCTTTAACTGTGCAAATCAATTCGGTACCCGGAGATGAGAGGTCGAGCGTGTCCCCCTTGCCCCCTTTTCTAGTGCCTCGCTTCACGAACGGACGAACAAACGGTCTTCGACAAGAGATGGCATGGCGACCACGTGGAAACGAGGAGAGGCGCTGCAGGAGGATGATGGTGCAGATATCCCAGCCTAGATGTGGACCTGGCGGTTTCTGGATGAAAACCGTATCTGGATCGGGATCACTGTGATATGATGGGATTTGGGAAATCTGTTGACCGTTGTGGACTTTTTTTAATTTCCGTGCTCGCATTTGGGAATCAAAACACCATCAAGCTTTCCGGGGTTCCCCACTGTTACCGGACAGTGCAGCCGAAAGAAGACTAGCGTAAAATGTAAGTGGATCCTTGAATCTGTTACTGACTGTATGCACGTTTCCCTTTTCGTTGCAAGGGGAAACTTGGACCCTGATTCGATCAATGCCCCAATTTGTGGAGCGAGTCGAGCCAAAATGGAAGCCTGACGGGAGTTGTGACGGAACTTGTGAGAGAGCCTCACGATCCTTCTTTCCCTTTTTTGCTGATTTCTTGTTGAGACGACATCCGACAAAAGAAGAGAGGGGCAGCTTATCGAACCGTTTGATCCCATACGAAACTCTTTCTTCCATCCGAACTCTGAGCGGTTAAGGTTGATATACGCCTGGCGTCGTTAGTTGGACGATGGGATTGAATCGATTTGACTATAACTGATTCCTATCTCTACTTGTCGAATACCTCTTATTTTCTCTTCAGTCTGTTCACTAACAGTATGGATTCTGTCATTGTGTTTAAACAAGTTTCAATGTGTACTTAGATGGACACAAGATGGTCCCATTGCTGCACCTTGCAGATTGATACATTCATGCGCACACATTTAGCAGTCGGGCTGGATCATCCACACATGATCGAGAATTGACTCCCGCCCTTGCATCCGCACGAAACCCGATCTCGTTACACTTTCGACCCGTACGCACGTATTTTCTCATGTAGGTATGAGTGTACAGTTCTTATCTGGGTGGGCTTCATCACCAAGTGCGAAACCCTCAAGATCTTAATCTGTTTAAACGCTCGTCAGAAGCTTGCATAAACAGACCTTCAAAATCCTAATTCCATTTGGCGCTTTGGTGAAGAGTCAGCATGATCCGGTGATTGTTTTTTTTATGGAGCCATGCCGTGATGCTATGCAGATGCAGCAATGCAAAGATCCATCCAGTCGAGGTACATCCTCTTGAGATTCCATTCTCACAACATCAGCCGCCGCCCTGCCGCCCGCCCTCGTCAATAGGCCACCGGGCTCCCACCTCCTTATACTAGACCTATGAGGTATACGCCAAACACGCCAGACACGCGAGACTGCGAGCCCGAAACCCACAGGGCCAAAATCTAAACCCCCTACCCTGAAGTGTGCCTGGGCCAAGTTGCACGTTGACTGGACGACTGCCCGTGTCTTGTACTTTGCCCGCCGACCAACCAGAATCTTCTCCCGGGCCAGTCACTTGCCACGAGTCCCTAGCCTCTGTTTGGCACGGCCAGGTAACGGCGTATCGAACCGCTTAGACAGAAGAAATATATCAAACCCGTCAATGCTTGTGATCAGATTTAAGGTAGCCTTCCGGGGCTGAAAGGACGGGACGTCTTTCCTTTCAGTTCTTACCTAACCTAGTACATAACCCATCTGCCGTCTCCCTCCCGGTACTTGTAGTCAGTACTTGCCTTATTATTTTCAACGGCTCGGACTCGGGGGCGAGTAAGCGACACGAACAACTTCCCCTCAGGAGAACCAGCGAGAAACAACACGTATCACAGACCACACACAGACCTCGGACTCTTTCGAAATATAGCGACGTATATTGCATCGACTGCGATAACGATAGCGACCCCGACGGTTGTGTCATTCAGTACAAGTGAACCCACTCACAGTTCTCCAGTTCCAGCTCCAGTTCCAAGTCCTTGTCAATTGACCGTCTTCGGATTATTCTTCTCCCACTCATTCTTTGACAACTTCAACTTTGTGATTCTTCTGAACCATTCATCTCTACACGCTTTGTCGGACATTTCCATTCTATCGGTAGCAAGGTAGCCAAGCGATACCCGGCATCCAGCCATCTCCTCCCTAATCTTCGCTCTCCACTCGCGTTGATTGAGGCTTCCAACTTAGCGCGCCCCCGGCCTCGCAAGTTGCAAATCAATCGCCCAGCGCAGTCATTTGCAGCACTACACAGCACGCCAGCAGCAGCACGCATCTCGCAGCACGGCAACCCGACCCCGTCAGTCCCCGTCCATCACTGTCAATCAGTGTCTCCCGTCTGTCACACACACGCAGCAGTAGCCGAAGCCGTTACCGTTAAACGGTCAACCCCCTCGAGCCTCAACAACACCCACCCCCCTCCCGTTTCCCCCCCGCGCCTCGCGGCACCAAGCACGAGTCTCCACCGACCCTTTGCGAATGGAGACCTAAGTATACTATGGCCCATGCTGCTCTTCTACGAACGAACACCGCCCCTGTATTTCAAGCGTCGACCGACGGCGTCGCCAGATTGAACAACATGAGCATGTCCAATGCCGCGCGGGCAAGCCAGCTCTCGGGCTCGACGGCCTTCAATTCCACCACTTCGCTCAACTCGCTCACTTCGTCCGCCACCGCCGTTACCCCCGTGAACGGCCAGGTCGTCGCCACTACAAACATCATCAACCAGAGAGCCGACGCCTCGCGATCGCTGTACCAGATATGTCTGTCGCTCAAACAACGCCTCGCCCAGGTTCCCGGCTTCGAGGGCTATCTAGAACAACTGCAGCACGAGCAGGAGAATGGCCATGATGGCCCCGTCGAGGCCCTCTGGAAGCTCCTTCGCACCGGTCTGCCCCTGCTCACCATCTACAATGCGCTCCAACCCGAGAAACCGCTGCACGTCGACGAGAGGCCGAACGAGACGGAAGCGCGACGGTCCAAACGCGCCATCATGGAATTCGTCAAGGCCTGCTTGAGCGACCTCGACCCCCCCGTTACCGAATGCTTTATCGTCGCCGACCTTACAGGGGAGGACACCACCGGCTTTGTCAAGGTGAGCGAGTCTCATGGCGCCCCCTTTCTACGCAACCACTTGATGGAACAGTATATGCTGACGAGCACGTGTTGGAAACCAGGTGACTTCTGTTATCAACTATGTGCTCGATCTTGCCGAAAAACGGGGCCTTTTGCTCCAAATCCTACCATACCCCGAAGATGATATCACGCAACCGGGTTCTAAGATGACCCATCGCGATTACATTGTTCGAGAATTGGTAGACACGGAGCGCAAATACGTACAGGATCTCGAAAACCTCCACGACCTAAAGAGGACGTTGGAACACAGGAGCGTTATCCCTGGCGAATTCATCCACGACATATTCCTTAATATCAACGCCATCTTGGATCATCAACGAAAGTTCCTCATCAGGGTAGAAACAACAAATTCGATGCCACAGGCCCGGCAGGAATGGGGAATCATGTTCGTTCACGCCGAAGAGAACTTTGGCATTTACCAACCCTTTATCGCGAACCAAAGAAAGGCAGCCCAGGTTGCGACGCAGGTGTTTGACAAGATCCAAGAGGCTGGCCATCCGGTCGCGTGTGATTTTAACACTCTTGATGGTTTCCTCCTAAAGCCTATGCAGAGACTGGTCAAGTACCCGCTTTTGCTCAAGGTATGGATAATTCGTCCTTGTCGTGATACCAATGCGCATGCTAACTTTGATAAAGGATTTGCTTAAGAAGAGCGAGGACGAGCACACCAAGGAAGATCTAGCTGCCGGCATCGCTGCTGCTGAACGGGTGTTGATGAAAGCCAATTCGGCCGTTGATAAGAACATCCTCGAGGAGGCTTTGCAGGACCTCATTCACAGAGTAGACGACTGGAAGAGCCATAAGGTGGACAATTTTGGAAGTCTGCTCCTACACGGAGTATACACTGTTATAACGGGCAAGAGTGAACAAGAGAAGGACGTACGTGTCTCCCCTGGCGCATGCGTTCCCCATTTGCTGCACAATCCGAGCTGATAATGGACCGCTAACCTTCCTCAGCAGTATGAGATCTATCTTTTTGAGAATATCTTGCTCTGTTGCAAGGAAATCTCCACGACTAAAGCCAAGGAAAAGAAGGACAAGACGCGATCATCCGTACCAAAGGTGCGGAATAAATTCGCCAAATTGCAACTCAAGGGCCGCATCTTCATGACCAATGTCACCGATGTAGTAGCCATTTCCAAGCCTGGTAAGCGACACAGTTGGAATTCTCGGCGGAATACAACAGGTGCTGACTGTGCAGGTTCGTACACCGTACAAATATGGTGGAAGGGTGATCCGGGCGTGGAGAATTTCATGATCAAGTTCCAGACCGAAGAGATGATGAAGAAGTGGGCTGCCGGTCTGGATGAACAGCGAAAGCAGAACACTCAAGCCCCAGTTGCTCCTGATCAGGCTCCGCCAAACTTTGCCTGGCTCGCCTCACAAGGCAACGGACTGGAGAATCCCTATAAGGAGGAGGAAGAGGACGAGGACATCTATAATGCACCACCTCCCGGCGGCGCCGCCCCGACCGTTGCCATGCCAGGCACAATGCCACGGAACGGATCGAGCACAAGTCTACGGCAGCGGTCCGCCACCGGCGAAAGTCTAGCAGGTATGGCTCGGGCACCACCACGCTTCCCTCTTTCACAGGCACCCGCACCTCTCACTCTTGGCCTTCAGCCATCACCCGCTGTTCGAGCAGGCGAGTCTTACTTCTCTCCCGTAGCCGAGTCGCCCGCTTCAAGTCGGACGAGCACAGCGAGTGGCATCTTCGCCGGTGCTGGAGCCGGCTATCCTTTCCCCAAGACCGGTACCCCCCAAGGATGGCAGGAGGATAGCAACCGCTACACAGCCCCTGCCATGCCAAGGGCGCCATCGCGAGACGGCACAAACGGGAGGAACCCACGAGGACCCTCGATGCCCGTCATGCCCCGGGATAACAGCCAGTTTCAGCAGGCACGCAGTCGGAGTTATAGTACACCGGACATTGCCGGCCAGGCCGCTGCGCGCAACAACCAGACAGGGGTACCTGCGGTGCCAGGCATTCCCGCCCATCTAACCCATGCCCGCCACGATTCCAACATTCCCAGGAGCAATACCGGCAGCCCAGCAAACGACCTCCCTCTACGGACTCAGACAAGTTCTCCTGGTAGAGAACGGAAGAACTACGGAGGCCAGTTGAACCAGTTCCCTCCACAGCCTATCCGCCAGGGCACACCAGGCAGTGTCACCGGCTTCCCTCCGCCGTCTGGCCCGCCACCACCGGGCATGGCGCCCCTTGCCCCGATGGATGGAACTCGAAACATCACCCCATCTCTTAGTTCCGCGCCGATAATCTCGGGACAGAACCCACTCTCACCCACCGAAGACGGCATGCTCCCTACGCAACTGAAGGTGAAGGTTCACTGCGATAGCGGTAACTACATCACCTTGGTTGTGCTCTACGACATCACGTATGAAAAGCTCATTGACCGCATCGACAATAAGTTATCGCGGTTTACCACTAGCAGTATCGGTGGGGGTAACCTGAGGTTACGGTACCGGGATGAGGATGGTGACTTCGTCATGATCGAGAGCGACGACGACATCCAAATCGCCATATCGGATTGGCGTGAGGGGCTACGCAACCCAGATAGCGCCGGGGAAATTGACCTGTACTGTGAAGGGGAACTGTTGGAGTGAGCACGGCATAATGGTGACAATGCGTGCTCAAAGGAAACACGGGCAGTTTCGAACACCCCCCGCTTGCTTTGGCCTCGTCTTTTTTTTTTGGAATAAACTTGGACAACACCATCTATTCACTCCTCACGCGTCCATCAAATTCTGTCACTCTTATCAACTGTCCCTCATTCGTACGGCAACTCGACTCGACAAGTATCTTTTTTCTTCTCATCTTTTGGGTACCTTCTTTCACTTAGCATCTTGTCGACTTGGGAGAAAAATCGGCAGCAAGGCATGGCAGGCATGGCAGGCATGGCATGGGTTTTCCAGACATAGACAAAGGCGGATTCATATAATCACCATCATCATCGTACGCTTCTTGGAAAGAACGACTCCTCACAGACACCTATACACACACCATTTCCTTTAGTTATCATCTCTTATCTCTCTCACAAGAGCACACTCACACACACGCACGCAAAGAGTCATTTTTGGTGTCGGCTACAGACACGGGCTTTTTTGGGTTTTCTTTTGTTATCATTATCACGGGTCTACCTACCCTCTTTCCCCTCTTTCCATTTTCCTGTCTCCTATCATCGTTTGCTTATCATTTCTGCTCCTACGAACACGTTGTGAGGGAATGTTGATTATTATATACCTCTTCGGTCTTTAAGTGTCAGTTTTGTCGAGTCAAGTTGGCTAGTTCTGCATTTGTCGGGGACGGCTTAAGCAGGATGTGATGGATGCCATGGGATGCAATAGGATGTGACGGGAGAGAATGAAGCAACGTCTCTCTACGGTCTCTGCTGGAGGATCACGGGGAAGTCAAGGCGGAAGTCGAAAGAGTGGTTGGTCGAAACGCAAGCGGGAGGGCTCGGTAATTCAGGTGGTTTTCTGTCATGGTCAAGAGGAGGTAGGCAGAAGAAGAAGAAGGTCCATGGAGTGAGGAGGAAGGACGGAGGAAGCGAGCAGGTCGAGAGTATAGACAGATGGGTGGAATGGAGGAAGGAAGAAAGAAAGAAGGAATAAGGGGCTGACGGGCAGTGAAGTTATTGTCTCTTTTTTTTTTTTTTTTTTTTTTTTTTTTGGTTGATCTTTATAGTCAGATATGAATACCCAATTGCGCATTTTTGTTGTTGTTTGTTTTTGTTATCCCAGTCTTATATTTATAGAGTCTAGAGCAGAGAGCAGAGAGTAACTTGGGTACTTTATAACGTCGGTTAATGTGAAGAAGAAGCAGTTAGATAAGATACCTTTACACGTACTCCTGTGAAAAAAAGATTCCTGGAATGTTTCAAGTGACTTGAAATAATCCACTAAAGTCTACACCCTGTTTGTAGACAGATCCATGGATCATAGTTTCACTTAAATATTGTTACAAGCCTCTAAACTCAAGTGTATATACTGAAACGCCATATCCCCACTGCTCCCAAAATGCCTTCCATATTGCCACAATATTGTACAGCAGCAACCAACCCAGTACTGGCCCTTCGCAACTGACTTTTGAAGAACAAGAAAGCCCCTTCATCCATCATGCACGTCGTAGGTAGGCAAGCAACAACAACACAAAGAAGGATCCCATATAGAACCGTTCCGTGCTGATTTTTGTCCGGGGTTGAGCTGATGTTGGTGGTTGTGCCTCTGCCGGTGCTGGTGCTGGTGCCGTGGCCTTGCTCTTGCCTTCCCCCCCTCTCTCCCTCCACGTACTCCTTCTCTTCCTCCTCCATGTCCTGCTTCCTTCTTCTGTTGGGGTATCACACCAGGGCGCAAACTGGTCTTGTCTCGTTTTGTTTTGTTTCTCTTTTGGAAACCAATCCTTGTTCAATTGTTTCCAAGCACTCCCCACTCCCCACGCCCACTACGACTCTTGGCTTCCATCCTTCCCACTCTTCCCCGGATGGTGTTTATGTCGCATCATGCAAAGATAGCTTTAATCGTCCGTCGGAAGAGAAAGAAGGATTATGATCTGTCGGGATTTTTTCCACACATGGTCGCCGTCGTTCTCCCCCTCAGTCGTTGTCTTCGTCTTCGTTTCGGCACAAAACTAAGGTCGAACGACCAGTTTTCGCTTATTTCTTGCTCTTGCCCTGCGTGAGTCTCTCCTGGAAGCGAGACAAGTGGTAGTTGATGGTGTTGTTGGGCTTGGGCGCAGGCTTGGGCGCGTCCATGCACGCGCGCAGGGCGTTCTCGACCGTGGCGCAACCGGCCGAGTTGTAACCGGCGGAAGCCCAGCAAGCTTGTTTTCGGGAGTCAGTTAGTTGGGTGGCTCGTCTAGAAGGGAGCTTTGGAAGCAAGCGGAGGTGGTAGACAGATTGGACAGATAGAGGAAGGGCGCATACCCAGAACCGAGGACATGACGGCGATGCAAGGGTTCTCCTCGGCCTTGTTGGCCTGGCGAACGCGCAGCTGCTTCAGCGGCGGCAGACGGATGGGCTTGTTGGGCATTTTGACGGCGTTGTTTTGACGTTATCGGAGGTGGACGGAGACACGGGGCAATGACCGGGAGACAATCGGGTTGCGGGGGTGTCCGTTACGGTGCTCGAATAACCGGGGGATTTCCACTTCCGTGTTCCGTACCTGTCTGGCAGGAGCTCTCGCTGCGGGTGCCGTGTGCGCCGGCCGGCTTTCCGTTCGTTGCGCGCAGGGTCCCCGCTGGGGAAAGATTTCGGGATCACGTGGAGATAAGGTGGGTGCAGTGACAGAGCGGCATCAGGCAGGCACGCAGTCGAGTCGAGGCACCTCACAGCTTTCTCGCGGCAGAGGCGTCAGGCCGCGTGGGGTAAAAACGCAGGTGGAGCATTCCTTCTTGGCAGACCTGTAGCTTCAGATTTGGTGCAAGATGATTGGCTAATGGCTGGGCATGTAAACAATGTTTCTGGTGCGACCCCATCTTTTTGGTTGAGGGATTGGACTTTGGATGTTCACCTTCTCGTGTCTTCGCGATTTGTTGCTTCTCGACTTTCCACCCCCGGCCTTCCATTTTGTGCAAAACACACGCGACACCTTCTTTCCAGGTCCTTTTCGGTACCCACGACGACTTACGACGAATACCCATTGCATTGTTGGCAGAGCATAGCTTTCGGCGCGTATTTGGTTGCTGTTCTTGCAAAACACTTTTTTCCTGCTTTTTTTCAAAGCGACCTTTGTTTACATCGGGACTACATTGCAGCCGCCGCCGCCTCCTGTCCCAGCAACGCGACAACAACGGTTATCCTGCATACCTTAGTAGCTCAACACAATACACTACACTACACTACACTATACACCAACACATAGCACACAAGACGTCGCCGCATGACGGGGACACCAATTGCGACAATGGTGGACTTTACGGGCGGCGCCTTGAACGCTGCCATTCTCCATGAGACTCCCATCTTCACATTTTCCAAAGAGTATGTCTACTGCCTCTGCTATCATATTGCATGGATGATGACTTACCGCGCATGTGTCTTGTTGCAGGCGACCATTTCTCGCAGCTGACTTCCTAGCACCTCCGCATATCGCCTCTCCCAAAGCATGGCAGCGCGTCCCCGTTATTGCTCTCCGCCGCTGCGGCCCGCGCCAAATCTGGAAGCGCGTTGGTGGTCTGGTTATTCCTCCACCCGTCGACCCCGCCTTCGTAGAGCTCGACAGTCGAGGCCGAGGACAGCGAAAACGCGCGCGCAGCGAACGATACGTACCGACCTTTGCCAACTACAATGTCGACGAGAGATACTATACCGCCCACGACGGAACCCCTGACCTGGCCGAGGCAAGAGCCTACCTTTCGGCAGCAGCAAGCTATTTGGCCAGGGAAGCACCCGATCCTCGACTCGTTGCCAAGATCCTAGCCCGACGCGCCACCTATCCCGATGACCGCCTCAATTACGTCCCCAGGAAGCGACACAATTCGCGCTGGCCCCTCCAGCGACTGACGAACCCTACACGCATGCTGGCGGAAATGCAGCCATACATGGAGCTCAATGTCCCAGCAGAACCAGAGACGGTCGAACCGGCGCATCACATCCAGGGCAAGCAATTGATGAGACGATCGACACGTCGCGCTAGCAGCCGCCTGTCACTCATCCCATCGGAGGAATCGCCCAGCAAGATGGACTTTTCACCTATTAAACCGCCACTGTCCCGCGCCCCATCACCAGTCAAGCGGTCGCCCACAAAGCTATCGTCCCCGAGAAAGGTCGCCGAGTCGCCACTACGAAAGTTCAGGGTCACTGCCACTCCTACAAAAGTCATGCTCAAACCGTCGAGGTCCAGTCTGTCAGCGCAAACCCCCCTCAAGTCTACACCTCTCAAGTCTACGCCCATCCGACCAGCAAGCGTGTCCGAATCCGACAGCGAGGTTACCCCTGCCCATCTCCTTCACCTATCGCCTTTACTCTTCGACCAGCCCATCCCAGAGACACCGTCAGTTCCAGAACATGAGAACAGGAGACGCATTTCGCTGCTTTCGGCAAGGAGAAGTGACCATCGCCCCAGCTTCATTACTAGGCTTCTCAAAGAGTTTGAGCGCGACGCCCCAGAACGACGCCACAGCTTCAGCTTGGCAGTCCAAGCTGTTGCGGATGCCACCATCACCAGTCGTCGGAATTCGGTTGACCCCTCCTGCATTGGCTCTGAAGACGCTGCTGCGCGGGAGAACACGGAGGACACCCAGGAGCAGCCTGTTGAGCAGGAGCCGGTGCCACCTGCGCCGTCGCGGACATTAGAGGTTGACGTCGGGACGAACCTGGATATCTTCGGTCATCGGAGGAACAATGTCCAGCCGTGGGCCCAAACCCCAACCCCAACTCGATCTGCGCAAATACCTATCGAGGAACCCACAGTTGCGTCGCCTTCAAAGGCCGTTGATGGCGTTTCTCTACGTCGCGTTGAGCCGGTTGGATCTGCACCTGCAACTCCTTCAATAGCGGCCATCAATATCCCCGGGGATGTGACAAACAGCGAGAACGATGCAAACTTGCCCCTTGCACAGGCATCCAGGGACCCTAGCCCTGAGCCTATCTCTCCTGACCAACAACCCGAGCGGAAAGAGTCCCCCGCACCACTCGTTGTTGAGGAACCAACCAACACAGAAATTGAGCCCAATGATGGCTTTGAGCCCTTGCATCCCGAAGGATTATCGACCATTCTTGAGGAAGATTCTGTCCTAGAGGCATTTACTCCTGTCAAACATCACAACCTGCCCACCAGATCGTCGCCAATGAAGCCTTCGAGCCCAACGCCTCTTGGCCAGGTAAATCTTGGAACGCCTGGTGTTGGCGCATCCTCTCCCGCTGTCATTCACCAGGAGGGCGCTTCTCTATTTGTACAAGAGCTTCCCAGTGAGGCGCCTTCTAGCCCAACACCTGTCCGACGGGCAACGCCTGAGAAGTTCGGTTTCGGCGTGCAGCCGTCTGCTATTTCTCATCGGCGCTACTCTGCGGCGCATAAACTACTCATCGAGGCACCATCGGCACCAAGCGCTGAGAAATCTACTATCGGAGCGTCATCTCCTGCTGCCTCCCAGCAGGAAATTATCGCCACTGAAGAAAAGCCTGAAGAGATGCCTTCAGAAATTGAGGCGGCCCGTGGAACCACCCCAGAGAACGATGGCGATGACGCCTCGCCTGCTATCGTTGCCGATCATGATGACAAGGGTTCCGATGAAGCCCCGCAGAACATGGCATCTAGCCCAGCACCTGTTCGTCAGGCAACTCCTGAAACACTTGGGATGAGCGCCTCGCCTGTTGTCTTCTCTCACAAAGAAAGCACCACTCAAGACGAGACTGTTGAGGAAAAGACATCTAGTCCAACGTCTCCTCGCCAAGTGTCGCCCGAAATCACGAATACCAACGTCTCCTGCTCTGCTGTCAGTGACGATGGCAATATCAACCGCCCCTCTGAGAATGCAGTCGCTCCTTCGAGTCCCATCCAACAGGCAAACCCCTTACCGTTGGTCGCTGACCAAGATACCAGTACTGTTGAGGCCGAATCTCCCCGTCCAGCCACACCCGTGACCTCGAATACTGAGGCACCGGTTTCTCCCGCCGCCGGTATAAAAGACAGCACTCCGGAAGAGGCACCTGAAGATACGCCGGCCACCCCTGCATCGGCATCCTCAATGCGATCCAACCCCTCTGCAGGCCTTATGAATACTGAGGAGCATAAAGAAGAGCCAGCGCCACGCGAGAGCTCGATAATTGATGAAAAAGATGATTCTGCTCACCCAATTGAGCCTAACGGTCCCTGCCACAATGTAAAGGAAGAGGACCCTAGGCTGCCAAGTCCCGAACCGGTTTTGGGTCCTGAGGAGCAATCCTCATCCAATGGTGAAATCACATCCGAGGATGCCCTTACATTGCTCGAAAACCACGTTGTTGCGACGGAAGATGCCATGGCTGAGTCTCATTCGTCGCCCCAGAGTGGTGATGTGGGAGACAATGGAGAGACTGATTCGTCGGCTTCCTTTGTCGACTCCTTTGTCCCAACGGACAAGGATGCCAACGAGCTTACTGTTCCGCCTGCTGAGGATAAAGAGGATGAGACCTCCGACACATCATCGGTTATGGAACAAGATGACTCTGCTGACCGTTCAATGTCTGCTGAACCACCCACTATTGACGAAGTATTACCCCCCTGCGCAGATGCGCTTGAGGAATCCAGCACCTCCCAGATCCGTGACTCAACTCCCGAAGAGGAGAGTGATCTCATAGAAACCGCACCTACTGAGTCTGAAGACGTCAGTAATACCCTGGAAGATTCCTCAGAAAGCGCGACATCGTCTCCTGGCGACTCCGACGACGCCAACAGCGGCGACGAAATCGAGGTTGTGGAACAAGTTCAGGCGGAGGACTCATTGATGAGCGACGATGAGGACGACGTGTCTTTGATTGCCGAGCAACCCCTCCGTGTCGAAAACGACACCCTGTCCTTGCGGTCTCTGCACGAAGAATCCGAGACGGATATGATCCGGAAGTTCATCAGCAAAGTCGCCGCCGATAAGAGTGCCAAAGCAGCCGCTGCAGCTGAATTCGAAAACAGAAGTCCACCCAAGGGCGATTCTGGCTCCCCCGCTGAGGAATCCGAAACTCCTCCCAAGAGGACGCCCCTTAGCGAGAAGAGCCCTAATAGCCCTAGTCCAACTAAAAAGCGTAAGCTTGACGAGCTGAGCAATGAGCCCAGCAAGGAGGAGTCCCCCAAGACGTCTGGAGAGAGCCCTGTCACTCGGACTGTGAAGCGTCGGAAGGCGTTGGTTGAGAGCTCCCCACCTCCTGCTGAGGGTGACGATTCGGAAGGTGCTCCTCGCCGGTCTTCGCGCCAACGCAAGACCCTCATCAACCTCAAATCGGCACCGTCCGCCAACTCGATCGCTAAATCCACTATACCAGTGCGCATGCCCGGGATGGAGATGATGGATACGGTTAGAGCGCGTAACGAGCAGAAGGACAATGCTGCCGTCACAAGATACAATACTCGGAAAAACAAGGGCAGCGCTTTGTTCCCACAGATCGTGCTCAAGAAGATGGAAAAGATGAAGAAGCAAGGGAAGGAATACGTCTACAGCTCTAGCTCCGTTGACTCCAACAGCGACAAAGCGACAGAGACTGAGAAGAAAAAGAAGAACAAGGGGGTTCGATGGGCAGAAACTCTGGCTAGGTTCCAGGATGATGAAGCATCGGCGCCCGTTAACTCCAAGACCCGGGCTCTTTCCAGCTCCCTCCTCGCCGATGTCCTCAAGGCAGATGCCGCCCTTGATGACGATATCGATGAGCTCGCTGATGAGCCAATAGTAAGCTCTAAGAAGGTCTCCACTCACAGGGTGCTCAAATCAAAGAGCCAGGTAGTTAAGAGCAGGACCGATTCAGCTTCGGAGCCGGCCACCTCTAAACCCTCCATCCCCGAGCCCAAGAAGGTCGCGACTCCGACACCGACCCCAACAACGAGGCGGACTGCTGCCGCCCCGCCCATTACCGCTCCCGCCCCGCCCATTACCGCTCCCGCCCCTACCCCGACAACAAAAGTACTACCAGCACCGACACCAAAATCCACCACCTCGATCTCCAAGGTCACCGCCCCACCCAAGCGCGCCACCCGCTCCGGCAAGTCACTTGTCCCGACACCTATCAAGATGACAGCCACCACGAAGCCGAAGACTACGGTTCCCGCCGCCCCGCCACCGCCTCCCCCTGCCCCCCATCGTGGTCCCGGCAGGCCGAGGCTATCCCCGGCGTCGACGACGACAACCTCCACCCCTCACAAAGTCACCAAAACCAGAGCCGAACCTGCCGCGACCAGCAAGACGGTCGTTACTGCTGCTGCTAGACGGGCGAGTCGGGTTGCTGCGGGGCTGGGGATGAGTGTTAATGGGACGCCGGCGCCCAAGAGGAGGGGGAGGAGTGCTTCGTGAATGAGCGAGTGAGCGGCTTGTGGCTTATTTTCTGTCTCAGCATGGGTGTTCGAGAGTCTTGTTAAGGAAGCGTATGTTTATGGTGCTTTGAAGCTGTCAAGAGGGTTTTCCCATAGGCTGGCCTCCGCGGCCGGACTGAGATGTCGAGTGTGAAGAGTTGAGAGATGCAATCTCTCATTGTCCAAGTAATTTGAGTAAGCCGAGCCAGGTTGAGCCGGCCTAACATGATTTGCTTTTTATACGGAGTAGGAAGGAGTCACAGCATAGCATGGCATGGCATGGCGTGTTATGGTACGGGATACGGTATTGGGGCATGATGGATATGGCTATGGATAGATACCACTGCTGGAGTGCTGGAGTGCACTCATGAAACGAAGCGATGAATGATACCGAATGTATTCTTGAGCTTGAATGTCCGTTTTCCTTCAAGGACGTGTTGGGTGTCCTTTACAAGTACTGTTGATTGTTCCTTCGATGTGAGATAGGCTGATATGGTTTAACAGACGGGTGGAGGAAAGGTATAGAACTTTGCTTCTTTGCGTGCTCAGCAGCGGTCCGGTCCGGTCAAGCGTGGGAAACGGGCAACCGAGAAGGAGTTAAAAGGATAAAAATAGCACCAGTGTGGCTTTGACATAAAAGACCAACTTCCTACGATCGGGTTTTCGGTGTCACTTGCAATAATGATGCTCAGAGTGGTAGAGTTCCTTGTTCTGTTCAACGTAGTTGAAGTGTATAGCGAAACTGCCCTGTAAAAACAAGATTTCGAGTAATGACGTAGATAGAAAGAAACCTGTGCCAAGGGACCAAATCCTGCCCTTTAAAGCAAAGTAGTTAGTTAAGTTAGTCTTGTTGTCGAAATTCTAACCTGAGTCCTGGAGTGCACCAAAAAAAAAAAAAAAAAAGTAGATGGCTAACTAGATTCAGCGAGAAAAGTTGCAAAAAATATGAAAGTTGCGCCAGCCGCGAATCGAACGCGGGGCCCATCGATGGCAACGATGGATTTTACCACTAAACCACTGGCGCTTCTAATTGGATGATTGTAAAAGCGTTCAAACATACCACTTCTATGGGGTATTTTGCATACGACACGAGCTATTAGGACGATACATACCTAGATGAACTGTGACAGCGAAAAGTTTCCTGAATGATATCTTTCTTCCTCGAAAGAGTTTCGAAAGTCATAATTTTGAGCTCACTACAGAAGTTAGTTGCATGCATCTCATTTAAATGAAAGGTAAGGCGAACATTTCTCGTAGATTCTTCCTTTTCTCCATCACCCACCATACACGCTACTTTCCCAGCTTCCAAACTATCATCACACGCATCCCAAGGAAGGCAAGAGGAGCGACGAACGTACAGTGGAGATCTACCGAGTTAATAGCATACAGCAACCCTGAAGCTTAGCTGCTGTTTCCAACTTTTTTTTGACCTTCTCTTTCTCCCCTATCTTTTTCACTCAATTTGCACGCACTATATGTATAACACATGTCACCAGAACCTGTGACAATACTCACTGTCGCACATCAAAACAGGAAACTGAAACACCTCCTGCCTTCCCTCCATCCGCTCTTTCCCTTCTCTTGACACCCTCCTCCCCTTCTTTCATCCCCGCACTCCCAGCCCCAGCCCCAGTCCCCCCATTCCCCAACCCACCCAAAAAACTGGTATGCAACGAGTACAGATTCTCATCCTGATTGATCGCCTCAGCCTGGGCAAGTATGTCTTCCAAATCCTGGCCAACATCGACGTACTTGCCTCGCAGGACGTGCTTGGCAATTCCACTGGCCAGCGCCACGCAGGTCATCCCGTTGAGGTAGGGGGAATCATTGTAGAGGGTGTCGAAGGCGCTGGTGAAAGCGGAGCGAGTGGCGGCGGCGGGGAGGGTGGAGATTGAGGAGGGGGAGTATTATGCTCTTGCCCGGCCGGGCGTGTTGGTTGGGTGCTAGCGATAAGACGCACGCAAGCAGTGAGGTTGATCAGCGCCGCCTTGCTTTGCTTGTGCAGTAGCCGGTGCTGTACGGGATGGTCACGGTGCCGGCTCGCGAGGCAATGTTGAGGACGCAGCCGCTGCGTTGAGACTTGAAGTGGGGAAGGAGAAGATGCATGAGATAGTAAGGGCCGTGGAGGTTCACGGCTAGCTCGTGGATGAATGCTTTGGGAGGTTGAGTGTCGAACTAGCAAAAGTAGGTAACAGAGCAGGGTCAGTTGCCATGCCCTTGGAGTTACATCCGCGAGCTGCAGGATGGGCATGCCGTCCAAGGAATACGGGGAGAAACGTACAAGACCCAAACTGTTCGCACCAGCATTGTTGGTTAGGATGTCTATCTTCCCGTGAGCCTCAAGAGTCTGAGACAGTAGGAGGAGGGTTGTTCGTTGGCCCCAACCTTCCACATGTTTCTCCAGAATCAAATCGAACTGCACAGGATCACGAAAAGTGACACTCGCCTGTTTAAGCAGATCCTCACAGCCCTTGAGCTCAGCAACATTACACTTGGTGAAGATAACATCACTAGCTCCCAGATTGAGGCATCTTTCCTTGAGTGTCGTCGGCGGTAGGGTGTTGTTATATGTCAGGACCAGTTTGGCACCAGCGACGGCGAAGGACTCGGCGAGAGCTTGACCTATAGCCCCGGCAGAGCCTTTTTCGTGGTATTAGTAAACAGATCTCAAGAAAGTTTCATTGCAATACATGAGGAATCTCTTACCAGTGTTGATAGTCACCTTGTCGAGGAGAGCGCCTCTGAATTTATTGGGGTGAATGAAGGGGTAGACATCGTTGTGAGAGCGGGGGGCGAACTGCGGCTTGATGCTTGGGCGAGGTGATTCCCACATTTCTTCGAGAGAGATTGTAGAGTAGCGTTCAATATTTGGAAATCTATGTTTCTTTTCGCTTGGGATGGATCGTGCACTGGCTTTAAAGTCAATCGATTACATCGCCAAAATCAATACAAAGTTTGGCGTCTGTTGAAAGATCCGACCCCGAGAATCCGAACGCCGGCAAGACGATGCGGGGAAGAGTCCCAACGTTGTGACCATGTACATTCAGACACGGGATCTGGCTATTATACCTGGAGGTGTGTTCTCTACATTTACCGTGAGAATTACCCGCGACGAAGGTACTTTTTGCAGCAAATACTGTACAAGTGTCGAGCACAAATGGGCTGCTTATAACCACCAACACTCCACTTCCCTACCAATTAAATCACAGCGCCAGTGGTTTAGTGGTAAAATCCATCGTTGCCATCGATGGGCCCCGCGTTCGATTCGCGGCTGGCGCAAAGATTCCTTCTTTTTTCGTTATTTTTTCCTCTACTCATCTTCCAATTTTTTTTTTTTTGCCTTCGTCGTTCTCTTTCGCATCATTCCATCTTCCAACTCTTCTTCTTTAGTTACTCGACACCCCAGCAGTACTCTTTTCCTCGCCATTATCCTTCCTTCCCTTGTATTGACCCGAGACGATATTTCACCTTTCATGGTTGGATTTGTCGAGTATTTCATCATTCTGCTTTCCGCACTTCTTTCGACTTCTATCTTGACAGTCGGACTGTGGATACAAACAAGTACTTTCTTCCCTTCGTTCCCGTTTCCCATTAATACTTTTATCTACCGTACAAAAGAAACAATATGAACATGCCATTTTCCCCACGCTGCCATACTCGCGCATACCCAAGAAATTAACAAAACGCACTTTTCTTTTCGTCCTTTTCCTCCCGTCAGAGCTTGGAAGTCTTGCGTCTCTCCTCCAGCAGCTTATTACCCAACTGCGCCATCTCGAACTTGCGCACCTTTCCGCTTCCCGTCAGTGGAACCGTGCTAGGTACGCCATCCAAGCCGAGATAGAAGACGTGCGTGGGAGCCTTGTGCTTGCCCAGCTTCCGCCTGCACCACTCGCGCACCTCCTCCGTGCTCATTGGCTGATGGCCATTCTCGAGTCCGAGGAAGGCACCGACGACTTCGCCATAGTGCTGGTCCTTGAGACCAACGACAACGGCCATGGAGACGGCCGGGTGAGCTACGAGACGCTCCTCGATCTCGAGGGGGTAGATGTTTTCGCCACCTGTGTTACCGTCGAGGTTAGCATGGGAGGAGACGTGTTGGGTTAACCGAAAGCGGTGGACGGAACATACCTCTGATGATGATATCCTTGAACCGTCCGGTAATGGAGCAGTATCCCTGCTCGTTAAAGACGGCCTCGTCACCGGTGTGCAACCACAACATGCCGGACTCATCCCTCATCATCACCTCGTTCGTCTTCTCCGAGTTGTTCCAGTATCCCGCTTGCAGCTGGTAGCCACCAATGCAAAGTTCTCCCTTGGTGCCAATAGGCACGATCTGACCATCCCTATCTACGATCTTGGCGTGGGCATGGGGCATCAGGGTGCCGACAGTGGTCAACCGTACGTCAATCGGGTCATCGGTATGCGCGTTGAAGCAGGTCGGAGACGCTTCAGTCAGTCCATAACTTGACGTAAATTCGGTCATACCGAGCTTCGAAACGAGCAATTCCATCAGGTAGCGCGGTACGGGGGCACCGGCGATGATACCTGTCCTTAGACGCAAATCGGCAGCCTTGAGATCCTTGGCTTCGGGGAGGGCGAGGATGCTGTCGAACATGGCGGGGACACCATGGACGGCGGTGCAACGTTCGTCGATGATGGCTTTGAGGGTAGCGGGGGCGTCAAACACTTCGGCTGGGTAGACAATCTTGCCGCCGTGAGTCATGACGGCCATGAGGCCAAGGACAAGACCGAAGCAGTGGAAAAGAGGTGGGGGGCAGCACAGAACGTCGTCGGGGCCAAGCTTCATGCGGTCACCGATGAAGCGCGAGTTGTTGACAATGTTGCTAATGCAAAGTCAATTGGAGGGACAGGTTTGATGAGTGCAGGAAATGGACTCACTGATGCGTGAGCATGGCCGCCTTGGGCAGGCCAGTCGTACCACTGGTGAACTGGAGGTTGCAGACCAGGTGAGGGAGGACCTTCCTCTCCATGTGATGTAGACGTTCTACGCTGACCTTGAACCCCTTCGAAAGCAACTGATCATAGGTCTGGTAACCCTCGCTATCTCCCCTAATGATTACCACCTTGGGAGCCTTGGACTTCATCTTGAGCTCGGCGAGCAGGGGCCCTTGGTCGAGGCGACCGATCTTCTTGGTGGTGAAGAGAACCTTGCAGTCTGGAAAGTGTGAGCTTGACTAGGATCGATACCGGACATGGCTGGTGCGCGGAAGAGCATACCTGAGAACTCCAAAGCATACTGAGCTTCGGTAGGGGTATAAGTGTTGTTGAGAATGACGAGGATGGCGCCTATCCTCGTGGCAGCAAAGAAGAGGGAAGCGTACTGCTCGCAGTTTCCAGCCATAATGCCCACCCTATCACCCACACGAATCCCCAATCCCAGCAAAGCGCGTGCCATAAGCTGACTTTGGTGGTTGAGCTCGTTGTACGTCCATCTTGCGCCTGTCCATGGATAAACGAGGGCTTCCTGTGTGCCGTGGTGCAGACATTGGAGGTTGAGCAACTCTCCCAGTGTGAGGTCGACCAGAGGAGGATCTGTTGGGCCGTGAAGGAGAGATGGTCTTTGAGTCTGAGGGAGAACGGCTCCCTCCTCAACGGTTGTTGGTACCAATGCTGGTGAAGACATGTTGTGTATTGTGAAATGAGATATTATTGGCCCGTTTGAAAGAGTCCAGTTGGAGGGGGAGAGTAGGAGGCAAAAGAAAAGCAAAGGGTATTAATCACTCGATAATACTGTACAATGACGGACTGGCTGGCCACCGACGACTTCAGGACGAGGCGGGACGGGATTCAAGGGTATTTGGAAGCATACCAACAAAACAGAGCAGGAAGGTTTACGTATGATGGGATGCAACCAGCAGAAAACCGGGACACATCAGCCAAGCTGCCCTAGAAGCTTCGTAGGCCCAGAACTCGTCTTCGTTTTCAACTGGTGGTGGTCAGTCATCGGCCACAGTGGGGATGGGGGGAGCTGCTCAGTTCCCACTTTGGGACACGGCGGACATGACGGATCGTCGACGAACTCGGTGATATTGCCCGATTGCGGTGCTGTCTGCTGTCTGCTGCCTCCTTGATGTTGATCTAATCAATCTGATAAGATCTTTCCTGGCACAGCCTTGTGAAGGCGAGGAGGGTCAACCTCCAATGACCTCCGGGTTCCCTTCATGGTGCTCCATCTTGAGCTGGAGTCGCAGAGTGGTGAGAAAGCCGTGAGTGACATTGACACATGTTCAACGTCCTAAATCCCGGACTGATGAAGCAACCCGGTCCTCGGCTGATGGCGGATGGCATCGTGGCATCCAGCGTTTAAGAGAGGATGGAGACAGAAATGGAGACGGAACTGGAGTCGCAAGTGGGACTTGGGACGAAGAATTTTTCAGAAAATTGGGGTCGTGGAAGAATCGACAGGGGAAAAAGGAAGGGAAGAGGCAGGAAGTGGAGAGGCTGCGTCGTTAGTTCCATCTGATAACTCAAAATGCAACGGTGAGTCGAAGCAGAGGTCGCAAAGAGACGGGAAGGATGCAATGAATGCACAGTGTTGGCCCCTCGGTAGTGTACTGCACCGGATTACATACAGGACTGCTGAAACCACACGCCGTTCAGGCACATGTCGCTTATATACATATGTAAATAACCCCTTCCCGTTTGTTGACAAAATGCCGCAAAGATCGTCCGACAGAAAAGGATCTGATAAGAATTTCGAATTTCCCTTATTGCCAAGGTTCCCCATCATCCATCCTTCCCCCCCTTCGCCGTGATGTCTCCTCCATGTTTCCATTGCCCCTCCTCCCGTCCCTCCCCTTCTTGACCTTCTCTCCCCATGCCAATTCCCGCAATGAGAAAGACACTTGTACGAGATTCATTTTCACAAAGTTTTCAAGGAAGAACAACGGGTTGAGCCCTGCAACGTTTGCCAGCTCCCCGTGCTTGTCTGTTTCGTTTATTCGGCCTCCACGGCTGTTTCGTTTCAAATGTTGCGCGGCAAGAATGCCGAGGAAGCCCACCTCCTCCGCCCCCGGACCGCTCCGAATTCGGGTGTGCCAACGAAAGTGGGACGGCAGGTGAGGGAAAAATTATCAGATCCGCCCGGACCCACTCTTTGGCGTCCGACTGGAGTAAAGTTATCAGATCCGAAGGTCAAACACGGTGCAGCACGCCATCTGCGGCCGTCACACCCACTTTCTGCTCCTTCTACGCTTTTCATTGGTTATTTTGTCCCCTTGACCACCACCAAGGGCACTACAAAGTTTCACAAACCAAGCATCGTGATGGATCACCCCCATACCCTGCCGTCTGGAACTCACCTAACCGATCATATAACACTATCGAAATGACCTCACCGGCTCAACCTCCACCCTTCGTATCCCCTGGTCCCTGGCTCGGCTTTACGTAGCACGGTAGCAGAGGAGGAAGCCGGCGTGTCTTCGTACTCCTCCTCCACCTTGGTTCCTTGAAGCCGACGGTCATCAGAGTAGCAGTATGTACCAAGTAGTATTGTCACCATCGTTTCTCTGGCTTCAGTTCTGTCCATAGCCGCTTCATCAGTCTTTCAGTCTTTCCTCCGGTTTGCCATTGCTCTTTTTCTAAAAGTGACGATACCCCGAAGTAAACAATCTTTGTTTACACACACACACACAAGACCACACAAAATGGCGTCACCAACAATCCGCCGGCTCGCCGACTATGTCGCCACTTCTGAGCCCATCCTCAAGCTCCCTCACCCCTACCAGACCTCCTACCTCGTCGTAAAGGGCGAATCCGGCGTCGCGAACTCGTACCAGCTCAAGCAACAAGACAACAAGGCCGCTCTGCCCCGTCCCCTCCACAACGACTCCCTCTTCTTCACCGAGCCCCAAGACCTCAAGTCCTCGGACAAGCCTCACATCTCCATCAACACGCCCTGGGGCCGCGCCCGCCGCTCTCCGTCCGTGGCCGTCTCGTGGAAGGAATCTACCGCTCCCACCGTCGGCCAGCTCTGGCTGATCGCCTACGTCATCTTCACCCTCCGGCCCTCCGAGGAGGCCTTCCGGCTGTCCACCTACGGCTTCGGCGCCGACAAGCTCGCCCGCCAGCTCAAGGCCGTCGGCCTAGCCATCGACCACCCGGCCCCGGCCACTCCCGAGCAACAAAAGCTCCACGGCACCGATGCCGGCAAGGAGCTCCTCCTCCTGCGCGGTGCCTTCTGGCAGGGTGCCGGCTCTCCCTTCGGCGCGCGCCCGGCCTGGGCCCCCGAAACCCTCGCCGACAGCGAGGACGGCAGCCTCGAGTCCGTCTACCCCCTGCAGGCGACCGAGTACGTCATGACCAACGAGCCCAACAGCGCGCTGTGCTGGCACCCTCGCAGGCGGGCCAAGCCCGCTCCGGGGTCCCTCATCTACAGCCGGTACATCCCGCACCTGAAGGAGAACTTTTCCATGGTGGCGCTGGACCACACCAACGCGGCGCACCTGGAGCTGTTCCACACGTGGCAGAACGACCCGCGCGTGTCGCAGGGGTGGAACGAGGAGGGCACACTGGAGCAGCACCGCGAGTACCTGCGTAAGGCGCACGAGGACCCCCATCAGATCACCGTGTTGGCGGCTTTTGATGATGTCTTTTTCGCTTACTTTGAGATTTACTGGGCCAAGGTTTGTCGTTGTTTCCTTTTTTTTCCTTTCTCGTCTCCCCTCTTGCTCTTTTTAGCTCCAACTAACACTTTCTTCTTAAAGGAGGACCGCCTAGGAGCCTACTACACCCCCGGCAACTACGACCGCGGCCGCCACTCGCTCGTCGGCGACGTGCGCTTCCGCGGCCCCCACCGCGTCTCAGCTTGGTGGTCGTCCCTCATGCACTACCTCTACCTGGACGACCCGCGCACCATGAGCGTCGTCGGCGAGCCCAAGTACACCAACAGCTCCGTCCTCATGTACGACATGATGCACGGTTTCGGCCTCGACAAGTTTGTCGACCTCCCCCACAAGCGCTCTGCCTTTGTCACATGCTCGCGAGAGCGTTTCTTCCAGCTGTGCCCGCTTGATGAGAACCAGAAGTTCCTCGGCGGTACTCACGTTGGCCTTGTTCCTAAGCTTTGAGTGGGGAGGTTAGGTGTTGCTTAGAGTTTGAACGGCTTGGGCGGCTGGATGATTGTAAAAAAAAAAGTGGTGCATCTGTTTGATCTTGGATATGTAATAGACTAATGAGGAAAATGGTCGGAAAAGTTATTTGGGAAAGGCAGTGGAACAAAAGAACGGTATTTGAATCTTGCGTCGGACTAGTTATAAATGTTGTAAAGGTGGTGATTGTCAGGGCACATGCCAAGCACTGTCTGGGACCGTGGCATTTCATCCCATCTGGACTATCATCTCATATACTTGTAAGAACCTCATCCCATCCAAATATATGCAACTTGGCTTCCTTCTTCTTCTTCTTCTTCTTCTTCTTCTTCTTCAATATCTTATAACTTTTGCCAGACCTTTTGGATGCGCCAGCCCATAATATACATGCTGCGACAGTGATCGTTCCTCTAAGCCTTGCGAAACAATCGACTCCGGCATCAAGTTTTGGCCATTGGAAAACAAAGTGTGAATCAACCCAAGAAATTCTATTCATGATTGCACTCAAAGTGTCTTACTTCATTATGACCAAGAAACTGTAGCTTCATGAAGACATCCAGTTCGTAACCAACCCAGCTATAGGTGTATATCCCCGAATCCCAGTATGTTCCCAAATTACCCATTAATTCCAAAATGCCGTCCCAATCCCGTAATATCCAAACCGTTTTAACGCCAGTGCCTTTCAGATGCTCCTAAGCCTTACCAACATCGTAACCGCCCAACCGCAAATGGTTCCAGCAAACTGTTGAAATGTCTGGTTAGTAAATCACTTTGCAACGTAAGGGTGCCGAAAGAGGGGAAACTCACTATCAAAACCCAAGTCATCACCGAAGAAGAGCTTGTTGACATCCTCGCCGGAGGACACGCCGTTTGTGGGCCAGTAGGCAACAGCCTTCTTGCCAACTGCGAGGCCAATCATGGGAGGAATCTCGTCAAGCTCAAGGTATGTAGGCTCGGTGCCGGAAACAGCCTGCTTCATGCGCATGTGAATGTTGTTGGCGGCCAGGTAGCCCATGTGCATGGCACCACCGCACCGCTTGATACCGGACCACTTGACAAGGTCACCGATGGCGAGATGATCGTCCGAGTTGGGTGTTTCGGAGGGGAAGTGGAGGCTGGGCTGGATCTTGACATAACCTTCCTCGTTGAGGACATCCCTGGGGAGGAAGGTGGTCGATGGCACACTCCTGGAAATGGCCACGATGACGGAGTCGGCCACAAGGGTGTGGCCGTTGGTGAAGTAGACCTTGTAGGCCTTGTGACCGTTATCGATGAATTCCTCGGTCTTGTCGACACGGTGGGACATGAGCACCTCAACACCTGCCTCATGGACGAGTTCCAAGCTGCGGTCCTTGACCTCATCAGGAAGAGGCTCGGCCGAGAGAAGCTTGTCACGGGAATGGATAAGAGTGACCTTCAGATCGGGACAAACGAGCTTGAGCTCGGCAGCCATCTCGATACCAACAGCACCTGTTGTTATTTATCAATCAGTAAGAGTCGCACTGGAGAAAGGGTGATGTTTTGCGGGCCAAACTCACCTCCACCTACAACAGCGACACCATGTCTGTTGGCAGTCGCGGCTTGGATGTGGTCACCAGCCTCAAAGAGATACTGCTTCCTCAGCAGGGACTGGGGCACGACAGGGAAGACTCTCCTCAAACCGGCGGCGGCAATGAGGTAATCATACTCGAGTTCTGTGGGCTCGGGACCGCTCTCACTGCCGAGAACCTTGGCGACCTTGCGCTCCTGATCGATAGACTGGACAGAGCCCCGGAGAATGCGGATGTTGTTGGGAGATTGTTGCAGGGCGGGAACGTCCTCGTACTTGACCCAGCACTTTTCGGCGTAGGACTCATCGGCAAAGGCCAATGGAGTGCCAATGAGATGGTCTTGTGGAAAGAACATGTGTTAGTGGTTGCGAACCTTGCTGAGGGCGGGCGCAAGTGGGCGCGTCTTACAGAAGCCATCTCTCTCGTCCACAACAGTAATGTCAACGGCAAAGTGAGGACCATCATGGGCAGCAGAAGTGCCGTCAAGGGTAGCCTTCTTGGCATCAGGACCGCAACGGGCAGCGCGGCCGCTGCAGATGTCTTGCAAGTTGAGGGCAGCGGAGAGACCGCCGTAAGAACCACCAACAACGAGAACCTTGAAGGGAGGCCTCGACATGGTGGCGTCGTCAATGGCAATGGAGCCCATTGTAAATCTGAGGTGTGTGTTGTGTGTGTGTGTGTGTAGGCTATGTGTAGGACCTCGTAACTGCCTATTCTGGCGACGGATTCAAGGGACTTCGATGTCAGACGGCGTGGGCTGCGTGGGTTGGGTGCGTTCCTTGGATGTGTTGGATGCATCGATCGAAGCGGAGGAAGAGGATGGCTACACAGACTGGAACTCTGGAAAGAAAGTGAGACGATGGATGTGGGAGACGGGGCAACTATGACGGGATGAATCTGGCGGCCGGAAGGAGGTCGGATGGATATGTCGGGCTCGCGCCTTCTGTCACTTTGGTCATTTTGAGCACCTTCATGGATCCTGGGGCCAGGGTAAAGAGGGTGGGTGGATCTCTTGCTTGATGTCACCACCCACGCACTCAACAGGAAGGAAGAAACGGGATGCCGGGAAAAGAGTGAACGTGAAGATATGCAACAATTGAAGGGTCGCCATCTACTGTGTAGCGCCCCCACCCACGACCCGACGGGACGAGCTAGCAGCTAGCCTGCTTCATGGGCATTTGCATCGCCTCTCTCCTGAGTGCTTATCAGATCCCCCCTTCGAGCTTCAAACTTTGAAATTGAGTCCATCATGCTGTTCGACAGGAGAAAAAGGACGGTAGAGATATGCATGCCAGTCAGTCATTGGGTACCACTTCAATGGCAAAGGGCAGAGACGGTATAAAAGTGACGACTGCTGGGAACCCCTCACACCCGGTATCGGATAGAGGCATTTTCGTAAACTTTTGTTCACCATCTGGTCCACCCCGGCGGCCCAACGCAGGTCTCTCTTCCCCACCATTCAGCGGACAATGGATCCCACTTTGGAAGCCTTGGACCGGTTTCTGGCCAACGGAATGCTGGCCTCCATTCCCACTTTGGGTGCGCTGCTTTCTGGCTGCATGCAGAAAAAGTCTTGGGTGTTGGGATGAATGCAACCGATACATGCGCCTCCATCTGATAATGCTTATCTGATCATCTGATCATCAAGAATTCCGTCCCAAGTTTTACCGAGGATAGCCAACCCGCCCGCCGTAACGGCACCGACAGGCCCCATCCCAGCATCGCAACGTTCAAACTTCTGCAAACGAAACTTTTTCGTTTTTTTCCGCATCAAAGTCTCCATCATAAGTCGAATTTCCGCAACACAATTTCAACATCCTCACAAAGCGCCAGTGGTTTAGTGGTAAAATCCATCGTTGCCATCGATGGGCCCCGCGTTCGATTCGCGGCTGGCGCATTGTTTTCGCAAGAACAACATAATATTTTTCGCATTCCTTTTTGCACCTTTTTGTTACTCCCTCCTACCGCTTTTTTTCATCCAAGTCGGATTTATCCCCACGTCATACTGGCCAATAAAGTAGTTTCGTGAGGTCTGCGTGCTACGTTACGGCGTCGACCTGCATGTTGTTCTCAGATACAATTGGCCAAATAGTGTGGGGATAAATCCGACTTGGATGAAAAAAAGCGGGTACTTCGTGAGCGGTCAAGGGGTCTGAAAAATACTTTGCTTGGAGCCAAACAGCCTTGCTTTTTGCGTTGTTGCTCGCTCCTATTTCTTATTGGAATCAATTATGTTTTTTATTACCCTTTATGTGTTTTGTCACTGTCAAATTCTGAGCACGAGAAGAGCGTTGTCGGTGCAGCGTTGTGCAGTTGTGCAGGCGAACCTTTGGCGTTTGGCCTCAGTTGTAAGCCGATGTCAGTTCTGCCTTCATAAGAAGTAATCCCAAGAACGTTTTTCAACAAGCAACGGTCCGGTGGCGAAATGGTATCGTGTGGTCCTCCTAATTCGGGAGGATAAGACTGAGGTTGTGGGTTCGAGTCCCATCCGGATCGTCCTTTTTGCTCCTGCATCTTTTGACGCATGAGTCTTTTTTGTCGATATTTTCCATTTCCCTGTTCTCTCACCTTTTTGTTCTTCATCACTTGTGGGAAATCTGTCTTGAATGAGCCTATTAGTACCATCAGAACAGCATCAGGTATATACAAGGTTTGGCTTTGTTCGCAAGATATGTGTGTTTGCTGCTTTCAAGATATTAAAATCTGAACAAGACGTTCCTATCTCGACATTCTGCCATCCTCAAACACCAGCGCATCGCACCACTTGGAAGTTGTCATTGACACACCCAGAAACTACCAGGTCCATAACTTCAATTTCAGATCTTCAATTCTTCGAGCATTCAAGAGCCTACGCTTGAACACCTCCATATTTCCGTTGAACACCTTCTAGACATGGAAGGATGTCTTGCAAACAACGCGAGACTCCTTCCAATCATCACCATACCCTTCCCAAACTATACAGGACCCCTTTTACAATTCTGAACACGCCTCAAAGTGGGGACTCAGACGACGACTATCCTGACAGTAATGCACATGTCTGGCTTCTTGATGGGTATCCGACCCTTTGCAAACCCTTTTCCCTTCAGCGGTAGGCAGCTGACAAGGCCATCTCAATCTGCTTCACAACGTTCCTTACCCTCCTTCTCGTCTTGTTGTCTTCGTCTTCTCGCCGTCTTCTATCCCGATTCCGCCGACAATCTGTGCTCCTCAGCCCAGTTGGCTGCACGGTCGATGATGAAGATGATGTCGCTCCGGTAGGCAACTCTGGCAGCGGTTTGTCCATATCGACCTTCTTCTCTCCTCCTCCTTTCTCGTCGCTCTGGTTTCCGACAGAGCCAGGATCATTCCTCCGGATCTTTGTCTCAACCCTTCCAGCCCTATATCCAAACACCTTATCGGCCTGCTCAAAGGCCAACTCCGCCAACTTTGCAGCCTTTGCATCGCCATCTTTCACCGGATCGAAATACTCCAATTGGCCTTGCAAGTTCCAAATTCCAAATAAAAGACCCTTTGTAGTACGATTCTTTGCAGCACGAGCCTTTGTAGCACTTCCTGATACCCGCGCCGTGTCCGTGTCCATGTCAGTGTGTACCAACGCGTCGACGTTGTCCCAGCTGAAAAAGGCATCCAACCCAGGCGGAATCATGCACATATCAGCAGCACCACCACCACCGTCTTTGCCCTCCTCCTTGTCCTTGCTGCCTACGACCAAAGCCCTCCAGTGCTTGACGATTCCTGGACGCTGGAGCAAGCCATAGATCACATTGGTGCGACTCCATTCCCGCGGCGGCTGGCCTTGTTCGATGAGCTCATCGTTCCGAGCAAGTTCGGTGGCGAGGTGGGTGAAGAAGCGCCGCTTGGCTCGCTTGTGAGAGTCGGAGGGGCTGGAGATGGAGCTGGAGCTGGGGGTCGTCTTAGCGGCGGAAGAAGAATGAGGAGAAGATGATGAAGAAGAAGAATGGAAAGAAGCGGAGCAAAAACCGCAGGCAAAGGCGGTCTGGCGACGAAGAAAGAGGTGCAAGTGATCTTGACGGTTACATGAGGGGCATCTGAGAAGTTGTCCCAGGAGCTTTCTGTTGTCGGCAGGGAAGTACTTGGCCTTTGTTGGCAAGATGGTGTCGCAGTGCGGGCAGGCGAGGATCTTGTGATTGGCGTGGTGTTGTTGCTCGTGGAACCAGAGCCATTGGGGGCTTGCGAGCTGGTCGAGGCACGCCTTGCACTGGCAAGGCATCGTTGAGATCGGCCTATTCTCCATCGCTTGATCGAGAAAGAGGTCACGATCGTTGGCTGAGAGGCTGGTGAGGTCACCAGTCACGACTCGCGCAAAAGTGCCGAAAGCCAGGGGCAGAGTGAGAACTGGGCGAGAGATGGGTTGTTGGAAACAGGTTTGGAGTTGCGCGACTTGCGCGAGTGACGGCGCGAGTGAACTTGGTGAACTCTCGAAAGGGTAGACGGAGTAAAGGAAGAATAGAACGCGACCGGTTGAATAACGAAGTTTTGTTTTGGAGCGAGACGAGGTGACGGCAGGGTGAGGGGGATGCGACAGACGAGAAAAAAAAGGAAAGAGGAGGAAGTTTGGGAAGGGGGGAGGCCCCCTTCTTATACCTGTGGGAAAGACCCACCCTGAATATTGTTTGCTCTTCGAGATGGGATGAAGGAAATATTGAAACGTATAAGACGCGGAGAGAGGTTTTTGTTTGGACACTACATCGGAGGAGCGGCGGGTAATATTATAGGAGTATATACTGGGGGCTTTTTTTTTTTTTGAGATAGTTTGCCGGCGAGGGCAGCTGTGATCGATGGCATGTATTAAGCGCGCGGTCGAAGTGGCCGCGCAGCGATCAAAGTCGCCGGAGGTTTTTACCCGGGAAACACGGGTTTTCCTCCCGGCTTTGACCCACGAATAACCGTGTGCCTACATGTGCGACTAGTTTGATAGATACTCAGCGTGAATAAGATTAGTCTTATTGTTTTGGAGCGAAACTGAGAGAAGTTCCAGAATCTAAGTAGGAGTGAATGGTAGTTGAACCGTTTTTGCCATGAAGGGGTGTGTCCCAACGGAAGTCATCCCAACTTCCGAAACAGTCGGCCTGCAAGTGACCACACCAAACTTCGGATGAGATTCTAGAACGTAATAACACGATAGAGAGGAGTAGATTGCTTATCTTCATCGGACATAGGTTGTGTCGAGAAGTGCCATGCCATGCGACGTTGGGCCGTCGATATCATCAGTCCCAGCATTAGTTTGTTGAATGACAAAATAGAAGCTAGCCACATTGCATGGAACTACCATATTGAGAAGAACTGATAGACTTGGCTTAGCCAGGCCATACTGAGAGTATGGATGCTTATTTTTATTTCACAAGATGAACTCAATCCCTGTGGTGCTCGTGATCACGGACCTGAGGTAGAAACGCATCAACTCTGAAAGGCAGCGCCGGTGTAAAGCAGCCACCACGACTATGGAATTGCCCTTAATGAAGCTACACACGAAACAACGATACGAATACTAGTTATAAAAACTCTTTCCAAGCACCAAAAACTCCCCAGGACTGTCAAAACTTCAGAGTGACAGAGAGATGAGGGTGAAAAGGGGTTGGCTTCAAACCGAAAAAACATAGCAGTATAGGTTAATGGTCGCGACAGATTTTCAACTATCAGGCAAGATGGCCGAGCGGTCTAAGGCGCCACGTTAAGGTTAACCCTTAATCTCCTCTACGAGTTCCGTGGTCCGAAAGGGCGTGGGTTCGAATCCCACTCTTGTCAACACATCTTTTTTTGGCTTTCATAGCTTTGAAACTTTATCTTATTTTTTCTCTTTTTTTGTTTTGTCATGGGAATCTTGAACATCATTTAAAAGGGTTGTTTGATTCTTGGATTTTGGTAACCTTGATGCGTGTATTGAGCGTCAGCTTTTTAAACTTCTAACCTTCATTATACTCACTTTCGGCCCACATGAAACTTTAACTACCTATCAAAGGACACGCTACTCTCTATGCCCCTTCAAAGCACCTGTCCTTATGATCGTGATCGGTACATCCATTGGGTTCATACCATATCGTCTACGAATATAAAGGCCTGTCTGGCCCAAGACCTGATCGACTGCCCGGCCACTCGGTTCATGTCCCGCGGCTACCAACTCGCCCAGGTCCCCTCTCTCACGTCTCTTTGTGTGTGTATATTGTATGTGTATATTATATGTGTGTTTGCCAAGTCAAATCTTAGCTTCGCTCTTCCCCGTAGCCTGAGCCGCCTTCTGCTGCCTGATAACCGTACTACTAATCTTGGACGTAAAATCCTCCGTAGCCTTGACATCTTCTCCCACATCCTCTGGGATCTCATCCGCATTCAACACATCAACCTCAAAAACCTCCAGCGTCTTCCACCCCTGTTCCGCCCGCTTGTCATTGACAGCCTTTCCACCCGACCGCGTCTCCCCTGACACGACCAGCACATCGATATCTTCCTCCGTGATCGTTGGCCCAAAGGCATCTTGTATCCGCACACATTGCACGATGATCGTGCCATCCCTAAAAGCCGCACGGAAGTCCCCGTCTTTCTCGTCGATATGCACCCCCGCCGCGACGGCCGTGTTGATGTTATTCTCACCAGCTGCCGGGCCCGTGGCCTCCCTCCACCCTTTATCCGAGAGCTGTAGAAGCCTGGACAAGAAGTAAATGACGTTCCGCGCCCTCGTCTCCCACGACTGCACGTACTCCGCGAACTTCTTGTTCTTGAGCAGCTCATCGCCCGTGATGCCAATGATGTACTTGCACGGCTCGCGTCGCCTGGGGGAAGTAGCCGGCAGCGACAGCTCGTCCTTGCTCGGCACTCCCAAGAGCAAAGCGCCCGCGGTCAAGAGCAGCTTGTGGCCCGGATGGAGATAGTCAAAGGTACCGCCTAGACAAACCACCGGCACGCCCGATACCCGTCTTCCTTCCCCCTTCTCTCCCGCCATGTCTTCTCCAACAAGCCCCTGATTCAACGTCAACCCCCCCTCCACACCAACCAGCTGCTCCTGCCTAATCGCATTCGCCCCAATCATCTTCCCCTCCGCCATCTGCAGATACACATCATTCAACCTGATCCCCTGCTCCGTGCGCACATGAAAGATGTAATTCCACGGATGATACGCCTCCGCAAAAGTCGCCAAGTCCACCACCACGGTATTATTCGTCTCAATCAAACTACCACTCCTCGAATCCCTCCGCAGCGCCTTGTCTTCAGCGCTCAGTGGCTTGCGCCCCCGATCATGATCAACCAACACCACCGTAGCATCCACCGACAACCCTTTCCCGCCGCCGTCAATCTCCGTGCTGATCCCCAAGCGGGCGCAAATGACCGAGATGATGGCGTACAGGCCCGCAACGAGCGATTGCGCCTGCGACCAGAGTAAGGTCTTGGAGCGCAGCTGGTAGGGCGGACCCTGCAGAATGGGGACGGCGACGGCGACGATGAGCTTGGATGCGCCGTGCGGGTTGGAGTGTTTGAGCTTGGAGAGGACGGCGGTGAGAGAGGGGCGGTAGGCGGCGTTGAGGAGGGTGCGGTTGGAGGGGTGGGGAGGGAAGGGGAGGAGGAGGAGGGAGGGGAGGTGGTCTCTTTTGTTGGTGGTCATGGTGAGGATGGTTAGGATGTTGGAAAATAGAATGGTAACAGTCGAGTCCTGGTGGCAGTAATGGTGGTAAGTGGTGGTGAGCTATGGTCGTATCTGCCTGCCCCTCCTTTGTTCCGGTGGTGGGAACGATAGCCTCCGGGACACAAGACGAAGGCGAAAACGGCCTTGAGAATGGGCTTAAACGTTGTCGTTACAGATGGGATGCTGTGCTATCTCCTTGAATAAGAAGCATGCGAGATGGTTGACAGTCTGCACGATGCGGGCTGTTGATGGGATGAGTTCAGATGCAACTCGGTGTGGTGTCCAGGTGCCGAGGTGCCGTCATTTACGAACAGATCGGCGCATGATCCATTGTCTACGTTCAACCCTAACCCTGCATCTGTTGTTCATCCAACTGCCCAGTGCCCATGGCGATGTGATTGTAGCCATGTTCGACTCCGTTTCTGCCCACTTGCATCGTTTATCCATTATACAGTATCTACTAGCATTCCACCGGTATATGACATTCACATACGCCTATCAGTCTCCGACTCCCACACATGGCCACCGCCTCCTAAATGCCCGCTAAATCCCAGGTAAATCAACGACATGCCATACTATACGCTCCGCTCACGTACTCATTACCCAAACCAGATCAAGGACCACCCATCCCCATTCCGACACGCTGTTGCATCTGTTGCATAGAAGATGTCGCCGTGGGCGTTGATCCATAAAGGCTCGGTCCTCCGGGACCTCCATGTCCACTCGGCCCTGGTCCTCCCGGTCCCATCCCAACGTTCGTTCCCGTCCTCTCTCTCATCCTCCGGCCCTCCATCAGCCCCCTCAAGCCTCTCTTCTGCAGGCCAATCACACTGCTCAGTTCTCCAGACCAGATCTCGCCTCCTCGTTCCCTTTCATGCTCCCCCATATCTGACCACTCACTTCCACTCACGCTGTTCGTAGCGCTCAACTCCGCGCTAGACGGTCTCCTGCCCTGCTGAAGCCCGGTCGTATTGATATGCAACGCCGCCGTCCTTGAAGCGAGGCTACCGCCGCCGCCACCATACTCACTGCCGTTTGCGGAAGGCGGCATCGATCCCGTCGGACTAACCAGACCATCCAGGTCGGCAGGCGGGAAGAAGTTGGGGTTGAGGGTACCGTCAATGCCACGTCCGCCTCCGGCGGCCATGGCAGTAGCATTGAAAACTGCGGCTGCGTTTCGGCTGTCGAGTAGGTTATGCAGGCGCTCCACCACCGCCTCAAGGAGACCGTCTACCCGGTACGGCCGCGCTATTTGAAGGAGGCTGCAGAGAATTTGTGGAGTGCACAACGGCGAGGTAGGCTGGGGAAGGCTGGAGGTATAGAGAAAGTGGAGAAGTGCTTGGATGGTGAGGAAGGTGTGCGGTAGATAGAGGCATCGTGGCCGGTTGTTAGGCGCCAGAGTACGCGGTGTTGGTGCAGAGTTGAGCGCGGCAGCGTCTACACCCGTTGGTGACATGATGCTTCCCGCAACCGATGTAGCGGCGGTGCTGGGCGGCTTGCCAGTTGAGCTACTGCCCGAGTATATCGACATCTGACTCTCCATGGTACTCCTGTTTCCGGGCGTGGGTGTCATGTTGGAGCTGCGGCCCATGCCAGAAGACGCCGAAATGGAGTTGGATCTGAGTGTCATGACGTCGCTACCGTCCTGGCAGGCTGTCCCTTCCCGGAGGAGCTGGACAAAGTACGGCCCCCATCGCCTGGCAACAATCCTAGAGTTGACAGGGATCCGTTCGCCCCCTATGCACAAAATATCCATGTCCGCCAACTCCCGCATCGTAAGCGCCTTCTCTCCGAGCTCTTCAGCAGCGCGACTGTGTTGTCTACCGCCGGCAGTAAAGCCCGCCTTACGGGCTAGACTCAAACCAGGACCGGTATAAGGACTACTGGCGCTGACGAAGCCGCTCATGGGCGCCGTTTTCCGTGGGTTATCGTAAAAACCAAAGGCCTCCAGCTCTACCATGCAGACATTGCTGAAGTTGATGCGCCGATGGTTATAGTCATCCACAAGGCTTCTCTTTCGGTGTCCCAAGACGACGAACGTGTTCCTCCTGTTCCACAACACTCCTCGGTTCCAACTTCCCTGACTGAAAACAGCGCCTCCGGCATCGATCCTACTCCAGCTTAGGTTCCGTAGATCCAACGCCCAGAGTGCATACTCCTGCTTCGACGAAGTGAGGTAGGTACCGCTGACTACGAAGTAGTGATCGATGATTCCTCCATTGGGAAATCGCAATCCCGGCGGACTGTATTGCTCCTTCATCGTCGTTTCAACAAGGGTTCCATCACTCGATCTCACTTGCAACTCCAGTTTGACGTCAAGGAAGTTGTAGTTGCTGTAAATCAGCATGCTCGATCCAGCATCCTTGGCCTCCTGAGTAGTAGCTCCTGGGTCCTGCCGCCCGCTAACCGGGTGTGGCTTGCCGATCTTTGCCGCGAGGGATGGTGGCAGGGGAGCAACCACACTTCTATACGCACCGCAGCTCTTGCCCAGCTGTTCGGTTGAAACCCACTTGAGGCTTCGCAGGTTGAAGACACTAATCTGCTCGATGTAGTGATTCGCGGCATCTTGGCCTCCTATAACCACCATTTCTGCGCCGTCAGTCCCATCAATATTGATTCCAATGCGGCCCTCATTGGGGTTCCCCGATGAAGGATTATGCTGAAGCGCTGAGAACGGGGCCCTGTGGGACGCGAAAGCGGCCGACGACGGGAGAATGCAGGCGCAGTGGGCATATCGTCCCTGAGGAGCATCTTGTGTCTGAACAAAGGTCCACTTCCTTGACGGCGCGTCGTAAATGTATATGTCCGACATGACCTTGACCTCGGGCTGTTGATCTTGCGTTATTGTGTTTTGGTTCGCTATCGGGGACATACCACCATAACAAACAAGTTTCGTGTCGCCGAGAGCGCACATGGAGTGGAAATACCGAGGTGGGGGAACATCTCCGGTTGTCTCGATTTTGGACCAGTGTCGCCGGATGAGGTCCAGCTCGTACAGATGATCCGTTAGCGGCGCCGGCTTGCTCCTCGACAGTATCCTTCCACCAAATACGAATAGTTTGTCTCCCAAGACTGTGGTTGTAGCACCAACAAGAGGCGGTGGCTCTCTGCCTGTTGTCCGGTGCACATTGCACATCAAACCCGACAAATGCTGTGATGGCGAGGGCATTGGTTGCGGCCCACCGCCACCGGCTGCCTGTGATCTCCCCTGGCCACCGTTGGGGGAGGGGCCAGCGGACATTGGCCCATTACTCCTCGGCGTCAAGTTCTCATGGCGTCCATCTCCTGCTTCTGATCTGTGCACACTTGCGAAGCTGCTCTGACTGCTGCTCATGCTGACATCCTGGCGTGCGGTATCCTGTGATCTCATATACATGCCGCCACCTCCCATCTCCATCGACGATGCCGAATCCATGGTGCTCGTTCGACTAGTGTCCATCCAGCTTTCTTCTGTGTCCTCAATCGTTTCCAGCGGCTGCTGAGTGAATGGCGTAGGCGTTGATGGGCTCGTTGGGGAGAGCGTTGGTGGGGGAGGTTCCGGTAAAGGTTTTGCAAGACTGTCTTGAAGACTCAGGCTCCGTGCATGTTGCGCCTTCAATGGGTTTGGAGATTGTATAGGGATGGGAGAGGATATGGAAGGTCGCTCTGCGGCGGGAATGTAGGGCTCAGAAGGCCGTCGGAGACCGCGCTGTGAAGGTTGGCGCGTGAGCCTCGCAAACTCGTCTCGACCGGGAGTGATCTTCTTGATGCCGCGGAAAGCTGAAGACAAGAATTCGGACGGTGTCCTCGCAGGGGAACGAGAGGTCTGTTCCTCGGATTCGGAATCGGAGAAGCGACTGAGGTCGATAGCACTCGGCGGCTGCTGGCCTGAAGTCGGCGATGTCAGTCCAAAGCCCGCCATGTCGACAGTTGCTGCGCCTGCAGCGCAAAACTATCTGTGCAAAAAGGCTCTCGAGAGTGAAACAGGTGAAAAGACATGGGAATAGTCACAAGAAGTCGAGGGAAGGAAGAGGTCATGTTCAAGAACAGTGAAGTAGGGCGACGGCACAACAAAAGGAAAGATGACTGGATTGGGCAAATGACAAACGCGGGTCCCGCTGTAGAACAGAATAGGAGGGGAAAACCCAGGATGCGTTGGGTCCGCCGTTGAGGCACAGACAGGAGTCGATGCCGGGGACAATGGATCAAGGTGAGCGATGGCTATCCTGGGAGCATTCACACCTTGGATGGAGCCCAGGGGCTAGACACACCGGGCTGCCCCGAGTAAGTTCGCAAGACTCTCCGGCCAGTCCGCGGCCTTTGGCATCAACCAAGCAGCGATGTTCCCTACCAGTACGAAAAGGAAGGCGACGGGAATAGCGAAGAAGGGAAGCTTTGCCGGCCCATCTGAAGCAGAAACCCAAACATGTTGTGGGGATCAGGCACCTCAACCCATGGCAGGAAGGGCGGCGTGAATGGGGGACTGCGCAATGGCACAGCGTAGGAGTTGGAAGACAAAGACGAGATGGGGCATATGGGACGGTGTCACCGTGTATAGGCAAGCATTGCATCATGATGGGCGGCGAGAGAGGGATCAGGGGCCGAGGAATGACAGATTTGACAGCGCGGGGATGGGAAATGGGCAATGCGTAGCGTACCTGACCAGACTGTCGCAGAGGTAGCAGACTATAACTTGGAAGATGAATCGACGAAGTTAATGCTTTAATTTCCGATCTGGTGTGTCTTGACAAAGTCGTCGTTCCAGGGCTTCGTCGAGCGTATATATGGGCCGAAGGCGAACGGGTAGACGAACAGATGGGATGGACAGGCGGGACAGACGACGGACGAGAGTCGAAGAGGGATGAAAGACGGAATGATGGAATGATGGATACGTTGACAGTCGAACGGTGTGCAGGTAGAGTTGCAGGGTGCCGCACGGACTCGGCGTTCGTTCGTTGCTTGGATCGTATTCAAGGCAAAGGTACCTCTATAGACCAAATTTGTGCGCGCGCGTGTGCATGTGCGCTCGCGTGTATAATCGTAGGGGATGATATAGGGTGCGGCGATCACTCGCCGTTTTTGGTGTGTAAGAAGAAGAAAAGGAAGTCAAGTTGGACAGTAGACAAGAAATTGGGAAATGGGGTTGCTACATGCTACACCTTTCCTCTTTGATCCCCTGCGGGTGACCACCTCCAAGAATCGCCGAACTAAACCCCTTCAAAGAAAAGCGCACTTTGGTTACTCGTCAGGCCTACAAAATCGGCGGCTGACTAGCGGGCAGATCTTTTCCATTTCTCTTTGGAATGTCAATCTTGACAAGTCTTTTTTACTGCCTTTTTCGTGGTCGCCGTCAAAAGATAAGCCATTCAGGGGCAGGCATCGGTCGCTCCGCGTGGTTCTCGGGATGAAGGATCCCAAGGCACCAAGCGGTGGATTCGATGCTGCAACATTCGACAAAGAGAGCCGCACGGATCAGATGGTGGCGTGGAGCTGCGCTTTTCTTTGACAAATGGCAGCGAATCGTCCGCCTTCGAGAAGCAACGCCAAGAATTACGCAGGGACTCCCTCGGAAAAAGGATCCACACTCAGCACATGAGAGTGTTGTTGGTTGAAGTTTCCAAAGTTCCTCATCACCACTCTGGATTTCTCTCAAGTCCGCAACCGCAAATGGTACCTAGCAAACAACACGTCGACCGCTTCTCTCCCTTTCTTGCCGTCAGTTATCACAATCTTGACTTTGTAAATCGGCATACTAGTACCAGGACTACCTATACTCTCCCCCTTTTAACAGAGAACCGTTAACTATCCACTGCCATCCCACCCAGTTTCCGGTTTGCCTCACATCCCTACCGTTATCTCGTGGCCGACAAGGTTCACAGTTTCACTCGTTCACCTTCGCTCCGGCTGGACCGAACGTGACACTCCCCCTTTTGGGATACGAAACACCAAGAAACGAAACAGCCAACCAAAGGAAACAAACTATGCCCGCGCGCTTGCTATACCTAAGTATCCTTCCCAGAGTGCGATTGTGATGCCCATTTAAATTCCTCTAACTATGCGCCGGGTAAGCGCATACCACCCCAACTCTTTTTAGAAGACGCCGGCTGTGCAAGTGGAAACCATGTCAAACCTTCCAACATCACCCGTCAATATGTTTACCATCTAATCATTCCCATTCCGCATGGCAACAATTGGTGATTGGGCCCCCTTTTTCACATGAATGTTCCAAAAACAGAGATTCCAATCATCTACCGTAGCCCTTGGGCATAACACAAGAGGTATACAATAGTATATATCAACCGTCGGTTATACCAATTTGTACCAAATCTGAACTCGTATGCGACCCTTGTTCCCAATATCTCGGTTCACGGCTTGCAGGTTTCTTGACGTTCATCTAGTATGTGCAATACAGATAAGCAGGTCCTGCGCTAACTTTTGCGACTCTTGCACAAGTTCGATGATGGTGAAGCTGCCTGTGGTGTAAAGCACGCCACTTGGGGATATTGACTTACGAAGGTCCAGCCCATGCCAGTGTGAAAGCCATCACTCGAACTCCCAAGTGGCTACCTAACAATCCGTGATATTAGCTCGGTAGCCAACGTGCCAGACCAAGGCTACTAAGTTAGCAACTGCGAGATCATGTCAGTCCAAGTAGAAAGAACGTATCCATTCAGAATCAATTGGCAGTGACAATTCACTATGCAGGAACTAGTATAGCGGCGGTTGTTGTTGTTCAAGTCATTTCATTGTATTTTGTGACTACGCTTGAAAAAAAAAAGAACTCCAGCCCAAACCAGCCTCCCAGAAACTTAGAAAACCACATCCACACACGCTTAAGCGTCCTTGGGAAGGGGAGTGAAGCGGAGGTAAGGCTTGACAGCCTTGAGGTTGGGGAACATGCGGGTGGCCTCCTCGCCCTTGATGGAGGGGTGGACGATAACGTCATCACCGGGGACCCAGTTGATGGGGGTGGTGACCTTGTGCTTGTCGCCGGTCTGGAGGGAGTCGACGATGCGGAGGATCTCGGCGGAGTTGCGGCCGGTGGAGGCGGGGTACGCGAGGATGGTGCGGATGGTCTTCTTGGGGTCGATGACGAAGACGGAGCGGATGGTGAAGGCGATGCCCTTCTCGTCGACGTTGGTGGTGTCCTGGTAGTCGATCCTGAGTCAAGACAGTTAGTGTTCGCTTTTCCTCTCTTTTTTTTAACACAAAGTGTGCTTACATGTCGTAGAGGTAGGCAACCTTGCGCTCCTTGTCGGCAATGATGGGGAACTCGACCTGGGAGCCGGTGACATCCTTGATGTCGCTGATCCAGCCCTCGTGGCTGCCGAGAGTGTTGGCCGAGAGACCGATCAGCTTGACGCCGCGCTTCTTGAACTCGGGCTCAAGGCGGGCCATCTCGCCGAGCTCGGTGGTGCAGACGGGGGTGTAGTCCTCGGGGTGGGAGAAGAGGATGACCCAGTTGTCGCCAATGAACTCGTGGAAGTCAATGGGACCCGTGGTGGTGTCAGCCTGGAAGTTGGGGGCAATGGTGCCCAGGCGGAGGCTGCATCAGGAACCACGTTAGTCGTTCGTCCGCGCAAAAAACAGCGATGGCGAAGGGAGCTCAAGGACTTACGGAGCGTTGGGGGCGGGGGAGGCCATTGTGAATGATGTTGTGTGGTGGGAAGAGAGGAATGGGTATCTCAGAGAAACAGCAGAAACAGTTGAAAGAAGAGAGAAGCTGAAAGAAATCAGAATATGGGAGGACCGTGATGAGGGGCAGCAGCGGAGGTATTTAAAAGCGTCCTTGACTAATCCCTACGAGCAGCTCGCGCCATGTACACATGCAGAGGTACCTACATATTTTAGCTTCCGGATTCTATTACACTCCTAAATGTCGCCTTCGCAAGACTTCCATTTCTGGCCAGATGAACATGGAGGGTCTCGCACGTGTCTCGGTCACTAGGGACTATTGATCAGCCGTAGTATATGTATACATACTGTAAAGGGCTAATGAGGTACATGTCTTCTGTATAGCTTCATGGTAGCACATACAGGTAGCTTTCGCCCTCTCATCTCCTTACCTACGTAAGTAGCGAAGGAACTCATCGAGGTTCTCACAAGTTCGTTTGTTTCCACCGGGTAGCTCTTCAGTCAGGATACCCCTCGTCTCTTCCACTTCGTACATAGCACTCGACTGTGTACCATCCCCACCAGTTGCAGTGCATCGTCCCAACTCATAATCCAATATTTCGGAGTCTTTGCTCTGGTGTCTCACACAATCGGCACACCACCATGACAGATGAACCCAGAGCGAGCCAAGACCACCTTTTTGGCTCTTTTTGAGCTCCAAAACGCGGGGTGAGTTTGGCCCCTCCATGGGATGGACCTGAGGGACGAGGGGCAATCGCTCCCTCTTTCGGCTTGGCGGCTCATTGCGCAATCATCTGCATCTCTCATTGGACGCCAACGCCAATCATGTCATTTGGTGCTCGTTCGCGCAACGGTCCCAATCCGTGTGGGGGGGCAGCATTTATGGGAATTCGGTTTTCGGACTTGTAAATCCTTTGCCGTTTGTCCATGTGCTACTTGCTTCGAGGCTTTTGGTAAATTCTCAAGATATATACTGAACCGGTTGTGAAAGGATGATGACAAACATGCTTCCTGGTGAGTCTGGCCAACAAATACCCCCCGAAGCTCCTATAACTTCCCCGTGCTCCGTCCAGCGGGAAAGCTTGCATCCGAATATGTGGAGGCCGACAGCCGGAGACAACAAGGGTGTCCGATCTCAATGGTGTGCCTGTCTCCAAGTCTCCGGGTGTCGGGGTCGACGGCGAGCTCGGCATCAAGTGGAGAGGACATGGTTGGGCAATGCGGCGCTTCCAGCTGCATCGTCTTGTCTTGGCATACTACAAGTCCGATCTGAAGGCCGATTCATCTCGGCCACGGGGTTTCCATCAATCCATCATCGCTACAGCTTCCTCTTCCTACCGGCGATTGCCCACCAAAACATCCCATATACGGACGGTGAATAATCGGCGGATCACGGCAGTCACTTCCCGGCGCTACCGCCGGCGTTCCGTGATCAATCCCGACTGTGGCTAATGATTGCTTCGGATCCGAGCTAAGCGGCACCGGGGCTTCGGTATAAGTGATGGTCTTGGCTGCCGATGAGGAAGGAGGGCGCCCAAAAGGGAAGGGGAAAATCGTGAAAGGCCATTGAATATCTCACTGCGATGGTGCATTGCGTTCTGGGCCACTGACCCATGACCAGGTGGTTGGGAGGGAGTGAATTTCCCTGATAATTAGTAACATAGTCCGGACTCCGGATTACTGTGTCCAACTTGAACCCATTTCGCACCTATTTTATCCAAGCTCGCGCCAAAACCAATGCCAGCCCAGCTCAAAGCTTCACATTACCTCCATTAAGCTCCTTCCAATCCGCCACGCCAAACTTGACGTACGAACCGTTCCTTAGCCAGAACACTTCATCCTCACCCGTCTTCGCCGGATCCACGCCCTCGCTGCGCAGGTTGTGCTTTTGCTGCTTGTTCGTGCCTGTCGTCTGGAGGCCTCCCTCAGGCACTACACGCAGGAACAGAGGCAAAGCGTACTTGGGAAGCCCCCTCTGGACGTGCTCGGCTAGACTCTTGAGGGTGTCGTCGGTTGGCCTGGGTGCTCTAGCCTCATCGCCGCTTGTCTGCACTAAGCCTGACGGGTTCAGAACCACGGCAGCACAGCCAGCGCGGCCCTCATGACTAGGCACCTGGACGCCGTAGACATTGCACTCGAGAACCGCGGGATGCAAGCCAACCACCTGGGCAACCTCAGCGGTCGACACGTTCTCGCTCTTCCACCGGAAAGTGTCACCGATGCGGTCGCTAAAGTAAACTCGGTTCTCGTTATCCCAGCGCAGCACATCACCGGTACGGAACCAGGCGTCGCCCTTGCTGAACACATCCCTCATCACCTTCTTCGATGTCGATTCCTTGTCGCCATAGTAGCCCTGGAAGCGAGAGTTGATATCGCCAGGCGGTAACCTGAAGAGAAGCTCGCCCGGCTCTCCGCGGGGTGCTCGGGTACAAAACCCGGTTTTGGGATCCCGGTGGGGAAGCTCGGTTTCATGGTCCACCTCGACAATGGCAACGTTTCTTCCGAGGATAAGGTTGTAGAGACTACCACTCCGTCCCACTGCACCCATGCTGAAGTCGTTCCGGCTCTTGTTCCACGTCGCAAAGGTGCCCTCGGTAGCGCCATAGAATTCGGCGATGGTCTCGATGCCGAAGCGCTCCTTGAATCGGTTCCATACATCCGGTCGCAGTCCGTTTCCAAAGGCAGCGCGTACTCTATGTTTGCGGTCGAGATCTTCACCAGTAACTGGATCGAGGTTGGGAGGTGCCGATAGGAGGTACCTGCATGTCTCTCCGACGTACTGGATAATCGTGGCATCGTGTTTCCGGACGTCATTCCAAAATCCGGAAGTTGAGAACTTGCGGCTGATGGCAAAGGTAGCTCCTGCTGCCAGAGTATGGGCAAAGCCCAACAGCATGGCTGTGCTGTGGTAAAGAGGCATAGCCTGATAATAGCGTGAGTTGAAGCGATCTGACGATTCTTTGAGGGAGACTTACCGTATAATATACGTCGTTCACATTGGTGCCGAGCCATCGGAAGGTGAAATTGGCAACAGTAGCGGCCTTGGCCCATGAGATAATGGCAGGTTTGGGCAAGCCTGTCGTACCGCTGGTGTAGATGAGCATCGCTATGTCTTCGTCCTTGAATCCGCTTCTCAGCTCATCCGCAGGGCGGACGTTATCCATTGCCAGCATCTCTTGTTCCAACTCTGGCGTCACCACTTCAAAGGTGACATCCCCCAGCGCCGACCTAACATCCTCACTGACATTGCTCGCAACAACGGGGTCGACCAGGACCAACCGCGCCGTTGACTTGTTCACGCAGTGGATAAGCGGGTTACCGGTGAGGTTGTAGTTCAGTAGTGCCGGCGACGCTCCAATGGCCCATGTAGCGAGGAAGAGGAAGATGAAGGTATCGGTATTTTGAAAGTCCAAGCCAACAAGGTCGCCCCTTTTGATGCCACGCCTATTCTTGAGCCAGTTGGCATACCGCAGGACTGTGTCGTAAGCCTGCGCATACGTGTAAGCGCGGTCTTGGAACCGAAGGAACACTCTGTTTTCGGACGACTTGGTGGTTGCGAGGTTCTCGAGTTGGTAGAAAAGATTCACACGGTCCCGGTAACGCTTCCAAGCACCACCGAGGACGGTAGGAATGATGGCTCTGAGCAGTTCCAGGTCGTAGTAAGCGAGGAATCGAGCATTGACGTAGGCAGCGGCAGCAGCTACCGCGGGAACGGTAACCTGTAGGGGTACTGCGGAACAAATACCGGGGGTGTCAGCGAACTCTATGCGAGTTTGCGGCTCAGAAGCACGTTTACGGGGTATATCATGCTGTAGGGTTCCCCATGCACCCGAGTGTGGACTTGAACTTACATGAAGCCATCTCGGCGGAAGACACGGATGGTAAGGATAAGCACCCGGTGTATATATGATGCCCCTTGCAGGAAAGCAAGAAGAGAGGTATAAAAAAGTTGGAGATCAGAAAGCGGCGGATGGGTACTTTAAGGGCTGCACCTAGGGTATACAGTGCAACACCAAAGGTTGGTTGGTGGAATTAAGCTCAAGACAGGATGAGCCGAGGTGGTCAGTGAAGGGGGCCTTGATCAGGGACAACGGTGAACACTGGCGGAGCTTTGAACCCAACAGGCTACCCCTTGGCAACCCCACGACTGCAGGGTCCCGTGTCTTTGGTCAGAGCTGGGATTGCTAGCCTCTGATCTTGAATCTTCGCCTTGGTCTAAAATCTAAATAGGAATTCAGGGTATCGCCCCGACCGCCCCGGGGACTCGGACCCGCCCATGGAAGGACGAAGTCGAAGGTCCCACGCACACTACCATCCGTCTCTCCCGTCGACAACGTCTCGGCGTATCCTTTCGTTGAGATGGGGCGCTGGAATACACGGGGTTGAGAATGATACGACAGGGATAACCAGTCTGCCCCTCTGTAATACGGTACTTCTAGAAGGAGGCCAGACATGGAAATCCGGTTAAGCAGACCTCGGCAGACTCTTGGAGATCTCGTGATTTCCAGGTGATGCCGATGCGTAAATGCACAGCGCGTAGGCGAGCCGGGCGGGCTGCAGTAGCGTATTCCACTTCTGAAGCCTAGAGGTTTCATCAAGGGACGGCGCGGGTGGAATTCCGCGGTGGAATTCTGGCGGGCAAGCACTTCCCTTCTTACCGTGAGGCGTGAAGCAATTCCAACAGTCTGTCCCAAGTCTGTTGGTAGCCGACGAAGGTCGAGTCGGTGGCCTGGTCGGCTAAGGTATGGTATTTTTCTTTTTCTCTTAGTGAAACCGTCCACAGCAACACGACAGACCACGTTCGGCAAGTGAAGACGATGTAAGACGACGGGGCACAGAAAAAGAGCAGATGTCCAGTTTCGCCAGAAAAAGAGGTTTGTCATGAGCTTCTATCATACGATACAACCCGAATGTGGTGCTTGTTCATGGTTGAGAATTAATACAAGAAAGAAAAAAGGGCCGAAAAACGTAGAAACTGTGTTGAAGAAGGTGCCCGATGTACATTCTCTGGGATCCCCAAAGCAGCCCTCTGATTGGGCAATTGAGATCCAATTTCTTATCGATAAGCAAGATGAGCCCTTCAAGATGGAAGTGGAGGCAGGTACGTACAGTACTGGATCTCCACGTGCATCTACGGCTTAGCCGTTTCGGACGAGCCATCCACTGAGCGACGCGGTTGGCGCTTTGTCGGTGGTTGCCATTGCGCTCCAAGTCATCCTGCCTGATTGCCGTCAGACAAAAAGACACCTCGATGTAATATACAGCATCTCGGAACAGATCGGTAAATGGACCTTGGCGAATAGGTCCGACCCAACACTGCCATGTCTGCCCGACAACCAACCGACTATGGCGCAGCTGGCGACACTCTGTCCGCCGAGACCCAGACGGCGACGTTGACATCGACTCCCATGGCCACTCCAGCGCTGCCATCGACACGAAAGGAACCACCTCCCGAAAAGCTTTCTGATATTCGCAGACGCATATGGGTTATAGTGTCGTTTTGGTTGATCGTCCTGCTTCTGGGATTGCCAATATGGTGGAAGACGACTACCATCCACCGAGCTAACCTTCCCCTGAAGGACATGCTCGACTGGGCGGATGGCAAGGTACGCATGATTCTGAAGCTCAAAACTCGGCATCGCTAACCCATGCTTTACTTCTGTGTAGGCATGTCGCCCTGTCTTTCCCCTCCGCATCTCGATACAAGCCAACTCGCTCCAGGAGCACGAGGCTCAGAACCTCCTCCGTCTCACCCAGCACGCCCTCGATGACCTTAACGATTTCTCGGGGCACCACTTGCGCCTGCAACTCTCCTCACCCGCCGCAGCACAGAAACGTAATGACGAACCCGATACGGCTCTTACAATACGTCTGCTCCCCGGCGAGGCCGTAACAGCAACGCTCGATCCTTACGAGCCTGTCCTTGATATCACATATCCGCCGAATGCTGCACCCTCGGCAACATCAGCTTCGTCATCGCTAGCGACCTATGTGGCCGGCCAGCTACGATCTACCTTTGCCGAGGAGCAAGCCATTATATCCTACCTGCTCTCTAGCAACTCGATACCGACCGACTACCGGCCGCAGGGCTTGACCCCCGAAGCGGCCGAGTCACTTGCCAAGCGAACTACACGATCGCTCAAGTATGCGCCGACATACCACCTCACCTTTTCGCTGTTCACCAGTGGACCACTTCCAAGCAGCTGGGATATTGAAGCCGCGATTCAGGACTATATGAAACCCGTGCTAGACCTGCTCTCGCCCATCCATAACTTTACCATTGATACCCAGGTGCAGCTATACGCATCCCCTGGAGTACAGAACCAGGTACTTGGCAAGGATGACCTCTCGTCCTTCATCAACGCCGCTGAATGGCCTCTTTCGCCCTCTATCGGTGGTGCACCAACGGTGAACTTTATTGTGTTCGTTGGTAATCAGACCATTGCGCTGTCCTCCCAGAACGCCCAGGATTCAGCTGAGGGCGGCTTGACTACCTCCCAGTCGTGGCTGATCCCACAATGGGGCACCGTTTACTTGCTTTCCCTTCCGCATGACACTGCCCATGTGTCTGTGGATGCCCTCAAGCAGCCTTTGTTGACCTTTACATCCCACCTCTTGTCCCTGACCGGGACCCCGAACTCTGGTTCCCTCCCGCTTCGCCTCTCTACGCTGTCCCGCATCCGCTCGGCAGACCTACTGCTCCGGGCCTCCTCTACGCTTGGTTCCTTGGCTCGTCTTGCCTTGGCACTAAAGTCCATTTCAATCCCTAGCAGTGTCGCAGATGGTGTATCCAAGACGATTGTTCATCTGCGCCGAGCTTGCGAGACCCTGGGCGAAGCTGAGGGCCTGGAGCATGCAAGGATTGCCGAGGCCGAGGCCGAGCGCGCCTTCTTCGAGAAGAGCATGGTTGGTCAGTTGTATTTCCCGGATGAGCACAAGGTTGCCGTGTATCTTCCCTTGCTTGGACCTGTGGCTGTACCGTTGGTCATGGGCATGTTGAACGAGTTGAAGGCCTGGAGGAGGAGGAAGAGAGAAGCAGCGGAGAAGGGGAAAGAGAAGAAGACGGAGTGAAATACTTTCCATTCATGTACCAGAGAAAGACAAAAAGCATTGCAAAGGGTAGCCACTGGGCCTCGGGAGTGTTTACATTCCCATTAAGGAACAGCTTATAGATTATTATCCTCATCCTCATCACCATCATCATTCAGCTAGCGGCTCTGGTTCTGAATTCGACTCTCCTGATGCACTGAGCCCCCCTCAATTAGCGGCCGGCAGTAGCCCGCGTACGTTATCCTTTGGCATGCAGAACGGTAATTATTGGCGGTCCATCGGTTCATGATGACCACTCGGTCTTTGTGATATCCTCACCTCGCTAGGTATTTTTGGCGGTCTCGTTCCTGCACCTGGTTTTGCAGGCTAACAGTCGATATTGACACGGGAACAAGATGCGAGAAGAAAAAGACATTGTTGTCGATGCAAAATGTAAATGCTCTAGCCTAGGTAAAAGAAAAAGGGTATTCTATGCTATGCTGTTCCGCGATATTTCGCGATGATGCGCCTGTCCCGATGCAACCCATCCAACCTTTCCACTGCTATACAATTCTTTCTTGAATCCGCCCTCATGCAATCCATGCATCCCGTTGCGTGTCCCGTTTTCCATTAACATTAAAATCTTCCCCTGCCGCTTTAGGAAGCCAGTTCCCAAGCAAGTGCAACCAGCAACAGCCCCGTCGGCCGACAAGCTGACATGCATTTCTCCATCCACCCCATGAGTCCATTCACAGATCGAATTCCGTGACCATTCATCAAACCCACCACTCACTTAAACACCAACAACAGGCTTAGCCCTCTGGCTCCTCGCCCTGCCCTTAAGCGTAGCCATGGTATCGACAATGACGATGAACAAGAACGTGACCCAAAGCAAGAACCCGAACGCGGTGGCGGCCTCGACGCATCCGCAGAAGACATCGGCACCGCAGCTCGGAGATCCGAACCAGACGGCCAGAGCGATCGAACCGGCGAACCAGAAGATCATGGTGATCCACTCGAGCGCGAGCGCGATGGTGCGCTGGAACATCTTGGGGAAGTAAGGCGGGAAGAGGGCGATGTAGATGAGCGCCAGCAGGGTCCAGACGGAGCTGAAGAGCATGAAGGCGTAGATGCCGGGGGCTCGCCACCAGGGTGATACGACTGGGAGGGAAGAGAGAGTGTTAGTGGTGTGATGCTTTAAAAAGGTGGAAGGCGGTGAGGTAGGGATGAATGAAAGACTTACGGTAACATGTTAGGCCGAGCTCGATGAGGCCAAAGACTGTTGCGATCATGTGGGTGTAGGGGATGTAGTGCTTTAGAGACTCCATTGTTGCGGTTGTGGTGATGTGATGATGTGATGTTTGGTGTATGACAGTATGATGGTTTAAGGTGATCGAGCGGTTGAGGTTTTGGAAGATAGTCTGGAGTTGCTGACAGTAAACTTTTGGAGGCGGATAAGGTAAAATCGTCTTTGGCTTGGTGGATTTGTTGTCACTCAAGACAGTTCAAGGCAGGTAGGTTGAAGTTGTGTAAAGTTTGATGAAGATGAAGATTTGGATTCTGAAGAGTCGTCACTGCCGTGAGCTTATATCTTCAAGTTTCTATTCAAGCCAAGCTTCCCATTGTCGGCTTGTCACTGTCTTTTTCAAACAGGGAACACAAATGACGCGCGGTAACAATTGGCGCCCTTGACAAGTCGAGCTAGCAAGTCATAGTGACGTTACGTGGTGTCGAGCTACGGGAGAAACAAACGCCAGTCATGGAGCTGGTGCACTGATCGTGAGCCAATCGACAAGTCGGCCAAGGGTCCAGTTGACACACGCCTAGCAAGGGCTAGTGTGCGTAGGGCTCGTTGGCATGGGGACTGCTGGATACCCGCGACTGCAGCAAGGGTTTCGCTCTTTATTTATACTTTAGCTTGCTCGGTAGACGACGGTTAGCTACCCGTAAGGGTCCTCAAATCGTCTGTCAAATCTGATATCCCTGAGATGTCTACAGATTACATTGCCGTGGTGTTGTTTTTGTTTACTTTGTAGCCGCCGGGAAAAGGAGAATGTGGCGTCATGTTTCATTGGATGGCATTGATTTCATGCGACGGACGAACGAGTCCTAAATCGGGTTAGGGGCCTTAACCGTGGCTGTGCAGCTTCCTCGCTAGTACAGTAGTATCTCTAGCTGTTTTGAAGTGGCGCGCGGCTGTGCTTCAGCGGTTCGAATTCATTCCAAGCGATCAATCGAGTGGTCTGTGCTTTTGCTCACTGCAGGCGCTCAGCTGTCAGGCACTCAGGCACTGCACTTCAGTTTGCGTTCAGCAGCTTTTCGCTTTTCGTAAAGCGGGGTCTTCGGCGCACCAAAGAGTGGGGCTCCAAATTGGATGGATCCAAAAGATTTTCAACCCCGCCATCTTGGGCCACATCGTCGTCGCTGCCTCTGCCTCTTGTCTCCTTCTCTCTCACCAGGCATTCCTCACATCAACATCCATCTCTCATCACCACTTCTCAATCCACAAAATCCAGCAAAATGGGCTTCACTGATCTCCTCACCGATGCCGGCCTTGCCGGTAAGCAACCCCCAATCCGCCGCATGCGCCTGCGCTTGCGCTCGACGAGAAGCGCAATCATGAAAGAAGGACTTGTCGACTAACACGCTTTGACTTCAGTGCTCAACAACTGGCTCCTCACCCGCTCTTACGTTACTGGGTATGTATCACGAAGTTCTCCATGATATGATGGTTTCTCTCTAGCCCTTTCGAATGATGAACACACTGGTCCGTGTTGCTGAGCAGCTTAAGACCCTGCACATGATTAACACAACAGCACTTTGTGCACTTCTGACTTCAACCTCCTCCAACAACACATTGGATTTCCATCAATGCGCGCTCTGGTTCTTGGCGAACACGCTCTTGCTAACGCGCAGCTCTTTATAGCTACACTCCCTCCCAGGCTGATGTTGCCGTCTTCAAGGCCCTGAAGGAGGCTCCCTCCGCCGAGAAGTACCCCAACGCTGCCCGCTGGTACAAGCACATCGCCACCTACGACGATGAGTTCGCCACCCTCTCCGGCGACTCCTCTGCCCCCTACACCATCTACGGCCCTGAGGTCGCCGAGGTCACCCTGAACCCCGCCAAGGCCCCCGAGGCCGCCGCCGAGGAGGAGGATGAGGATGTCGACCTTTTCGGCTCCGACGATGAGGAGGAGGACGCTGAGGCTGCCCGCATCCGTGAGGAGCGCCTTGCTGCCTACCGCGAGAAGAAGGCTGCCAAGCCCAAGATCGCTGCCAAGTCCATCGTCACCATGGATGTCAAGCCCTGGGGTATGTTTTCCTTGCTCCCGCGGTGTACTGACGAAGCATTTGTGCTAACCCGGCTGTTACAGATGATGAGACCGACATGGTCGCTCTTGAGGCTGCCGTCCGTGGCATTGAGAAGGATGGTCTCGTCTGGGGTGGTTCCAAGCTCGTCCCCGTCGGCTTCGGTATCAAGAAGCTCCAGATCAACCTCGTCATTGAGGACGACAAGATCTCCCTCGATGAGCTCCAGGAGCAGATCTCTGAGTTCGAGGACTACGTCCAGTCCACCGATATCGCTGCCATGCAGAAGCTCTAAGCTTTTGTTGGGAGTTTGATGCAGAGATATGAACAAATTATGAATATAATGATACCAGATGTTGCCATTTAAACATCTGTTCATATCTGCTTTTGAGCCGTGCTTGTATTGTGATGTGACGCTTCTTACGAGGGAAACGGGACTACTATACAGACTTCTTGGGCTAACATAAACAGACCCGGTCAGGATTGAGCTTCGTGACATTGCTTTGGTACCATTCACATCAACGCAGATCGCGAGCGTTAGATTGTTAGAGTGACGGGTCAGTACCTGTCGAGGCGGTCGCGCATGGCCTTGCGCGGTGTGCCCGTCTTGTGCGTACCTTGACAACTGGACTAGGACTGTCAAAAATCCATAGGTATGTGCGTGAACATGCAACATACAAGTAGAGAGGGTCGAAGCTAAAGTGCTACGCAGAGAACATGAAGACTGCAGCAATGAACAAAATATAGGGGGCCCGGTCGCTCTTGAATCATCCTTGCATCTGTTCAATGTCCTCTTCTTCCAGCTGCGCAACTCACTCCTATTTTCCAGCTGCCTTATGCAAGGCCAGGCAGTCTGCACAACTTTCTTGGGTACTTGAGCGAGGCAAGCCTGCCATGAAGTTGGCATAAATCCGGCAGAGCGGATATACGAGTTCGAGTTTATTAGATAAATGCAGGATCCGGTGAAGTTGCATCTGGTGAGCCACCACTGCCTCCGCACACCACCGGCAGCTTCCTGAATTACCTTACGAACGAACCGCAGCTGCCATGCGATGCCGCCAGGTTTGGCCATGGACTGCTGCACAATTACTCTGAGATACCTACTTCTATGCTTCGAAAGGTGCTTCCCACCACTAACGGCTGCGTCAGGACTAGGAACAGAAGATCGGGGGTGAAGGGCTGCACCGGGGAACTTCGCTTGCACGTCTCGGGCATAATATAAGAACAGCCCGCAAGTTTTGTAAACTGCCGTCTATAACCAACGTGCTTCGACTCTCACTGTTAACCTCTCCCCCTTCGTCTACTCCTTACCCTTCTTATCCTTCTTGTTCATCACTATCATAGTCCCCATCCCAGAACCCCGGGCCACAAGAAGCACTACCGTTACGACCAAAAACCCAAGCCATCCCCGCAGTTATGGCAAAATCAACCAAAATGGCAGAGGCAACCTTTGCTGTCAACGTCCGTGGCTTTCACTTCGGCCTTTTACGACTCTGCCCTAAGGCCATTGGCTATTCCTTCAACATTCCTGTCATCTTGGCTTTGCTCTTGAAGGACGCTGTATTCGCAACAGCAAAGATGGTTTTCCAGGTTCCTATGCGACTCCGGTACCTCTTCCCGGCCTACGGTCAACACCTGGCCGTTGAGACTCGAAAGCAGGCTCACCAGTATGCTAGCCCGTATGCTAGCCCGAATGCCTCTACCGACAGCCTTCCCTCGCTTATCTCACCCGGTTTTTCGACATACCGAAAGCAGGCTCACCTGTATGCTAGCCCGAATGCCTCTACCGACAGCCTTCCCTCGCTTATCTCACCCGGTTCTTCGACATACAGCTCAAACATCGGCGACCTCGACCTCGACCTCGACCTCGACCCCGACGACGACGAGCTTCCTTCACTTCCGTATGTCCCTCCGACACCCGAGGAAATCAAACGATGGGTCGAACTCTCTTTTGAGGAACGCCGCAAGGTGGCAGATATGCAGTATAACGGGTGGAGCTGGATGTCGTGGAGTCCGCCTCCGAGTCCCTCTCTGCCGTCGCGTCAACATCTACCGAATGGTATTCCGGAGTGGAGGGAGGAATGGAGCGACTTCGACTTGCCTCCGAATCCTCCGAATATCCCGAAGTCAAAGGACTTGGGAAGATGGTGGGGGGAGGCTACTGAAGAGGACCGCGCCCGGATCAACCGTATCAACATTGACGGGTTGAACTGGCGGACGTGGGGTGCTCCTCCTCCCCAGCGCCCCTGTGACGGAGAGTTTGTCGTTTGGTCTGGGATTGGCCCTTGGGCTGAAACTGGTGACGATGGTGGCCTGCCGAACGGATCACCTGCGACTGGCAGCAGCGAGCAAACGTTGAACGAGCCGATGCTGGACCAACAGCCACTTGTACAGCGCCACCCTCATAAGGGATCGTCAGCTTAGGAAGAGCACGTAATCTCGCATGAGGGGCTTGAGCTTGCTGTTGCGGATATAGCTCCCGCGAACTCGTTGCTGGTTGTCGCACTCTCCTCGGCAGCAGAGCAATCTCGGGACGATAGTGAGGCAAGTTCTTGTCAGGCGTCGTACCAGGATAGAGCGGATTTCACACGACGGATGGACTGATTTGTATGGATTGGGTCAATATGGCATTTGCTGGATCCTCGTCAGGCTGGTGGATTGGCGACGGTTTCTGTTTTCAGAGATGGATAAACATGGGCGTGGTTTTTGAGACTTCTCTTGGAAGCGAAACACGGGACAGGTCACGTAAACGTGAGTATTACCCGTCTTTTCTTTGCACATCAAGGCGTCCATTGTCGTTGGGACATATCGCTAACGTATCTCTTCGTCTTCAGGAACGACCATTTTACTTTTGATCCCCGTCTGTGTGGCTGTTTGACGCGGGTTGTTGATGCCAGCTTGGAATATGCTGCATTGATATATGGTGATGGGTGGCTGCCTCGAGCATTGCGAGGTGGTTTCAGGCGAATGATAGCGACTTTACAGGAGCGGCGCAGCGCGTATGATGTTTCTAGGCTACGGTCTGGCGAGGAAAGCTTTATATATGGAGCGAATTAGCTTCCTTGCATATATTTATTTTTCTTTTAGTATAGGGGCCTACATTGGTCTTGACAACACGATTACTCCTTTGTCGGAGTCGATATCTCCTTAAACGCATCCCTCGCCTATGATTTCCCGTTCTAGGATGGCTCAAGCTCTGATCTGTCGTCTTCACGATGCTTTATCTTCCAGTGAGTGGTCTCTAGATGTGTCGGTCTTGGGCCTCTTGTGTTCAGATGGCTTGTCCTCAGATGGCTTGTCCTCAGATGGCTTGTCCTCAGATGGCTTGTTGTCAGATGGCTTGTTGTCAGATGGCTTGTCGTCAGAGAGCGGTGCCGAACGAACCACGGGTTTACTCATGATAACATAATCTGGCATCACAACCTTTCCCGACCGAAACTTCCTCGGCCCAGGTGAAATGTCATCCGTCTCAAACCCATGCCTTTTGTAAAAGCCAAGGGCGCGCTTGTTGGACAGGAAACACGTCAACATCACTTTCGTGATCGGAGGCAGGTTCGCGGCCACAATTACATGGAAGCCCATCAGAAGTGAACCGAGTCCGGAGCTGTGGTAGGTAGTCAGTTAGAGACTGGTTAGTAGGCGGCACACAGCTGTTTAGTGATCTTTGGATGCTTTTTTTGCTTCCTTACCCCTGCAGTTCTGGCTTGAGATGGATTTCATAGCAATAAACGACGGGCTGACCTTCTTCATAGGTAGGCATCAAGGACGTGAAAGCACGGATGGAACCGTCCGAGCCGTCTTCTTTAACCAGGACATAGCGAAGATCGGGTGACTTCATTTCCTCCATTTTCTTCCTGGGCTGCCATTTATCTTTTGAGTTTTGGTAGTCGTCGTAGCTGGTCTCTTTGATCAGGTCGAAGCATGCTTTGAGGTCCTCCTCGCTGAGCTTGCCGGACTGGACCAGGCTGATGGCGTACTTGGTGCCGGTTTTGGGATGCGGCCATTTTGTCGTCCAGGGTTTCGGTGGTGGTGGTGGTGGTTGCGCCGGCGATGATGGGTGCAATGTGGGTGTTACGGATGGTTGAAGATAGTCGGAGATGAACTCTTCATCGGTCTTGCGGTTGGCTCTCTCGATGGGGCTCGTTGGCGCCCGCTGACGTTTTGGTGCCATGGAATATGAAAGTTGTTGATATTTGATGTTTGAGATGAGGAGTGACGCGTTCGTGGTAGGAATCGTGTATGGTGTTGGGTGAATAATGACGTTGCGTTGAAGTTGAGGTCACGGCGTGGAAATCTGAATGCTCATTTCTATAGCAAGCAGGGTCATGTAAAGTAAAGTAGGTTGAGTACCGCTGATAATTGAACCCTCGATTTCCGCTTCCGGCTCAGAACCGCAACACCACACAAAGCAACTAATATCAACATACAAAAAGGGAGAGTACTTGATACCTCACCACTTGAAGTAACTTTGGGCCTTTCCTATTGAAGCATAGTCTGCACAAGTATCTTACCTCGACTTTCCTACCACACACTTCAATCCGGTACCTGCCAAGCCTGATCTGCTTGCTCCTTTCACTCATCTAAACGGCAAAGCTCAGGTATAAATCAACCAATCTCATCACAGGCACAAACATCACCAGCATAATACCCATTTTCATGAACCGCCCGGCACCGCTTGTACGGTGCTTGCCAGCACTGCGGCTTTGCGTTCGGGGATATGCAAGCCGTCCGCGGCCTCGTCTGGGGGACACGCTGAGTCTGGAACATGTAAGTCACTCCCACTCACCTCGTAATGGGCATTGTTTTCCAACCTACCGTCTTAACTTAGTTTCTCCAAAGAGCCCGGGTTCTGGCTTTGTACCGCACCATCATCCGGGCAACACGCCGGATCCCGGACCCGGCCACCCGTGCCGAGACAAGAGGGATGGCCCGCGCCGAGTTTGAGAGAAACCGCCATGTCACAGATCTTGTTCGTTTTTCTTCCTGCCCGATTTCTCATTTTGCTTGCGTCCCTTTTGCTACTGACGCTGGCCTGTCTCACTCACAAGGACCACATTCGCTATCTGCTCTCGACGGGCAAGACAGAATGGGAGAACATGGAGAGGTATATTGACGGTCTGTAACTGAATAAGAGACCCTTTCTGGCCTCGGCCGTCACCACCGAACAACCGTCCTCTGATTTCTGGGTCTCATTCCTTGTCCCTTCCATATTCGGTTGAGGCCGTATTTCCTGGTATCAATTTAGACGACCAGGCCGCTGCTGGGTCCGCCTATGTTGGGCAATTCCTCATTCTGGGCGACGAAAAATGCTCGTTGAACCTCAGAGCTGACGTACACGTCTCCGTATCGGCATGTGAGTCGGCGCTCATTTTTCAAGATCGTCCTTTCGCCTAACGTATCGTACAGTCCAACCCTTTTATGTAGACCCGAAAATAACCACAAGACTAAGCCCGTTGTCCAGCGCTCATCGTACACACCATGTGTCTCTCCATCGTCGATATCGTTATCGTCATGTTCACCTGTAGCCCTGGCGCTGCTTGTGTCTGGGATTCGCAGGGCAGATGATGTAGAGGTAGCCGTTTTGCCTCTTGTTGGCCTTGCGACGCACGACCTGTAGATTTCGGGTTGACGGATCAGTCCGGGTCCCTAAGCCTCCACATATGCTGTGCGTCTCACCTTGCAATGCTCGCAACGCTTCTTGATAGCGGAGTGAACCTTCATGCCCCTCGATTGCTGCTTGGACTGCAGGCCGTTCTTGGCGCTTTGGGAGACGGCGACGGGTCTGTTATGGGAGCACATGGGCGTGCAGACGTGGCGGGAGAGGAGAGCCTGGGAGAGGCATCGTGTCTGGTGTGTCGAGACAACGGTCTTAGTGGTGTTAACGGCAGTCGCGCGAGGGGCCGCGAGGGAAAGCGCGCGCATCGAGGATGCGAGCGACCGGAAGAGGTTCGACATGGTGACTGATTCCTGCCTGCCTGCCGTTGTTAGGTTGAAGGTTGACGCCGTCGAGGTGCTCGTCGCTGGGTCGCTGGATCGCTGGAGCGCGCGGAATCGAATTGTCTGCCGGCCCGTCAATCGGCAGTGTGGGGTCTGATCAAGCGTCGTTATGCGGCTTTCGAGTGATTAAAGTGCATAGATGAATAAATGTCCGCACTGTTAGAGAATGTGTGCCTTTCGAGGCAACTTGGCGGACAAAACACACCAAAGCCTCCGCCAAGAACCCCCGTGAAACGCAGCTTACCTGGTAATTGGGAGCTCATTTTGTCAATACAGAGAGTTTGAGTTACTGAGCAGCCAAGCTATAAGCGGAAGTGAAGGACATGGTACCTTGTCCCCCGCAACCTTCACAGCCCTGAGGGTGCTCTTTCCACGCTGGGAGCCCGCTGTTGGCTTGGCAGTCACAGCATCGCGCCGCCGCATGTCGTCCCGGTCTCTCCAAGGTACACCACCCAACACCAACCTTCCAATCTCGTCTTCCTCCCTCCCACCTTCCACCCTCGTCGTCCACCTTTCCACGGTGACGATACAGACCGACAAGTGATTGTCACGGAGCTGCCAACACCGACCGCAAGCTTAATGAACCTAAACATCGATACTCGCTGTGTCACTCTCTTGCACTCTCGGTAACATCCTCGTCCTCGTCAGGCGCCGTTCGGTTTGCGCCATCACCTTCACCACCATATCGCAACCAATACAGCCATCTCGACGGCCTTCGAAACAGCAGCGCCCTTAAGCTTGTCCCGTAACCCGCCTCTGCGTTATCTCTTATACATAAACAAATCCCCAGTATATACCGGTACATACCTAATATCAAGTAGCGCCGCGCCCCCGTTGCTTCTTGCCCTTGGTCGCATCCCGCCGCTAGCGTCAACTCGAGCCCAACTAGGCTACTCGCTTCCCGAACACATTCCTCGAGACCGCGATTCTTCAACCTCCTACGCCCCGAACACTCGTGTTGCCGACTGGCATTGGCACTATGAACCAGCAGTCGCAGCAATATCAACCGGCGCGCCGACCGGGTGCCTATCCCTCCCACGGCGACGAGCTTCACATGTCGGGACATCCGGCCCACTTGTCGTCGCCCCGCGAGTACTCGTCCTCCGGCGCACCACATATCAAGCTCGAGCAGATGCCCTCGAGCCCCCCTAACATGCAGAGCTATCAGAGCGCTGGTGCCGTACCCAATGTTCTGCAGCCCGGAGGCATGTCGTCTCGTCCACCTGTCATGCAGTCCAACACGGCTCCTACTCTCCCCACGATGCAACAGTCCGCCGACTACAAGTCTCACAGCTATGAGCGCTCCAGCCCTGCTACCCTGGCCTCCAATTCCTATGACGGCGGCAACTCGCCTTATGCCGCCTACAACCCGACTCCTCCAGGTGGCAGCTCTTCGTCGCAATACATGTCTCCCGCAAGTACCAACAAGTACGCGACCGCTTCGTCATCTCGCAACGTCTCCAACACCCCGCTGGGACTGTCTGATATCCGGCCTCGGGCTGATTCCACCCTCTCTGATGGCATGCTGCCTGGTAGCCAGGCCTACGAGTTGGCCAATCCTCAGTCTCGCACCAGCAACTACATGGCCCCTTGGGCTACGTACGCCTTCGACTGGTGTAAGTGGCGGCCCAGCGCAAACAGTGCCGGGAAATTGGCCATTGGCAGCTACTTGGAGGATGGTCACAACTATATCCAGATCTTGGAGGCCAATTTGACGCAAACACCACCCGATGTATATGTCCCGGGCACCTCCAAGTACTCCATGGACTTCACCCGCACCGCCGAGGCCACACACTCATACCCCGTAACGCGCCTGTTGTGGGAACCTCCCTCCTCCCAGAAACAATCAACAGACCTGCTTGCTACCTCAGGGGACCATTTGCGACTGTGGTCACTTCCAGCTGACCCCGTGGTCCCCACCAGCGGCTCTTCGATCACGTCCAGAAGCGGCCGTGACGCCCCCATCACCAAGCTCACTCCCCTAGCCCTCTTGTCCAACTCCAAGACACCCGATCATACAGCTCCTCTGACCTCGCTCGACTGGAATACCGTTCAGCCCAGCTTAATCATCACATCGAGTATCGACACTACGTGTACCATCTGGGATATCCCATCGCTGACAGCAAAGACTCAGCTTATTGCCCACGACAAGGAGGTGTACGACGTTCGCTTCTGCGCAAACAGTGTAGACGTGTTTGTAAGCTGCGGCCAGGACGGCAGTGTGCGCATGTTCGATCTCCGCAGCCTTGAGCACAGTACTATCATCTATGAACCCACAGGCAAGGAAGAACGTGGTAAGTGTCCCATCTTGAGTTGCCTGAGGTCTATATGTACAACTTGCTAACCCACATATCTAGACGCTAATGGCGGCCGGATCAGTCCTACACTGGCTCAGCAAACCATGTCGCACCCCCCACCCCTCCTGCGACTGGCCACATCTCCGCACGACCAGCACTTGCTCGCAACCTTCGCGATGGACTCCAATGTTATCAGGATATTGGACGTTCGCCAACCAGGGCAGGCGTTGCTTGAGCTTCGGGGCCATGGGGGTTCCTTGAACTGCATTGAGTGGTCGCCCAACCGGAGAGGCACGCTTGCTTCGGGCGGTGACGACTGCCAGGTGCTCGTCTGGGACTTGCTCAACCAGCCTTCTGGTTTGAACGCGACAGGCCAGCCTGATAACGTGAGGAGTCCCGTGGCTAGTTGGCAATGTGACTACGAGGTTGGGAACCTTGGATGGGTCCCCCCAATGGGTAACGGCGAGTATGGCGATTGGTTGGGAGTCAGCGCAGGGCGCGGTGTTTGGGGTGTTCGGATCTAGTACGCCGATGACGCTGCAGATGTAAATCGAAATGGTTCCCGCTCGCGTGAAAATATGTTAACCCAGGGTAGAAGGATGGGATGGGTGCATAAGATTCTTTGCGATGGAGAACACTGTTAATAATGTTTCATAAAGCCAGGCGTTTTTGGGAGATATCCTGTTGCGTAGAAGGTCACGTTCGAAAAAGCAAAAATGGAAACAGCAGTTCGGATCAGTCCGGCTGCTGGTTATCACCCGATGTGGGAAGAGAAACATGAAAGCCAGTAAGTATTTTTTTTTCTTTTTTTTCTTTTTTTTTTCATTCACCCCTTCATGGTGCATAGACTGGTACCAAAAGAACACAAAAGAATCTGACGCTGACAGAGACGTTAAAGGTCTCCAGAGCAAGCCTATAGTTATCTGCTTACCTACATCACTCCAGGACACACAGTAAATCACTCTTTGCGGAGTTTGTTGCTCAGTGGGTTTATTCGAAACACAAACGCAACACCGGTAATGTGAGTTGTACGGAGCAGCCCCGAAATCAGTATAATTTTTTCAAAGCCCGACTTCGGTATGGGCTGATGTTGTATAAGGGCTGCAATTGCCCGATCTTCAGCAGCAGTGTTCACTCGGCAAGAGCGGTAATCAAGGTTTAGACTTGTGTCCGTCGAGCCTTCTCTGCTTGAGGAAGACGGCCAGCACAAGTGCAGTGACCGAGCACGCAAACGAGAACCCTAAGTTATGGTAAAAGTGGTCAGCTCTTGCCATGCGTGGCAGAAAGGGATTCGGGAAGGGAGTGAAGAGGAAACTGACCATGACTCCACCATAGGCCGTCAATATACGACTGGACAACAGCATTCCTAACCTTCTCGATTGTGCCGTCGATAAAGTCAACGTCAGAAACAGCATCCGATATGATCTATGCCTCTTGGGTTAGCGATGACCATTCCGTACGACAAAAGGCACGGCACAGAGCACAAACCTCGGCAACCTCAGCGCTATCATATCCCAGCTTAAGCAGCCGAATCCCAAGGTTCCTTCGAAGCACGGTCTGCATAATCGCGTTCGCAGCAGGCAACCCAATCATCCCCCACACTGTTTGCATCAGATACATGAACGACACCGCAGGCGCCATGTGCACCAGGTCGATGACCACCTGAAGCGAGATGAACAGCGCGCTGCTCGCAACCCCCATGCCGAACCCTCCGGGGAAAATGTACAGCGACTCGAGAAAGTTGGTGTTGCCGTGCCACCTCAGCATCAGGAGAAGATAGCCGATGGAGGAGCAAGTCATAGCCCAGATGACGAGGGACTTGTACCGCCCCGAGCGCTTGATGACGGAGCCAGAGATGATGCCGCCGACAGCGTTGCCCATGACGGCAGGCATGAGGTGCGCGCCCGCGACGGTGGCGGAGGGCCGCGGCGTCGACGTCACTTGGAAGTAGAGGGGGACGCCGAACATGAGTCCCAGCTGGGCGGCCGTTTGGAATCCCAGAATCAAGAACGAGAGGATGGCATCCTTGCTGTGGAAAATCTCCAGAGGCAGGATCGGTTCTGCCTGTCACTTTTCAACTGCGATGAACAAGACGAGAAGGATGGCGCTGGCACCGAGCAAGACGAAGATGAGCGGGTGGGACCAGGGAACGTTGACGCCGCCGAGCTCGAGGGGAAGGAGCAGGGCCAGCACAAGGGCGGCGAAGATGAATGCCCCCTTGAAGTCGATACGGCTGAACTTGCTCTTCTTTAACTGGTTGGCGACATCTGTCTCGTCTAGCGTGCTGGTGTGGTTGGGTAGATATGCGGAGCAGAGAATGATGGCGAGGGTTATAGGCGGCACTTGGCCGAGGAATGACCTATGCGTATCAACGTCAGTGGTTTTCTGTTACGGTCAGTGGCAGAAGAGGCTTACCATCGCCATCCGATGATATCTGCCAGACAACCTCCAAGAGGTCCGCCGAGGCTTCGGCCAAGGGTAGCTACGAGATTGACGTATGCTCTCCATTGGGCAACTTCTCGGAGTGGGAGCAGATCTAAGGGGTAACTGGCTGTTAGTCGTTGCTGGAAATAACCCATCAGTCGACCTCAAAGATTTACTTGCCTGTAATGAGAACGGACACGAGTGCGGACATGCCAGAGGCTCCAGCACCGGATACAATTCGACCCAAGACCACCTGCGACATTGTCTGGCCAACACCGACAATGGCACAGCCAACCATGAACATGGTATACGCAATGATCACCATCCTCTTGCGCCCATAGATGTCACTTAGCTTGCCGTACTGTACAGAGGAAAAGTGGTCAGCATACGCGCATAGGGCTGTTACAATCAGTGGCGTTTCTCACCAAAGTCTGCGTGGCCGCCCCAGCCAGAGAGAAGCTGATGATGAGCCAGCTAGAGTTCTTCAAGGCGTTGAACTCGGACGCAATGATCGCATGGGTTGCCATGAGAATGGACCCATCTGTCTGCGCGACAAAGATGCCTAGCAGCATGACGGATATGATCTTGACCACGTTCATATGAGCGCCTTCCTTCAACGACTCGGTCTCCTCGCGTCCTAGACTCCGCTCCTCGTCTACCTCAGGAACTGGCCTGAGGACTCCATCGCCGGTGGCTTCTTCAGGAATGCTGCGACAGGCATGGTAGTCGGAGCTGGGTTGCGCAGTTTCACTCAAAAGAGGCTCTCGTTCCGCGACTTGGGACTGCTCGTCCCCATGGCGTTGAATCATCTTGACCAGTTCTTGAGCAATGGCCTTTCAAACCCAATGGCAATCCTGAACCAAAAATTAGTAGTTCTCCTTTAGAGTCTCATTAGGGCACATACCTGGAGATCTTGGGAAGCGCAAGATTACGAAGAGCTAAACTCGAACTCGGAAACACGTTCAAGTAAATAATACCCGTGGAGATAGGGTGGCTTTCTGACCCATCCCCACTCTCCTACTGGTAAGTTCCTTGAAGGTCACTACCACCCATTGAGGCTCATCCCGAACCCGGAGGCTGACAACTCCACAATCAGCTTATCCCCGAGATACTATGTATGTGGTAAATGAAGGGTCGAGGCAATCACGACATAAGTGCCTGGATTTCGTTAGACGCAGGTCCGGAGCAACGACAGTTTTTTTTGGGACCCTTGAATTGTCAACGGGATGTTACCTTCCCACGTCGACCCGAAAATAATGCTTGCAGAAACGACAAAGATGAGCAAATGAAAAGAGAAATAAATTATACCATTTCGAAGTTCGGTTAGGCTGCGGGGCAGAGTTGTCATGGAATCCTCTGATAGACGCGCCCGCGTTGGTGCAATTGCGCCAAACTAGCACGCCATCAATGACTTCACCCAACCTCCGAATCCGCCAACGCCAAAACATCGCGATCCGAAGGGAAAATGCTCAGCAATCGCGGCTCCGAACCGGAGCCGCACTGGTTTGACTATGTGACGATGAAGGCATAACATGAGGGAGTTATCTCAACACTGGTTGGGTTCATTGATGGTTGCTGGTTTCCCGACCTTTTCATTGCCCCGGGCCTATTTATTTGGAACCTCAACATGATTGTTTACTACCCCTGAAAATCTCCACAACCGACTGTCACTCAAATCCAAAGGACTTCATCATACAAGCCATCCAAAATGCGTTTTTCAGCGGCAGCTCTCGTAGCAGGCCTACAACTGTCAACCGCTTTTGCCGTGGACAGCGGACAGAAACCCCTAGGCTTCGAACAGAAACCCAAGGGGACGACGACAAAGGGAAAGAAACAGCCTAACATCGTCTTGATTCTTACCGACGACCAAGACTTGCATTTACAATCTCTCGACTATCTGCCCCTTATCCAGAAACATCTGGCAGATGAAGGTACTACATACAAACGTCACTACTGTACAACGGCCATCTGCTGCCCTGCCCGAGTTTCTCTGTGGACCGGGAAGCAAGCTCACAATACCAACGTCACGGATGTATCACCGCCATATGGTAAGCTGCTCCTTAAAACTCTCTGGTCAAGTTTCGGCGTGACTGACACTCAAGACCAGGTGGATATCCCAAGTTCATCAGTCAAGGGTTCAACGAAGCCTACGTGCCAGTCTGGCTCCAAGAAGCCGGCTACGACACTTACTACACCGGCAAGCTTTTCAACGCCCACACCGTCGACAACTACGACTCCCCCTACATAGCCGGCTGGAACGGCTCCGACTTTCTCCTAGATCCCTACACCTACTCGTACCTCAACGCCACCTTCCAGCGCAACCGCGATCCACCAGTTAGCTACGAAGGCCAATACTCAGTCGACGTCCTCGCCGAAAAGGCCTACGGTTTCCTCGACGACGCCGCCAAAAACGTCCACAACCGACCCTTCTTCCTCGGCATCGCCCCCATTGCTCCTCACAGTAATGTCGAGCCGCGCTTCCCTTCTTCAGTAGGCACCCTCCACCGCCGTCCAACCAACGAACAAGACGACATCGAAAAGTTCGTCTCCTTCACCCCACCCATCCCCGCCGCCCGACACGCCCACTTGTTTCCAGAAGTCATCGTCCCGCGCACCCCGCACTTCAACCCATCCTCGCGCGCCTCGGGCGTGTCCTGGATTTCTCGCTTGCCACTACAAAACGCCGAGAACGTGGCCTTCAACGACCACTTTTACCGCCAGCGGCTGCGCACGCTGCAGTCCGTGGACGAGCTAGTCGCGGGCGTCGTGACGCGGCTGGAGCGGTATGGACTGTTGGAGGACACGTACGTCTTCTACACGACCGATAATGGATACCATATTGGTCAGCATAGGCTGCAGCCGGGGAAGGAGTGCGGGTTTGAAGAGGATATCAATGTTCCGTTGATTGTGAGGGGGCCGGGCGTGGCGAGGGGGGAAGTGGCAGAGGTGGTGACGAGTCATGTGGATTTGGCGCCGACGGTTTTGAAGTTAGCTGGGGCGTTGGGTGATAACGATAATGAAGAGTTTGGGCTGGATGGGGATGAAGAGTTTGGGCTGGATGGGGAGGCGATCCCGCTTACTGCTGAGGAGCTGGTTGAAGCGGAGGAAAAGGGGAAGAGACATGAGCATGTCACGGTTGAATATTGGGGCTTTGCCGTCTCCGAAGGTCGAGTGTTCGAAAAGGACGCGACGAGGTTCTGGACGAACAATACATACAAGGCAGTGAGGATATTGGGCGAAGGGTATAACTTGTACTACTCCGTTTGGTGCAGTGGTGAACACGAGTTGTACGACCTTCAGGTGAGTTCTTTTGTCTGGGGTTTCTTTCCCCCGTTCTGATTGTCTAATGTCCACCACGATGCTAACCGACTCATGACATGGACAGACCGATCGTTACCAGCTCAACAACCTCCTCGACCCTTCATCGCTAGCCAGTGGGAAGACACCGTCGTCTCTCCTTGGGGTGCCATTTCAGAAAGTCGTTGCCCGGCTCGATTCACTTCTCTTTGTCCTCAAGTCGTGTAAAGGAAAGACGTGCATCCGACCATGGGAGGCATTGCACCCGGCTGGCAATGTGCAAGATCTACACGATGCTCTCTCAAGTAGGTTTGATTCCTTTTATGAGAAAGAACAGAAAAGGGTCGAGTTCGACCGGTGCGAGAGGGGATACATTGTCGAGGCGGAAGGTCCGCAGTTTGAGACGGACGGGTTGGTATATCGGGATGGGCACCGATGGGATCAGTGGGTTTAGAAGATGCGAGCATCTCTATGTTGGGAAGACATCTTCACTTCTACGTATGACCTTCCTTACTTGTTGCCATAGAACAATACTTCATCATAGTCAATGTTTGAATGAGTTGGTCATCTTTAGCTTGGAACACGAAGTGCCTGGTTGGCTATGCACTACGATTATAAAATCTACCACCCAATCGTGTTTTCGAAACATAAGGCATAATGGGATGATGAGAAGCAAAAGAAAACAAAACATAAGGAGGCAAAAATAAACAGATGAAAATTGAGAAAAAGGAAAGACAAGAGAGAGAAAAAAAGGCAAAAAGAAACTTGATATGCCCACAGCCAGAATCGAACTGACGACCTCATCATTACTAGTGATGCGCTCTACCACTGAGCCATGCGGGCTAAGCAATTCAAGTTGTTGAAAATGATCTGGGATGTGGCACTTATAAGTAGAAGTAAGTCTATCAGGTTGAGTGCTTATGCTGTGAGTCGTTCCTGCTTTCTTGTTTTGAGTTGCTCCTGCTCCGAGTTCAGTTGCTCCTGCTTCAAGGCTTCAAGTTGCTCCTGCTTCAAGGCTTCAAATTGCTCCTGCTTCAAGGCTTCAAATTGCTCCTTCTTTAACTTGCTGTTGCTTTAAGTTGCTCCTGGTTCGACTTGCTCTTGCTTCGAGTTCAAGTTTTCTGTCTCGAGTCATTCCTGCCTTTCTCTTCTTCTCGTCATATTGATCAGCTGACTGACAAATGGGTGCCTGTAGTACCTCTTCAACCTCCCTCTATTCTTCCGAATCATCGTCCTCGACTCCGCCACGACCGCCGGCGCCCGACTCGCCATCCCGTCGCTACCCATCGGTGGTTATCAATGTGATTGTTCGCTGGGCACAATACTAGCACGCAACCGGTCTCAGCCTCCATATTTCTCGAGCCAGTAGGCCTTCCTATGCCAGACCTGGCGCGCAGACCTTAATAAAGGGCTTATGTGTGTAGTAAATAGTCTGTAGATTAGGGCCACCTTGGCGACGATACTTGGTAGCCCGAAAACATCCCATACTCCGGTAACCGTAACTCCAACGCCCAATCCCAAAAGGTCATATCACAACCCTCCTGTAAACTGTTATCACGTACCCAGCAGAGATAGACTAATCCTGCAAGGCCTTAACTTTGACCCTCAAGCGTCTGTTTGACCGTCGTCCGTAAGTCTTCCCAAACATTAGTGCCATCAAGCCTTAGATGTAAGCCCTCTTCGCAACATCAGCCGCCTCTGCCCCCGCGATTCTCCCAAACACCACACACTCCAGCAACGACGAACCACCCAGGCGATTATCCCCATGAATACCGCCAGTAATCTCGCCAGCGGCCCATAGTCCCTGAATAGGCTTCTGCTCCTCCCCAAGCTCGGACGAAAGCACCTGGGCATGTTCATTAAACACGGCACCACCCATGGTGAAATGCACGATGGGCGTAACGCGGCCCACGCACACCTCTGCGTCTTCATCAATAGCACCGGCATCGCTCACGCCGAGTTTCCAGTGCCCGAACGCCTTGCGGCGGAACGGATCCTCCTTCTCCCCTCTCACCACGCTCGCATACTCCTTCAGCGTCTCCTTGGTGGTTGCATCGAGTTCGGAAACCTTCTGCTTCTTCATCAGGCCCTTCCACAGATAGAACCCCATGTGGCCAGCAGCAGCCTCGGCAGCGCCCGGGTCGAGCAGGAGTTGAATATCCCATTGGCGTAAAGAAGCGCCTTCGACTCCGTCGCCCGGCAGAGCCATGATGGCGTTGCTCACACGCTCCCTCGTTTCCAGCTCGTTGACAAACCTCTTGCCGTTGTGCAGCAGGATGCCGCCCTCACCCCTCAGCATCTCGGCGGCGAGGAATTTGACGGGCACCAAGGGATTGGCCGGATCGACGAAGCCGGTCGGGTGAATCTGCACACTGTCCATATCGACCAGCCTGGCACCGACGGCGGCGAGCAGATCGTGGGTGCCCGGTCGCGGATCGTTGGTGGAGGGCATGCCGTCCAGATCCGGGCGGTAGCGGGCCAGCAGGCCGTGCGTGTCACCGCCGAAGCCGCCGGTGGTGAAGATCACGGGACCGGTGAGCTGGTGGAGAGAAGTACCGTCACCGCTGCCGCCGTTGCCGCCGTCCTTGGTCGATCTGTACTTGACTCCAGTAACAGTTACGGGGTGATGATCCACTGAGGAGCCGCCGCTCCCGCGGCTGGAGACGGCAGAAGTGGTGGGGTCGGTGAGCAGCCTGGTGACCTCACAGTCGGTCATCAGCTCGAACCGGTCTCCTCCCGCCTCCTTCAACTTTCCGAGAAGGGTGGTGATGATGGCGGCTCCTGGGGGCGTCTTGCCAGCGCCGCGATGGGTGCGCGGATGGCTGTGGCCACCGAGCTGTGCCACCACGGTGAGATCCACGCCTAGATCGGTGAGGAAGTTGATGGCATCTGCGGATCGCTGGGTGAGGACCGAGATGAGGGACTCGCGCTGGGCCCTGGCCGCAGGCTGACTTGTGGTTTGCGAGGAGAGGCGAGTGCCGGCAGAGCGGACGGTGTCGTCCCAGAAGGTCTCGTCAGGACCTAGATTAGGCCAGGCGGCCTGTTGGAAGCAGATGGGCGCCCCGTTAATGCCCGAGGAGGCTTTGATGCTGTTGCCTCCTGGCTTCGAGGCACGTTCCAGCAGGCGAACCGAAGGGGCGCCGGCGCGCAGGGCGGAGTAGGCGGCGGAAAGCCCGGCAAGGCCGCCGCCGACTACGATGACACAGGGACGTGAGGCCTGTGATGTCATGGCGGTTGTTTCGGACGGGGGTAGTCTGTCAACGAGGTTCGTCGTAAACGATTCGAGTGATGATGGCAAAAGGTGGTGATAGACGACTGCGGCAATGGGAATCAAGACTGCAAGATAGACAATCAAGCGAATCTGTCGCCTGGTCATGACAGTATCACGATAGATGGATGTGCAATTTCAGCTCTGTAGCATGAGGGGACACTGATCACGACGGCCATGTTATTTTATTGATGGCCCGAATGGTGAGGGGTGGCGATGCTGGCGTGCAGTCAGATATCATCAGATGTCAGTCAGGCAACGGGAAGCTGGACGGGAAGTAATCGGATGAGAACCGAACCATCTCCTTGGGACGAAGGTGCGAATGCTACCGAGTTGGAGTTTCCCGTCTGTTCGCGGGTGTAATTCGAAGGCGGTAGAGCCCATCATCCGATGTCTGCGTCGACCTTGAATGGTCACTGGTGCCTGCCTGTTCAACTAGAAGTACCTTCCACTTGCCCTGCCCGAATTGCAACGTGTAGTCGGTGAAAGGGAAGACGTAAATCGCATCGCTGTTTCAATGGCTGGTCTGAACCTCGAGCAGATATTCATCTTCACTTCAGCCAGACTTCGAAGGCTCAGAAGCATCATGATTGACATGAAAGGAAATGTTGAAGTTTAGGTCAGTGCGTGCGCAGTGAGAGCCGAGAACAATTCCCGGGCGGGCATGAGATCCACTGTAAAAGGTTTCCCACCCGGGCCGCCGCTGACTAAACAAGTCGGTGATTTGAAGGAAAACGCTGTGTCGCGTAACGGACTTGTAGAAAGGTACGTACCGCCTCCCCAATCGCCTCCATCCTCTCACACTATTGGCCCGCATTTCTCACCAAGATCCGCCAGACCAAGTACCTCCATTTCCAATAGTCAAAGTCTATTTCGAGCAATATCTACGCTGCAAAAAAGGTAACGCATCCATGCAACTCAGCTGGCCCAAAAGGGTGCTTTTGCCCTGTTTTGCTTCATATCGGGTTGCGGAGGGTGGAATGCGAGGGTTTGAAGTTTCAAAGTCGACCTCTGAATTTGTCACTTGAAAAGTGGCGGTACGTACCTTTTTACAAGTCCATTACGCAACCCCGGACTGGCAGCCGCAGCATGGTCCATGCCGTGGAACTGGAAGGATGAAGGCACACAAGTTGCGGATTGCAAGCATGGATTCTGTCCCCTTTGCAATTTTCTTTTGTTTCTTCTCCAGATCGAAACCATGTCCCCCGGCGGGTTTGGAAAACCATATGCATGAAGAGCCGGGAAAGAGTTCCACTGATCTCCGCGAACACACAAAAAAAGTGCGGAATTGGAAATGTCAGCAGGTTGGAATCGGCAAAGAATGGGCAGGGGAAGGTTGTCAACTTTTGTCCATAGACCACCATGTTTGATGCTGTGGAAACCCCAGCGAGGAGATGTGACTGAGAAGAAGCCTTGTGAATATCAAAAACACACACGGCAAAGACACCCGTTCTTTATTTCCGTCGACTTTGAAAACGTGGTGGGCAGGCTGACGAACGGTTACATATGTCTTGTCATCACCGTTGTCAAATAGAAATTCTCGGATATTTGCTTTCTTGGCTTATAGTCTTGGTATCCACTATAGGTACACCTGATACAGCGATAATTGCATGTCCCGAGCTATCAGACCAGTGACGTCTGGCCGGGTACCGTCGGCCATCATCCTGATCCCGAGACGATTATCCAGAATATAAAACCAATTTTAAGCTTCAGCTTGGCAATCCGTAACAGTGATCACTGGTCATGTGCTCTGCTCCTCAATGCTCCTGCTGGAGACAGACAGACCAGATTATCCCAGCTATTGCCAACCTCGTTTTCCAACCAAACAACAACAATGCTGGACAACTCATCTTCTCTCGTTGATAGCGCCAACATTCTCACATCAGCCGCCGAATGCCAATGTGGACCCGGTCGGACAGCACGTGCATCCCGTCCCCGTTGTTCCTCCTCCTCCTCCGGTCCGGAGACCCAACCACCCCCCGTTACCCCGTGCACCAAAAGCTGCAAGAGCGGAGCCGGATCGGTCCCGATTCTGCTGCTTCTGCTTCACGGTCTTGCTTGACCTTCCCGTTTTGTCACAAGACTCTGACCTCGCCCGAACATCGAATCGAATGATCAACCACGGTCGTGGAGAACTCCATCGATCATCACGCCGACATTCAAGAAAACGCGGGGTTGCTGCAACACTCCATCTCGATCCTCTTGTCCCTTTTCTCCAAGCCCGGGGGAACGGATGAGATGATACACTAGACATTGTGGGATAGGGGTGATGAACGGATGGTCAGGTGCACAGTTGCACTTGACTTACCAAAGCAACCAGATAGTGCAGTGCTGATCGATCTGATCTTGGAATTTCCCCGGCTGGTTGCTTAGGTACCGCTTTTACTCAGTCGTGAGAGATTTACCAAAGGCGCTAGCTAGGAAGATGAGGGAATCCCATTGGACTGATTCCTCATATGCAGCTAATCCCGCCGTGCATATGCTTCTTTCGCACCAAAACTGCCAGGTTCAGTAAATCTCTTACGACTGGGTAAAAGCGGTAGGTTGGATATGCGAGATCATCACTCTCAATGATTTTCCCTTTTACCAAGTTGCATTGAAATTCAGACACGTGAGATTTCCCCGGTTTAAAGGGAGGTTTAAGCTTTACCGTTTGTTTTCTCGGTACTACCTTCGCCACCGTCTTATAAGCAAACGTTGTTGATGGTTTATTTTCATGGTGAGCATCACACTTGGACTTCACACTCCGTAACAGAACTGAGCACTGCCTACCTATTTCTCACTCCTCCCTAGCACAGCACTTATTGACTGTATCACGCACGAGCAAGAAATGGTCAAGTCATCTCGACCCATCAGATCATAAATAACCTCTGAAATCCTTGGCACCAAGCATTTCTGGCCGAGTGTAATGGGTGTCTGGGTGTACTCTCGCCAGCCACAAACTGAATCAGGGGAAGCGAAGAGCAGTGTCCTCCAGAATAGGGGCAACGGCAGTTGCAAAACCTATGGTCTTTTGCTCGCATACAATATCGGTGATTTGGTAAACGCTTGGCAACAGAGCAGCATGAAATGAAGGACAACTTTGTGACTCTATTTGGGAACCTCCATTTGTTGACAGCCGAAGAAGCATAGAGACATGTGTACACTAATCGACGGGGCTGACAAACCAGGCATCATCATGCCCCCAAGTCTAGACCGGCCTCGCACCCGGCGAATAATCACAACTTGCCAAGGCAAGGGAGTCTGGGGTAAAATCAATAAAAAGGCCACGTGCGGAGTTCTGGTTGTGGAGTTTGGGCGCAATGGATGAGTGGCATTTTTGTGATGATATTGAAAGTTTACCAGTTACCTAATTCATTGAAACCAATCGCCATTCAGGGGAGCGGAAGAAATAACGTAATGAGAGGGGAGAATTGTTCCAGGACGTCTTTCTTTGAATTCACCCAGAGTGGTCTTTGATTGGCTCCGCTCCCTGAGCATCCTTGTGAGCGTGGAGCGCAAAAAAGGCAAGTGTTGTTATGGGGTTATATGGAGGAGTGTCGTCATGACCACTTGGTCTGACAAACCGCACTTTCTCGGTTGCGCTTTCCGTGCCCTCCCACATACCCAAAAGAAAACACCCACATTGAGATCTGATAAAATAACGTCAAATTGACGATGAACCCAAAAAACCGGTTGCGAACGAGTCAGTCCTGTCCCCGGAGAGAAAAAAGGATCCTCAACGGTGACGGACGGACGGGTCCATCCCCCTGAAAGTTCTGAAACTGTTTTTCGGTTTCCCCAGGGGTCCTTTCCGGCTTCCATTTCCACCCACAGAGCCTACACGCACCTCCAGATTTCGCCAGATTGTCGAGATTTGTCGAGATTCACTTCCATTGCTGGGCTCGCAACCCCCATCATCCCCGTCCTCCTCCATTCCTTTGTAATCCGCACCCCCATTTCCATCTCCATCGCCAATCCTTGGCAATTCCACCAATTCCACTTCCGTGTCCATCAAGGTAAGAAAAAAAAAGTGACCCCACAAGCCTGGGCAGCAAACTCCCTGCACCAACTCCAGTCTCCCAGAAGCCGGCAGTTGTTGAGGGTCCACTTCTTAAGAGCCTCGGCATAGCAATGCATCATCCAAGTCCTCCACGGGGGGATGACGCGTTCGCATAGTTCATGGCTTCCTGCTCACTCTGTCTGGACCAATCCGAGAAAGGGGGCACGTGCGTTGCATTTGCAGTCTGCGCAAGATATGGATGATCTCGATGTGGGTTGTGGGTGTTTAAAGGACAGGACGGGCCACAGAACCTCCGTTGCCCGACATTGTTGAGCGCCAAACAGAAGGGAGGACTCGCCGGACGGGTTGCGATTGGACCCCCAAATGGATTGACAATTGCTGTGGTCGGCGCTGGTGCCGGGAGCCCGTGCGATGGTCCTTTGAGAATGGAGTAACCGGCTACGAACGTGCCGCATCGACATTAGATATCAAGAAGATATCGGTGTTGGTGCTCACACTAACGTCGATAGCATCGAGAGAGGCATGTTCCATGGAAAGTTCTGCCGCCACGTGCGCAACCGGTGCACAACATTATCTCCGGGCCGATTTCCAACCACGTACGTAACATATAGCCGGGGATATGGTTTGATTACATGAGGGCCATCTTGAATACCGGAAACAAGCTTAAGCTTTGCGACGGGGAGCTTGCGACGGGGGACGGGGGACGGGGAGGATGACAGCGGGGACGCCGACAGGGACGGAGCCGAACTCGAAGTGAAGCGGAATCACTTCCGAAGCGGACGGGGACCGCCCTTTGCCCACGGGGAGATTTGACGATTTGACAAGCGCTCAATGGCTGGTCGGACAGGACGACGGGGGTCGGGGATTGCGATTTCGGCCAAAAGAAACCTAAAAGATAAAAAAAAATCAACAAGTGCGACAAAACCGTCGGTACCCGCGCCGAAGTCTATTTCTTTCGTCTCCCTCTGGGGATGTTCTCCTCTTCCTCCCCAATCTAAACCAATCACCATTCTGCAACCTCAGATTTGTGAGATTCGTCATCCCAGTAAGCGACTCCATAATGGTAGATCTTGGAGTGGATGACCTTGTGGAGGACGGTGGAGATGGCTTCTTTGGAGGCCCAGAACCAAGGCAAATTCAAACGGAAAAGAAAAGCGTAGCATTGCCCCTTTCAGGAAAGGAAGAGCCGAAAGAAGGTGGAGTAAGCCTTGTGTTTGAGCGAAGCGCAAAAAGGCGGAAAGCCATTCGGTAACCGGGGTGAGAGGCAAAATGGCAGGGGATGGACGTCATCTGAAAACGTCGGCTATGATTCCACTGCACATCGCTTGATGGCAGAATTCTTTGGTAGCCACCACCACCACAATAGATAGGGGGCGATGAGGACGGGGCGGAGGAATAAGAGTGACACAGCAAAAGGAGAAAGTGATATAGGCGGCACTGATTGAATATTGCTGAAATGATACATATGGTTAGCTTGGCTGGGCCAGTGACTGACTGACAAAGTCCGACATGATTTGCGCCCAGTCGCTGCGTTAGCGAGGAAAAACATGCTTAGGAGTCCATACATGAAAAACGTGAAAAGGGTAATAATGATGTGTGTAAACATTTGGTATCGTCGTGGATCCAATCCTTGATCCGGTATTATCAAAACAGAAAACATCAACATATGATGAACATGACCCAAACCTGGCTAGATATCCAAAGCCGTAAACTACTCGCTCGCCAAATAACAAATACCCACTGTGACCCGCTTAAAAAGAATTCATAACGTAAGACATATCAGGAAAGAACGGCCAGGCCGACTTAGGCCTGGTCACGGTCAGACTTGGCAGCCATCCTGCTCTCACGGCCCTTCTCAGACCAGGGGAAGTGGAAGACAGGGAGGAGGAAGAAGGAGTTGCTGTGAGAAAAGAACCGTTAGCGCATGATCATTTGAAGTTATATGAGGCTCTGCACCAGGGTCAAGGATGATAACAATGACGTGTGCTTGGCAGATGCAATGGAACGAGGGGGGAACCCCGAAAGGACCAGTAGTGTCATGGCATGGTTTTGGACAAAGCCCAATGCCAATGCCAAGTTTGGGGTATGAGGCCAGGATAATGACGCTGTACTTTTTTTCTCGTTTGTCCTTGTGGGAGGGGGGGTAGATATGTGACAGGAAAAAAAAAAAGAAAAACGTAAAAAGAAAATCATTCTCGGGGTACTAACCTGCTATCCGCAATACCAGCAAACGCGTTGTACCAAGCGAAGAAGGCGGCGAGCATGCCGAAGACACCGCCAGCCTGGGTGAGCTTGTGGGAGGCAGTGAGGGCTCCGTTGTCGTTGGCGTACTCGCCGCAAGCCAGCATGAGGAAGGCAATATCCAAAGTGAAGAAAAGCATAAAGAACATGATGGTGGAGCGCAAGGTGCAGAGAAGCAGGATGGTGGTGAAGATGAACCAGCCAGTAAGGAAGATGCCGACAGCAGACGAGGCCATCTTGGGATCAACCGCCTTGGCTGCGTCGCTAGCATAGGGACCGTCCTCGCCAAGGATGTTCCAGGCCGGAGTGAGAAGAATGGCATAGGAAATCCAGAAGCCACCGAAAGAAGAGAGAGCAGTAGCACCGAAAGTGTTGCCAACAGCCATTTCCCTAGAGGCACTTGTTAGACATGATGATTGAAGAGGGTGGCAGGCATTCAATGATTGTACTTACCACATGCCGGCAAGGAGCTGAATAAGACCACCATAGGCGAGAGCAACGCCGACGACAACGTTGGGGGTGTTCAAGCCACGGGCGTTAAGGTTGACGCAGGAGAGGATGAAGGTAGTAAGGGCGAAAGCGCAGAGACCCAGGGGCGCTGGGTTGGCGAACTTGCGTTCCTTGACTGGGCGATAGAGACCGGGCTGGAATTCACCACCGAAGGCAGGCAACCTGGGCTCAGTTCCGGTGTGGATACGAGCCATAGGGTTGTGCCAGCCACTGAGCATAGCCTCTTGGTGGGCGGCAGCGACAGCGGCCTGGGCCTGAGCCTGAAGCTGAGCTTGAGCTTGGGCCTGGGCGTGGGCCTGCTCCGTAGAGATGTTCTCAACCGAGGGCTTCTCGTCGTACATTGTGCGAACTTGTTGAGAGGTGATGATATGTTAAGGCGTAGTATGTATTGTCGGACCAGGTGAGGAACCAAGATGTGGTGTTCCTTAGATGTCGATGTTGTTGCAAGGTATGGCACCTGGAGACCTGGGGAAGATGGAAACAGAGAAAAGGGTCCTGGGGAAGGACTGGGGAAGAGAGGTTGATATAGAGAATAACGATGGGTTGAATGGATCATCGATTACATATCCCACGGCCAGAAGAGCGGCATGTTGAACATGGCCGCTAGACAAGCGTTGCCGTAATGGGCAAGCGATGCATGGATGATCGGCGGAGTCCTGGGGTTACCTGGAGCTGCTTAGATCTGCCCTTGGGATGAACTGGCTCATCTGTCAGTGGAGAGTGGATGTAAGTGATGCAGGGACTAGGGCCCCGGGCCGTCATCTGGGGGACTGAAGACCAAGTGGGACGGCGTCCTTGGGCGTGCCAACTCGTTAGTGGCATAAGGGGCAAAGCTTTATGCCGGATAAATGCATTTCCCCACGATATTCCCTGAGCCCAGCCTCTGCTGGATCTCGACTGGACCTCAACTGGGGTCGGGCTGTGCCTCTGACTGGAGCAAGCCGGGTCACGGCTCCCATCACGGCTGAGGCTGGTTGGACCGTTGGAGAGCTGCCGGGGGGGCACCCCCAGCCCACGGAGGGACAGCCAACACGATGAGGAGACGGATGCAAGCCGACAAGGACATCGGTGAGAAAGCGGATACCTCCCTCGGCCCAAGGCTCTCTCTTGGTGGGTCGTCGGTGGTTGTGTTAAGCTGTGTGCTCCACTGAAAGACGGAGAAGAAGATCTGGAAAGGCCGTCTCCTCACTGGACAAAGCTGATTAATCCACCAGAATACGGGGAAGGTTGCGTGGCATGATATAGAGGTTGGTCCACAACACTTGCAGTCTGCTTGGTAATTAATTCCTTACACGCCCAAATTACAAAGTCTTGGTAGAGCCGTCTGTCTGAAATGTGAAGGGCATGGAAGGGGACAAGCAATAAACACAGGTCCAAACAATTAATGATAGAACGGTCTTGTGCATTGGGATTGTCAGCTGGGGTGTTTTAGACTTTGTCGGAGCAGGTGCCTGCTGTCATGGATATCTCATAGACTAGATAATGCACTAGTAGTATTAGCAATAAGGGGGCACTGGAACAAGGAGGCTCACTCACCACTCGGCCAAATTCAACCGACAACCACAATGTGTAGCATCCAACTAGAGTCCCTTTTCGCTCCACAAACCCCGGAGAGTCTACCACACGCTAGTATGATCGTCTCAGATTGGATCTCCCAAGTGGTTAAGGTTAGAGGTGACATGACTTGAAATGATGCCTGACTGGCGAGGCTGGAAAGCTGTTCGGCACATAGCATAATTGGATATCTGATGGCACTGCTCAAGTCGGGCTTCAAGAATTGAGTACTCTGATCAAAGGGACGAGACCAGACTTGGTGAATCATAGGGTGTAGTTTGGTGGTTTCTCCCAGTTGGTTTCGATGACCAGAGGAAAGCACTTTTTTTTCTGATACAACTTTGTTTTTCTGTGGCCGCATGTAGGGTAGCAATCGCGACCAGTAGCGCATTCTTCCTTCTCACACGGACTTCAGTAGCTTGCAATTCTGGTAAAGATCGCCGGGTATTGGTGGTTAGAGTAGTGCCGAGATAGCCATACAATCGCAATTTCTTTTGCTGAAGAGGCTCCTTTTCCGACGCACAAGGTACATGGGAGACAGAGGCTTCATTCAGGGAGGTCTGCTACCCAAGCCAGCATTGTCTCAGTGTCGACATCCGGTCGTCCATCTTGGTATTCACCAAAGCAATCTGGTAGGGAGGTGGGGGATGGGCAACGATTGGTTGGGGAGACATTGAGGTGCAGAGATGCGGCCTCGGCGTCATCTAAACCACATGGATTGGGATTTGGGGGACACTGAACTAGAAAAGCAGAGAACCAAGGGAGCGGCCGGTGGCTTGACTTTGCCTTTCCTGTTCGATTCCCGCAGCGATTGCCGGCTGGGCGTGCGTAATGGGCTTGACTGGCAGCTGAATTTCTAATATTTTTTTGGAGATGTTCCCATGGACGACTGTATAGATGATGTCCACGATGGAAGTTGTCGAGATTGTGGTATAGAGTCGGCTCAAGTGCCCGGCAAATGGGTGTCAGAAAGACCAGCAAGTCGAACGCCAATGACCACCAGTCAAGTGGAGAGAAAGGCAGAAAAGGGCGGACTTGCTCGACTTCCGCTTTTACCCAGTCGTAAGAGATTTACTAAACCTGGCAGTTTTGGTGAGAGAAGCTGCATATGCAAGGCGGCTTTAGTGCATATGAGGCATCGATCCAATAAAGTTATCCCATTTTCCTAGCTAGCGCCTTTGGTAAATCTCTTACGACTGAGTAGAAGCGGTTGTCACCACCCTGTCTGTACTGTGTGCCGGGAATAAGGGGAGTTAGCAGACTGATGCGGGAGTGTCAGAGTATGATCGGGGGAAAGCCAAGTGGTCGCTAACCTCGCCGGTGCTTTGGCGTGTCTGGCTAACCATGAACGGATGCGCCATCCGGAGTTGCAGTGAAGCATCAGTTGGTTAGGATTGCATGTCATGGATGTCCATGGAAAAGGGCGAAGGGAGGGAGTCCGTCCTCAGGAAACATCCGTTTGGGAACACGAAGGCATTAGGTAAGGCATGATAGGTAGTGGTAAGATGGAACAAGTGAGGTTTGGAATGGAGACCCGATGGTTGATACCGCCATTGTAGGTCTGCACTTCCTTTGCCCGTTTGGTGGTGGAAAGGTGGACAGATTTTCCCCAGGCGAAACCGGGCGAAACAACCTTGATTGCTCCCTGGCAGTTGCCCTGTTGGGTCAGGCATCTCAATTGGAAGTCAAGAGTCAGAACTCAGAAGGAAGGAAGGGACCGACGGGAACGGAGCCCGAGTGGGAGAACTTTCCACTTCCACTTCTGCAACTGCCTGAATTGAAGTGACGGAAGACGGGAGCAAGGAGGGGAGGATGGAAAGTGGAATGAAGCCCACCAAAGCCCACCTTCCCCATAAAGTAGTTGATTCAAAAGTTGTGGATTTTCTCCGCACATTCCCCCGTTCCTTCCCCTTTCTGAGCATGGCTCCTGACATGCCTGAAGCCAATTGTTCTGCGCGGTCAGCATTTCTTAGCACCATTACGTCGTTTGGCACATGGGACGCTGTTAGTGCAACCCATCACCCCCCGAATCCCCCTTTTTAACCTTTTTTGCTCCATTCTCCGTCTCCACGGCCAAGCGGGGGAATCTGGGGAAAGTGCAAAGACCGAGTCATGACTTGTTTCTAGTGCTGTGCATGACGAGACACTCAATTGAAGCGGAGCTGCACCCGAATCCAATGTTGAAGGCTGCTGCTGAAATGGGTTGTTGATTGTTGAAAAATGGATTCAAAGTAGTGACGGATGAGGGGGGACGTTGCGGGGAAGTGAAATACCGACGCCAAGTACCGTCGTACCGTCGTTCATCCAGTCTTGTTTTCTCCTTTTATGTAACCGTGTAAGGGCTTGCTTGCCCTTAGGGTTATGCAACTATCGGTGGTTTGCATAACGCTTCAAGTTGTGCATCTCCCCATCCCCAACCAAAAGTCTGAAACTCAATTTCTTCCACTTCCTCTGTCGTTCAACTGCCACTGCCCGTGCCGGTGCCGGTCTCAGTGCCGGTCTCAGTGCCGGTCTCAGTGCCGGTCTCAGTGCCGTATGCCTCCTGGGATCTCCCAAGTTCTACAGTATGGCTTCTTCTGGTCATAAGAAAAAAAGGGTCATGCTGATTTGTGCTGACGGGGTCCAAGACGTAACCGAAAGACTAGCCTCGGCCCTTCTCTATCATGTAATCCATCACGATCCATCCATCGGCATCCAGCCTCTTGCTTTCCATCCACCTGGCACTTCCTTGTGTTCCACGGCCATTGACGGACTTTTGACACCACAAATCCAGAGAGAAGTGGAAGCCGGCCTTTTTGTGCTTCTGGTGTACTGTTGTTGCACATTTTGACAGTGTCTCACGGTTATCACGGCACTTGTGCACACCTGTCCGGCTCTGCTCTTTGCCGTCCACACAACCCCCATCGTTCTGGGTCTTGGCGGATGTGCGGCTCGTTCGCCGGCACTACTACCTAACCACACTACAAAGACAGACTGTTACACTACATCCCGACACTAACCTCCTGGCAGGGGGATATTAGCATTGGTCTGGGTGTTATTTCTCTTGTGAGTCCCGAGTGTTGCTCCGAGTGGAGGACCCAATATCAAAGAAGCCCCGGGGCAGACATCCGGTTTCGGTCAAGTAACGCCGGCAGCTCTCTATGCCTTTACCCATGGGTTTCTCTGTCATCAAAAGTAGCCTTCATCCATGGATGTCTTGACAAGGATCGTCAGGGGAAAAAGCCATCTTGATGATACGTTGGCAAGTTGGTTGCATGCTTGGCCATCGTTCGGGTCATCAAAGAGCAAGCTAGCTAGCCAGCTAGCCAGCTAGCCAGCCAGCCAGCCGGCCAGCCTCCTGGGATTTTCAGGAACATCGACAGACAGACTGGCTCACAAAGGCAAGGGCCCAGTTTGACTACCACATGAAGCTTGCGTGTTCCTGATCATCATCAAATTACCTTCATCACCCTGACGGAAAGTGCTAGTGTAGTGCTCTGCGGCAGTTACCAATGACATGAACCAACAGCTGAACACCACGTAGGGATTACAGAGACGTCCTCTTTGCCTGCTAAACCTGCCTTCTGTCCCCTTTCCCTCCGAAGATCTGTCCATGGAACAGGTCCCGTTACTGATACAACGTCACTTGTACCCAAAAAGGGATGTACTTTAGAAAGAAAGAGGACCACGGTTGTTCTAGACTACGATCAATCCCCCTTATTCCATTCCGTGGGTTATTAACCTAACAAAGTGATTAGGAGAGACAAAGGGGAAGAAACAAGAACAAGAATCAAAAGTAAAGAGATATGTAGAATTCAAGATAGGGAGAACAGCAAAATTCAGAAGAGATCAAAGAAAAAAAGAGGCAGGACTACGGAAAAGAAACCTACTTAACACAGAAATTTTTTCAAAGAGATAACAGAATGACAGAGAATGAACATCAATCAAAACCCAAGCAAAGAGAAGAAAAGCCCGAGGGGAAACAACATAACAATACCTACCAAAAGGGGACTACCTCCAACAGCAATAGAACAAACATCAGCATTCATCGCCATCACCAACATCCACAATCATCGAGGCGAAGGCTTGCCCTTTGCTTCAGGTTTTAGTCACAAAAACGGAAGGAGGGCGGGTTTTCGGTTCCTCTTTCCTTTCACAGCATCTCTTGCGGTTCTCTTCATTTCTCTACGGCCCGGGCCCCTCTTCCTTCCCCCATCCTTCCCCCATCCTTCCCTCTTCCTTCCCCCTTCCTTCCCATTTCAATCCTTCCCTCTTCTCCCTTCTCCTTTCCCCCTCCCTCCTTCCCCAAATCTGACCTACCTATTTTACCTGCCCCAACACTCCAATTCCCCCAAAACCTCCAACAAGTCCTTCAAATAAGCTTTGCGGCTGCACTTTAACACCTTAACACAAGCCGCTTATGCATTCGTTTGCATCGGCTGGCATTGACTCGTGTCGCTTCGCCTAAGCTTTGCAGTTCGACATCTTGGCCTACTCCCACCCGTCTTGGCTTGCTATCATACTACACAACTGCCTATCACCATGGGTCAGGGAAACTCGTTACTCATGGGCCACGTGGTTTTGTTGATTACATCTGGGTCAAAGAAACTGTAGAGACTAACTGGACTTTTGTTATTGTGGCATCCGAAACTGAAGTGTGATAATTTCTCGTGCACCCGACAGTGCACTTTTAAACGAACCAGGACATGAAAGAGCAAGCTAGAAAAGCATATCATGATGGCTGCCAAAAAAGTAAAAGCAAATCTCAACCATAAGAAACAAAGCAAAGGAAAATCAAGACCAATAAACCATCATCAACAGAAACATAGGTAATCATCCACTTCCTTCGTCCAATACAACCTTGAGCTAGCTCATGTCTTCTTTCATCCCTTGACTGTAGACTAATATTTCTTGTAATGTGCTCCAAAAAGTTCCCACTCACATCCTCGTCCTAACTCCATTCAACGTGGCTGTGATTTCATCCCTTCCCCTTAAACAATTGCTTTGTCATTTATCATTACGTATGGAAAACATATGCTGATGACCGATCAACCACTAAACGGCCGGCCCACCTTGGACAAAAAGAAGTAGGTCTCCAAGGGTAGGGAAGACGTTGATGTCAAAGTCATTGGTGAGGATGAGGATGCCACCGACGTGTCTGATGTCGGTAAAGTAGAGGGCCCATTCGGATTCGGGGCTGCACCAGTACCACCCAAGGGAGTGGGAATAATGGTAGGGACAGACCTAGCTGGTGGAAATGAGCGATGTTCACTCGTTGTCGTAGTTGAAGGGACTGTGACCGTTGTTTCTGCTATGGTCACAGTGATTTCTGGTACAGTGACCGTTAACGTGGGGTTTGACAGCGTAGAAAGGAGAGAGCCGCCGGACTCCGATGGAACAGTGGACGGGAGAGATGGCATCACAGTCGAAGATAGTAGAAATATGCTAGATGATGGAGAAAGAGAGCTGATAGAAGACGTCGATGGCAATGAAGTCATGCTAGAGCTCGATTGGTCCCCAACCGGGACTACACCACTTGTGCTCGATGTACTGGTGGAAGTCCCTCTTGTTGTAGTTCGTGTGATTGTTATGCAAATGGTGGTCGTTGTGCTGCAAGCTGTGACAGTCGTGGTGCAGGGTGTCAAAGAAACCCTTTCGGGGGGTGCGCCGTTGACAACATCGTTCAGCTGCTAGCCAACGACCGTGTGTGCTTCATCAATCATGGCCTTTGCTCTTGCAACTTCAGATGCAGCCATCCTTTGGACTTCATCCATGGCAGCGGAAACAATAGCGCGGACACTGGATGCCATGCCCTCCGCGTCGATGGCTGTGGGATTCGGCTGCTTGTTCTTGAGGGCCATATTGGTAACGATGGCAACCCTAGAGACTTCTTCCTCGGTGCCAATATCATCATCATTCAAATCATCCTCGTCTGCTGGCCATTCCCATACTGCGCTTGTCATGGGAACGAGACTTTGCCGAACCGCCCCGGTGAAGTCTGCCATTTCCGTCTGACCTGGACTCAATGTTGGCACTGTAAAGTTCATTTCAGGCCCCGGAGCCTTAGGAACACGGCCAGTAATACTCCAGATACTCAGAGCGAGGTTTCCGCCACATACAAACTCAGGTTCTCCCTCACAGGGGATGCTGCAGTCCGACTCTGCAATCCGCCAGGAATCAACCACTTCGTCTCCGCAGAAGCACATGTAGCCGGCTTCTGTACCCGCCAGGCGGTACCCAAGGGTTTTGCAGAATGTAATGCAAATCTCCGTCGTCATGCCACCGACCACCGTTGCCGTGATCGATTCATTCTGTAGTGCTCGAACCGTATCATCTTTGTAGCATCCCCCATATTGCCAACCTGCTGTGGCAGGATGTATGGTTTCGGCTGCAGCGGCAGTTTCAAACACGGTCAAGGATTGTGTTGAAGTAATGGTGATCTCCACGACAGCGCCTCCAACAGGGGCATTCCCAGAAGTGGCCACTATGAGCGGGTTTCCGGTAACGCTCTCGGGAGCGGTAGTTGGCGACGGGATGCAAAACCACCCGCTAGAGCAGTGATAGCATGGCCATCCGTACCCGCAGGGAGCTGGCAGCGCGGGAGTGAGAGGCGGTGGACAGAACCATCCATTGACGCAGTCGTCGCATAAGTAACCCTGACCAGGACATGGACACGAGCCGGCACCGTTGAGAGGTGACGGTAACGAGGTAACTCCAGAGTTGTCTCCAAATCCGGGAATGCTTTCAGAACCAGAGGTGCTACCTGAAGAAGAGCCGCTATCATCGGGTAGGCAAGGAAGACCCGTGGGACATGAAGGACACGCAGGCAGAGAGGGGCACGTTAGCATCGAGGTTCTAGTAGCATTGTTAGCAGAGAAAACGATGGTCGAAGATAGCAGCAGCGCTTACGGTGTGCCACCGAGACAGGTAGCAATGATGCTGAGCTCCACGGATGTGACCGTAATAGTTTGCGTGCTGATGGAGACAACGGATATCATCTGCCCTGCTCCCCCTCCCTGAGGTGAGAGACTGTTCGAAGCTCCGCGTCTCAAAGTACAAGTTGGAACCGAATTATTGCTTGTCCGAAACACAGAGTTGCTGGTTGGCTGCCATGAAACGCTCACGAAGACTGTAGACACAGAAGCTGGGGCATGTATTGTTGAAGCAATTGCCGAAGCTGGTGTAGTGATAGGAGCTGTTGAGCTTGATCCCTCAACAAAGGACGTCGCCGTTGGAACAGAGCTGCACGGGACGGATACAGCAATCACGGAGCCGCCCACCAACGTCAACCGCGAGCAACTTAAACCAGCAGTCTCCGAAAAGGCTGAACCCGCAGCCACCGTGACTTGACTGATCAAACTGTCCACTGGGGTATTCGAAACCATGCTGGCTAACGCCGATGCTATAACGCCAACAACGTCGCCTGCTAACGCAGTGTTTGACGGACCCGCAACGTTTGAGAGTGACCCCGCAAGTTGAGAAAGGGGTACAGCAGTGGGAAGTGATAAACCAGAGAGCTCCGACAAAAGGCTTGTCGGGATCGAAACTTGAATAGTCGTTGAAGGGAGGTTGAGGGTAATGACCGGCAATTCTGATGTCAAGGACCTAGCTTCTGACACGACCGCTTGGGTCAAAGATGACACTTCCGAAGCAAGCAATGCTGTTAAGGACGCAACTTCGGGCACAGGGACCAACAGTTCCGAGCTAAGCATCGATTGTAGGGACTCTAAGAGTGGTAGGGCCGATGGTATGTTCGTGCTCAACATGGGAATCAGTGGTGTTATCTCCGAAATAAGGGGCGGGATGCTAGCGGTTGGCAGAGGAACACTTGGTATGATGGCGCTCAAGATCGAGGCGATGTCTGGCGCTGGAAGCGAAGCCGTGGGTACAGACACAGAAACAGAAGCCAGCTCAGATGAGAGCAACTCTGTCAGAGACGCCGGCAGGGGAAGGGAAGCCATCTCCGACACGATGATTGCTGTGAGAGACTGGAGTTCCGAAATCGGAACCGGAAGCTCTGAGCTGACCATCGACTGGAACGACTGCAAGAGTGGCAAGACTGACGGCAGGTCTGTACTCAACAGGGGAATCAAGGGCGAAATCTCGGAGATGAGTAGCGGGATGTCAGATGTCGGGACCGGTGCGGTTGGCAAAATGGCACTCAAGATTGAAACCACCCCCGGTGTTGGAATCGCGTTGGTTGGTACAGGCAATGAAAGCGGAAGTGACAGTCCTGGGCTTAGGAACGGCAGTTGGCCTGAAGAGGTCGGACTTGGTACTGGTACAATCGGTGGTAAGGTACCTTCTGCCAACGTTGTGGTGTCCTGCTGTCCTCCAGGCTGAAGAACGCTCTCCAAGGCTGAGATTAGTGGTACGAGAGAAGCGACATCAGTAGGAAGCGCAGCATTGGGGTTGGCCGCCGCTGTACCGACGTTGGGAAGACTGGTCGTTAGTGAGCCCAAGACCGTGTTGAGTAACGAGATGAGACCCCCGATGACCGCAGAGTTCGACTCAAGTGCGGGTGCGGCACTACCAGTACTTGTTGTAACCGAAAGGGTAGTTTGGGCTGGAGGATTGAGCAGTGAAGACAGGATATTGGGACCGATTGTCAGGCCAGGGACACCAAGTCGGTTTGGCTCAGGCTCATGAGGCTCATCGCTCTCGACCTTGCGGTGGACATGCCGGAAGGCCGGGGTTGTTCCTGTCCCCTTGCTGCCCAAGACATCGTTGGAGGCGACGCTGATGGGGAGAAGGAGGAGGACTGGCAGGTAACGAGCGGCAGCCCGCATGGTAGCCAGGAGACGACTGTGTCTGCTCAAAACAACGGGAGAAGATGGTGGTTGTGTAGGTAGGTAGTCGATACACTTCCAAAAGGAGAAGGCCAAAGCGGTTCCAAAACTCACAAGTCCAAAATCCGTGGTCCAAAAAAGGGGGGAAAGCGAACGGTGCTCAGCCTAGCAGAGTATTGGTGATGAAAGAGAACAAGGAGAAGAGTAGAACAACATCACTCGGGGATTTGGGGAGATGATGCTCTTTTGTCAAGCCAGAGAAGCGGTTGCTCTTTCCCAGTCGACTCCTGAACAACCGCCATCATGAGAAAGAGGCAAGACCGACCCCTTGAGGAACAGTCACGGGTGATGGTACTCCATGGTCAAGTCTCGAGTCCTTTCCTGCCGCGCTGCCTCTCGGACTGGCCATTTCCAGTATAGTAAGCAAGTGGAAGCTCCAAGCTTGGGATCGTCGTGTATGCGATTTCTTTGTAAATCGTGTCTGCTGAGCTGTTAGCAACCGCAAATCATACAACATTCCATACTCGTCATTAAGGCAGCTGTCACTAAGGCAGCTGTCCGTAGCATGAGCAGCAACAACCCTCGACCGTTTAAAACACATTGTCCCATAACGCTGCCAACCATAACATTCACAATGTTTCGCTCGATCGAATAGGGGCTTTGTTGTTGGTCATTTCATCAATTTTTGGACTCAGGCCGATCGCGCTAGGTATTTGGGACAGCCTTCATCTAATCCATTCCGGAGCCCATGCAATCAAACAACCATAGACGCCCGAAAGAACCCTCCTATCCTCGCCGACTGAGCACCACCCTCAACCAGACACTTAGTTGGAGTAACGCTTGCCGTCACGGAGAGTGTCGGCGAACTCCTCAAGAGGAGAGCGGATCAACTTGGTCTCCTTCCACAAGTTGGGGGTAAGGAAGCCGTAGGTGTTGGAAACAGCGGCGAAAGTAGCCTTGAGAGTGTTCTCAAGGGTCTTGGTAGAGCCGGAAGAGGAGGTGTAAGCATCCTCGATACCGGCGAGCTGGAGAAGACGCTTGACGGCGGGGGAGGCAACGAGGGAGGTACCGCGGGGAGCGGGGATAAGCTGTGAGGACCGCAGTTAGCACCCATTCCAGCTCCAAAGGTCAAATCTCGGGTATAACTTACGCGGACGGTGACGGAACCGCACTTGCCGGACTCCTTGGTGGGGAGGGAGTGGGGGAGACCGAGGTTGGCGCCCCAGTAACCGCGACGGACGGGGATGACGCTGAGCTTGGCGATGATGATGGCAGCGCGGATAGCAGTAGCGACTTCCTTGGAGGTCTTGATACCGAGACCGACGTGGCCCTCGGAGTCACCGATGATGACGATGGCCTTGAAGCGGGTACGCTGACCGGCACGGGTCTGCTTCTGGACGGGCTTGATCTGTAGAGGGAGAAAATGACGATATCAGCATCCCCGTTTCGTAGTTCCTCAAGTCCAATGCTTCCGCCCAATTTCGCGAATCCTGCGATTCTCGCTCCTCCTCATCCTCATCCTCCGGGCATCAAAGAATTCGTTGCTGCGCACCTTCATGACCTCATCCTTGAGCTTGGGGAGGAAGAAGTCGACGATCTGGTACTCCTTGATGGGGAGAGAGTGGAGGTAGATCTCCTCCATGCTCTTGATCTTGCCGGCCTTCACGAGACGGCCGAGCTTGGTGACGGGCTGCCACTCCTTCTCCTCGGACTTGCCGCCGCGACGGCCACGGCCACGTCCACCACGGCCACGGCCGCGGTCACCACCACGATCGCCACGGGAAGCGAAGCCGCCGCCACGAGGGCCAGAAGTTCCACGATCAGCCATTATGTCGGTTTGCCGGTAGGGTATCGGAGACGGAGGGTCTGTTGCTGGTCGTCGTCGTGGACTGGTTGAGGAGGTCTGGTGGTGTAGGTACTCGACGTTTTTCTCAGGCGCCTGGTGGGGTCCCAGCTTTTCGCTGCGATTTCTGGATTTTGCTGGTGCGCTCCGCCTTTGGCACCAACCCTAACGCCCACCTCATTGGATGGCCGCGGGTTTTGGCCCGTTTGGCAGCCGGAAGGTGGGGTAGATTTGGGGTTGCAGCTGTCAGCCTTGGCATGGGCAACAAGTGTGCACGGACCTTGTCTTTCTCTCAGCCCAACTGCTTGCTGTAGCTACAGGGCTGGCCGTCGCCGTCAGTCGCGAACTTGCAATCGTGAACCTTGAATGCTGGGCGGTTTCATGATGGGCAATTGAAGCCCCACTGCGAACATGAACTCCATCCCTCCCCGGCCCGTCCCTCTATCGGCCATCCGGGTTCTCACTCTTATCATTGCCGACGCTTGGAGATGCCAGTATTGGACTCATGACAGCAAATCTTCTAACTATGTCGATAGTTGTTAAGGAGTTATTCACTGACGCTTGTAGATTCTGAGTTATCACCCAACATCACCACCTATTTGCAAATGTCCACTGCAGGTTGCAATATTAAATGGTGAAGTGGAGGTGTTCATCTCGTCGTTGCGACATGTGCCTCCGTCCAGTCCCTGGGTCTCCATAGCCATCCAAGTGGGATGCACACACAGTGACCCGATGTACAGCATGCCTCCCAAAAGATTCACACGTTGGAATTAGGGAGGAAAGTGTCGTTTCTGGATGAGTGTCCAGAGGACTATCCGATTTTCCTATAATACCTAGCTGGGAAAAGGGGGCATCATCAGCTTCCATCAAAACGCCTATGCGCCGGAAACCTAGCCTAAAGTAAAGGATGAACTGAGTACCCAAGTCGAAGACATGCTCCTGCGCTCCCGATTTGCCCATCGCCATGACCATATCCCTCGCAAGTGGAATCAGTAAACGCCTAGAGACGCCATGGAATGCTTGCTTGCTTGCTTGCTAACGAAAAAACTTCCAGGTGAGTTCTTTAAGCAGAGGGGTTGGCGTTCATCTTCATCCGATCAAATGTCAGCAAAACTCGGGTCGTGAAGTAACGTATGAGCGACGGGAGCCCTACCTTGCGCTTGCCGCCAGGACCGGTGACAACGTTGACGAAACGGCGGGTGTAGATTTCGCGCTTGTGAGCACGACCCTTGGGGGTCTTGGGCTTCTCCTGGGGCTCAACCTTGGGAGTCTGAGACTTGACCTTGCCTGAAGACGGGTGTGAGTTTTGGGGTTGGAGGCGTGGCGAAAAGGTATCAAAAACTGCAACTTACCGGCACGAGCAAGGGATCCGTGAACTTTGCCCATTTTGAATAGTAGTGATGAAGTGTTGGTGAGTGTTTTGTTTTTCTGTTGTTGACTGTTGAATGGCAGAGGGGCCGAAAAGGAAACAACACCAGAGTCTGTACGAGATGTGAGGAAGGGACTCTGAATGTTATATACCTGTATCAAGTATTCAGGCATTCACCGATGACTCGTTACCGTCCCGAGACAGGCAGTCGGGGGCCAACCGCTTAACTCCGGGGAAATTGCCAAGAGAATTGCCCCCTGGCGACAGAAAGAACGCCCTGCAACCAGCGCTAAATGAACGCCCGGTGGGGCCGCAACGTGCAGGGGAAAGCACCTGGGTCTCGACTTCCAACGGCGAATGGAGGCATCTCTGAACTTGAAGTCAGAATCCCATGTGAAGGACTGACACATGTATGTCAATGTCCGTCATTGTTCAACTTTCTCGTGTATCTCTTTAAAGGACTTGCTGCGGGCAAGAGGCAACTTCAACCGGCCCGGAGGAACCTTGAAGGCTCGAGACGGAACAGGCAAGTTCGATTAAAGTGTTCACGTGGGAGCGCGCTCTTTCCGCGACAGAAAAGTCCCTGGCACTCAACACGCTGCTTACGCCCCGCAACGTTAATCGTTCAATTAAACGAAGCGTGACCGCGTAGCACATCGCGTCATCTCACCAGATCATATCCACACCAAATCCGCACAGTCACTTGTCCACATTCCTCCAAATTGGAACTGTTGGAGATATGTGGCTTCTCGAAAGTGACGTCTTCAAAGGTGGGTTTGTCCTGTGTGCTGTGCTATATGGATCGGCGGTCGCGTCGACGCGCTGCCATGATGCCATCCATATCAGATCAAGTAACTACATGAGAAGACATCGCTGACCTTGAACGAGGAAGCCAGACGGAAGAAAATGGCTGCGACCGGGCAGACAGTACCTTTTTGGTAGGACTGCTGAGAACAGTATGACTTCCTGATTCCTCAGTGCGAGCATGACAAACAGCATCTAACCGGTCTCTAGCCGATATTGCTATTTCTGACAAGACAATCTCACGGAAACATATCACCATTCATGTCTCCGACGTTGCCAACGGCGATGGTGTAGGTTTTCTCGGGCAAGGAATATTTCAAGTTGCCTAGGCTGATAAAGCTTCTTCAGGGCAACATAGACGCGCGATCCCAAGTCACCATCAAGGAAATGAATTCCAAAAAGGGCACCCTCTTAAACGGGGCCCAGATTCGCGGACAAACAGTTGTGCTCACTGAACCAGTCAATGAGCTCATATTGGGTAATTGCTCGCACCCGCTTCGGTATGTACATCCCTATATGAAGGGATTACCACGGGGCTACGAGACCTAAACTTACCGATTTACTTCAGGATCGTATGGCGTCCCATTGTTCTCAGCTTCTCTTTTACCAAAAAAGAAATCGAGGCTGGTTCCTGGCAGGCGCTACGTGACAACCTTGAGCAGCTCGACATCAAGTACATAGGTACTTACGAGCATCTCACCACCCACGTGGTTAGCAAGAAACGCAACACATCCAAGACGCTTCAGGCACTGGTCAACGGCAAACCCATCGTATCCGACAGTTTTATCACCGCCATCGTAGAGGCTGCCACAGTGCATGATGACGCTGACGAGGGGACGCCCAGTGCATTGGAGAGCAACTTTGATGAGGCCTGGCCCAACGCCGCTGACTACCTGCCACCTCGCGGCGATGAGCCTACCGAACGACCACCAGCCGATTATGCACCCGACGAGCGACGACAAGATGTCTTCGCCGGGTACACATTTGTCTTCTACAACCAGAAGCAACACGAGAACCTTGCGCCCGTCATCCAGTGGGGCAAAGGCAAGGCTTTCTTCAAAGAAGTAGTGGAAGGCGTCACCGAAGTGGACGACTTTGTCCGCTACGTCAAAGAGGTTGCCGATGAAAAGGGGACCGGGTCGTTCGAGGACGGCGGTGACGGGAAAAGAGTCGTTGTTGTGCGACATGCCCCTGGAAAGGGCGACGACGTTGAATGGTGGACCAACTTCTACACGAGCTTTGCCAGACATCTTGACCATCGGCCTCCTGACCAGAAGGAGTTTCTCGAGGCCATCCTCGCCTGCGATGTATCTTTGCTACGACGCCTCGAAGAAGACACCCAACCTACCTCAACCGCAAATCCCACTCAAAAGGCCCAGCCTGAGTCGGAGGATCGCATGCAAGTCGATCAACCCGACAACAGAGAAAATGAAGAGCCTACCCCGGCTCGGCGACGAGCTCGTGCAGGTGGTAGGAGTCGCTTCAAGGGGTTCGATTTTGATTCCGATGACGATGAAGACGAGTCCATGGCAGACGTTCCTGCTGCCCCAGCTACAAAGGCAACACAACCAGCCGCGGATGTGCCAGCATCGCAAGACAGCCAAAGTCTCTTCGTCTCACAAAGACAAGAACCCGTCGATGATGATTTCTCAGAGCAAGAATCACGTCCCACCGCCACCACACGCTCTACCCGTAGCCAGAAGCCAACACGTAAACGAGCGCTATCACCGCTTCCCGAGCACGACGTCTCAGAGTTACTAGACGCCATCGCACCCACCGCCACGGCCGCCAAAAGAAGGCGCATCGAGGCCGGACAACCCGCTATCCCCGAGCCGACTCCCGAACCAGAAGAGCCACCAGCCGTCGACGATGACAAAGACGCCGACAAAGTATCCGACTCGCCCAAGGGCAAAGGGAAGAAGGGAGCCAAAGGCAAAGATAAAAAAGCTAAAAATGGAGACGGCGACGACCCCATCATCGAACTCGCCCGCCAAAAGCGCGAAGAGGCCGAGGCCCTCGCGGCCGCTGAGCGTCAAGCGCTGCTGGACTCGACCGCTGACGATGATATTGACTATGCTGCCATCCGCCGCCTCCATATCATCGAAGAATTTGAGGTGCGGATGCCGAACCGCGAGGCTCTCGACGATGAGGAAGAAGAAGAAGACGGCTACGCCGACGCCAGCGGAGGGAGAAGGGGAGGACGCACGCGCGAGCAAGACATTGCAGACGGCAGGTGGGATCCGCGCTGGAACGACCGGAAGAACTTTAAGAAGTTCCGTAAGCAGAAGCCGGGTGACAGCGGCGTTGGTAGCGCTGTTGATGAACAGCCGCGACGTCCCCTTATCACTTTGGAAGAAGTCAAGCCCAAAGAATACGGCATTGGAGATGATTACTGGCTTGAAGATACCGGTAGTAACAGCAGACGCAACAACACGCAGACTCAGACACAGGCACAGGGAGGACGACAGTCGCAGAGTACCCAAGCTCAGACTGCTGCTGCTGCTGGTGGTGGGACATCACAAAACCCTAACGCCGCCGCCGCCGACAATAGGTCCCGTGGTCTCCCTACGAGAAGGATGCTCATGGCGGTGTTGGATAGTAGTGATGAAGAATGTGACAACGGAAGCACCGTAATCCCAGAAGACGCACCACCACCATACACAGCAACAGCGGCACCGGAACCTCCGCGGTCGCGAGCAGCCAAAACAGCTGAGAGGGCATCGGCTGCCAGGAGAACGCAGCAGACGACGACGACGGCGGTGGGCACAACACAATCCGAGGCATCATCTGGATCGGCTGGGACTGGTGCGGGTAGCAAGCATGGTGCTCCGGCGAGTGGGAGGAGCAGCGGACAGCCGGCGGCGAAGAGGGCGAGGACGGCGGGAAGCGGGAGGGGGTTCGTGGTTAAGGATAGTGAAGAGGATAGTGATGAGAGCGATGATGGGTTGAAGTTTAGGTTTGGTAGGAGGAAGTAGGTCTAGGATGTTGTGGTGCTTACTGGGTTTGGCTGCAGATGTATATATAGACTGGAATTGCAAAGGTTGTTAGAGGGCAAAGATGAAAATTTGCGAGGGACTGTTATAATGGCCACTTTTGAAATGTTTTTGTTATAATGCAATGTCCCCGGAGATTAATCATGTTACGATATGTGTCGAACATGACATCTACTTCAAGTTCACGAGTTCCTTGAAATCATCGAAAGAGTGGCCATCGGATACATCAATATAGGGGGTATCAATCAGTTGCTTCCTCATTGTTACGTACTCTGCTGTTATGTTGCGTGTCTGCTGTGTTTATATGCCTCTGCGTATACTCTGATTTCCCTTCCCCCCTATGCTCCTTTTGCCCATATTGTCTTTTTTTAACACACAACGACGACATGCAAACGTTTTAAAATGGAAATTTCAATGATTTCTTCCCTTCCCAACCGACCAAGTAATAAACCACCGAGTCCCTGACTCCAGATCCTTTTCTTCGCCGCATGTTTCCTTAAGAATGCCTATTTTGGAAGTAATGGAGAAGCGGGAAAGCAAAAGCTACTTAAAACAGCCAGAGTGAGCAGGGTGGTGGTTTGCTGGTGGTATGGTGTTACTTGACTCATGATAAAAGAGAGAGATAAATGTTCTTCTGGGTATATCGAGAGCTAGTATAACGATACTCGCCGATGTGAATGATGTATAAATAGAAAAAAAAATGTGTGAAGCCAGAGAGAAAAGAGTGGCATTTGTTCCCTGAAATGCCAAATTCAATGCTATGATAAAACATTCGGTCCCACAATCGGTCCCGCGAGTAACAGAATAAAAGAGAGTAAAGCCAGGACGTATCCGATATGATATTGATCGCAAATGTGTGTTAACAACAACCTCCCAACGCCAATGCCCAAAGCAATGCAAATCAGGGACAAATAATAAGTGGAGAGGGCGACGCGCACGGCAGGTCTATTGCTGTTCTTCTTGGTCATCTTGAGCCGCGCATGTCTTCTTCCCTCTTTGCCTCCCGAGGCATAGTCGGACATCTTCTTGACCGTCTGACCATTGGGAGGTTCGCACCATCACCCGCCATCCGTGGGTTGTAACTCAATTCCGCTGTCCCTATCTTGCGTCTGTTTCCCCCAGGACTGCTGTTGTCCGTTCTGTTCGTTGATAAACTTGGCCGCGAGTCGCGGCATGAGAACGCCGGGTTCCGGCGTGAAAATACTCTCATCATCCTCGAGGTCGGTATCGTTGATGCTATCGTTGATGGTATCCGTATCACCCTCGCCGGCAGCTTCTTCTCTTTCCCGGGCCTCCCGAGCCTCTACCTCTTCAGGGGTAAGGACCCGCCCACCAATCTCGACGTCGCTTGCCTTTATCTGGTACGCCAGCGCACGCTTCCCTTCCTTTATCAGCTCTTCTGTCCAGCCCAAACACCGTTTAAGACTCTGGTTAATCTTCTGGCTGTCTGACAGCAACTGCTGATGCTTGGATAGATCCAGCCGTAACCTCTCTTCGTCCTTTTCTCGTCGTTCGGCATCGCGGAGCGCTTTCGTGGCCGGCGTCATGTCAGCGGAATCCTCCGACCCTGAGAGATCGTCATCTTCGTCTTCCAACTCCTCCGTCAGTGTATCCCGTTCCCCGTCTTCTGCTCCTAGCTCGCTGCCCTCTTCGCTGAGGGCGTCCAGATCGGCCCCGGCCAAAAGCCCGGCGTCAGCTGGAGAGGCGACTAGGGCGGGCCCGACGCTTAACCGCCCCGAGCGGGACAGGCGCTTGTAGGCCCGAAGCTCAGCCGTCTGTTTCCGCAGTTGCCTTTCCAGAGTGCGGTTAATCGCCTCAAGACTTGCGTTCGTAATCTGCAAATCCTGGACCTTCCGCTCCCGTCGGGCGTTTGCAACAAGGTCTGATATCTCCTTGTCCTGCGGAGATGACTTTGATGGGCTGCTTGCCGAGCCCCGCCTGGGTTTACCTTCTCCTCCACTCTCTTCCCCATCTACTTCATCCTCCTCATCTTCCTCGGCGACAAAGTCCTCCGCAGCCTGGAGAAGTGAAGCGAATCCACCAGAGGCCATGTTTTCAGACAAGGAGCTGAATGGAGCGGGTACGGATAGAACAGAAGGCGATGGTGCTTCCGAAGGAGGCCGAGAGCTATATGGCGTCATAACTCTGGCCACTGCTGGTGGTTCGGCCATGACTAGGCTGCTGGGGCGACTGGATATCGATCCACTTGCAGGTCGAGAGGGAAGTTCGTTGAGAGATTTGCGTTTCGTTGATTGCCCATTAATAGGCGCCGGTCCGGGCTGGTCAGTCAGGGACTTGCGCTTCACGGACTCTCGGTTTAAAGAAGCGCTAGTCGAGACAGGGGATCGAGGCGAGTTCATAGCCGATAGACTCCCACTCCTTCCGGATGTCTGAGGCGTTAGCTTAATGGGTGATGTAGGTTTATTAACATAGTGTGTCTGAGAGAGCACACTTTGCGGCCTGTTCGAAGGTGCCCTGGACGCTGTTGATACCACTGACGATGGCCTGGACCGGGTTCTCACCGGAGGCTCCGGGTCAGATGCGCCGTTGGCGTAAACAAACTTGCTCAGGAGTTTGTCCTGTTGCTGGAACGGCGCTCCTAGGGATGGGGAAGGGGAGGCCGGACCCGGGCTCTCCTTTGGTGGTATTGTGCCTCCATTTGCGTAGAAAAAAGAAGAGGACTTGGCCGGTTGGAGCACAGGGGGTCTCCCTTGGGCTGGTGATCTCGGTGTCGCCTCGGAGGCATAGAAGAATTTTGAGTCGGGATCCTGCCTGGGGCCCCCTACGTCGGAAGCTGGGCTGAAGGTAACGATGGGTCGTCGGGGGTCGTCGGTGGTTTGTGAGGTTATAGACAAGCTCGATCGCGTATCCCACTGGTCGTTCCGGTCGAGACTGGGAGTACCGAGAGGGGTCGTAGTGGTGCTGTTGACACGGCTTGGTCTAGACGCGGTTCTCGGGGTGCTGCTTATTACCGACTCGGGTCTTCGCCTTGTCGTGGAGGTTGAGACGGTGGATGCGGTCGAGACTCGGGCTGTGGTGGTGACCTTTGGGGTAAGGGGTACCTTGTTGAGGCCTCTTGCGACGGAGGCCGTTTGCGGCTGTCGGGTGGTTGTGGTTGATGCCCGATCGTAGGGCATTCTGGCCACGGTCGGCGACTGCGTGTTCGACGATCTGTCCATTCCTGATTTTAGGTTCGAGTGCGCTGCCGCACCATGTTGGCTTGCGCGGGCCTTGGAATTCCGGGACGAGGTGGAAGTCGGGGTCGCTGCGCCGGCACGAGATGCAGCGGCAGAAGAGGATGCAGCTGCAAACGCGAGGACGACTGGTGGTGCGGAGGAGGGAGTTGGAGTTGAGATGGAGGAGCTCTTTCCGGTGGTGCTGCTACTGCTGTTGTTGCTGGCTTTGCTGCTACTGCTAATAACAGTGCTCGATCGGTGGCTTCCGTTTGGTCGGGAAGAGGTCGAGATATGTGCTGTTCGCGCTCCGGAAGGGGTGATGGTGGTGGTCACAATTGCCGCAGGTGGTTGTTTCCTTGCTTTTCTGGCGCCTCGTAAGGGATCTTGGTCGGAATCGAGAGCTTGTGGCGACGGCGACGAGACTGGTTTGGGTCTGGAGGAGGGAGAGGGTGAGGGCGACCTGTGGTTGTTGTTGTTGTTTATCGTGGGCTTGCCGGAGACTGGAACAGCGAGGGAGACGGGTCTCGGCGGGAGTGGTGAGGTTGAGCGCGAGGTCCCCATGTTGGGACCCGGCCGAGGGGGAAAATGCGCAATGGATTGGGGTCTTAGGGGCATTGCAGCTGCTGGTGCAGGTGCAGACGCAGGGTTCGGTAGGCGACAGGGAGCGCCGACGCTGTGAACACTAACAGATGGGAAGGTCCTCCGGCTACTGGTTGAACCCCCCAATTCTGACTGGGCGACATTGCCAAACAAGACAACACAATACAAGACACTGGTGTACCGTGACACAGGTTGGAATGGCTGAAATCACTGGGCAGGGTGGAAGGGAGGAACGGAAGAGATGGAAAGAGCACTTTAGGGCAGTGTTCCAGGTTGGGATGAGAGATTTGTCCTCAGGGTGAAAAGGGATAAGAGACAGGAGTTTCTTATTCCAGATTCCAGACTTGCGCCAAGTAATTGCAGGAGCACAACATAAACCTAGACTCTTCAAGTAGTGTACCCAACCTTACCAACCTTCCATTACCTCTGGCCGAAAAGCCATTAACCATTCATTGATCATTCTTTGACCATGCGATCTGATCGAGTCACTCTCTCTTCCGTCCCGTGGTCACATCACCTCATCCAAACAAGTGCATTGAAGCCGACTCCTAACCTCCTACCAGTGCCTTTCTTTCTTGGACGTCTACTTGTTGAGCGAGTTTTACAATACAGTACCCTGCATCCCGGACTGTCCGTTCCATAAATACCACAAATAAATACTTGGAAACCGAGATACGGCAAAGGCTCTTTCATTTCGTCTACCGCGGTTTCCCCTATAAGGAGTGTTAGGGATCGTTAAGGATCGGAAATTGGCAAAGTTACATTGGATTTACGGCATTGGTCGCATTTGCATAACAGCGACCCCGCCGCGCCTCGGGGTTTTGGGTCGGCCCCACATGTCACCCGACGACTTGGGGCACCGGGCCGGGCACCCTTGTCCCGCCGTCGCTGTAACAGGGCGCTGGCAGCGACACCCAATGTGGGGTCCTGTCCTTTCTTTTTTGGAGATTTGCAGTTCGATTCACCATCATTTCATCCCAACTTGGACGAAACCCTTCCAGGTACCCAGCTGCGCAACTGAATCACAAGATCCAACCAAGAAACCAAGAACCAGACTTCACTATCTCGTCGGCTGACATCCCATCTGCACTTCGTCACCTACACTAAAGCAGACGCCGCCGTCGATCACCTATCCAACCCCGCGATATCGCGCCAGTCGCGCTTATCCCCATCAGTCGATACAGCCATCAATGCCGCCATAACATACGACCACTCTTCCCCGCCTCTACCAGCAATACCCCCGCGACAGCCGCGCAACCCCCCGCCACCATGGCCCTGCTAGGCATTTCCTTGATTGTCGCCTCCGTCGTCCTCCTCGTCTTGCGCCGACCAGAATGGATTCAGCAGTTCTGGACGAGTCTCTACCGTCAAGCATCGCAGAACCAGCTTCCCCGTCCACCGCAGCGTCCTATACCGCGCATAGAGGAACCTAAACCAGAAGATGATCAGGTCAACAAGAAGGAAAAGGAGAAGAAGAGGATATCGACCCCCGAGAAAGTAGTATCTCCTCCACCACCACCAGTGGTGATCCAGGAAAATGGCATCACCGATAATCCCGATTCTCCTCGCGAGGAGCAGACAACCCCCAAAGCCTCGGCGGCCATCCCCAGCGATTCGGTCCCGGCATTCACCCTCTCTGTTCCCGAACTACCCCAACAACCCAAGGTTGAGGAGGAGGAGCCTACACCGGCCGTGACATCATCAACCTCGACCTCGACCTCGACCTCGACCCCTAGCATGATGATGCCCCCTCCTCCCGTCCCCGCGCGTGGTGGCCTCTCCGCCAACCTCCTTCGCCAACCCGGAACCTCCACACTTCCCCTACCGGGCGGCGGTCCCCTCCCAAACCGATCATCCGGTGGCGGCAGCGGTCCCCTCCCGAACCGGGGCCCCGGAGGCGGAGGTGGTCTCTTCCCGCCCCCCACCCACAGCACCAAACCCGCAAAGCCCTCGCGCGCCGTCGTCCTCACACCCGGCCACTCCCCTCTCGACTGGGCCCGGCTATCAGGGCACCCGACCGCAGACCTGCGCGGCTTACCCAAGGGGACCCCTTACCTGCGCGTGACGCCGAGCATGCTCAAGAAGATGACGGGCCGCAAGGGCAAGGACGCGTGGATGGTGCTGGGCGGGCGGGTGTACAACATCACGCCCTATATCCCTTTCCACCCGGGCGGCGAGCTGGAGCTGCTCAAGGGCGCGGGGAGGGACGGGACGAAGCTGTTTGGGGAGATTCATCCGTGGGTGAATTATGAGGGCATGTTGGCTGCTTGTTTGGTGGGGATTTCTGTTAGTGAGGAGGATGGGGAGGCTGCGCTTGCTGCGGCAAAGAACGCAGGAGGTGGAGGTGGAGGGGGAAGTATGGAGGAGATGGATTAAAGGTGTTGACATGTAATTTGGGCGGTGTGTCAGGGGGCGCAAAGACGAAGGGGAGGCTGTGTGTGTGATACCTTAGAATCATCCTTGGCATAAAATCTCACAAAGCTCCACGGCAATGTGTGGATTGTGAGATTAGAAAGGCATGTTGGAAGACATTTGAGAAGTTATAGATGGATAGCGCTGCCTGTGCCGGATAGTATATACCCGCAGACGCGGCCACTTTATAGAAATGATACCCCCTAGAGGCAGATAAATAATCTCATGATGCATCTTCACGTTCATGGTTCCATTTCTTCCATCTTCCACAGCCATAGCTACCTTCAGCCAAGCTAGATATCAATTTGACCGCTTGGCAAGTTACAATTGTTGTACAAAAACAGAGGCGTGTGGTTCCATAGACTAATGTGATTCGCATGCTCTCTGTAGCGGACACTCCTGACATTTTCCACAGGGGAAGGGAGTCATATCAGATGACATGATTGTCACTCCCATACGGTTCTTCTCGTGGCATTACGTGGGGATAAACCACGGGAAAGATAGGATTAAAATGTTTGTAATCATGATGATGAATAGAGCTGAGGTTCTAGTTGAGATGCCTGGCACTCCCGTAGGGTTTTTTCTCGTGGCACTACGTGAGGATAAATCATAGGAAAGCAAGGATCAAAAAGTTTGTAGTAGTGATGATGAACAGAGCTGAGTTTCTCTAGGTTGGCCTGTTACCTTTCCTTTTTCCTTTCCTGCACACATTTTTGGGTATTAGTCCTCCCTCGCCTTCGCACGCATGTCTCAATCCCCACTGCAGATACCCAGCTCACGCCGTTAGTCGACGCTGGTATCACACCAATATCGTCCCTCGAAGATCTCTTCCACACATACATCTCCCGCCTATCCGCTTCGTCGTCCACAATCTATAACCCAGCCAATAGCCTCTATAGCTGGCCATCTATATGTCCCATCCCGGGACGAAGATACAAGACTCCCTCATGCCTCCACACCTTCTTCGGACCTGTCTTCTTCAACAGGAGCTCACGAATCAACGGAAGCGTAGCCACAACGAGCCGCAAAGCCACTACACCAGATAGTCGCCTTTCTATGACGAGGTCTTCGGTACGTTGGGCACGTCGGCGGCCGTGGCCGCAGCCTGGGCGGAGTGAGTGGACCCCTTATCGCTGCTGTGGCGATGCTTCTTCTTCTCCTTGTCCTTCTTCTTGGACTCCTTTTCCTTCTTCAAGTTGGCCTCGGCGACCAGCTGCTCGAAAGCCATGTAGTCACCCTCCTCTTCGGGGGAACGCTTAGCCTGTTCGTTTCGTTAGCAAGTTGTCTAGTCAAATATGACAAAAGAGGTGAATCATACCTTTGAGCAGATTTCACCAATAATCACCAAAGCCTCGGCTCTCTCCAGCCGCTTCGCCAAGGGGATCTTCTTGTCCTGCAATACCGCGTCGCACACATCTCTGAGCACGCTCTGGATTTCAAACTTGCTTCCCCTCCAGGCCGCCGTCAGAATCTTGCCGGTGACTCTCCTTTCATACTCCATCTTCTTCTCCTCGGTCCAGTCCTCACCACCTAGCTGTTCCATGCGGGCCATCTCCTCCATGCTTTGCTGGGCGTCAATGGCGCTGCTGATGGTGTTCCATGTGTCCTTGACCATAGTACCCTTGTCCTTCATGCGGCTCAGGAATCCTCCCATTCCAAAGAACTTTTGGCTGCGTAGCAAAGCGGTGGCCTTGCTGACGTAGGTTTGACCGATGGCGTGAAGGATATCGAGACCGAAAGATTCCATCTTGAGTTCCTCCACCTCCAGGCGCATTTTTTCCTGGAAGGAATGCGTGACATCCTTGCCCTTGTCGGTTTCGGTCCAGATGGAGATGCGATCAAGCAGCTTCTGCGCGAGGGTGTTGACGCGCTCTTCACGAATTCGTGCGCGCTCCTTCTCGTAAGCGGCGAGTTGCTCGCGCTGTTCCTTGGAAAGACCGCCCTTCTTCTTATCCTTGCCCTTCTTGTTGACGTCGGTATTAGACTCCTCAGTCCCGGCTAGAACCTCGTCCGCAGGCCTGTCCATCAAGGCAGGGCGAATAGGGATCTGCATGCGACTCCCGCTGCGAGGAGTGGACGTGCCTGAAGGAGGCGCTGGCGAGGGCGATGGGGATGGGACCTTGGGTGCGGCGGCAGGGGCAGCAGACGCCTCATCCTCGACCACAACCTTGGGGGGAGCAGAGGTGGAGGCGTCTGCGGGAGTGGCGCCAGCAGCGGTCTTGAGGCTCTCCTTGACAGCCTCGTCAGTACCGGGGAACTCGCCTCCTTCGGCGGCGGCGGCTGCCTCCTCTGCCTCCATTTCGGCCATGCTGATTTCCATGGTGGCAGTCAGGTCCTTCATCAAACTGATCTCGCCAATCCAGTCTACGAAGGCCTCGCCACCGAAAATACTTGTGAAGAACTCGGCGGGATCGACGAAGCCCTCGGTGGGCCGGGCAGACTCCTTGCCATACTTGTCGTAAGCTGCGCGGAGGTCGGAATCGGACAATACTTGGTAGGCCTCACCAATCTGCTGGAACCTTTCGTGGGCGGTAGGGTCGTCGGGGTTCTTATCTGTTGAAGGAGAGAAAGCGATGTCAGTCTAGTGTTGTTTGACAAACCAACTCGCAAAAGGAGTGGTGCCGTGACCTACCGGGATGGTGAACAATGGCGAGCTTGCGATAGGCCTTCTTGATCTCGAGCTCAGTCGCAGTGGGCTTGACGTTCAAGACGTCATAGTAAGCGGTATCGACCACCATTGTGGTGGCTGGCGGAGTCGCAGAAAGATAGAACTGTGAGTGGGTTATAATTTGGATATCGCCGAGTTGCGTTGTTGGACGAAAGCAGCGGGTGCGTTTGCTTGGTCTCGATACCGGATCGCGATTTTTTAGAGGAGTCTGCAGGTGCCGATCAGGGACTTTTAATCACCACGGCAAAGGGGAAAGAGAAGACGTTCACACGTCCAAGTAAAGAAGAAAAAAAAACTGGAGATCCCTTGGCAGTTTTGAAAAAAGGAATTATTGGAAACCAGAGCTGAGGGCAACAGCAAAGCAAAGTTGATTGACTTTCTGAGTGAGGACGACAAGGTTGAAATGTGCCAATGGCCCGATAGAAGGTGGGAGATTGTAGATGGAACCCGACACAGCCCAGTCAAATTACGGGCGTTGACGTCGGTCGGGTCGTCAGGTTGCGACGCTGGGACTAACTGCGAGGTGCACTGAGGTGTCGGCGCTGTCAACTGAATGCAATGCCACTGGAGTTCGAGGTGTCAATGCGGCTACGTATCTGCTTGCTGAGTTGGTTCCGTTCAGGTGTCCATTCCAAGTGGAAGTCGAACAACCGAAAGTTTTGAAGTCCGGATTTAAACCCAACTGAACGAGTACAGGACATAACGGGACGAGATCATGGCATCTGCAAAACTGACTCAAGTCGAGCGACAGGAAAAGCCGAATGCGAAAATTCACGAGGAAACCCGACCCAGGAAGGAGCCCTCCCGTCTGTCTTCCCGCCGCTGCCCCTGTGCTACAGCGTGCCGCCGTGCTGTCCGTCAGTGGGTGAAGTTGCCAAGACCCGGGGGTACGTACCCAAGGTGGGCCGGCGGGGTTCAACGGGGCCTGTGATGATCGCGATCCGCTGACGTCGGCCTGCATTTTTCACCGGCCTTTTCCGCTGTTCTGGCCCGTGTCAATGTCACAGCCGACGGTGAGATAAAGCCCGGGTCACAGTGAGTGGTGGCCGGTGACCGGAGCCTGCCGGATGGATCTTTAGCACCGTCACGGACCCGATCTTCCGGTCGCCGTTACCGCGATACTTCAACGCCGCTGAGGCCGGAAAACTCTCGTAAGCCCATGAGATAACACCCGCACAGTTGGGCAACTGAAGGTCCATGTGATACGTGTCCAGCCTACACTCCCAAGACATCCCAAATCATATTCTTGGCGGCGCATCCCAAACCCTAGCGAGCCTAGCAAACCAAGGATTTGATAAGTCGTCTTCATTTCGTCGCTAATAACCATAAATGACCTGCTTCTTCTCATACCCACCTGTTCCATAAAACTCCGCGCAGAGCAACGCCAAAAGAAGAGAGAAATAAAAGAAAAGCCCAAACATGACCTTCAACCGAACCGAATCAACGCCGAGACCATGTCCTCTTAGATCCTCATCGACGGGAGTCATTGAATCCCCGCCGCCTTCATCCGCTCAAAGCACCTCCTATAAGCTTCATGCACTTCGGGTATCTCATAGCCGTACTCCTTCAACTTGCTCGTCAACTTTGTTGTATCCAGCTTGCAGTTGCTGCGCCCAGCCTTGATCACCTTGGCTTGCTCCTCCAGGCTAAAGTTCTTCCACGTCACCATAGGTCGCACGATATCCCGAAACAGTGTCAGGACCTCATTGTGCGAGATGGCCCCGGGATTCGTAAAGTTGTAGATGCCCACCTCCCCGTGTTCGGCAAGCAAGATGGACGCCGGCAAAAGGTCCGTCAGAATGCTGTTGCTGTTGGGAATGTCCACCACCCTCTCGTACTGAGAAATCTTGGTCACAAAGTTTCGCGGGTGCAGGTCGTCTGATACAGGCATTCGCAGACGCAGGATAAGGCAATTGTTGTAATGCTTCATTATCTGAACCAGCTTGTCAGCCTCATGATACAGCCACAAGTCAAAAGTCTGGAGACTTACCTCTTCGACGTGGGCCTTAGTCATCGAATAGAAACTGCCCGCAAAATTGGCCGGGTCCGTCTCCAAAAAGCCAGGACCATCCCATGGATGAGCATCGTCGTACTGATAGATACAACCCGTGGCAAACACGATGATGTGGATGCCCCTTGTAAAGCAGCAGTCCGTCAAGTTGAGTGTTCCCACGACGTTGGACCTCATGGTGGCCTCCCTGTTGTCTTCACACCAGTCCACATTGGGCCGTCCGGTACAACCCGCTGCGTTCAGCACATGGGTGGGATTCACTCTATCGAGCTCTGCCAGGACAGCCTCCCGGTTCTCCATACGGATGGTGGTTGTGTAGACCTCCTTCCCCTGGCTCTCTAGCAACGCCTTTAGGTGGCCCGCAACCCATCCATCGCCACCCCATATAAGAAAGCAGTTGGGTTTGTTGCCGTTCGTGGTCTCGGTAGCCATAATGAGGGTGGTTGAGCTGTGATCTGGATATTAAACCTTGCCGAGAAGGGGTGAGAGGCAACAGAAACGAAGACGACAAGAGGATGAGTTGGGGCAACAGGGAAGCTACGCTCTGGCTGCTTAGCTGATAAGTATGACCTCGACGAAGCGTCGCGGCGTGACTAAACAGACGACTTGTTGGGATGAAGAATCACAGTGAGGGAACCAGCTAAGATGAGAAGGAAGAAAGTCAAGGGGATGATATAAAGTATTTCCCCAAAGCCCGGAGCTGGACCCGAAAGCGCGGTCTGGAGAGCCGGCCACATGGAAGGAGGTCAACCGAAAAGGGTACATACAGAGGCGGAAGGTACCCGCTTGGGAACCATAATGGGAATGCCGCTGGTCGGGTTGCATCCCAAGACGTCCAGACTTCTCATCATCCACTTGGATGGCTTTGCCCCTTGAACCCTTGAAGACGGTAGATCAGGATCTGTCCCGTCGGGCGGGAAACGCGGGGGAGGGCTGGAGGGGAACCACCCAATGGCCACGAAAAGCACGAAAGCGGCGTTGGCGGCCAACCGCTTTTTCCAAAAGTCCATATCGGACCCATGATGGCCGCCTCATAGGGTCTCGACCCTGGAGGGATGTATCAAATCCGGATGTCGACAATGCATCATGTCTCTTGAAGATGGACGGTCTGTGACGGTGTGATCCATAGTCTCGCTATCTTATCGAATTATACCACAGTACGTGTACTTCAGGTCCCCGTCGTTGTACCGGTACATATCAGTGTTTGCCAGGGTTCGTTTTTGGCCGTACAGCTTCCAAAGATGTCATCATATTCGATCCAAACAGAGGTAAAGAAGAGCGGAATCAGATGTTTTCAATTCGTTTCGTAAGTCTCGTGGGCATCTGTGGGAATTCCATGGTTCCAGAAATCGTGCTGCTTCCGAAGTTCCGAGACTCTTCCTTTCAGACACATTCCCGTTCCCGTTGCAAGACGTGCCGCTGCCGCCGGGACAGACGGGACCCTGACTCCACTCGTCTGGAAGCTCGGAATAAAACCCCCCGCAGACGCCAGACGCACACAAAACTGCAATCGACCAGAAAGCAACCTGCAACTTTTTTGCTCTTCACTTTCACCAGATCGTTTGTTCCTACATCCAAGGCCCTTCGACATGAGCCAGATATCGGCTGCGCTACAAACGCCTTCACGCTATTCGACGGACGTGTGAGCGCGGATCCTGACAATGGTTCGACCAAACAAGCTTCGAACTTGAGGCAGTTGCCCCTCGTTATGAACGGCAGCAGCATCAAATCGACGGAATTTTTAGTGCAAGGCACAGGTCGATTGACAGCTCTGGTGAGCCACCATTGACCAATGAGAAGCTCGAATTGACTCTGACCGCCCGTTGGTGCCAAGCGGCGCTGTGGGAGCTCGGACCACATCCCTCCCCTCTGGCGCTGGCGGCGCTGAGGATTTTCTTTCCCTCCGTCCTTTCCCCAATCTGCCCAAGACTCCAATCTGTCCAATCCCACCTCCAAATCCCGTCTCTCCTGCCAACCCAATCAACCAGCCCGTCACCCACGACACCCAACCAGCGCATTAAATTCCAGCACGGCGGTGTCAAGCTTGAAGTGAGCTTCCTCCAGTGACAGCTCACCTCCCCGGCTCAAGATCGGCAGAATTCAAAACTTTGAGTGGAGTTGCGACAGCCCCAGGAAGAAGCAACCTTTTCTTTTCCCCTCCCATTTGGACTTGGTCATCTTTTCAAAACAACACAATAGACTCTTGTATTACTTCTTTTCACCCCATTTCACGCGCATTGGGACCTATAATCTCATCCTCGAGATCCCATCGTCTAATTCGCCCTAATTCATCCGGCCACCCGATTGCGCCGAACCCCTGAGGCCTACCTCCACCGCCTTTGCCTTTACGCGCACAGTTACAGACACCAAACTCAAACATATATCACCAAGATGGGCGCTTTTACCAAGGCCGCTTATTTCCTTTTACACCCTAACCAGTTGAGGTCCATCGTTCAATGGTATGCGCCCTCGTCCCCCCATCCCCCTTTCCCCCCCCCGTTTCCTCTTCAACCTTCCCACTGTCTTGTTCCGTCCATGTGCTAACCCGAAGCCTTGCACAGGAAGGTATGGCATGAGCCCGTTCACAAGCGCGACCCTTCCAAGGAGACCGGGACGGAGAAGGCATGCTTCCGCCATCTGGAACTGACCTCGCGGTCATTCTCCGCCGTCATCCAGGAGCTCAACCCCGAGCTCCTGATGCCCATCTGCCTCTTTTACTTGGTACTTCGTGGCCTTGATACGATCGAGGATGACATGACCATCGATATTGCCAAGAAGGAGCCCTTACTGCGTGGGTTTGCCGAATTGATGGAGATTGATGGCTGGACCTTTACCGAGAACGGCCCCAATGAGAAGGATCGTGAACTCCTGGTCCACTTTGACGATGTCATCGCAGAGTTGAAGAAGGTCAAGAAGCCTTACTACGACATCATCCGCGAAATCACCGTCAAGATGGGCAACGGTATGGCCGACTACGCCTTGAACGCCGAGCACAACACCAACGGTGTTAACACCGTCGAGGAATACGAGCTCTACTGCCATTACGTGGCCGGCTTGGTGGGCGAGGGTCTCACCCGCCTGTTCGTTGAGAGTAATCTCGCCAACCCAGCGCTCCTCGAGCGTATGGAGCTGACGGAGAGCATGGGTCAGTTCCTCCAGAAGACCAACATTATCCGTGACATCCACGAGGATTACGTCGACAAGCGACGATTCTGGCCCAAGACGATCTGGAGCAAGTATGTCAACACGTGGGACGACATGTTCAAGCTTGAGAACCGGGAAAAGGCTCTCCAGTGCAGTTCCGATATGGTCCTCAATGCGCTCAAGCACACCGAGGAGTGTTTGTTCTACATGGCTGGTATCCGTGACCAGAGTGTGTTCAACTTCGTCGCTATTCCCCAGGCCATGGCCATTGCGACATTAGAACTCGTCTTCCGCAACCCAGCCATCTTTGAGAGGAATGTCAAGATCACCAAGGGTGACGCCTGCCAGCTCATGATGGAGTCGACACAAAATCTTCGCGTATTGTGCGAGGTGTTCCGCAGGTACGCGAGGAGGATACACAAGAAGAACGATCCAAGAGATCCCAACTACCTGGCAATCAGCGTCCAGTGCGGAAAGGTAAGAATGGTCATCTGCATCTTTCATTCTGGGTCCAAGCTAACAAATGCCTCTACAGATCGAGCAATTCATCGAGTCCATTTTCCCCACCCAAGACCCCAAGAAAATCGCACTCGCCCAGGCTCAAAATCCCAACCAAGAAGCGGTAAACACCATGGACACTGGTGGAACCACCTTCCTGATCTTGTCCATGGTTGGTGTCATGTTCATTATTGGCGGTCTTATGGTGGGTATTTCTGTTCGTCACAACAACTTCCGCGTGGTCGGCTTGCTCGTTCACATGCTAACAGCTGTATAGATGGGAGCCGCGTGGCTCATGGGTGCTCGATTCGACATGGCCTACGAGGACATTACATCGAGAGTCGGCACCTTGGTTAAGGGTGCCGCTCAAGTCTCGAGTGCCACAGTATCCAGCATTCCCACGACGGTGGTGCACCAGGAGTTGTAATGCATCAGCGATCAATTCGATCTATACCCTTTAATGACCGGCGCCTGATCGGATCTTTCGACACCATACACAGACGACCAACGATCGATCGATTTAAGCCAGCATGTAATATCTCATGTGATATTGAACTAGCGATGACTTTCGTATGATTACGAGGCGAGTACTTTCCTGCGCGGGCGATATAAAGGTAATTTTCTGGTTTGGGAGACGTGGCAAGCCGGGGCGTTCATGGTCGGGGAAGGGGTACGGCGATGCCCCTTTTATGTTCCCCGACCTAGCCCCTGATGAAAGATCAGTGTGCCTCGTGGCCTGGATTCCGAGGGACGACAACTACTAACATTGTTTTAATAAACGACCATTGAACCTTCTTCCCCCTTCTCCGTTCATCTACCTTTGAGAAGAACTGAGAATGGACAGTCAGTCTCAAACGAGGGCTGCCCTTCCTTCAAACATTGACATGAGCATGAATACGCAGAAACTAGCACGGATGTCAAATTGCAATCTAGTCGAGTTCCCTCTTCATGGGGGAACCATCAATGGCTATGGTTGTGCCGAAGATGTGCTGAAATTAAACCTCACCCTGCAAGTAGCCTGGTATCCGGGCACGTCGTCATCATGGTCTCACTCTCTACGGCGAGGAGTCTGTTGCCGGCGGATTGCGTACATTTCGTCATTCAAACTTGATCCTATGAATAACTGCCATAGAAAAATATAAAAATTCATTCTATCATGCTGCTCTACGCTCAAACACCCAAGTCAAGCAGTGAAGTGAAGAGTCCATTTGCTAGTGAACAATGTTCTATCGAGTACTCGTGTACCATAGGTGAATCATGTCGAATTAATATCCCAATGCAAGTCGGGACGGGCGGGCGGGTAAGAATGCCATATTATATATCAGCGATAGGCGCCACAGGCAGGCTCAAACTACTAGTTCTAACTGGTTCGTCACATTTTCGCTTCGTAACGTTCGGGTCGGTACCTGCGTACCTGTTTCACCACAGCAGTCAGCACCCCTTAGTTCCCCCGGCTTGCATCTGAGACGCAACCAGCGCCAGAGGCAGAGAAAGCAGGGGCGCGTCTTGATACATATAGGTAATTTCGGGAAATACGCTGGGACAATGCATGAGGTACATGCATAGATAAGTCCTACTAGGGGTGAGGGGGGGTAAAGAGTGAAAGAGTAAAAGAGCGAAGTGTGTTGATGTCGAGAGTGTGTGGGTTCCTTGGGGGGGAATGGACCTGCGTAGTCGACTCATGCGCCTGTTCATCTCTTCTACTGTTGAGCTGAGAGTGAAAGGGCAGATGTATTCCATAGCCATAGCTTCGTGTAAAGGAATCAGTGCGGATTATTTGCTTCCGAGTAAAGATTGACTCGAAGTCTTGAGAAAGAGTTTAGTCGAAATCAGGAACACTACCGAATCGCTGGGTCATGAATGTTTGCAACGACTTCAATATATATAAAAAAGAATTATCCAACAGCCCTTTATCTCTCCATCCAGTCCCGGGCCTCGCAAATAATGACGACGATGCTCTCGCTTGGCTGGCTATATACACTTTGACTTGACTCTTCCGTAAACAGCAACAAAAGATCGCATTCAGTTGAACAACACTTGCTCCGTTTTTATATCCCCAAACAATCAACACCAGAAAAGTGACCAACAATCGAACTTTGAATTTAAAGGTTGCCATTGTTAGCAATCAAGCTTGTCGTCCCCTTAACATTGTTCGACACCTTAGCGCCCGTCTTCTGCGCCAACTCCTTAATCCTGTTGCCAACAGCCGTCACATCCGTGATGCCCTCAAGAGCCATCAGGTAAGCAGCGAGACCAGCAACGTGGGGGCTAGCCATGGAGGTACCGCTGAGAGTGTCAGTAGCAGTATCGCTCTTGATGCCGACAGACAGGACGTTGACGCCGGGAGCAAAGATGTCAACGCCGGTACCAAAGTTGGAGAATGAGGCGCGGGCGTCGGTGCGCTGGTCGATGGCGCCGACGGTGATGGCGGCGGGGGCCGAACCGGGCGACGTGTTGGCAGTGTCCTGGTTCTCGTTGCCGGCGGCAACGACGGGGACGACGCCCGCGGCAGCGATCTGGTTGATGGCGCTGTTGATGGCTTTCGATTTGCCGCCGCCGAGAGACATGTTCATGACGGCCTTGCCGCCGAGCTTCTGAGAGGTGGCGGTGTCGGCGACGAACTGCATGCCCTGGAGAACGCCCGAGTTGGAGCCGGAGCCGTCGGCGTCGAGGACCTTGACGGCAACCAGTTTGGCCTTCTTGGCGACACCAAAGGTGGCGCCGGCGATGGTGCCGGCGACGTGCGAACCGTGGCCGTTCTCATCGGTGTCCACGTTGTTGACAAAGTTGGCGGCGAAGGTGGCGCGGCCTTCGTACTCGGAGTGGGTGACGCGGATACCGGTGTCAACGACGAAGGCGGTGATGCCCTCGCCAGCGGTAGAGTCGAAGACATAGGAGGCCGCCTGCCTGCTGGCGGTGGCGTGGCTGAGGCGGGCCAGGCCGGTGGTGGTCGAGTTCTGCGAGGTGAGGGCGTTGAGCTTGACGTACTGATCCGCCTCGATGTACTCGACCTCCTGGGCGGAGTGGATGTCGTTGATCATGTCATCATCGGCGTCGAGAGCCATGGCACGCCATGTGCCCAGCTTGAAGGACTTGACGCTGTTGGACAAGACTCTGCCGGTCTTCGCGTCGCGCTTGCCCAGGTTGCGCTTGGCCACCAGAGAGGTGATCTTGGTCTGATGGGCACTGATGGCCTCTTCGCCAAAGGTGTTGTTGTAGACGACAATGTAGCGCCCGGGGATGATGTTGTTGATCTGAAAGTTGGAGATGGGGACACCGGCGGCGGTACCAGCGGTGGTGCCAGTGTTCTGGGTGTTCTGGTGGTCATGTCTCCCCCTCGCCGGAGCGGCAGTGACGCCTAGGGCAGAGAGGAGGAAGGCAGCGGCGACAGAAAACCGGACCATAGTGACGTTCTTTCAGAGTGTCTTCTTGATAGTGACGAGTGAGGATGCTGAATAGTGTCTAGGCTGTTACCACCTAGGTTGTAAAGCGGAGTGTCGTGAATATGTCGTATGTAAAAGAGAGGCTGATGCTGTCAAAAGTATAGTCGGAGAGATGACAGATATCGAGATATAAGGTTGTTGGTAAGTGAAAGGAATGTCTAGTCGACCAACTAAAGATCCGAGGCCGGCAAAGGATCGTGTTTGTCGATGTATAAACAAGCAAAAGAAGGATGGCGTATGCACAGCAATACGAGTAAGGGATCCGGAGGGCAGAGGAAGGTCGTCAGTGGTGCCCACGGCGAGGAGAAGCGAAGGGGGAAGAGGAAAACAAGAAAGATGGACGGAAGAACAAGTCGATGCTGGGTTGACAAGACATGATGGATACAGCCCAATACCGTGCTATTTGAATCCCGCTCGAACTTGGCGCATGTATGAGGGCAGTTCCATCACCAGGCCCCTTTGGGGATCCATGGTGTCTCGAAGGCCTGGTGGTTTGGGTACGTCGTGACGGTAACGTCGTAAAGGGGGCCGTTACCGAAACATTGGCGAGCCTGCAGGGACCGCTACCACGAACAGGACACTGGAAAATGCTACGGCATCATAGCGGTTCTGGGCTTCCTGGATGGGATGGTTCCTGGATGGTTCTGCTGGTAAAGTCGATGTCAGAAAACAAAGTATCCTTGCCTGCCAAGAGGTATAAAGCTGGGGTGTGCCGTCCGAATCCCACCATTCGGAGCCATGAAAGCTGTAACGCCACACGGTTTTGTTACGCTATAGGTGAGGGCACCCCCTTAAACCTCAAACACCACTGTCTGATCTTTCCGAGAACCCACGCGACGAGACAGATGCGGGTGTCCGGGCGAATGTGAGCCTTGATGTGAACTCTGGGCAGGTTGGCGATCGACGGCAGTGGACAAGGTCAGATACGAAGGCAAACATTCCGTCAGCCGGTGAGGTCTCTTTCGAATGTCCAACCATCATACCTAGATGCCATGATGCCGAAGGACACAAAGGGGTCCGTTACATGGAATAGAGGTATGATAACAGCACATGAGAATATGAGACGCGCAGTGTCTTGAAGGCCGTGGAGAACTGCTGATTGTGATGAACCCGATGCCGCAAATTCGATATCGACATGCGAAGCCGTCATGAAGATGTGAGTGGGCGAGGAGGAGGAGGCTCAACAGATGCTGCAGTGATTGCAAGCGCTGGTTCACAGTCTGAAACAACCTCAACGTCGCCAAGAAAGAGCTTAGCGCCTCTCCGCGTCCGGGGCAGTCTCCACCAAACGGGGGTCGTTCTCGGCGCTGCTTGTTCTCTTGCATCATGTTTCGTGCCTGGGCGAATGCTACCATTGCGGCGGCGTCATCACTGTCATTTCCGAAATGGCATCATGTTTATGACAAGACGTAGTGTTGAAGCTCGAGATCCTTGACAGCTATAATGTCTAAATCCAGGTTCGACTGCACCCTATTGAGGAAACAAACAATGATCGGATGGGTCCGGAGAAGACTGAAACTGACGACTTGATATGGAAGACGGCCGTTGTTGATGCTCTTATTCGGATTCCGAGACTGATCTCTTTTCCCGTGCTCCCCGTGCTCCCCGTGCTCCGTGGTATCTTTGCTGTGTTAGTCGGGCTCCACTTTAATTGAGTGGGTCCGGGTGTCCGTGCCGTGTCCGGCCTACAAGCAATGGGTCCGGCCCCGATTAGGCGGTCATTTCTTCGGAGGGTTTTCAACAACGCGTGTGAGACAGCCTTATAGTTTTTTTGCCCTTGGTGATTGACAAGTACACAAGGTAATGTGACTTGCAAAGTCTAGACCGGGCGTGATCTTGTTCTTGTCGTACTGGTCATACTGGTACCCCTCTTCCCTCCCCTCTCTGCGAATTGCTGCGTGTTGCTCAAGATGAGGTATCTTGGCCATGCATCGCATCAAGTGCCAGATGGGGCTATCGTCATGATTCTCAAGTCGTGTCGATTTCTTGCAGACTTGGTGCAGCACGACACATGATGTCCATATTGCTTGAACAACGACAGCATGACAACAGAGGCTATTCAAGACGCTGTGATTGATGATTGTGCAAAGTCAAGATTTCTTTGGTGTGTGCCCGTCTGTTTGTTCTCTTTGATGGATTGTTGTTCGTATGATGAGTGCTCTTGGGAAGGCCTGGAGGGGAGTGTTTACAGGTATATGAACAAGACCTGGAAAATCGGGCATGTTGGTGATCTCCATCTCTTGGATGCAAAGGAGTGTGGTGCAATCCAAAGGAAGAGGCCTCACATGGCAGCATGGCAACACTAACAGATGGGGGCGCAGTGTCGTGGAAAAGGTGCAGTTTTCATTTCAAGATCGTCATTTAAACTTTTTGGTTCCCGATTGTCCGTTCTCCACTTGACCTCGCGGGTACCTTTAGGGTCTCGCTTATCCACACCAACAATGCATGTGGGCCAAAGTTAGTGGTACCGCGGATCCGCATGCAGTACCTTAATATTTTAGAGGGGCATTTGTTAGCAGGTTTCCTCTGCAGTTGCCATTGCCATTTCCCTCCCAGCCTCCATCCGAGCCTCCGCCATGATCGCCATCCACACCAGGGCACAACTTGAACCCTCGACAACCAAAGGACACAATTCAATTTCGTTGTTGCTACCAACAGTCCCTTGCCTTACAATCTCTATATATTCTTTAGCTTGTTCAAACTAGACATTCCCCGTTGCCCGCCACAGCCCCAAATCCATCGAGGTTGGGTCCTTGTCACTCTGTCTCGGGCACCATGCACTAATCCACTTCCGCAATTTAGACGTCCAGACACTTGCAGCCTGCCAGCCAGACACTGCACACTGCAGCCAGACACTGCAGCCAGACACCACACGGCAGCGACGCATCCCCCCCAACCCCATCATCCAAACCCGCCAATCTCAGCTCTCAGAACGGTCTGGCCGTTTGGATCCCGGTCAACAAACCCAAGTCCCAAAAGTCCCTTGTTGGCCTTCTTTCTGTTGTCGCGGTGCCGGCGTCAACCTGACTTTTCTCCCCCGCGGTCCTGCTGCAGTATCGAGAGAGTGTCATTCAGTCCGCTTGGTTTCTTGACACGCGACTCCCGACAGGACCTGCACCTCCCGTCAGCAGCACATCGATCGTACCGATCGGCCCATAGCGCACGCAGACTACGCATAAGCAGGCTCAAAGTGTTCAGTCAAGGCGTACGTGCGACAGCGACAGCAACTTGCAGGGCGAATTATTCCATCTCCGACGGCGCACGCGACCCAAGCAACCCTCTCGTTGCTCGGTAGATTCCTCCAGAGTTCAGCCTTCCAGCCTTCTCGATTCACTGTCCCGTCGTTCCAAATCACGTCGCTCCCTCGTCCTTTTCTTCTGCGTTCCCTGCGCTGCCTTGTCGTTGTTCGTCCTTCATCTCGTCTCTCCTCCCGTCCCCACTATCCCGCAACGACCACCATACGTACCATCCCGGAAACCATTCTGGATATCCTCCTGGGTACCTTACGTCGCCTTCATTGTGACGAACTCAGCCATCACTACACGCCCCTTCTCTGGCCATAGCGAGACGGACGACATATTTCTCGCTTACCCGCATGTCATGACCTTGAAGCCACCAGATCATTAGTACCGCATCCACCATCTACGCCAGAGATTCCAACATGACACCGCCCAGCGACCCAATGCTTCTCGATCAAGTACACTCCGAGTCCTTGACTCTGGACACCCGCCTACCGAGAGCCGAGAGGGACCAATCACTGCAAGAAGAAGAGGAGGGCAAGGCAACGGTCGAGTTGGCCAACATAATGACCACGGCCTCAAATCCGGTATCGCCGGGTTCCTCAAGCCCACCACTCGACCAAGTCGGCCTGCAAGACTTTGTCCCACCCACCCGTCCAAGCAGCACCCCGTTTCCGCACCCGGACCCGAGAAATGCTACTTTGCGAAGGGCCACTTGTCCCGCCGAGGACTTGATGGATTTAGACGAGCCCGGCCATTGTCAACCGCCTGCAGGCAGTCTGCCTGGCCCGAGCCAAAGCGTTGGCGTTAACCTCAACCATCTCCCCGCCGAGATCCACGAATGCATCCTCGACCACTTGTTCGGCTTCCGCGTATCACCAGCCTCAAAGAGCTCCATTGTACGATGGGGCACCGCACTGAGGCACTCGAGGCGAAGGGAACTGTCAGAGTTATCATTGGTCAGCAGTGTATGGAGGGTCTTGATCCAGGAGCGACTATATCGGCACATCAAGCTCAAGGCCACGATCGATTCATTGCGCAGCTCGTTTTCCTGGTTCTGCCAGAACCCGCATCTGCGCTGCTACGTCAAGCACATCGAGGTCTGGTTTCCCGTCTTCCAGCCAAAGTATGGTCCTTTGGCAGTCTCCAACACCAATGTTTTGCCTACCGTCACAGCCGATGGCTTGACCAATGCCACCTACATACTACCGGGCAACAACTGCTCCCTAGAAGAGGCCTTTTACTTTGTCGCCGAGACTTTCCCAGAGGTTTCTGTTCTAACCCTGGAAGGTGGTGAACGAAAGAAAGCGCCGAAAGTGCGACATTGGATTCGGGAAGAACGCGGGCAGCTTAGGGCGATGCCCAAGGTCGAAACCATTCGGACACTTATCTGCAAGGGACAGTGGAACCTGATCAGGAGCCTGGAAGACTGGGAAGCCATCATGTCGGCTCTCCCCAGCTTGCAGGAATGGCACGGTTCCTATAGTAAGCCCAAGTCTAAGAGTTACCTCACTATGGCCGAAGTCCTTGGGCAGCCCATGAGCCTGTCCACCCTTAATCTCTGCATTGAAGGCGATTATCGGCGAGAACTATCCTTTCCCCATTACTTCAACAAAGTCAGGACCAAGGTGCATTTCTGCTCGACCCTGGCACAAGCTGCCGCGTTACCTTCTATGGAACACATTTCTTATACGGGAAGGGTTTGCAAACAGTTCTTTATCGACCTGGCAAACCGGTTGAAGGACATCCGAAATCCTCGTCTCAAATCCATCGATATTACAGTCAAGAACTGCTGCCGAAACGTGGCACACTGGAATGAATCAGGGTCGGGAATTACAGACATGTTTTTCATCAAGGCATTTGAGGCTCTGGTACTCGCGGGTATTCGCTCTTTGGAGAAGCTTACTTCGGTTAAGTACCTGCGCATTCGTTATGTTGACCTCGGTATGTCACTGATTGGGTATCTTCTCTCTCCAGTGATTTCTGGCTAATCTTGGATTTCAGACTCTCCCGTTCCCCCGCTAAATCCATACTTCCAGCTGCGCAACGGCTGGGCTTCCGGTGTCTGGAGCGAGGTTATTGTTAGCGAACTTAACCGCGTCCGGCCCTCGGTGCGCTTCGAGGAATTGGCCGAGTCTTTTGGCGAGGTTGGCTACAGCAAGGATGGCAGGATGGTCATAAATCCTGACTTCCCCAGGGCCAGGGCTCTATCGTTGAAGTTGTCCAACTATCGTTTGCTGAGCGGTGGGATTTCCGTTTCGCATTCACTCTGAGAGTCGCTGTTGCGGCTCGTCACCCATTCCCTCTGATCAGCATAAAGCGCAAAAGGATCTACTGTATCTGTTACATGGGAAGGTTTGATTTTGCTTTTATCTTGATTCTTGTTTCGAAAGCATGGCGTTTCGGTTCCAAAGTTGGGGCCTCCCACTGATATCAAGGTATGTCACATAGGTAGGCGGGAAGGCGGATCTTGGTCGGGGTTAGAACATGAGGATAATGGTTGGACGGCACCGGCGTCAATATGGGAATCCGACATCCTTAACATGTGCCTTAGCATAACAAATGTGCCTTAGCATAACAACAGATCTTATCAGGTCGCGGGACTTGGAGAGCAGACTACCGTAGAGACTCGCGAAAGTCGCAAACTACTATCCCTCTTTGAGCGCCGGACATATGGCAGATATCTGCCAGAAGTATGCCCAGTAAGCATACATATGCCAGCATATGTGCCCGCCCAGTTACCAGTGCAACACAAACATTGCCCTCCACGTTAACTTACACACATTCGAATGCACAGCGACCGGCCTGATCCTGCCAGCTGCCTGCACAGATATGCCATATGTCCGGCACAGAGGGATAGCTTTTGGTGAATTTCGCGAGTCTCTACGGTAGTTGAAATAGTAAAATCGAACACAAGTGCATTTCAGTGCAACTTTGCCTTCTTCATATAAACGGTTTTGCCTGCGTGACTAGTTATGAGCCTGATAGACGTATATATACAATCCTCCAACTCTCTTCTCTGTCTTCCCATCATCCACTCACCAACCCTCCCACACCTCACCTCCCCCCATCACCAACAATCACCCCCAAAATCCAACAATTCATCACAAAGAAGCCCAAGCTCGCCATCCACAACCCCGGCAAGAACGTGCTCCGTCCCAAAAACTCCAACTCGAAGGCCTGCTGCAACCACAGTCCCTGGCCGAGCACCCACAGACCCAGCGCCGCAACGCCCATCCTCTTACCCCTCAAAAACGAAGACCGCGGCAGGTACAGCGGCAAAAAGACCATGTACCAGAGGAAGTACTGGCTCGTGCAGACCTTGTTGAAGGTGACAAAGGCAAAGGTTTGCGCGAGCAGAGAGGTGGGTAGGTCCTTTTTGGCGAGGCAGAGGGGGATGAGGATGGTGGAGAGGAGGAGTTGAGGGAGGAAGGCTAGGGATTCGATTTTTAGGCCTGATGAGGAAGATGGCACTGATGCGGATGCCGAAGACAAGTAGAGCTGGGTGTTGTAAGGACTAAAGTTGTGGCGGTGGTCGATGCGCGTGACGTGATGAAGATAAGTTTCCTGCAGGAAGGTGTGGCCGTAGAGGGCGTACATGAGGAGGTTGAGAAAGAGGAAGGTGGTGAGGGAGGTGATGGCTAGGTTGAGGCGGGGGAGGGTGAGGAAGGAGGTTATTTTCTGAAAGAACGTCTTCTTCTGGCCTCCTCCTCCTCTAACTCCGGAAAGTCGTTCCTGATCCATCCACCACACGATGGCGGGCGCGTAGATGAACGGGTAGATCTTGAAGTGCACGCTGAATCCCAGAAGCAGACCGGCGAGAGTGATGCGCCGCGAGAGGACGGCCCAGAGAAGAGCCATGACGAGAACACCCAGAAGACCCTCGGATGAGCCGCGCGTGCTGATGGTGGCTACCATGGGGTTGAGCAGCCAGATGGCTGCGAAGGCGCGGGCGCGGGAGGGGTCCATTCTCGTTCCCGTTGTCGTTCCGTTGCCGCTTCCTCCCGCCCTCTCCTTTTCATTCTGCTTCTCCTTTTCTTGAGGTTGAGAAACAGAAGGAAAATCAGTCCCCATAACCAACACCCGCTCAATCAGCCAACCCGCCACCAAATCCGCCGCCGCAAACAGAACCTTTCCAAAGCTGAACCATGCCGTATTGATCACCTTGGCCGCCAAAGGACCCCATTGCGCGCCTGCCGTCCATGTGGTGGGCAGCAACAACCAGGCCAGGATAGGCGTGTACCGGTACGTCTCGCGGGCGTAAGGGGACTCGCCGCGAGACACGAAGCGGGCCGCGTCGGTGAAGACGAGGTAGTCGATGTCGGTGTACTTGAGCGGCGAGTTGGCGTCTTGCCAGAGGCCGTAGAGGAGGAGGACGAGACGGAGGAGGAAGGCGGAGAGGTAGAGGGGGAGTGGCCGGGAGAACAAGGTGGTAAGGAGAGATGGTTTGGGCCTTGGGGGTGCTGGTGATGTTGCCATTTTTGGAGGTTTGTGGTGTTTTGGTTGGGTTGCTGCGGTGTTCAGGGGTTCATTTCATGGGTTGTTAAGACGACCATGAGGGGTTTTTCGTTTGTTTTTGGTGGCCTCTTTCTAGCAATGGGGTGACCAGCTGGAAGAGGAGGTTTCGATGGAGAGAATGTGTGATCTCTGTGAGCGCGCGTTGTGGAAGTCGGCTCGGTGTTGATGCCAGATCTCAGGGGTCCCTGTATGCAGTAAGGTTATCGTTTTGGGTTGAGAAGAATTCTTGGCAGGCGTTGACTTCAGTACCCGATACGGTAAATTACAGCCATGCTGTGTAAGTTATCACATGAACACCAAGTGCCCCCACGGCCTCACAGATCTCGCAGAGGAACACTGCTGCCATCACTTGTTCGTCCGCTGTAACGGGATGCACATATCATGCCAGTTTTGATAATGGAACGGATGTTCCAAAACATGCATCAAAAAGTCGCAAAATCTTGGTTCTGGAACAGCCTTAATGCTGAAAGAGAAAGAACGACCTTTGCGTTTCGCCCTTTCCCATGCTCCGAGATCAACCTGTAGCGCTGTAGGTCATGGGAGCTATGACGACAACCTCCCACACCGACAGCGCAGAAGCATCTGGAGTGAGACAACATACCCGTCCACGACATACTTAAAAGGACTGCGGTCACGATAGCCATGGTTCCGATGTGAACAACATACCAATCAACAATAGCAACAGTACAAAACTCAACAGCATCAAGTAACAATGACGCCTCCTCTTATCACCCTCGAAGAGCACTTCTTCTCCTCGGCGGTCCCCGAGATCCTCAAGCCAAAGTACTCGGAACAGCTGAAGCATGTCGATGGCGTATATGACAAGGCCGTCGATCTCGGCGCTCTACGTCTCCGTGACATGGACGCTGGCGGTGTCGCACTTCAGGTCATCAGCCACGTACCAGGTCTTTCTGACAACCCCGTCGCCTGTCATGCAGCCAACGACCAACTGGCCGGTGTTATCAAGGCCAAAGATCAAAGCAAAGGCCGCTTCGCCGGGTTCGCCGTGGCACCCATGGGCCATCCAGACCAGGCAGCCGCGGAGCTTCGCCGGGCCGTCACCGAGCTGGGTTTCGTCGGCGCCCTAGTTGACAACCACCATAACGGCAAGTTCTTCGATGGGCCGGAATACGAGCCGTTCTGGGCAGCTGCCGAGGAGCTCGACGTACCGATATACCTTCACCCAACGTGGGCCAGCGAAGACATGGTGCCGCACTATCAAGGCAACTTTACCCAAGGGGCGGCCATGAGTATGGCTTCGAGCGGCTTGGGATGGCATACCGAGACGGCGCTGCATGTGCTTCGACTGTTCGCTTCCGAATTGTTCGACAGACACCCAAAGCTCAAGATTATCATCGGCCACATGGGGAGACGATACCCTTCATGTTGGAGCGAATCCAGGTCTTGAGTCGCAGATGGGGGGATTTCCAGCGAGACTTCAAAACAGTCTATGACGAGAACATATGGATTACCACGAGCGGCGTCTGGAGTCTCAATCCACTAAGGTGCATCTTGGCGAACACGAAGCTGGATCACATCCTGTATAGTGTCGACTATCCCTTTCAGAAAAACGAGATTGGTCTCGAGTGGATCAAGGACTTGGAAAAGAGCGGGCTGGTCAATGAGGAGGAACTTGATGCCATTGCGTACGGGAACGCAGAGAAGCTTTTGGGCGTAAAGGTACCCAAGTTATGAAGACTGATGTTGATGTGTTGAGATGTTGAGATGAGGAAAGTGTTCATCCAGATTAGATCCTGCAAACAATCTTGACGTGGGGGAACTTTAGGGGTTCCCTACAGCGCCAAGATTCTGGGGCAGGGGAGGGCATCCTGACAATTGCGGGGCATGCACCTAAAATATCCGCTACAACAATCAATTCTGCACAAACAACTCTTCCTCACACCCTGGGTTTCTTTATCTCTGGGCGTCATCATCGTGACATCGATTCAGTTTGTTCTCGACAAGGAAGGCAAGATGGACGAAGCACCACCACCAAAGCGCGCCAAGATCGTCTCCGAAGATATTGCTAAGCCAATTGACAACTCAATCGGAAACACCATGTCTGGGTTTAAGCGCGACAGGCACGGAAACGAGAAGAGGTTCAATAATGGACCCCGACCGGCACCCAAGCCAAAGGTGGCCGTCGTAAGAAATGCGTACACGCCCATGTTCGAACAACTACGCAATGAGCTCGACGCCCACCATGATCGTCGCGACCGCCTCGGGAAGGTTTCGAGGGATGTTACCGGACTCAGCAAGAAAATGTGAGCAAGCAACATGGGATTCTTCGGATTGAAGGAACTGGGCTGACGAGTTTCTCAGAATATTTGCTCTTCAACGGTAATTCACCAACACTTCACCTTAGCCTCAAGTTCTTGGAGTACTGATGACCGTGCCATCAGAGTCCGCACAATCAACCCCGATCTTCCTCCCCAGATTCAAGCCGAAGTGGACTCCCGCCTCGCCGAAATCTCCAAGCTCCTGGCCACCATGGCCCCAGACGTTCAAGGCATCAACCGTTATCGCTACTCTCGCTCTCTTATGTGTCTCGAGGAGCTTGCCGAGGCACTTACCTTTGCTCACTACCTCAAGACCCAAACTCTCCTCAAGCCTGATGAGCTTTCGGCCTTTGTGGAGGAACTTACCCGGAAGGGCGCTGCTGTGTCGGAAGAGAAGGACGAGGACAAGGACGAGCCTATGCCAGACGCTGGCAACACCCCGGTACCTGCCTCCGGCGAGCAGGAGACCACCTCCGACGACCCCAAGCCAACAGAGAAGGAAGAACAACCAAAGCCAGAACCCCTGATCATGTCAACAACAGAGGACGACTACTTTTACGGTGTCTTCGACCTCTCCGGCGAAATGATGCGCTTCGCGACCACCAGCACAGCCCTGACCGGGAAGATGGCGGGCGCCGAAGACGAGCGGACCATTGTCGAGGATATGCATGAACTCGGTAGCTTCTTTGAGATGCTGCCCGGGAAGGCCGGTGATCGGAAACAGTGGGAGAAGAAGCTCGATGTTATGCGGCAGTCGGTGAGGAAGGTCGAGAGGCTCGGGTACGATCGGAAGATTCGTGGCAGCGAGCGACCGCAGGGCTGGGTTCCGGATCTAACGGCGGATCAGCCCGGTGAGGATGAGGAGTTATGATGGAAGAGAGTAATGTTGGGCGGAAATCTATGTGTGTACTACTACTCGTTGTTACACAATTGGGCTGGGTAATGTTACTTTCGAGTAGTTGAGAGATCTTCGTATGGAATATGGCAGCCTCATCAAGGGACCAAGTCTAGTCGTCGGGATGGCTTCACAAGGCCTTCTCTTCTGATTTACCCAAATCATACATACATCAGCATGTTCTAAAAGACCTGGAATATTTTTAACATGGTCAGGAAGTTAGAAAGTACAAACATGAGTTACAGCAATGTCGGAAGTTGAACGTCCTTCTCATACCGTTCATCGTGGAAGCAGATAGGGAACAAGATGGGAACAACTTCAACAGCTGATAAATAGAAAGAAGAAAACTGAAGTAAGTGACCCCAAAAAGACAAATTATATCCAATATGCTATGGGAATGGAACTACTACTTTCTTCAAAGAAATGAATCACTAAATGAAAGAAAGGCTCTGAGAAAAAGAGAAAGAGGGGAAAAAAAAAAAAAAAAACAGATAGGAATCCTGATTCTGGGTAGAAAAATATGCAAAAGGTTATGACAAGAGTGGGATTCGAACCCACGCCCTTTCGGACCACGGAACTCGTAGAGGAGATTAAGGGTTAACCTTAACGTGGCGCCTTAGACCGCTCGGCCATCTTGCCTGATAGTTGTCAGTTTGTTGTGAACCTCATCTTATATAGGTGGTGACTGACCACTTGGTCCAAAACCATCCCCATTTTTACACTCTCTCTTTCACTCTGCTGTTTTGACAGTCCCAGGGAGTTTTGTGGGCTTTGAAAAGTCTTGATGGGTGGTTTTCGTATCATTTTTTTCTTATGGGGCTTCATAGAACTCAGATACTTTGGCGCACTACAGGTAGGTATATCACAAGTTGTCGCTTGTCACGGATTATCGTCAGAGTAGTCCGTCCACCATTGCGTTACGAAGCTACTTACTGAATGCCTCCGCATTCTTCATAAGACAACAAACAGTTCCGGGTGTTCCTCATGTGTTCTTTCTTTTCTTTCATTAACTTCGAATGACCAACTATTGCTCATACGTGCTGATATCGCTAAAATTACACCCTGGGACAAACCCGAGGTTCGTCATGAACTGCGGATCAACGTCAACCGCATCCGTGTACTCGATCGACGCCAGATCGTCCACCATCGCATCGTAGTCTACCGTTGAATATCCGAAATTGGCCATAGGGACGAGATTAGTATGATGGTGAGGACCGTTGGTTGTACTATCAACGTATGGCAGTGGTGGTCTGGGAGGAGCACCTCCGTGTGCAAGGGCCACCGAGGCCTCGCCCAAATGGGTGGCAGGAGGTGGATATGTGCTGAGGATGCCATGGGCGTGGAGTGACCCATAGTGTCGGGGGCCATCAGGTTGGGCAACCGCGTCTAGGATCGCATTGCTATTGTAGGGGGTGGGATTTGGTAGCCCAATGAACCGATCGTTGGCTGGATTTATCGAGGTCGACGGAGGCTGTTCCATGACATGGGGCATGGCATTTGGAGTTGCAGTTGCAGCTGGCGGTGGCTCAAGGAGTCGAATGGGTTGGAGATCAGTATTGTTGTGTCGGCCTACCCTAGACCATATTGAGGAGAAGGCGGGTAGAACTTCCTCCAGCTGCCTTCGGTGCCGCTCTGAACAATGTGATTGTTCCTTTAAAGCAAAGAGGGAGGCTAGAAGCGAAGGGATCAGAGGCGGGATTGCATATGTGCCAAACCGCTTCTGATACTGATCAAGAGTCTCGATCAGAAGATGCGAGTAGTGTTCGTTGAGAGGCTCAGAAAAGGCAGCTGCCCATAGATAAACGGTACGAGTAAGGTATGCTGTCGGCACAAAAGCCGATGCAGCGTCTTGGGAAAGGATAAAGACGCTGAAGGGAGAATTGTGGCCGATTACCTGCTGCAACCGCGACCTGAACTCCAAGGAAGCGTTCTGTGAAGATATCCGGATTCTTGGCAGGAGTTCCAGAGCAACCAACTTGGTCACGCCATATAGGTGGTTGAATGTGCTCAGAGGGTACGCCGGATTCCTCAACGTTTGCAGCATGGCGTGTTCACCCCCTAAGCCCTCACATGGTGTCCACGGCTCCCATTGATCTTGACCGTCTTCAGGTAACGGCAGATCCGCAATGTCGTCTGGCTTGAGATGGGCCGGTACATTGTGTCTCATAGAAACAATGGTATCCACGATGAAGCACGCGACGAGCAGCGCACGCATTCTTGGTCGTAGCCGCTCATCATCAGGAGGCGACTGTGTGCGAACAACCAGTAGGACCCGAACCGCAAAACCAACCAACAACCAAGCAGATTCCCAGTCATCCCGTCCTAGGCTTACTAGACAAAGAAGCAACAGCGCTCTGCAGTGCTGAACCTGGAACGGCCCGCTTTCCGAAGGTATGAGCTTTCGGGCTGTATCAAATATATCTGCAGGCGAAGGATTGATGGCATTGTCGCCGCCATGAGCAGTCGAAGTTGGATCCGGAGAATTCGATGCAGCAGCAGCAGCAGCAGCCTGGAAGGACGCCAGGGCGAGCGCGCTCCAGAGCTCGGCATGAACGCCAGACTCGACGTTAGCAGAGGGAAGCAACGAGCCTTGTTCAGAATACTGGTATAATGCTTGGTACATGTCTTTCTTCTCGAGGATGGGGAACCAAGAATGCGTGTAGGAAAAGTAGATATCCAGAAGGCGCCAGTGATTAGGCGGCAGCTTCCCTATCCCCGTACTGGCTAGATGGGCTCTTTCATCTGGCTGAATGTTGTTTTCCAGGGCGTTCGCCGAATTATGTGGTAGGACCGCGCCTGGTAGAGTGCGTGCCTGGACTGTACTCTGCGCCGAGAGAGACAAGTGAGGCGCATGAGGGAGTTCGGTTGTCTTTGCCCCGGCATCTTCAACATTCATGCCTTCAGAAGGGGATTGGTCGTCGTCAGATGGACTTTGTGCGGCCTGGCCCGAGAGAAGACGGGTGATGCTTTTGTTGACACGACTCCTCGCCCATCTTGCATGCAGGCGCTCTGCAGCAGGCGAGTCTTTGCCGACCAGGAGAGCACTGCCCTGGCCACTTTCGTGGACCAACAAATTATGAAGGGCGTCCTCGCTGTGGGCAACGTTCTCGAACATCCAAGCAAGAGCCAGTTCGAGAGTGCGGATGTAACCCGTCTGGACTCCTCGCTTCTTGGGACTGGCCTGGTAGGTACACGACCGGCCCTGCGACACACAAGGGAAGCAAGCCGGCTGTATTCCATCGCACTTTTCGCGTGCAGCTCGACACTGATCGCAGGCCCTCGAGACTCTCTGGCGTTTCGAACGAGCGGGCTCGACAAGTGACGTCGTGGTAGGGCCGAGGTCGGGTATGTCATTGTTGTTTAAGTTGGGCGCAGATGCAAAACGGGCGTTGCTGTTTGCTGAAGTGTTACCGACGGCATGGGCATCGGTATGGGCATCGACATGGGCATTGGCTTCGGCAGCGGCATCGAGCGTCTTGCGTTTGGGCGGCATGTTGGGATTTGTGTATCCGTAGAGGTATGTTGCTAATCAGGCACATGGGATGGATGCCCTTGCTGATCTTTTTTTCATGGCCCTCTGCAAACCATGGCGACGTTGTAGCGAGTGCCTGGGAGTCCGATCATGGCTTTGGGACAGTGGCCTTGAATGCGGTTGCGTAGAGGCCGAGGTGTATAGAGATATCCAACATGGTGTCTAGGCCAGGTGGAAGGGTGAGCGAAGACCGGAAGCTGGATGGCAGCGATTGAGTGGAACCGGTTATTGGTTGGATTCGGTGCGGGGGAACTTCGGCTTTTGAGAATTTGGAGACTCTTCTCCTTCAAGTGAAAAGGTTTGACTATAGGTAGCTGTATAGTCAATTAAACATTTGTTGACTCTGAAGAGTTGTCGAACCTGAGAGGCATCTCTGTAAGTGCCCGTAAAAAGGACAAACAGAGTGATGCATATGTGTGGAGTTGTAAACAGCGTGAAGAGAGTCGAGAAAATGGAGGCCAAAGTTGGGAGGATAATTCTTTATCCTCTTGTACAGCTATAGTGTACATAATTCAATGCCCCTCGCTTAGGTCATACAATCAAGACCTCACTGAAAATACACGCCATAGTCACAGATAGCTGTAAATACTGGTTTGACATGCTTATATACCCTCCTAGGACTGTAATTACCTACTTTTCCGTGCTTGCCTAATGTACAGACCTGTACTTTGTAAGTGGAAGGTGTAGGTATTTTCCTTACCGCGAGGCTTTACTTGCAGTAGGTACACCGGGCCGGGATCCCTTGCACTGTTAACACCTCCATTTCCAATCACCTATACACCTCGAACAAACCTCCCCCCCCCTCCCACTCCCGACAACACAATTTAGTCCACGCCAGATTTTCAGCCAGATGACGCTGTTTCCTTGAATATCGGACCCCTACGCGACGAGGACAGAACAGAATGGACCCTTTTCTGATCAGACGAGTGATGTTCTAATAGGTGGAGAATTGACATTGCCATGGCGCATGTGAGAATGCCGATGCACAAGTATGCGCACAACTACCCGGCCTTCTATTCTAGTTGAAAGACAGAGACACCACCACCCCCGCCATCATGAACACCATTCCGACACGCCATGTCGGGGATATCGCAACCCGCGATCCTCTACCTCTACCGCCCATATCATCCTCAAGCGGCATGAAGCGTTCCTTCGCGACCATGGCCATGCTCTACGCCAACGACAGCGACACTGGCAACAGCGACGATGCCAATGCCAATGCCAATGCCAGGCGACCACCACGACCCCTCTCCAATAGTCCGAGCACTTCCAACTACAGAGTAGGCACGTCTTGTGTTGATCCGCGCCTTCTACCTCCCCGCCAGTCTTATATTGTGCACACTACTAACAGTCAGTCTAACTAGGCTCTTGGTCGGCGCCCAACTCCCCGCCCCGTCGTCGTGCGCTGCCGCATCATCCCATCACCGCCAACTTTGCTCCCGATGCCTCCATTGTTATTGCCGGTATTCGTGGCGCTGGCAAGTCTACGCTGGCCATCATGGCATCTAGCGCCATGAAGCGCAAAATAGTCGACCTGGAATCCGAGTTCCACCATCTCACTGGCTTGTCTAGTTCAAATTACAAGAAGAGACATGGCCCGGCCGACTATGGGAGGCGTCAGATCACCATCTTGCAGAACATCTTGAAGCTGCATAGGACCCGCGCCATTCTCGTCTGCTCTTGGCTGGAGCGCGATGTGCAGGCCATGTTGCAGGATTTCAGCACGTCTAATCCAGTCATTTACGTTCTGCGCGATGCAAAAGCCATCGAGGCCCATCTGAAGGGATATGACAAGTCCAAGGTTGGCGCCCTTCTTGACGCCACAAGTGCTGTCCTTCGCCGCTGCACCCGTTTCGAGTTCTTCAACGTCTCCGAGGAGAACTTGGACACACACTCCGGTTCAGCATCACCGCCCGCCGTTCCGGACCAGCGACATACCGCGCCATATCTAACCCTCAAACGGGCCGAGCGCCACTTCCTCAAATTCCTCTCCTTGATCCTACCCAAGGGGACCATACCTTTTCTCGAGTCCGCCTTTCCCCTGGCTTCCGTCCCCGTTGAGCAGCGCCGCTTCACCTACGCCCTCGCCTTGCCTATATCTGCCTTCCTCGACAAAGGCGTCGATATACAAGAGCTCGAGGCCGGTGTGGACGCAATCGAGATCATCGTAGACCATCTTGCAACGAGCGAATCCGGTCCAACGGGCCCCTTGGATCTTGCGCCCCATCGAGCGAGCGAGATCAGCCGTGTTGTAGGCGAGATCAGAAGGGACACAGTGATCCCCATCATCCTTCATGTCGTCTTTCCGGAGAGAGCGCTGTATGAAGAAGCTCTGTTGGCTCTTTACATGGCTTACCTGAGTCATGCCTTGAGGCTTGCGCCAGATTATCTTGCGGTCGATCTGAGACTCGACTCTGGGTTGCTTGGACAACTAACCGCCGTTAAAGGAATTACCAAGGTTATCGGCAATAAACAACTTGCACAGGTCAATTCGCCGCTCTGGAGGGATTCATCTTGGCTTCAGGCCTATCAAAAGGCCCAGAATACTGGATGCGACTTGGTAAGGATGACCAGGCCGGCTTCGAGTTCCAGGGACAACACAGATATCCGGCAGCTCCAAGTTGCGGTAGAGGCCGCTGGGGGTCCAAAGCTCCCGTTGATTGCTTACAACACAGGACGGCTTGGTCGGACATCGATGTCTTTTAACGAGATCCTGACCCCGGTTACACCAGAGTCTTTCAAGGAGGATGCACTCGGGCTCCAAGATTCTGCCCATCGCCATCTCCAACCTCCGCTTACGGCTCTAGAAGCGACGCAGGCTCTCTACTCGGCATTTGTCCACGACCCTATGAAGCTGTATGTCTTCGGCGCAAATGTGGGATATAGCTTATCCCCAGCCATGCACAATGCCGCACTCAAGGCCTGTGGCATTCCACACCACTACAGGCCCCTTTCTACGAACAATATCGGAACTTTGCGCGAGGTTATCAGTGATCCGCAGTTTGCCGGAGCCTCGGTTGGTCTGCCGTTCAAGGTGGAAATTATTAGCCTCACACATTCATTGAGCCGGCATGCGAAAGCCATCGGAGCCGTCAACACCTTGATTCCGGCGCGACACCTTACCGTGGACGGTGGAATACCGGACGAGGTGTCCATGTTCAACAATATCAGCCAGGCTGGCCCCGTCAAAGCCCTCTACGGCGAGAACACAGACTGGATCGGTATTCGGGCTTGTCTTCGCCGCGGTTTATCGCCGGCCAATGCCGTGAGATCAACGAGCACTGGTCTTGTCATCGGCGCTGGCGGCATGGCTAGGGCAGCTGTATATGCCATGCTTCAACTGGGAGTCAAGAAGATTTTGATATTCAACCGAACATTTGCTAATGCCGAGAGGCTGGTTTTACACTTCGAGAATCTGTTGGCCAGAGACGCTTTGCCTCTGTTGAGCACGGGGCCAAGATCTCACGACAACACCTGTTTCCACATCATTCGATCCCGAGACGAACCGCTTCCAGAAAACTTCAAAAACCCGACCATGATTGTTTCCTGCATACCGACGCACACAGTGGACAACACCCCGGACCCTGAATTTACTGTGCCTTTGCATTGGCTCGACAACCCTACTGGCGGCATTGTGCTAGAACTCGACTATAAATGTCTCACATCACCCTTGCTCGAACAAACACGTCGCGAGGCTCACAGAGGCTGGGTCGCAATGGATGGACTCGATCTTCTGCCAGAACAAGGGTTTGCCCAATTTGAACTGTTCACCGGGCGGCGAGCACCCCGTCGCTTGATGAGGCGCGAGGTTTTGCGAGCATACCCGGATGATCAGGAGCAATCTCATACCGCGCCTCGCCTCAACAGAATTGCCACGCAGATATCTTGAAAGAAAGAGGCATGCGGATGCGGATCCGATGGACTTGATTTCGGGGCCGGCTGTCGGCATCAGGGTAAAACTCGGGCCGGTTTCGGCGGACAGCAACAAGGTCTGCTCGGACCACTAAACCCAGATCCGTGCTTGCCCCTGAAGCCGGCCCTTCTGTTGTGGGTACGGGTTACAGTCATCACGACAGCACGGTGAAGCGATCGGCTCAGGGAAACACTTGGCGCTGATAATTGGAGTGAGGAAAAGGAGGTGTGCGATTCACCTCATATGTGTATCCTCGACAACACCTTTCAGTTTCAAGAATGCCGAGTATCAAGTTACCAGGCGCTGGCTGGGTAATGGCTTTCCCGTTCATGCACAGAGCTGCAGCTTCTCAGATGTGATGGCTCATCGGTGTCGACGTTTGCGAGCGTGGCTTGGTCATGCTGCCTCACGTAAACGGGCTCGAGAGGTTGAAGATGAAGGGGGCTGAACAACCACCGTCGTTGTCTGCCGTCCTCCGGCTATACATTCATCCAAACCCTCCAAAAACTCTGCGCTAGCATGCCAGTGGTTTGTGGGGCGGTCGCTGAGCAGGGGTTGCACTGGACAGCCACCTCTTCGAGGTGTCTGTACCGGCTCAACGCTCATCAGCTTCACTTCAGTGCGGGGAAGCTCAGGGGCTGGACACTGAGACGTTGGCGATGAGCTGGAATAGGTCACTTTGCCACGAGGAGTCCCGGCATCTGGGGCTCGACTGTTGCCATGCACTCTGTTTTCCTGGGGTTGCGATCCGGTGGTTGTGCCGGTCGCTTGCATTCGAGTGTGCCGAATACCTAGCAGGTTTGGTGTGGCTCTTGCGGGGGAGACCAACCAGCCAGATCTTAGCTCGCTGGGCGGCTGGGGTATGGTTGCTAACAACAAGATTCCCCATGGAGAAGGGAATACTAGTCTAGTGCGTGGGTTCCCTTGCGCATGGATGAGTCGAACTCCTCTTCTATAAAGAAAGACATCCCGACTTCAGGAACGATATTCTAGGATACAACCAGCCCTCTTTCCTCGTTCACATCACTCACCCCCTTTGGCGACCTTGTAGGAGAGGTCGCGTCACCGGCCCCCCTTCTCTTATTCTACATCGTCAATCGGCATCGGACGCGTCAAGATGACTCTCCTTGCGCTCAAGGAAGATAGGCCAACGCCAAAGGCCGTTTACAACTGGCGTGTCTACACATGCGCGGCGATCGCTAGTTTTGCCTCTTGCATGATCGGCTATGACTCTTCCTTCATTGGTACCACCCTTGCGTTGCCGTCCTTCACCAAGGAATTCGATTTCGCCTCTTATACACCTGGTGCTCTCGCCTTGCTTCAGTCCAACATCGTATCGGTCTACCAAGCCGGTGCCTTCTTTGGCAGTCTTTTCGCTTATGCGACTAGTTACTTCTTGGGCCGTCGCAAATCACTCATTGCCTTCTCTGTCGTCTTCATCATTGGCGCCGCCATTATGCTTGCTGCTGATGGCCAGGGGCGAGGCATTGCTCCGATTATCGCAGGCAGAGTGCTGGCCGGATTTGGCGTTGGAGGTGCCTCCAACATGGTACCGATTTACATCTCGGAGCTTGCCCCGCCCGCTGTTCGTGGCCGTCTTGTTGGCATTTACGAGCTCGGCTGGCAGATTGGTGGTCTGGTCGGATTTTGGATCAACTACGGCGTCAACACCACCATGGCCCCAACGAGGTCGCAGTGGCTAATCCCCTTCGCGGTTCAGCTCATCCCCGCCGGCCTCTTGTTCTTGGGCAGCTTCTGGATCCCCGAGTCGCCACGGTGGCTTTTTGCCAACGGCAAGAGAGAAGAGGCAATGAAGGTCTTGTGCTGGATGCGCAACCTCGAGCCCACCGATCGATACATCGTGGAAGAAGTTTCATACATTGACGCTGACCTGGAACGGTATGCCCGAGAAGTTGGCAAGGGGTTCTGGAAGCCGTTCCTGTCCCTCAAGCAGCGCAAGGTTCAGTGGCGCTTTTTCCTTGGTGGCATGCTCTTCCTCTGGCAGAACGGAAGCGGTATCAACGCCATCAACTATTACTCCCCCACCGTTTTCAAGAGCATCGGCATTACCGGTACCAACACCGGGTTCTTGACCACGGGCATCTTCGGCGTCGTCAAGACGGTTCTCACCGTTATCTGGCTTCTGTGGCTTGTCGATCTGGCAGGTCGCCGCCGCATGCTCTTCATCGGTGCGACTGGCGGATCGCTCTGCATGTGGTTTATCGGAGCGTACATCAAGATTGCTGGTCCTGCGTCGGCCAAGGCGGAAGACGCAAAGCTGACCTCTGGCGGTATCGCAGCCATCTTCTTCTTCTACCTCTGGACTGCATTCTACACCCCCTCGTGGAACGCTACACCTTGGGTCATCAACTCGGAGATGTTTGACCAAAACACGCGGTCCCTGGGTCAGGCATCGGCCGCGGCCAACAACTGGTTATGGAACTTTATCATTTCTCGCTTCACGCCGCAAATGTTCCTCAAGATGGAGTACGGCGTGTACTTCTTCTTTGCCTCGCTCATGCTGCTTTCGACTGTGTTCATCTACTTCTTCGTCCCCGAGACCAAGTCGATCCCGCTCGAGGCCATGAATCGCTTGTTCGAAATCAAGCCTGTTCACAATGCCAACAAGATTCTCATGGCCGAGCTCAACTTCGACAGAAATCCAGAGCCGGAGGAGTCATCGCTGGACGAGAAGGACAGAGTGACACAGATTGAGAGCGCAGTCTAAGGTCTGCAGCTTGCCTTACCTTGAGGGTAGTTGAATATGGGCAGGGGCGTTGTGAGCTGCGGCAGTAGCCGCCGTGGATATGATGTTATGTTTATGATGTGGGCGATACCTTTGTTGCAATTATTTTACTTGACTTTCTTGCCCGAGAGGTCGAAGAGAACGATGTGATGATAGCTACGAAGTGAGAGTACAAAGTTGCGTTGTTTGAAGCACACTATGGAGTTTCTGTTCTTTTCTCTTTGTGACATCGTGCTTTAATTGTCCCCTCCTCTTTTTGTGCTTGCAGTGGGGATGGGGAAATCTACATTTGTCTTATAAAGCGACACTGAGCCTTTTTGTTTGCTGCCGGGCAACGAACGGGTGCCTTTGCTTTCAATGAGAAGACCGCCCACGGTTGCATTGCTCCGACATCGTGATATCTAACTGGACATAAAACATGACTTTTTGTGGAGCTAGCAGCGTTATAACAAAAACTTCATTTCTATCACAACGGGTATCACACTACGAGTCGTACAACGATCCTGTTTCTCTTCCAGTGCTGTTTTACATGTTTTGAAGGACCCTACGATCTCAACTGGCTTGCGATTTGGAAGCTTCCGCCAATTTTGAAGCAATGACTTCCTTGACCTCTTGAATAGGAAGCTCCTCGTTTGTGCGACCGGTCCAATACTTGTCCTGCAAACCGAAGGGGGGAAAAGGTCAGTAAGTTATCATCCAGGGGGCATATTCACGATAAGGACGGAAACATACCTGTTCAATCCCCTGCCAAATCAACGCCTCGGTGCCCAAAATAACCTGCCACCCCTCTTTCTCCGCCAACGCTCCCAACTCGGTGAAAGGGCTCGGGTTATAGCACATCTCCAGCATAGCGCCCTTCTCCTCCTTCCCCAAGAATGTCTCGATGATCCTCCTTGCCAACACCTCCTCCTCCGTCTTGGGCGGGAAATCCGGAATGCAAGCGACAATCGCGCCCGGCCCTGCCAGCCGCTCAGCCTGCTCCACGCTCGCCACATGCACCAGCCGATCGCCGTAGCCGCGCTCCGTGCACTCGGCAATCACCGCGTCCACCTCGCTCTGGTCCCGATTCACGAGGTAGATGTCGGTCGCGCCGAGCCACTTGTGCAGCGCATACACGGCTGACCGCGCCGCGCCGCCGCCGCCGATCACCAGCGCGGGTCGGCTCTCGTACACCTTGGCGGGTTCAGACACGTTCTGCACGAAGCTCTCGCGCACCCCGATCACGTCGGTGTTGGCGCCGCAGAACAGGCGGCGGCCCGTGGCCGGGTCGGTCTTGAGGAACAGGGTGTTGCAGGCGCCGACGTCACGGCATTCGGGCGTGAGGTGGTCGAGGTGCGGGATGATGGCTACCTTGTGAGGCATGGTCACCGAGGCGCCGTAGAAGTCGGGGTGCTGGGCGAGCTGGAGGAAGAGCGGTATGGAAGGGGAGTCGAGACGGAGTTGGGCCCAGTTGAGAGAGAGGTGGGAGTAGACGATGGAGTGGAGGAGAGGGGACATGGAGGCGGCGAGCTTTTGGCCGAAGAGATAGCCATGTTTGGCGTAGGGGGTGATGTCGGGTGTGCTGGTGAGGTGGAGGATTTCTTGCTGTTGCTTTTGGGGCTGGACGGCCGACGTCGTCGTCGTCGTCGATGTTGTGGTGGTTGCTGTCGACATAGTGATATGTGCTTAATTGTGTGGTGTATCTGGCGATGAGAGGGACGGTCACTTGGAAATCAAGACTTGACTGAGAAGCGAAACAAAAATCAAAAGATGTCGAGGGATTCACAAGATGGTCTCGGGAGAAAGATGCCGAGGGGCGTGGCTATAAGTTATTCCCCCATCTCAAATACTACTTGGGCGCGTGGAGTTGACAGGGTTCAATTTGGACTCAGCATCTCCATCGGTACGGGGCACTTCGTGGAGGATGAATGAAAGCGCTAGAGTGTCCTCGGGAGTCTGGGGAAGTTGGAGTCTCCCGGTGTTCTTTTTCCCTGTCTCACGAAGTGGTATTGTGCCTTGAAGGGCATGGGGGAAAAGATTGAGGATGAGCGTTTTACCTTTTGGCATGCTCTGGAGGTATTTTGGTGATCCAGGAGGAAGAGCTCTCTTCAGCATCCTCGGAAGACCTGAACACCTTGGGTACCTCCGGAGCGGCCCCACCGCTTAAATATTTATCCAGCAGTCTGTCACCCTCTTCCGCGCGACCAACGGCTTCCATGCTCTTGCTCATCTTGCCCGTCCCAGGCATTATGATGTGATGGGAATCGGGCCCGCTCACAAGGCACGCCAACTACCTATCGCCATCTTCGTCTGATTCTTTTTGGTATCTCAACCTTTGCCACGCTCTTACGCGGCTTCTTATCAGTATCCACCGGTCCGATTGACAACATCCCGGAATAGACGCGGATCGGGAAATGGAATCTTATCTCGGAGCCGAAATCATGGTCCGGGTAGATTGTAGAGCATATCGTGAACTGTCAAAGTTCTAGACCTGGACCGGCCACTTGGGGTCGTCATTTTCAATCATACATTCACCGCTGTTGACTTTCAACTATTTTATTCGGACGGAGCAACGCACCCGAATCCAGATTGTTGGATAACAGTTGGTATCACCAAGCGGTTTCCGTGTATAGTTTGCCATTTCATTAGAGATAACTGGAAGACCGGCACTCACAGGTTGCACGATTACACAGATGTATTCGGTATCCCGTGTTTCATCTGTCAAAGCCCCTTCCCAAATGAACCGGAGGTACTTTGACTGGGTCTCCATTGGCATCGATACAAGTTGGCCGGCAAGGTGCCTGTCTCGGGAGGTTGTCAACTGCGAGACGGCCGGCTAAGTGTTTATCACGCAAGGGGAAGATGTCTCTTCCCGTCATCCAAGCTCGTCAACATTCAACGTCATCTGATCGTTGAAGATATGCTAAATCTTGTGAGACGCTCATACGGTCGCTTACCTTCGGCCCATCCGTTGGTGCTTTATTCCGCTTAGCAAACTTCGGCTTCCATCCCGTGGTTCACCGTTGACATCCGTTATCGTTCCTGTTATTGGTCAATTCTTCGCAAACCAAAGGATGACATCCCGTACATCTGCAACGAACCGCCCACGGCGTCTTCACCACACCTTCTATGGGAGATAGATATGCCCTGATACTCTGATCATGATCATTTGAAGATTTAGGACGGGAAACGGTTGGCCGCTTGCCGAGTTACGTTCGAGTCCTGCTCACGGGAACGCTTGCCGTGCTGGATGGGACCACGCGAAGGTCAAATCAAACGTTGGAAAACCCCAACTGCTTCGTCTCTGCCTTCCCATATCAGCGAGGCGCATCCTGTGATTACCCTAGTTCTTTACTTTCTCATCACCTGACTATATAACCTCAAGCGCACCGGTGTGATAGTCAACACCCCTTCAAGGACAATATCTCACCTCAACATCAATATTCAATAACCCGTCTCATCATATTTTATCTCGGCGTGAAGCCCCTATCGACGGCATTTGTTATTCTCCTATCCTCCAGATCCATTACTACACTCACTTCGTCGAGACCTTTACCATGCCATCCAAACTAGCCATTAGTTCCATGTCCCTAGGACGCTGCTTTGCCGGCCACTCTCTGGACAGCAAGCTTGATGCCGCTCAACGATATGGCTACCTCGGTATCGAGCTTTTCCATGAGGACCTGGCCGACGTTGCAGAACGTTTGTCGAACGAGCCTCCTTCACCTGAAGGCCCTTCTTCCGAAGCCCAAATAGCCGCCGCTCGTCACATTTTCCAGATGTGTCAAGTCAGGGGACTTGAGATTGTCTGTCTCCAGCCTTTCATGCACTACGACGGCCTTATCGACAGGACAGAACATGAGCGCCGCCTGGAGAAGCTAGCACTATGGATTGAGTTAGCTCATGAGCTTCAAACCGACATAATTCAGGTCCCAGCCAACTTCCTCCCCGCCGACCAAGTCAGTGACAATCTCGACTTGATTGTCTCGGATCTTTGCAAGGTGGCCGATATTGGAGCTCAAGCTTCACCCCCTATCCGCTTTGCCTACGAGAGTCTCTGCTGGAGCACCCATGTGGACCTCTGGGAGCGCTGCTGGGACATCGTACAGCGCGTTGACCGCCCCAACTTTGGCATCTGCCTTGACACATTCAACATCCTCGGCCGTATCTACGCCGACCCGACGTCTCCTACCGGGAGGACGCCCAACGCAAAAGAGGCAGTCAGGAAGTCCATCGCCAACTTGGTCTCTCGCGTGGATGTTTCCAAGGTCTTCTACGTCCAGGTGGTTGACGCCGAGAGGCTGAGCAAGCCACTGCTTCCCGGCCACCCGTACTACAATCCAGAGCAGCCGGCGAGGATGAGCTGGTCGCGCAATTGCAGGCTTTTCTACGGCGAGACAGAATATGGAGCGTATCTGCCCGTGAAGGAGGTTGCTCGAGCCTTCTTCCACGGCATTGGGTTCGAGGGCTGGGTCAGCTTGGAGCTGTTCAATCGCAGAATGTCTGAGGAGGGACCCGAAGTGCCGGAGGAGCTTGCCATCAGAGGCGCTATCTCGTGGGCCAAGCTGGTGCGGGACCTGAGGATACCGGTAGAGGGACCATTGGTGACGACGCCCCGAGTGTCTGCTTCGTTATAGGTTCAACGCTGGTTGTTCTTACCCTTTGGTTTGCCGTTATAAACTGACACTATTTACTACACAAAAGTCTGGGCGGTCTTCTTTTTTCTCTTGGTACGTTGGGTTTCAAATCGGGGAGTGCGATGTGTGGCAGGCGTCGGTGACAAAATTATTCTTAAATCCGGTTATTTTATCTCAATCATGATGTTCTTCTGCCCCAAGTCCTTGACTCCGACTGTAATACGCTCTTAGGCAGGTCGGTAAGAGGACAAAGCCGGTAGAAATAGCGTTATAATTTCAAACTTAAAAGCATGCCTTTATAGACAAAAAAAACTTCTCAATTTTGTACATTCAACCCGAAGCTTCATTGATAGCGACCATGAAGACCAAAAGCTGCTGCAATGCCGTCAACGCCATATAATATCCCAACCCAAAAAAGCCCACTTGAGTTTACAAGTGCAAACACGACACCGAATATTAACACCTCATTGACGCTCTCAAAACTCAAAACTTCATATGCCTCCCAACGAACTCCAGCGCGGCACTATACCCAAACGGCCCCAGCCCACAAATAACCGCCACCGCCTTATCGCTCAAGTAACTATGATGTCTGAACGCCTCTCTCGCATGCACATTCGACACATGCACCTCCACAAACGGGATTGACGTCCCCAACAGCGCGTCGCGGATGCCCACGCTTGTGTGCGTGTAAGCGCCGGGGTTTATGATGATGGCCGACACTTTTTCTTCTCCGACTCCGGGGTCTGCTTCCGTTGTGATTGCGGCACCCGGCGGTGGAGACGGGGAGAATCCCGCTGCTTGATGGATACGGTCGATGATGGCGCCTTCGTGGTTGGACTGGAAGGTTGTAAGACGGAGACCGAGCGAAGAGGCCTGGGTCTGGGCGGCTTGCTCGATGTCGTGAAGGGTCGTCGAGCCGTAGATTTGGGGCTCCCGGCTGCCGAGGAGGTTGAGGTTGGGGCCGTTGATGAGGAGAATGTGACGGTGAGATGCCATTGTGCTTGATACCTCCGGTTGGGTGAGATGGGATTGTGGAAGATGAATGCTTGAAGTGAGTTCCAGGGGAGGTAAATACAAGAAATGTGTATTTGTGTAAGACGCCACACGGCACTCGACAGCTCAGAAACGGAAGGTTGAATCGAGATGGGTTTGGGTTTTGTTATTATCTACGGTCTTGACTCCTCATTCATGAGTCTCGTACACGGACAACTTATCTGAAGGACGGGCGGATGAGTGGTTACCCGTCCCCGCCCCCGGTCCCGCTTCCGTGACTGTGCCCGTCACTGCACCGATAGCCACTCGAAAACCGGTCATCGGTTCGCTTTGGACTTCTTTCATTGCACGTTGAATGTGTAAGAGTGACTTTTCATCTTTCATATTGCATGGTCGACATGTACGGAGTGACTAAGAGGCTGTATTGATCCAGTGTGTTATCACATAACTGCTCTGGTTGGGTGGTTGTGGTCGTGTAAGTACGAAAGGGTTAGGGTTTATCCAGGCAAAACGCAATGAACATGGCGTTGGTGACAAGGGGTAAACATTTACCCAAGAGGTGGGGAGACAGTCAGCTTATTGACTTTACCAAGTTCCTCGACTACCCCGCACACCACCTCTTGTCGGCTGGTTAAAGACTTCTCCATTGATAGCGACCATTTTACCCAGCAAAAGTCCATCAATGAGAGAACTCGTCCGCAGGAAGTAGATGAACATTGTTATACCGGAAAAGATACACACCGCGTGTAGGAAGTTGAGCTGGTACGCGGGTACTAGATGGGACTCGATGAGTTGACGGAACATCTGTTCAATGCAAACAATTCATTGACGTGTATCGGGTAGTGCATCTGCTCGACTTACCATCATCGACAATCCGGGGAAGTGGGACCTCGCGTTAATGATCGCCGGAGTCCCACCATCCCTGATGACGCCGGCCGGTCGAATGAACTCATTGGAAGGCCGAGCTAGACATTCTTCGCTTTCCAACGGTTCATTCTAATCAGCGGAATCAAGCCCGTCCCTGCCACCATGTTAGTCCATGGGACCGCAGATGCCGAGGAGTGGCAGAGCAGGTCAGAATGGAAATGTTTTGACTCAACCTTGCTTTTCACTCTTTCCTTTGACACCATTGACTGCTTGTAAGGGCCTCTACCAACCACACCCAAGGCTCAGTGTGTGTGCTTGTAATTGGGAAAAAGCTGGATTCGGTTATTTGTTACCAAGTATCATCAGCCATGGCGTCAAAAACGATAACAGAAGCCGAGCTCGACGAAATCTACGCTTTTGCCGTCCAACTCGGGAAAGATGCAGGCAACCTTCTCATGGAAGCTGCCCGCTCGCGGTTCAGCAGCAACAATGCCAACCACCACGATGAACCTACAACCCAAGAGTTCACCGAAAAAGATTCCGCCGTCGACATCGTGACGCAAACCGACGAAGACGTCGAAGCCTTTATCAAAACTGCCATCAACACACGCTACCCTTCCCACCACTTCATCGGGGAAGAGACCTACGCGAAATCGGCCCAGCCCACACGCCCCTACCTCGTCACCCCTACGACTCCAACCTGGGTCGTCGACCCCCTCGACGGCACGGTCAACTACACGCATCTCTTCCCCATGTTCTGTGTCTCCATCGCCTTTCTCATCGACGGCGCGCCGGTGATAGGCGTCATATGCGCGCCAATGCTTGGCCAACTCTTCACGGCCTGCAATGGGCGAGGTGCTTGGCTCAATGAGACGCAACGATTGCCGCTGGTGAGGCAGCCGATGCCGAAGAACGCGCCGGGGGGTTGCGTGTTTAGCTGCGAATGGGGCAAGGACCGAAAAGACAGGCCGGATGGGAATTTGTACCGGAAGGTGGAGAGTTTCGTTAATATGGCTGCCGAGGTTGGGGGGCGAGGCGGGAAGGGAGGAATGGTACATGGGGTCAGAAGTTTGGGGAGGCAAGTCTTTCTTATATCCGTTATACCCTCTTGTTGGTTCTGATCTGCAAAGTCCTAACACTGAGACAGCGCAACCCTGGACCTCGCTTATACGGCAATGGGTTCTTTTGACATTTGGTGGGAAGGAGGGTGCTGGGAATGGTAAGTACAACATTTCGGCCTGCTCATAGCTATTGGCTTGAGAGTAATGACTAACAAGAATGGGGTGGGCTTAGGGATGTTGCGGCAGGTGTAGCAATCCTTCAGGAGGCTGGAGGTCTGATAACCTCGGCAAACCCGCCTGAAGACTGGGCAAAGGCAGAGATACCAGAAGTGAAGCTGGGTAGCCGGTTATACCTCGCCATCCGGCCGGCAGGGCCGTCTGAAGGGGAGACAGCACGTGAAGGACAAGAAAGAACAGTCAGAGAGGTTTGGAGGCGTGTGCGTGGTTTGGACTACACGCGACCAGGTGCTTGAAGTGAGGTAGAAGATCAGTTATATATAACCCTTTTTGCTCTTTGTTTTCCGATTTAATCAACGAGTGATGAAGATTCTTTCAGTCCATGATGTGGCCCCAAACCAAGGACACGAATGCCAGAAACATGACAGGATATGGGTGGCTATAAAACTCACCCTTGGCGCAAACGTGACTGACCCAGCATTCCAGTGGCACGACACTTGCAACATCACCGGCTCATACTTTCATATCTGCAAGAGTCCGGACCACAAAGGTCTCATTAGGCTGTCTGTCTGAAGTTTAAGGTGGAAGGGGATAACGACGGTTGTTTCGTTGATTAATTGTCATTCGGTCCTGTGTGTCAGCTCTCGGATCGGTCATCTTCATGCCCAGAACTACCGGCAATGGACGGTGGAAAGGCAAAGTGGTAAGAAATGGGTATTGCCAACAAGCGCTTTTTGTAAACTTTTTAATCCAAACCTGGGAACGAGGCGGAAGGACCACCCTGTTTGCCCTTCTTGTTGCCCTTTCTCCGCTTCTTTTTTCTTTCCCTCTTGGGGCGGTCGCTGTCGCTATCGCTCCCGTCATGGTCGTCCGAGTCGTCGCTATCGGCGGGTCGCTTGATGCCTTGGTCGGCTTCCACGTCCTCCTCCTCTGCCTCCTCTTCTTGGGCGGAACCAGCCTCGGCCCAGACCTTGACGGTCCTGCCGCCACCACTGATCAGCCTGTTCTCGTAGTCGAAGTTAAGAGCAGCAACGCCCTCAACCTCGTCATGCTGGAACGTAGCCTGGACCTCTCTGCGCTTCAGATCGACAATCTTGATGGTGCCGTCACCGACGCCAACCACGGCCTTCTTGCCCCAGCCGAGCTCATCGGGAACACGAACAATGGCGTCGAGGCTTTCTCCGTCTCTCTTAGTCTCTCCGGGAGCAACATAGATGCGCTCCTGCTGGTCATCCCAGGCGCCACGATCCCATAGGGTCAAGACACCTCCGCCAGTGCCGACGGCCAGAACGGCGTTGTTGCGCATGTGCTTGGGACCCAAGCCGGTGGGGATGACTGTGGAGCACAGCAGCTCGTCCTCCTGGTCCTCCGAGGTGGCCATGATGCCGTGTCTCAGGTCGGTGACGGCCAGGGTGGCGCCGCCGGTAGAAACCCACTGCTTGGGGAAACCGGAGGTGCTCTCAGACGAAGGGGGGAGAGGGGTCAGACTGGAGATGTAGTCGGAGTGGGGGACATGCTTGCGGACGGGCTTGGGGTTTAGGGAGCCATTCTCGCGGAGGTCGAAGATGTAGAGAGAGCCAGAGTCGGTGCCGAGCAGCAGGGTCTGGGGCGAGAGGGTGTGGAGGATGGCTGGGGTGTCGCTCTGGCTGCTGGTACTGTTGACGGGGGGGAGGCCGATCTTGGAGACGACGACGCCGGTCTCGGGAGAGAAGTGCTTGACGATGGAGTCGGTACCGGCCGAGTAGAGGGCTGAGATGGGGAGTTTGGTTAGCTGGCGCTGTAGTAAGGTAAAAGGCCTACTTACACTCCCCATCGGTGCTATAGGTCAGAGTGCGGCAGCTGCCCTTGTGGCGGTGGGTGCTCCAGACACTCTTGATGACACCCTTGCCGCCGGTGATGCTGCTGTTCTCGTCCTCGTCGTCGCTGTCCTCGTTGGTTGGGATGCGGAAGGTCTCGACGCGGCCGTTGGAGAGGCCGACTGTAAGCAGAGGCTTGGAGGGGTGCACCACCTGCGTGAACAGGTCCGCCGAGAGCGGCAGGGTGCAGAGGTTTTCCAGCATGGCTTGTTTTTTTGTTGCTGTTTTTGTTGTTGTCTGGGTCAGGTCGGTGGAATCACACTAGCGAGAATAAGAGTAAAGGTAGCACGGGTAGGTAGGTACCGTCCCGACGAGTGAGACGGGAGTGACTGAATGCAGTTTTTTTTTGGAGCTCAGGTCTTGTCGCTCTTCTTGATCTTGCCCAGTCTGGCTTAGCGCCAACAGTGACTTGTGCCATCAAGGTCCCTGACGGAGTATCGATGGAGACGGAGCTGCCGAGGTCTGTGCGGGGAGATTCCTAAACGCTTATGCCAGAGCCAGGCAATGTCGTCACCACATCCATCAAGGTCCCCAATCAAGCTTCACAATTGACTCAGCTGCACACTGCATACTGCACACCAACAGACTGTGAATGACTGCGTCCCGTCAAGATGCCCAACCCATCAATACCTCTGCCTTACTTCTTTATATACCCATTAGTGTATCTCTAACCGATCATCTTCAACCTCTTCCTCCCCCTCTTGTTCCTTGCAACCTAATCACCGGTCACCGCGTAGCATATCTCTGTGGCGTGAGTGATGATCTTCCTCAAGCTTCCACTGCTCTTGGGCGCCGTGATACTGGCCATGATGGGATCCGGTGTCATGGCCGCCACAAGCCGCCCTCTTCGGCGCATCATGTATTTGACTGGGTATGTTACAACAAGTCCTCGTCACTCAACCACTGCACAGCTAACTCCTTCTCTCAATCGCAGTCAGCACCCGGTTGCGCCCCAAATCGACCAGCTCGACCATGTCACCCATGTTGCCCTCGCCTTTATGAGCCCCGGCATCTTCAACGATCCTCTGAACCACGAATGGCATCTGTTCACCACCGTCGACCATGTCCGCCCCCGCTTCCCCAAACACACAAAGGTCTTGATCGCCATTGGCGGCTGGGGAGACACCATTGGCTTCTCCGTGGCCGCCCTTAACGACGAAACCCGCGCTCTGTTCGCCGAGAATGTTGCCAAGATGGTGGAGGCTACTGGCGCTGACGGTGTCGACATCGACTGGGAGTACCCCGGAGGCAACGGCGAGGACTACAAGCAGATTCCTAACTCGGACAAGCACTGGGAGATCGCCGCCTACCCCCTCCTCCTCCAGGAACTGCGTGCTGCCCTAGGTCCCGACAAGGTCATCTCGGCCGCCGTTCCTGGTCTGGACCGCGACATGCTTGCCTTCACCCGCGAGACCGTCCCCCGCATTATGCGCCATGTCGACTTTCTCAACGTCATGACGTACGACATGATGAATCGCCGCGACACCGTCACCAAGCACCACACCGGCGTCGAGTTGAGCCTCAAGGCCGTCGATGCCTACGTGGCTGCCGGTGCCGCCCCCCAGAAGCTGAACCTCGGCTTTGCCTTTTACGTCAAATACTTCAAGACCGAGCAAGATGCCTGCGCACAAATGTCACCAGTTGGCTGCCCAACCGTCGAGATGGAGGATCCCGTATCGGGAGCCGATCTGGGCCGCTCTGGTGCCTTTTCCTGGCACGACGACGTGCCAAAGCATCTCCGTGCCTCCTTTGAAAGGGCTCTGACGCAGGGAGTTTACGATGATGAGCAAGGCGGCTACTATTACTGGGACCCCACCGAGGCACTGTGGTGGACGTTCGATACCCCGGATGCCATCAAGCAAAAGTTCCCCAAGATCATGGAAAAGCGTCGGTTGGGAGGCGTTTTTGCATGGGGCCTAGGCGAAGATGCCCCCGACTATGAGCACCTCGCCGCGCTGAACGAGGGTTTGACCAAGTTAAAGGGAGAGGTTACTGATGAGAGGGATGAGTTATAGAATAACCACTGGAAATGGAAGCGACCGTATCTAGGGACTTTGGAAAGCATGCGAGGTGTTGACGGGGTCAGGCGCAAATAGGAAATGTTTACCGTTTTGGACATGCTATAGCCGAGAAAGAACGGGGTTGAGAGTAGGTACTCTCGTTTGAACATGCTTTCACTTTGCTTTCATCCTTTTCTTCCCCTAGTTTTGGTCCCTACCTTTGGTTTCAGTCTTTGCTTCTATTCTACCTGGCTTTGACAAGCTATATAGCATTCGTCATTTAGTAGCCTGAAACTCCAGCCGCGTTTGCTTTCTCCTTTTCCTTGCCTACTTCTCACACTGACCACTTCCTCATCAATCTCCTCCCCCACCACCGAGCAAATCCAAGACTGCCACCTGCCTTCATCTGTTGAGTTGATTTCTTCGCAACGCGGACATGCCCTTTTTTCCTGAAGAATCATCCTAATGGCACAACCTCACCATGAAGTGCCGCCTACAGCTGCCACTTGCCTTCCAGGCGCGTTTTCCATAGGCCAGATGCGCGTCGAGAGCCTGGCGCCCACTGTCATCCGCAAAAATCTCATGCCCATAATCCTCCTTCACGGAGACTATCATACAGGATCAGTAAGGAACCTGTTTCCCCGGTCGTTCTGGGTTTTAGGCTAACTAGGTGTGATTTTCCGACAGATGTGGCTCACTAAGCCTGACAGTCGCCCGGGCTGGGCTTATTTCTTCGCCGAGCGCGGTCATCGAGTCTATACTCCGCATCTGCCATTCCATGGCCGACCCGGTGCCTTGGTTCATTACGAACGAGTGAAAGCCATCACCCCTCAGACCGTCGAGAACCTATACACGGCCATCAACAAAACCAACAACCCAGGATGGCCAGCGGCAAAGACGCACACACAGTGGCCAGGAGTAAGTTGGGCTCCAGATGAAGTATTAGAAACCATCACTGGATAGTCTCGGGCTAATAGTTAAAACGAAACCCAGAGCGGTGTTCGGGGCGATCCCATTTTTGACCAATATTTCAATCAACTGGTTCCCTTATATATGGACCCTCACGAGCGCCAGGCAGCCGCTCAAGAGGCAGTCGAGAGCCTCTTGCGGTTCCTGAAGCGTCCGGCTATCCTTATCGGCCAAGGTAGCGGCGCCAACGTTGCCTGGCTGGCAGCCGATGTGGCCCCTGACCTCATCCATGCTATCGTTGCAGTCGAGCCACTCGGGCCTCCGTTTGGCTCTGCTCTTCGGAACAAAAATGGAGAACTGGGGCCGACGAGCAAATTCACTAGGCCTGCCGGCATTCGTCAATACGGCCTGGCGGATATACCGATGCAGTTTGACCCACCGGTTGCAGCACCAGAGTCATTCGAGGAGCTGTTGGGTGGTACATATCCAGCCTTTGAACCCATCCCAGTCACCAAGTTTTACGCAAGGGGTCGACAAGGCAAGTTCTGCTTCGAACAAGACCCTGCTGGACTACTTGTTGGGAATTCCACCGAATCCAGGGCAGTGCCCCGGAAGCTCACGAATCTGATCGGAATCCTCCAACTCGTGGTAACAACGGAAGCGAGCTTCCACCGTTTCTCGGATTGGGCAACAGTACATTTTCTTCGCCAGGCCGGGGCTACCGTCAAGCACCACAGACTCGAGGAGCATGGAATCCGCGGAAATGGACACCTCTGCTTCCTGGAGAAAAACAGCAATGATGTGGCCAATCATGTGCTCAACTGGTTGCATAACGAGGCAGGTGTCCCGAAAGTACAGGTTCTTGAAGCTCGGCCCTCTCCTTCCCAGGCCATCAGCGCATCGGGCGGCCATGGACAGTCCTCGATTCCGCCCTCTGGAAAGGCATGCCCAACTAGGAAGAGACCAGTGGAAGCTGAGCTGAAGCCAGTCGGCACCATAGCGAACTCAAATCAAAGAGAAAGCAAAAGGGTACAAACCAACCCATCTCAGCCTAACAACCTCAACTATCACACTTCAGTCACTGGCGACGTTCGGACCAGCGACAGTCACAATGCCCCCAGCGTATCCACTCCTCATTCCTCAGTCGTCGGGAACACTCAGGTTGCGCGAGGTGTTACCCCCGTACCCTCCACACCTCACAACAAACCTATCAAGCGAACTGGTCAAACCACGCTCAGCGAACGGCGAATTGTGGAAATCACGACTAGTCCTGATAGTCCAACTCCACGTCCGATACAGGATCTTGAGAGACAACGAACGTCGGCTTTAAACAAGCTTCCAACAGTACCAGAAGCCAATTAACAAAGCGGCGTGGGCGAACATATATCCGACAGGCAGAGGCACATTCGGAACAACTTGGTGCAAAGACAACAACTCAATTCAGTCGAAAGGGTTGTTGTGAAAGGCGGCAAGTGTCAAATATTGCTCAAAGGTATACAGCACGTAGACAAAGCCGGTAGTATTCTCCTCCATCTTTTCTCGATCGTGAGGCTAAAATTCTTTTTCTTAATATCCACGACTGCTTTTGCTTATCACAGGATCATTCTCTTCTAGCTGATTTGGGTCTGTTCTTACAAATCCCATACTGCGGCTCATGGATTGCCTCGTTATACTCATGGACCTGTCACCCAGTGGTATTTCCAAGCTGAAATCTCATTAATCATCCCGTCAAACGAGCAATATCACAACGATCTGCCAAGTGTCTGGAGGTCCGAGCAGTATCGCTCCAATCCGGAGCGACCTTCTCATGCATGCTGATATTTGCTATGGCTGCACCATGCATCAAGTAAGTGGTGTGTGGGTGGCCGGATCTGCTGCAGTAGGTAGTAAAGGATGGAATAGCTTTGCATAGCATGCTAGGTGCAGTTCCAGTCCATGTATGTAGCAAATAGACGGCTACTTGTGTGCTCTCAACGTTGTGCTTGGTTGCATCTAGTCCCCTTTGGTGACACAGCATCGCAACCAGTAGCTGTCTCTTGTCATGTAGTCTATTCCACGTTTCGCCGTTCTTGTATCTCCCATCGCCCATTCTTGCTCACATTTTCCTTCAATTCGTGAAACTTGTCAGACCAACATAGCCAGACCAAAGGTCTCAACTATGGCATGACGAATTTCCGTTCCCACCCGACCAATGTCGCATCCCCGAGAACGACTCCGATGCTGTTAGACTTGAGGACTTGCCACTCATTTTCCTACATATACAGAGCTTTCATACCCTCGGCCTCCAGTCAAAGTGCAATTCATTCATGATATGATTACCTGACATGGCTAATTTAGGTCACGGCCTAGACGGTATGCGTTTATATCCTTTGCCCGAACTAACAACCTTTGCGGCTAGGTTCTACCATTTCAAATTGTGATAATAGCTCATTGACTCTTTTCTGACTACTTTCAGTGAAAGAAAACAAGATTACGATTCGCCCAAACGAGTTGAATACATGGTATGGAGGTTCCAGCAGTCACCAAATCAAGGCCAAGCTCGAGCTCTAGCTCGTCCAGCTCGTCCAGCTCTTCTCCGTCTAAGGCGTCCTCTGTTCTCGCTGACACTTCGGCATCGCACGAGCCGGTTTTAAGTGTAAGCTTACCTGAGCACTGCGTTACAACATAGATTTCCTTCGAGTTCTGACGTACTGGGTACACTAACCACAACTCGTAGATTTCTCACGCGATGGCCTCTTCATCTCACCACTCAGAGTCAAACAACACTACACAAGATGCCAACGCTACCATCGACCACAACAACAACGACACCGCCGACACCGCCGACAACAATGACAACAATGACAACAATGACAACAATGACAACAATGACAACAATGACAACAACGACAACAACGACAACAACAGCCAGAATAATGCTCTCAGTCAACACGCTCCCGTGGTCACAGGTCTACGCCCCACAGCACCAGCCCCTAACCCCGTCCAGCATATCCACTACGAGTCCCTCCCAGCCCTCAACTTGAACCATCCCCCCTTCTACGGCACCTTCCGTGAATCAACCGATGGCGTCCCGCAGTATCATCCCTTTTCCGACGATGACGATGACGAGGAAGAGGAGGACGAGCCGGGAAATCCGTTTTCACGAACCCAGAGGGTTGATCATGCCTACAGTGACCGTCCTGACCGGGAGGGGCAGCAGAGGGACGAGGAGGAGAGCGATTCGGGCGGGGGCAGGAGAAGGAGCAGGTGGGAGAGGAGAAGGGGAGCCATCATGAGGATGAGGACGGCGATGATTTGGATCGTTGCGTTGCCGCTCTTGTTGGTGGCGTTGTGGGTCTGTATTAATCTGTTCAGGAAGGATAAGAGTTCGTGGGATGCTTCGAGAAGGTGAGTGATTGTGGACAAGAGAGTGAGAAGCTGCTAAGGCTGTGTAAGAGAGGTGTCGAGACCCGGCTTATTTGTGTTGAGAAGGGGAAAGGGCTTCGTGGGCGAGTTTGGAGGCGGCCATTGGTTGCAGTGATGTCTTGATTTTTTAGGCCTTCCCCGCCGAAATCTGTAAGAATAGTGCGCTTTCGATTGTTTTATTTCGCAGGAACAAGCCGGTCGGTTGTGTTCCGACCTAGTTAGTCGCTGTTCTCCGGACCACATGTTGTTGAAGCCTGTAACCTTCACCGGCAGGACTAAGTCTAAGGAAGCCTCGCCCCCATCCCAACGCCTCCCGAAGGGGTCAGCCTTCGGCAAGGGAACCGCGGAAAGACTCCCTCGCTGGGGCGACTGAGCGAGGCTAAGTAAGGCCAGCACTTGTATGGTACCTTCCATGCGATGCTACATAGCACACGCTACCCTTCCGGCAAGCCCCATCCGCCAGCCATGAGGGGACCAGTAGGACGACATATCTTCAGCTTTGGCCTCTTGTGCAATGAAGCTAGCTCGGGAGATACCTTACTGCGACTTCATCCCCGGTTCTATTGCGGACGGATCTTTAATCTCCTTAGGAGAAATCGGTCAATGGCTGACCATGTATAAGAACATGACTGCTTCCCGAGCTCCGATGAAGACATGGCACTTGTGGTCTTCTCTTGGAGCTTCCCCCAGAATCCCAGAATCGAGGAATAAACGAACAACATGCTTGGTAAAGAGCTGCTCGGGAAGTCCTTCGGGGGCCTCTTGGTTTCTCTCTTGGTTGCTTGCCCGTCTCTTATTGAGGCAACCCCGGTGCGGGTGCCGCGTCATGCGACAGTGGTAGACAGCCTGTCTGCCGCCGCGTCCAACTACACCTTTGTCATTGCCGGTGGCGGTATCGCAGGACTTACACTCGCTGATCGGCTGACAGAAGATCCTAATGGTGAGTTGTACTGCTCAAACAAGACAAGTCCATGTTATCTCAGTCTGTTTCTATCACGCCGCTAGTGTCCGTTCTTGTCATTGACGCCGGCCCTCTGGACCAAGGAGAAGATGGCGTTTTGGTTCCCGGTTCATATTCTCCTTGGCTGTACTTCTGGCCTAATCTGGTAACAACACCCCAAGAGGGCCTCAACAACCGCTCCGTCTTTACACCCATTGCCCAGGTGGTCGGTGGTGGTAGCACCATCAATGCCATGGTCTTTGTGAGGTTTGTGCCTTCAAACCATTTCTGCGTGGCCATCATCAGCTTACTGACAAACGAACAGAGGCAAAGCCGACGATTACAACAAATGGGGAGCCATTGGTAACCCGGGGTTGAGCTGGAATACGTTTCTGCATTTCTTCCTTAAAAACGAGAACTTTACCCGTCCCGACCCTAGCTTTGCTAAGGCAGCCAATATCTCATGGGATGAGTCCGTCCGAGGCAACGGCGGACCTGTGCAGTACACATATCCTAACTACTACTACCCTGGAAGCGGCAAGTAACTTGGGTCTGGAGAGCGCAAGACCGGACAGTGCTAACTGACAGGATCATAATAGCAAACTGGTGGAGTGCTGCCCAGTCTGTAGGGCTTCCTGCTATCAAGGACCCCAACGGTGGTGACGACCTTGGTATCTATTGGTTTCCCCATGCTGTGGATGCTCGCACTAGGACCCGGAGTCACTCCAGGAGAAACCATTATGACCGGGTCAAGGACTCGCGACCTAAATACCATATCCTCCCATCCAACATGGTATCCAAGGTCATCTTCCGCGGCACCACGGCAGTTGGTGTTGAGTATTTGCCCACGGCTGGCGGAAAGGCCTCAACCGCCTACGCCGCCAAGGAGGTCATCTTGGCTGCCGGTGCCCTCAACACGCCCAAGATCCTCCAACTGTCCGGCGTTGGCTCCAAGAAGCTTCTCCAGAAGCACAAGATCCCCGTCGTCGTTGACCTCCCCGGCGTTGGATCCAACTTGCAGAACCAGTTGACCCTCAGGGTCCCCTATACCGCAAGCAGCAACCTCTTTCCCAACTCTGGCTCTATTGCCAACAACGCCACCTACGCTGCCGAGCAACGCGCGCTCTATGATACAAAGAAGCAGGGTGCCTACACCATCGTGAGCACGCTCAGCACCAACATTGCCATGATGAGCCTCTCGCAAACGACCTCCTCGTACAAGAAGATTGTCTCGAATGCCCGCGCCGCTAGCGCTCCCTATTCGCTCTCCACGGAGGTAGATGCGACCGTTCTGGCCGGTTACACTGCCCAACGAAAGCTCATTCTGGAGCAGTACGAGTCTGGAAAGGCCGGTATCGGCTCGCTGCACTGGAACACGGCCGATGGTGTGACCATTTATATGAACAAGCCTCTCAGCGGCGGCGCCGTGACTATTAACTCGACTAACCCCCTCGAGAATCCGCTGGTGAACTACCGTGCCGTTACCGACCCAGCTGACATTGAGGTCCTCACTGCGCTGTTCCGCAAGAACAGAGAGCTGATGAGTGCTCCAGACATGGCAGCACTGGGGGTTGCTGAGGCGGCACCCTTTGGCGAGCACATCACTGCGGATAGTGAGCTAGCCTCGGCCTTCCGTGGAGCTATCGACCCCTCGAACGCCCATCAGTGCTGCACGGCGGCTATGATGCCCCGCGCGCTTGGTGGTGTCGTCTCCAGCGAAAAGAAGGTGTATGGAGTGAGGGGTTTGAGGGTGGCCGATATCAGCTATTGGCCGTTTCAGATTTCGGGTGCTCCGACCGCGACTATGTATGCCTCTGGCGAAAGGGTGAGTTGCTTTATCTGTGTTTTGCCCTTCATCTAACTCTTGATGCTAACCTGGATTCTAAATTAGCTTGCTGATGCAATCAAGGAGTATAAGCTGGCAGAGCACAAGCGGTAATCTGGGATGGTTGACTTACTACCTTTTTTGAGGAAGTAATTTGTGATGGTATTCTCCTTCTTTTCCGGTGTCACTGGGTCCATTTTCTTCCTACTTCCCGCCCCAACCTCCATCAATGCCATCATCTCCTCGAACTCCTTCGTTGGTACTACTCCCCCGCTAGCCTCCTTATGTCCTCTCGCAAAAGACTCTCCAAGTCTCTCCCTCAGACTCGGATCCTCGGCCGTTTTTACGATGCCGTTTAACAGCTCAATGATGTTCACCTCCCCCCTTCCGCCACTCCTTTCCCTTGCACACTTGGCCAACCTGCACGAAAAGTTCACCTTCCCTTCCAGATAGCCCTCATTAGCAGCCATCACCACCTCAAGCCTAGCACTCCTCAAGTGTCCCGCCCACCTCGTCGCAATGACCGGGTGCACCTGTGCCTTGCTCTTCATTCTCAAAACCGCCACGCGTCCATCGCTCGAAAATTTTGGCGGGACGTGTGTGCACCGTTCCACTTCGGCGTTGACCTCTACCCTCGCCGCCAAGAGCGCCTTGTTAGCGAGCAGATCGGCCGGGCCAGTGGCCTGCGTCAGTGCCTCCCATGCGGCAGAGACGTTAAATGCTGCTGTGCGGTGCGTTGATAAGAGAGACGGTGTCATTGAGCCTTTTGCGCGTGTACCGCTTCAGAACGTGACCCATATCGGGAAAGGGCGGTTGCCACTTGAAGTTTGTGCCCAAATCGCCGTGCGTGCCAAGAACAGCCAGCCACGCGCACTGCTCTTCGATGGCAGGGTGAAGAGGATGGCATATGAGGTAGGTCAGTAGGGCAGATGTGGCTATAGGGGGGGAATTGCAGGCAGTGACATGCTGAGAACCAGACGGGAACTCATCCTCGGCAGCCTGGTGATGGTCGATGATGAGGGCTCTGTGGTTCGGGATATCGACAACAGGCAAGGAGCGCCGGGAGCCTTGGTCCAGGACGAAGACGTAGGATGGAGACAACTTTGTCATGGCCGTCCGCTCCGAAGGGTCGTGAATGTTGTTCCCTCTTTGGATGAGGTGAGTGATGATAAGACTTGAGGGCAGGCCAAGAAGAACGAGAGTCTGTTGAAGTATTGAGCCAGATGCGAGTCCATCCGCGTCCTTGTCAGGAACGATGAGTGTTCTGGTTTTTGCGGTAGCACTACTAAGTATCAGCAGACGCGCAAACAGTTCCGAGTGCGGTTTGGGATCAGACCACTCAAGGATAAAGCGTCTCGCCGCTTCGATCTCCTCCTTTTTGGCGGGCCAGTTGGCTCTTGGGGTCTCGCCGCTATCATCGCTGGCTAGCGATCCTATTCGTGCCCGTTTCGGGCTTTGAGGTCCCGTGAACGAAGATGCAAGCCGCTTCATGGTGCAAATGCTGAAATATCCGAACAATAATCTGCGACTGGTAATGGTCCAAATAACACCGAACGTGCTCGGATGTCTGGACATGCGCCCGTCTTAGGGGGAGCATAACGATACCTCTGACGCGCAGGCCGCTCCGTCGTGCTCCGTGTAGGGAGATGTGCTTTGTCATACATGATGGGGGATGTGTCAAAACAAAAGACAGACCAGCAGAAATGACGTCAACCACTTGGGAGGCTGCTCGCAAGGTTCATGTAGTACTCCGATCCAAGTGCGCTTTCTTTGCACTCCCAAAAGCAATGGAATTGTTTGACTCAAGAACCCGCTTAATGCATGTTTACACAACCTTGAGGGCTTCCCTCCGAACGCCTGGAACACCACCAATGACAGATTCATTTTCCACCCAACAGGCGCAGCACGCCCACGAAGCACACTCGTCTACCGCAGTCCAAGCTAGCCTCGATGGGCAAGGCGCAACATGTACAGAAGAAGGTAAAGAAGGAGGACGACCCGACGCCATGCTGTTCGCTCGGCCGGTATCGAAGGCGAGAGCTGTTCATACTCCTTTCTCTCTGCTTATTCGACCGTTTGGATCAGCGACTCGGAAGGCTTCACCCGTTGCGCCCACTCACTGCACACAGAGTTAGTCATGGATGCATGATTTGAGGGAGATGCAGGGGATCGGCCAAAAGCACTTACGTCCAGCTTCCATCATAAACCTTTCTCTTCTCAGGCGAGCCAAACTGCGCCTCGTTGAGCGCTGTTTCGAGGACGCAGGCCGTGACGCCGGTTCCGCAGCTGGAGATGATGGGCTTTGAGGGATCAACGCCGGCCTTGGTGAAGACCTCCTTCAACTTGTCGGCTGGAAGGAAGGCCTTAGTGTTGGGGTCCAAGACAGCGCTGAAGGGAATGTTGATAGAGCCAGGCATGTGGCCCGAGGACAGACCCTCTCTCGGCTCTGGCTCCTTGCCGCTCCACCGGCCGGGTGATCTCGCATCCAGGATCTGCACGCCCTCGTTATTGGAATCAATGGCAACTTCACGGACCTCCTCGAAGCTCGCGACCTTGTCCTCGTCCATTTCGGGGATGGGGTATGTGCCGCACTCGATCGTCCAGACGTTTCCGGATTCGGTAGGGAGACCCTCCTCGATCCAGAGCTTAAAGTTGTTGAGGATGTGGACCTTGGGGTGGCCAAAGACCTTCATGGTCCAGCCAACACGGGGGGCGCTGAAGATGCCCAGCTCCTGGCTGTCGTAGATGACCACGGTGTCCTCGCGGCGGATGCCGAGCTCGCTCATGGCAGCGGCAAAGTCTTTGGAGCTGGGCAGCATGTGGGAGTAAGGGCTGCGCTTATCGATCACCTTGTCGAGGTCGAAGAAGCGTGCCTTGGGGATTCTCTTTTCGATGAAGACGTCGAGGCCGGTGCGCTTCTGGGGGTCGTTTGGAAGGAACCAGGAGGCGCATAGAGGAATGACACGGGGTTCGGACGAGATGGGAGAAGGAGGGGCCTTCTTGAGGGCTTCGTGCAGCTCCTTGGGGGTGACTAGATAGCTTGAGAAGGAGCGGACAGCCCCCGTTCTGGCGGCAGTCGAGCGCATCGAGGCCCGGAGGGGGCTAAGGACTCCTACAAGAGCCATTTTGAACGTTCCACTTGTGCTGTCTACCTGTCTGTTGTCGGTGATGGTAGGTTGTGTCGAGGATGCGCCGGGCTCTAGGGAGAAGAAGCAAGGCAGCGATAAGCGATTCCCGTAGTGCCGCAGTCGATGTCGATGTCGGCGGTGCTGTTGTTGGAGTAAGTCGAGACAAGCGACAGACGGCCCGATGCAAGGTACCTAGACGTAGAAGCAGAGGTAGAGGTAGGTAGGTTTGGCGTTGCCTGGTTCCTGACGTCCGGACTGCGTGCGGCCTGGGAATTGATTGCGGAGAAAATGAGCTTGGTCGTAGCAGTCTCAGTCACTTGAGGTATCTAGCAAATCTACGGGTTTGCAAGCAAAGAAAAAAAGGGCCTTGAGGAGAGGAAGGGGAAGAAAAAAAAAAAAAGGGCCCAGCAAGCCGAAATCTCGTCAGTAGCCCGAGGATGTCCTAGGACTGTGGATGCGGGGTTTAGACTGCCTTCTTTGTCATAACTATTGGATGGATGGGACCTTGGCCGTTCATGCGATGGAGGCAGGTGGAGGCCCAGCAATCAAAATGGTGCAATGTGCAGGGGCTCCTTGGGGGGGCTCGGCGCTGTGGTACAGACCTAGCTTTTCATCCAAACTTTTGAGATGGATGCTTTCAGAGAGCTTGAGCCACACTGATACCTCTAGGGTACTTACGACCATTGGTTACTTACATACACTACCTAACATCTACCTACACACATAGTCAATAGTCGAGACTGTTACGTCCGATCGGATATCATCACGCACCGAGGTCTCACGCTCGCATCGAACCAAGAGACTCAAACAAAGTGACTCGAAATGAAGGTCAAGATCAAAAAGTGGAACGCCGTCGCGACTTGGCGATGGGATCTCCCGGAAGACGATGTCTGCGGCATCTGCCAGGTCCACTTTGATGGCACATGCCCGACTTGCAAATATCCGGGCGACGAGTGCAGCTTGTGTAAGACGCCAATGAAGTCCTTCGATGATAGGATACCCAGCTGACCTTTGTGTTCCTAGTGTCTGGGAAATGCGGTCACAACTTCCACATGGTATGTTGTTTCTTTTCCACCTTTTCTCTCCCCTCGCTCTCTCGTTGACCAGCATAACAAACAGCACTGTATCCTCGAGTGGATAAAACAGGACTCTGCCAAAGGCCAGTGCCCCATGTGCCGTCAAAGTAAGTTGGATACATTTCCCTCCGCGTTTGCATTCGGACGCGGCGCCTGACATGTCTGGGTAGAATTCGAATGGAATGGCCGCCCCAATGCCACCGAAACATCACTGGCCGACACAACCCAAGGCCCAATGCTCGCCGAGACCTGATATCGCCGTACTCGCCAGGGAACCATTGAGCTTTCTTGCAGCTTCCCTCCAGCCCGAGCGTCATGGGCTGTTAAGAATAATTGAGCTTATTATGAAGACAAACCACTTCCATTTATGACCTTGGCGAGCGTGGTTACCGTGGTGAATTGCCACTGCTGATGTTTACATCTTGTTTCCGTCCGTGCCGTCCTTACAAGTACGTGCTTAGTACTAGAGTGCCTCCACTGAATCAGAAACACCTACACGTTATTTATTGTAGCTGCAGCTGCAGCAGAGCCCCCACCCCCGAGACCCACCAGTACGGGAGTCCCCGCTCCTTACCTCTAACGTCTGTCATCCCTGCAGCCACTGTTACAGTAGCTCTTAGCGGTAGGCAACTGATATCACATCACCTGGCCAGACACCCCCACCATCGTCACCTTCATGGCATAGAACATCTTATTCGGGAGCCTTTCTTCCTATACCATTACCATCATATCCTTCATTCAATCCTTTTGTTCATTTCCGGTACCATATAACCTGTCAAAAACTCTTGCTTGACTACATACCTCTACACACATCAACCAGGACCGTCTCAGGTACCAATCGTTGTACTGACAACGAACCACCGCCATCCCGCCGTCCTTCTCTCTGTATCACCGCCTCCATATACCTACGAAATTAAAATGACCGAACCAGATTCCTTCAACCGACCGGGCTCCGCCACCGCCGCCCGTTACTTTACCTCCTCGAGTCCCCGACCATCCGTCGCAAGTCGGACGAGTCGCTCCAGTCTACGGCGAGAGCACGACCTACAGGCAGACCAGCTACAACCTCAAAGTCGTCGCCTGTCGTCAGCACAATCCCACACCCCGTCTCCTCAACCACCCCCTAGCGTCGAGGAGCACACGTTACCAGGGATTGACCAACAACAACAACAACAACAACAACAACAACATCATCATCAAGAAGGAGAGGAAGGGGGAGAACAAGGTGGCGGATCACAGCCATCGTTTTCTCCCCTCTTCACCCTTCTGTCCTCCAGCGTCCACTCCTCCCAGCGCCAAACCATCCATCATCCAACCGTCCACTACGTCTTTGCCGACGACGACCCCGACATCCTCACCGCTGCACTAGCGTACCATCACCGGGGAGGAAGCGAACAAGAAGCCACATCAAGTCCTGACAATGATGAAAGACTCTACAACAAGGAGCCGAGAGATCGCGCCGTGATCCTCGATATGGCGCCCTCCTCAAACGGCAATGCGCTCCAAGTGGCATGGGCAAGTAGCCTGTCTCCCGACTGGGCAGTGGTCTCGGCACAAGTGATGCGCATGGAAGATCAAGCCAGCAGTGGCGGTGCCAATGCAGCAGGAGGGGTCTTTGCAGCTTCGTCGCCAAGTCTACACACTGGTCCTTTGATGCTCAAGATCGAAGGGGTAGCCATTGAGCCTTCGTCGTCGTCATCATCGCTATCGTCATCGCGTTTGGGCAGCGGCGGGAAATTGTCGTCCACCCCAGAAGGTGATTTGCAGTCTTCTCTGACGGGCAAGGGCAAGCAAGCTGCGACGGCGGCCCCTGCACCTGAAGAATACCCGACTCTGCTGCAAGACTTTGAGAGGCGTATAGGAGTGCTAAAGAGGGTCGCCGAGGCAGGTTCAGAGAGGCAACGGCGTATATCCTCTATGGACCACCAAGGCTTCGAACATGATCACGGTGGTGGCGGAGCTAGCGGGCAAGGGGACGCACTTCTTGCCGAGGTGCGAGAAGGTGAGGATTTGGGTGCTCAAGATTGAGTGAGGGGTTGGGGGGCTGTGAGTTTTGGATGCTTGGGGTATATGGCCCTCTGATTTTCTTGGAGCCCACTTGATGAATCCAGGCAGTCTCACCCTCATTATCTTCTACCGACCTTTGACGGGCTCCCCCTTATATGTGAACGAAAGGGCGTACCAAGCCATACAGCGTTGAACGGCGCGCTGCGCTTGCTTCCGATTGGCATATCCTAAATGATTGTCGTAGGATAACATGAATGACCTGACGATAAAGTTCGACACTATAGGGCACATGGCGATTACTCACATTTTCTGAGATATTTGATAGTGTTGGAAGTAAGATCTTATTCATTATAAACGCCTTGGCTGATGCTGAAATACCGAGGTTCTGAGGCGAGTAACAGGTACCACAAATATGGCACGATCGAGCAGAGTTTACCAGCAACTCCTGCCTAACCTTCTTCGCTGTGATCCTCCTCAAAGCAAGACACATGATCCAAGCGACCACTCATTTGGCCGCCTGATCCCTCCCGTTGTATATCCAACGGCCAAATTGCGTACAGAAGATAACGCAAAACACATGACAGTAGAAACGAAGAAACCGCCCCCTCTTAACTCCACAAATCCATGTTAATCCCCAGAGATGCAAGGGAGAAAAGGCGCAAAACATATGTTGCGAAGTTGGAAAGCAAGCGGGTGGCCAAAACCCGACATTGCAAAACGCCATATCGCAAATAAATGAGGTAGATGGGAGCGATCATTCGCCATCCTTCGCATCGTTATGATGACCCGGAACAAACTGTTTATGGTCCGCCACTTTGCCGCCTCTCATGCTTTCCAGAATTTCGTCCGTGATGACGAAGCGCTTTCCGGCCCTATGGGGACCGCGTGAAGCCACCGCGTTATTCTGTTCCATATACTCGAGGATTTCGTCTGTGATCACAAATCGTTTTGCCTTTGTCGCTGGTGGAGGTGCTTGTTTGTAGGGCGAAACGATGCGGTTGAAACCTTCCGGTGAGAGCCTCTTGACAAGAGACTCCGAGTCGGCACTGTCGGGAACGACGTGCTTTGACTGTCCGTAGATACGAGAGATAGGGCCGGCCATGGGAGCGGCAATTTGGATAGCTCGGGCGTTGTTCATTTGCAAATCATCGGTAACGCTTCGTTGCAGAAGACCGCGCTTCGTGTTTTGCGTCGAGTGATTTCCGCTGCCTGGAGGGTGGGTGACGACGACATATACCACCACAATGATAACAATCACCACGATAATGGCCACTAAGGAGAGAGGAATTAGTCATGGTTCTCTGAAGCACCGAGTTGGAAGGCCACCGCATCAGCAAACACTTACCGCAGATACCCAAGCACATCCACTTCTTCTTGCGAGTGGCCCGCGCCGTCTGAACTGCCACTGCAATCTCCTCATTGCCCTTGTCGAGATTGTCAACCACCTCCTCACTCGTCTGCTCAATGGCCTGGATCTTGACGTCCTGTTCCACAATCAACGTGTTCAACTGCTCAAACAGCTGCGCCAACTCGACCATTTGCTGTTCAATCCTCTGCAAAGCCTTGTGACGGTCCTGGACAGCACTGAGCACAGCTCTCGCCTCGCCCACGCGATTGTTCTGCATCAAGGCTTGCTGGAAGACCTGCGAGTTTCCGGTAGTGTCCTCCACGGCGGCCCTGACCTCTTCCTCGGTCGCATCGGGGCGCACAATGCGGTACTGGCGGGCCATCTGGTCCTGCATCTTCTTGCGGAACGAGGACTCGACGCCCTGGTAGTCTTGAATCGCTTGTCGCAATCGGCGGTCAACGCGGCCAACCTGGGCCTGGTTTCGGGGCTGGCGGCCCTCGGGGCTCGACTTGATTTTGCGGACGCGATCGGTTATGGTGCGGTACAAGGCCATGGTATCGGTGTTGAGTGCATCTAGTTGCCGACTCGATGAGCTCGCGGATGAATCGGCCTCAGCGAGGCAGCGGTCCTGCAGTCTTCGCAGCTCCCGCAGATTTGCTTCGATTTGCTCGATTCCATTGTCGATGTCTCGACACTCGTTTAGGATTGCAGTCGGATCACCGCCAAAGGAGCCCCCGGTGTTGATTGAGCTCATCTCCATATTGTTTCCTGATGCGATGCAATGGTCAATATGGTTGTGCTTTTCGACACATGTCTCATCTTGAGCTCACCTCCATAATTTCCTCCGGCGTAGGGGGCGGGAGACTGGTCCCTTTCGCCAAGCGGGGAATAAGCACCAGCCGCACCATCCCGTTGGTCGAAGGAAGGGTCTCTTCCACCGTATCTAGATAGTAACCGATGTCAGTAAGGAGCACGGCACGTTGATGTCGTGGTTATTCGGCGTGCCAGGTAGACTAACCCGTACTGATGGTTGTCCATTGTTAGCGATACATTCAGAGAGGAGGGCAGTGGAAGCAGAGAGATTGGTGAGAAGGAGGGACGACGGGACTCTTGAGATTGTCTGGGCTGGAGCAACGTATCGGTGGAGTCATGATTGTGTAGCAAGACGGTGGATGTGTGAGAGGAAGAACATGTTTCGAAACACTCACACTCATCTTAGAAGGCGGACGCGCACAGGCGCTAATGCTCAGAAGGCGCTTAAAAGGGGAGGTAGATGTTATTCAGGTCGAAATCGAAATGAAAGTATACGTGGGTAATGTCTCTTAAAAGTGACGATGCTTGGTGAATGCTTATGCCGACAAAAAAAAAAGATGCCAAAGATGGTGTACTGGAGATCAGGAAAGAGAGAACGACTAGGAAGAGAACTGAAGGATGGGAAATTGGGTGTTTGGGAGGAGAGGGAGAAAGGCAGGTTGACGGGACGGGACCTCGGACTTGCTCGTGAGCTGAAATGGGTTTGGTTATTTTGGGGCAGCACTGCGCCTAGTGAAGGATTGGCAATGTTGTACTGTGTAGGAAGGAGCACAGGAGCCCAAGCAGCGTAGGATTCTCAGGAGTCGATCGAAACGGGCCTAGTGCCACCTACTCCCTGGTGCCCACACAACCTCTAGACATGTGGTGAAGTACCTGTGGGTGGCAAGAAACGAGGGCTCAGCAATACGAACGAATGGGAATGGAAGTGCAGACCTTCGTTGTTAATATTGCCTTGCACAGTAGGAGCGCACCGTATGCTTGCTTGGGGTTCAGGGAGTTCTTGTCACTTGGTTGGTTGGTTAGCTGGCTGGTTGGATGGTTCGTTGGTTGATGCATTGATCCGACTTTGATATCCAATTGTTTGCCAAAATCAATGTCCAATATGAGACTCCTCCCCATGCGACTTGGCAGTAGTACACTCTACAGCTAGTACGTGTACCAACAGTTAACTTCTTGTCGGCACGCTGAGAGATGGCGGTAGACAGAAAAAAATGACCTCGAGGCGAGACACCCAATACGGCACAATGTCCACAAAGATGAGACTAGCGTCGACGTTTTTTTTCAGGGGACCCGAGCCTTTGCATCGATTGGATTCAGGAACGCTCGACAAGCGAGGTGGAGTTGTTAATCATTGTGCCGCCATGGATTCCCACGATTCGTCGGATTCTGGACCCGCCCGGCCCCGCTTGTTCCGTCTTTGGTACAGGGCTCGAGCAGGGACCCGCGTCAACCGCAGCGACAGGCATTTGGGCGACACTCATGTGCATGGCTGCACCCATGTAGACAGACCATGGCATAACGGTATCTTTGACTGGGCACCGAGCTTGAATCGAGAGTTTCAGACGAAAGATCGACAGGCACAGAAAAATCCGTTTCATCTCGACCGTAACTCTAGCTGTTGTAGGTATACAGATACTATCGCCGAGCCCAACACTTCTTCCCCCAACTCAAGGAATGCTCACTTCTCCTTACTGTATCGGTCCATCACGTCTTCAAACCCGCTTCAAAGAACAGCGTAAGCTGACACATAGCTCACGCTAAAGTCGCTTTGCTTCTCAACCAAGTTACTTCGCTGATACTGGACAAATTGGAACTTGCCCTTGCTTTCCCCGGACTGATCGCCGCCCATTTCCTCCAAGGCTGCCAATACAACTCCAATCGGGTGTCTGCCACACACCGTGTTCTTGGTCCCCTTGAGAATGCTGTAGTAGTCACTGTGGTCGCCCGTCTTGATCGAGTCCATCACTAAATCATCAAGCGCCTTGATGACTTCGTGGATAGGTACCTCGGCGTCTTTTGGCTCGCTTCCATCCGCTTTGTTCTTGAAGTCTGGCTGGATCTTGAGACTCGCCCACTGTGCGTCCTGGTCACGAACGAGGCCTTTGTATAACTGGGGCCGATATCGGTAGTTCTTCCCCCAATGACAAAAGTCTGAGGAGATGATGAACGCGTTCTTGTGGTCCGCCAGATATGGTGCAAGGAGCGCGCCAATGGCCTTCTCCCCGTCTGCAGACAAGTCTCCGACTAAGACCGGCACGATGGGCGGGAACCGGCTACTGTCGCTTCCGAGCGTCTGCTCAAGTCTCTTCCACAGGTAGGGCAGGTGCATCTCCAGACAATGCTCCTGGATGTCATATTCAACAGGGATCGGGGAGAACTTTTGGGTTTTCATCAACTCGTCAACGGCCTCGCCATCCACAGCCAGATCTCCAAATGGGGTGCTGTACTTTCCGAACGTCGACAGCGCGCAGCCCTTCAGATAGAAGGTATGGGATGGACCGAGGAGGAAGACACGCTTCACGTTTGCGAGGTCTAGGATTTTGTAGGCCCATGCAGCACATGACCCAGAGTACGAGTAGCCAGCGTGCCTGTTAATAGCCAGTTAGCTTTTGCAGGAAGCGGACGGGCTGGTGCATCATTGATGGGGAGCCTGACGGAGCAATAATCACACGAGCACCTGAGATGGGGAGATCCTTTCCGTCCAGCTTGTTTGGCACACGACTCATAAACTCGTCGAGTTGGGAGGACAGCCGGGCAGCATTACCCAGGTACCAGGAGCCAGCATGGCTAGCCGGTCGCGTTTCTTGGAATTCGCCGTCGTCATCGTTCTTGGACCAGTCTCTCGCCGAGGCCGCCATGCTCAATCGAAGTCTGCAAGCCTCTTGGGGTCTGATGTAGGGGCTTGATATGGGAACGGTTTATACACAACAACCAAGGGGAGATCAATGCGAAGGGGTGCGGTAGGTATTTTACGATCCCTACTCATGTGCTGTGAAGACGTTATCGCCAGGAGGAGAGCGCGATGGGTAGGTATTTATCAGTGCTACAGTGCCCCGCATTGCCGCCAGGATGACGTCCTCTGTAAACACAGAAGTGCGCTGGTCCCGTCTAAACGGGAGAGCTAAAGGTGCGAGGCACGCTAAGGTACTACCGCTAATTCTCATTCAAATCGGATTTATCCCCCCCTGTCCTGGCCAATTATGTGGTTTGCTGAGGTCTGCATGCCCCGTTGAAGGTCTCTCTCCAGATGTAATTGGCTAGTAAGTGTGGGGGATAAATCCGATTTGAATGAGAATTAGCGGTACTAGGCATATCCACCTAGCTTTAGAGACTGGAGCTCCCGTCACCAGAGGTATGTAAGATGCGGGGTGTGATAGTCGGACAGGTCATCATGGCATGCATATCCGCCGCATTATCTTATGATTCACCTTGTGCTTTTTTACATTGGCCCACAAGAGCTGTCGACATCGTTTATCTGACTCTGCTTGGTCCTCTACTCGGGACGTCCGCTTCCTCGTCTCCTTCAACACCCAACTCCGTTCCGTGGTGTTAGATCTAGAGCCTTAATAGGTGCCCACTTCCTCTGACGTTGCGGTAACCGCTGTAATTCCGTATGAGCTGCTTCATGGAAATCCCAGAGCAGCTACCAATCTTCAGGTGTCGGTTGGAATCTTATGCTCCCGAGTTTGATTTCCGCTTCGTAGATTCGACAAGTCGCAGACCACGACGAATGTTTAAAGGGCTACCCTACCTATCCGTCCGGCCCGATGGTGTTAGTATATCCCATTCCATATGATCTTGGCACGGTGCTACCGTCAGGAGTTAGAGCCGTCCGGCGGGTGCTCTGCCACTGAGTTCATCGGCTGTGTAGATTGATCCTCGTCCGGCTATGTTCCAGTGGTGTTTTTCCTGCCGCAGCCTGGATTGTACTCACGTTTCCTCAATGTACCAGCACTGAAGATTATTGCTGCCTTGTGGTTGAGAGCATCCTTCCTTGGTAGGTGCCGCCACATGATCCAGACTTGACGAGCCATCTGCTCGCAAAAATATAAACAAAAAAGCTAAATAAACCAAACCCAAAACAAAGATTCGCCAAATGCGCCCATAGCCAGCCAGAATCGAGACCCCTGAAAACGCCTTATCCAAACCTAGTTTTAGAATGGTGGTATCTTTGAATGTCTTCCTGAGCCGATAGCCTGATGGAACCCTAATAGCACTTTAGCCAACCCAGACCCTTCTCTAGGCACAAGCCAAACATCTCCTGTGTTCTCCCAAGTTACTGATCGAACAACTAAAACAAACCATCTTCCTACAAGCTTCGCATTGTGAGAGGCTACTGTCGTATTCATCGTTCCCTTGTTCATGTCCGGAGCTGTCCTGGGTAGTAGAAACATCCATCATGTCGACGTCGTGGTCTCCCCCCTCTCCTCTTCTCTCGGGAAGTCTGTTCCCACCACTACCACTACCGCCACTGTTACCACTTGGACCTGCCCCACAATCCTCACAGCTCGTAGGAGTATCTAGGAGGATGTTGCCAGAGGTGTTCGATAATGTTGCGGGAGAAATGTGGGAGGAAGTTGTCGTGACTGGGGCAGCAGGAAGGTTCCAGAAGCTATGAAGTGAGCGCTGTTGACCGCGGCTAGCTTGTTGTTGCTTCTGGAGGGTAACAGACGGTCCTACGGCGTTGACAGTGCTTGATTGCTGCTGCTGCTGGGCGTTCAAGGCTGGGCTTGCGGCTTGGTGTTGTTGCTGTAGCTGTTGCTGTTGCTGTTGCTGTTGCTGTTGCTGTTGGGCGGCATACAGCAAGCTGAGGGTCCGTTCTGGCATCGGGTCGAGTAAGCGTTAGTCCCGTGTCCGATGGAGGGAGAGAAGAACTGGGCAGACGCACGATGGACTTCTTCCTCAGAAGGCCGGTTGTTGCGGTACCGCTTCATGGTGCGGCTGTGAAGATGGGATGGCGTGGATAAGGGGATGGTGGAAAAGGATTTCTGGCTATTAATGACAGAAGCGATTGCGCTCAGGTCGAAGCCATGGTCGTTGGACGTTCCAGCTGATGGGGACGGCAAAGATGAGCTGAAGGAGAGCTCAGACTCTGATCGTTTGCGCTTGAGGAACATGTCGCGATGTAGCGTTGAACTTTGGCACACGGGACAGGGTAGGTTCGGGAAATATATGACTAGGAATGGCCGGTTGTCAATTTTCCAACAATGTCGGCTTGGGATGTGGTGTTGTAAGTTGTTTGGAGCACTGCAGTTGAAGCAGGAAGCCAAAGCCACCTTACGCGACCCGCCGCGATCGATAAGTGATGTTCAATTAAGGTAACGTCGAGTCTTGGCAGTGTGTTGGGGTTACGGTAATAGACCCTGCACTTGCAACCCCCATTTCAAACAAACCCCCTATAAGAGCAAAGCTTCAGAGTATGTATCTCCGTCTTTTTGCTAAAGCTCAACGCAAACGAGCCACTAGCAATAGCAAACCCTATATTCGACAGAGTTTGGGAACTTTGACTTGTTTAGCTGTAGGGTTTCTGTAAGCGTAAGTACTATGCCCCAGTATAGTCTTGAAAGCCTTCCCAGTAGTTACTTGTAGCACACATCGACAGTCGCGGTTAGTGGTGAAACTTCAAGTTCACTAAACTCTCCTGGACTAGAAAATCCCATTCGAATCGGTTAAGAAGGCATTCAGATTTGTCGGATCAAAGGGTTCGAGATTTAGCATTGCAACAAGCAACGTGACAGCGAAGATAAGTTTATACCCGAAACCCAAACTGTCGAGGCTTTCGAGTTATCTATTTATTCTCTTTACTCCCACCCAATATTGACCATATACACACCCGCCCTTGCGCTCCTAAGCCCGCGGTGTGCCATTATCGCGCTTTTAGCTATCTAACAACGTGCTACCTGCCAGGGGCCACAAAGCTTCTAAACCATCGATGTTGATCCCCAAGTCCGCCTCCCATGACTTTCGCTAGCCCATTGTAAGGCCATTTCCAGGTCGAATCGTCAGGACCAAGTAGCTTATATGATTGTTCCGACACTATTTGGCCCCAAACTGCCCAAATTTGCCATCGACGTAGTAATCGGCCAACGCTTTGCGTGCACTTCCGGCCCACTCCTTAGAAGTCGTGACCCCACATGCGGCCACCCCCCACATGCAGCCACATCCATATCGCGTTTTCCCATCTTTCAACATCACCACCCTACTTCTAAGAACAACTACCATTTCATCAAATCAAGCCCGATCGCGCTCCTTTCTATTGCAATGACCTCGTCTTTAATTGAGCAAGCGCTTAATGCCATTCGCAACGGACTTTCCTAGCGTATAGCCTCGAAGAAATATAAAATTCCTCGGTCTACCATCGCCGGTCGCCTCAAAGGCCGACAAAGCAAGCGCGACTCGAAAGTACACCACCAGAGGCTATCGCCAACCTAAGAAAGCTTCATATACAACTAAATCCTAAATAAAGAGAAGGCTGGGTATACTCCTAACCGCCGTTAGGTTACTAACTTCGCAATATCTATCCTCAAATAAGGCTACAATTTCGACCCCCTAGGCGCCAGGTAAATAAATCGGTTCCTAAAGAGAAATCCCAACATCAAAACTAAACTTTCGAATAAACTCGAATCCGCTCGAATTCAAAGATCAACCAAAGAAACCTTTACAAAGTTCTTCGACTTTTTAGAAGCCTAAATTCGAAATAAGGCTATTATCCTAACCAATATTACTAATATAAACGAATATAAATTTTAAGATTTAAAAAATAAAGAAAGGAAAATCCTTAAGAATACTCTAATAAATAAAATATATATAATAACGACCGATATAACAACCTAAATATCTATAATCGAATACGGGACTACTAAGGGCAAACGGTTAACTCTTATCGTTATCTTTACTAATATTAACTTCTAAAGATAATAATTCCCTAATATAAATAATAAACTCAAGGTTTAGAAGTATAATAGCTCCCTTACCGGCTAGAGTAATATCTAAATAGCTTTACAATAATTAAAAGAAATTTATCTACCTAAAACGAAACTAAATAACGATAATTAGCGCTTTCTAATCCTTAATAAATATTCTAACCACCTAACTGACAACTTCCTTATAGAAGCCTTCCGTTATAAAGTCCAACTCCTTTTTCTACTTCCCTATACCTTGTATAAAACCCAACCTCTTGACCAATCTATTTTTTCAATTATTAAATCGTATTTTAAAAATTTAACTAAGGATTTCGCCTCCTTTCCAATATCTATGCCAATAAATAAACAACGGTTCCTTAAATATTATTAAGAAGCCTTATAAAGGGGTGTAAATACTAAAAACCTTCAGTTAAGCTTCAAGAAGACGAGGATATAACTAATAAATAGATTTATCGTTATCGATAACCCTAAAGTTATCCTTAATAACGATACCTTGCCTGCCGAACTAATACCACTCAAAACACTACTAACTAAACCAACATCACAAAATAATATTATTTTCCCTACTCCCTAAAAATCTAAGGATATACTAGGAGGCATTTACAACTTCTCCTCTATCGACCGTAATATTAGGACTACTTTTACTAAAGTGTGACGAACGGCAGTCTTGATCTGCCTAAGTAAGATAGCTGAAGGTAAAGACTATCAAGTGCAGTTCAGTGAAGCCAAAAGGTTCACAACAAGTATCGCGTACGAGTTTCTGATGACGATAGTCTATTGACTACTGTCAAACTATCTGACAATCTGAGTTCTCCAGTCGTCCCTTTATATCCCACATATCTGTCATGGTGTATCTTGTTCTCTGGTACTCGCTGGCTTATCCTGAGTTCCTGCTCACTGGTGAGCGCCCTCGGTTGACGTGCGCCCTCTGGTCCAATCCCCGTTTGGGGTTACACTGCCTTGTCTTGGCATGACTGTTGTGTCCCGATGGCTTGGTCGGCCCGTGTACTCGCTTAAGTTCGTGACATAAAGCAATTAAAGCCCTCGATATTAAGAATACTAAGATTGTTACTAAGGATTACCAAATTTAGTATCTATAAACTCAATTAGCCTCCCAAAAGCCCAAAATTAAAAAAAAAAAGTTAAAGAAGGGGGTAATAATAAATTTACACGCATAAATAAAATTATTAAAGCCCAAAAAATATTAAAGCAACCCCCTAAGCACTAAAGGGTTACCAAAGTAACGAAGGAAGCAAACCTAGTACAGGAGGTTCAGCGAACACTTATACAAACACTACAAGTCATCAAAGAGTATAAGAATAAGTAAATAAATATTTCAAACGGTTAAAATCCCTACAAAAGTAGCCAATTTTCGATGTTATCTAGGTCCTGGTTATGAAGTTGCATGTGGCCCGTTGAGGGGGGTGGCCGCATGTGGGGTCACGATGTCTAGTCAGGCATACCGACGAGCGCGAAGCCTTCCGCATGGCTTCACCAGAAGAGAAGGTGCTTTATTACGCTCTCATCCATTGTCGCTTTGTGCGCTGCACCATGTGTGTCAGTTTGTTGGCATCTTCTTGATGGCTGGACTGCAGCCTGCTGGTGAGGAGCGTCAGGGATTGTGTAGCCGTTAGGCCAGTTGAGCTCGGTGCGAAGGTGGTGGCGTGGTGGATGGGTGAGAAGCGACGATTCGCGGATAGAGGGCTGACTGGTCTTCGAGATGAATCCCATCAATTCCATACTGTTATGGTTCAGGTGATGTATCAACCATGTTATGTTGTACGCGCACTGATTGACAAAAGATCGGCAGAGGGATGACATATCGGTGCTAAAAGGATAGCTGCCATTGCATTCTAAAATGGCCTATTTTATCTCCTTGTGCGGCAAACTCTAATGTCCAGAATCCGTCTTTTTCCAAACTGCGGGCCAGTCCTACTCTGCTCTTGATTAATGAATCCAGACACAGTAATCATCCAAAACAGAGCCTTTTCTGCTTCGGGTCGGGTGTAGTAGCATGTCGTCCTCTTTTTCTCTCCTTTGGCTTCTTGTGTTCCATCTTTGAGGTTTTGGGCTCTGGGGACGGCATCGCAGCTTTCTCCTGTATGGTATCACGGATTGCTTGCCGCGAGAGACACAGGTCAATGTGGTCGTTGAAACGCCTTTCTTCCGCCACCTGCGGCCTGTTGCAAATTGGGCAATCCCACCACTCTGGCTCTGCAACAAGGGGCTGTCCGTCAACCCGTCGCGGACGAGCCGCGATCTCATTCCCATCTCTGTAGGAAGCAACTTGGCTGGGTGAGTCCCGCCCCGTTAGTTTTGTTTCTCTTGTGGCCTGGGCTCCTTGCTCTTCCGATGATACAGCTGATATTCCCACGGGCCGTTTCTCCCATTCACCGCCATCCATGTTTATCGTTTTCTTCGCGAAAGTGGTCTCATAGTCTTCCGATTCATTACCCCGCGACTTTAAGCCAAAAAAGGCCATTGTGTCTGGCTTCTTCGTATTGACGAGATGTGTACATCTCAAGCCCATCAATCGCAACTTCATGCCTGGGATTTCCTGGTCTAGTTTCGTAAGCATCGGAAGCGCGTAATTATACAGGTCCGTAGCAAGGTGTACGGCCCGGGGCAGAACAGCCTGGCGGGTGAGGACCTCGAACGTGTGAAGCTTCACTTTTAGACACAAAGTTCGACCCTTGCATTCGGCCCGACGCAAATCTTGTTCGAGATCCTCCGACGTCCGACGCAGCTTGTTTTGGAGCTCTGTCGGGTCACTCATGTCACGGAAAGTGCTCTCCGTGCCGACGCTCTTGCGCTCATATGTCTCTGCTGGCTTTACGCACGTGCGACCTAAGCCCAGATAACAGTGAATAAGGAATTCATAGGCTTTCTCTCCAAAAAGCTGACGAAGATACTGCCTATTGGAGAAAACGTCCCCAAGTGTATGAATTCCCACTGCGGCAAGCTCGCGCTCAAACACGCGTCCTATGCCGTTCACCTTGCGGCATGGAAGATCCCGCATAAACTCCATGATAGCGACACGTTCGCTGGGTAAGACGTATTGCCCGTTTGGTTTGTTCATATTGGAGCAGATCTTGGCGAGCCTTGTATTTGCAGCGATGCCCGCAGAAACAGTGATGCTCGTCTTTTCATGGATTTCGCTCCGCATTTTGTCCACGGCGTCGGCCGGGGCCATGGCATGTCGAGTACAATAATCGGTAATGTTGAGGTACGCCTCGTCTATGCTTGCGCTCTCAAAGTTGGGATCGTACTCGGCTATGATTTCGCGCACCTCCCCGGCCTTTGCTGTGTACTTGTCGAAATTAATCGGGAGCAAAATAAGCTCGGGACAGAGCTTCTTGGCGACGAAGCCTGCCATGCCACTGCGACAGCCGTACTTGCGGGCGACGTAGTTGCAAGTGGTGAGGACCCCTCCGCCGACGGCGAAAGGGAGGTCCTTGAGTTCAGGGCGATCCAGTTGTTCCACGGCGGCGTAAAAGGCATCACAGTCGACATGAACTATGTGTTGGGACAGATCCCGCGACAGCTCCAGCTGTGCAGTAAGGCTGTCGGCAACTCGAAGCTCATGACCAAGGTCAAATTTCTCCAGCTGGCGTTTCTTGCTAAGGATCTGGTCGATCTTGGCTGTAAGACTCTTGTCCCTGGCCTCCTCGCGGTTGAAGAACTTGGAACCTCTGGAGGCATTGTAGATGATCTCGGATACCTTGGACTGGTCAACGGTATCCTGGCCAGCCTTCAGCAGCGAAGGCCCCAGAAGGCTGTACTTGAGTGAAGCAGCTGCATCCTCCCCGTTTTCCTTGGAGTGGTCTTGTGGAGGCGGCAAATTCTTTGTGGATCCGCTAGGGTCGTCTGTATCGGTTCCGCTCGTCTCTGGTTGTGCTGTTGTGGTCATGGTGTAGAGGCAGTTCCGAGTGAGCAGCGGAGACTCTGGCAGTGATGGCGCATTTCAATGGTCGGGCGTGACGGGTCAAATGATGTCTCTCCGATACGGCTCGCGCGCGGATCTGGCGCTGTGCGAGTAGAGGTAAAACTATATTCGAGTAGGATATTTGATGAGACGATCGCACATGATCAGTGGTAACAAAGACCACGCAGGTGCAACCTTGATAACTGGGAAGAGACGGAGGGGAGGTAGGCACGGAGGCACGGTAGGTTACGAGGTCAAAGGGCGACGCGCTTGGGCGGGGCCGGCCTTGCCCCGAACGTCGCGTTGGCAGCCACCAAGTCACGAGACCTCCTGCGTCGGGTGGCCCCCTTTTCCCATTTACAGCTGGGGTTAGGGTTGGCTGCCAACAGTGTCAGCGTGACGGCGTCAGGAGGTCAGGTACCTCTAACGAAGAAGCGCACTCAGCAAGTGCTTCCCAAGTACAAACAAGTTTTGTCGGGAACCTTTATACAAAAAATGCCGTATGGCATCGCCAGACCGTTGTTTAACCCTTTTGGGAGAAAAAATAATCGCCAGCAATCGTACTGACAAGAAAAAAAACACTAGCCCTCATCAGACCCAACACCACGATTGGTAACGCTCCGTCGAAGCCGATGATCCTCCTCTTCTTCGTCGTGCATCTCATCTCCGGGTAGACGGACCGCTCGATCAAGTGCGACCGGCAGGTTTCTATGCCGTCCCCTCAACATGACAGCGCAAAGAACCACCTTTGAAGCAGTATGCCACCCCCCAGCGAAACTGTAGTTGGCGTTGGGGAGCCCGACGCTAATTCCAACGCAGCCGTAAGCAGATACCACTTCGAATATCACGTTAAACACGCTGAAAGTGACCGGATCGGCCAAGAAGTTGCTTGTCTCGATCGTAACGATAACAAGGACCGCAGCCGCCAACCACCACATATCGTGCGCCAGCTGTCCCTGGATTTGTTGCTGTTGGGCAAGTCATTATGAGGCCACTCCTTCGCTAGATGGATGAGGTCGATAAAACTTACACTAATGAAGCTCATGCGAGAATCTGCCGCGGAGTTTGTCAAAGGGGTGCGCGCACCGACCCCATGCCAAGTGAAAGTATGGTGAAAGACTCGACCGATGGTTGACGTCCCGCTGTGGCTAAATTGACGAGCAAGGCTTGTTACTCCAGAGGGCCCGTGTAAACCGGATTCGACGTCTGGTGGTACCGGGTCACCAGAGTATATGCCCAGCGAGCGTTCTTCATATACATTTGTGTGCCTCAGGGTTATAACCACAGGAAAGCACGAAATGTACATCATGATGGTATACAACACCTGGGCGCCAATGTACAAGGAAGGGATAGAGATCACGTAGAAGCCCCCAGAACGTACAGCTATCCACGCGGTCAACATTTGTTTTGTGCGACATTGACAGACCAAGGAAACCTCAGAACAAAGCTTACCAATTGCTTGGAAGAGACCATCCATAACCCGCGAGCCTTTTGAGAGCGACTCGACGGCGGGGTTGCCGATGTTCAAGAGCTCGAAAGCGACCCAGTCGACGCTGTTGAGGAGGATAAGCATGAAAACCAGCCACCAAGTCTGTCTCTGTGGGAATAGGTTTGTGTATACTCGGCGGGGATAGTCAAGAATGAACTGCAGTGTTTCTTTCAGTTCGCGAAGCTCCGTCTCCACGGTCGCTACGGCCAATACCTGAAGGAGGCCCCATAGAATCAGCCGGAGAAATATAGGAAAGGCAGTATTGCCAGCCAGGATGAGCAATCCCATGGTGACCAGAACATAATATGAGTCCTGGAATGGTATCATGTTGAGGTCTAGAAGGGACATTCCCGAATTGTTGAAGGCCGAGGCGCCGTTGAAGATCCCAAGCCACCATGGGTTGATGCCGTTTCTGAGGGGTGGCTCCGGGCGGTGGCGGTTAATCCAGGCGCCCAACGCAATGCAGCCGATGAGCTGCCAAAGGAAAAAGTAGAGCGGTACGATAACCGCCAAAACCCTAAGAGCACGGTACTCGCAACCTCCAAGCACACGGCGCTCCTCTCGGGAGAGGTCGTGGAACTGGGCGTTTCTGCCTGCCGCGCGAGCGAAAAGACTACGCACGCTAAACTCGCCCTTCTCATCCCCCTCGGTTTCCATAGGCTCCTGCCTTTGAGGGCCAATCCTGCGGGCCGTGTTGTTCCGACTCACAAGATATCCGTATTGCGCTGCTGTAGAAACGCCAGTTGGTGGGTGGTTCTCGGGGCTTGAATGTGGTGTTTCGGCGAAGGCAATTTGGGCAAGCGTGGGGGAACGTTGCGGCGCGTTCTTGTCGGAAGACTTTGTGGTTCCAGTGCAGTGGGTGTGATGTGCGTGGACGTCCAGGATTAAATCATGAGGATTGCCCGGACTCGATGACGATTTGCTGGCCAAACCAGGGGTTTCGGTCATGGCCGGCGGTGGAATGACATTCAGCGACCGTCTTCCCTGGGACGGCATGAACCTCAAGCGTGAAAGACTGACTGAACTTGGCCTGTTGGCCCTTCGAAGCCGATCGGCGCGGACCACGTCCTTGAAGCGCTTCTCAAAGGCATGTTTGCGGGCAAGGACGGTCCAAATAGAGACCCAGATGGCACTGCCGAATATGGTGAGAAGAAAAAGCAAGATCTGCTGCCATGTTGTCATCTCACTCAGGTTGACTGTGTTTAACCCCGTTTCGGTCATGGCACTGACAACTAAGAAGAGGCTATCGGCATAGCTGATTCTATGGGCCGGATTGGAAGAGCCCCAGAAGATGAGGGAGGCGAACAGGCAGACGACGATGAAGTAGGCATAGTGAATGCTGATGAAGTTGACGGGCGGCAACATGGCACGAAGCCTCGAGGGGGCCCTCTCGTTTCCGGCACTATGCTGCATGGTGTGCATGGTGGTGAGGAGTCGTGTGATGAAGCGGAAATACACAAATGGATGTTTCCACTCGATATAAGCAAGGCTGGTGACTGCGAGACTCGGTCGGCAGAGGAAGGCGTTGAAAGCAGGTCGACTACATGACTGATTTTATCAAGAGCAGCATGGTCGTCGACTCTTGATGTTGCAAAAGCCGCGTATAAAACTTTGGTAAGTGAAGCGAAAAGGTGCTTTGGATATAGGTAATAGTATGAAAGCGGTGAGCTTCGTATGGATTTAACCGATTGTGTTTGCCGCTTTTTTCTGGGAGCAAGCGACGGCCGCCTCCGAACAAAGCTGCAAATGTCTGTCTGACCATGTATCCGTGCATGTTAGTATTGCACCACTTGTGGGATAACCCAGTTGTTCATGTTTTTAGACTCACAGCCTGCGTCGGCCCAGCGATGGTTTCTGTCGCCGCACCAACTTGTCGGGTTTGAGCTCTTTAACCAAAGTGCCTACTACTAGGTAATACCAAGCTGCAGTATCAAGTAAGGTAACGGTGAGTAGGAGCGGTTATGCGACTGATTAGGCGAGAGGTTCGTGCAGTGGCTGTTGCTGCGTGCAGTGGCTGTTGCTGTCAGGGAAGAGTTTGTTAGTTCTGCGGTCATCACTCGCTCGGCGCAAAACCTAACCCTAGACTAGGATCTATGGTAAGAACGACCTATATAGACACTGTCCTGAGCGTAACACAGCTGGAAGCTCACCATTATCAGAGTTTCTTGTGGCAAACATCAAGCTCCTGCATTATTAACCCTGTCGATTTATCCCTGATTTTCCTTGCGCACACTTGTTTTTCTCAGTCCCAACCTACTTATTTGAAGGATATCACATATAATCGCTGGATACCATACCGCCGGCATCGTTGAAGAACCGGAAGGCTACCTTACAAGCATGCCTCGAGTTGATGGTAGATGCTGTAGGTGCACCAACCCCATTTTTTTATTTTTTTTTGGCTGAACGTGAAGGCGCCGTGCATCACACCCTGTTCCCTCCAGGGCCTGGGGGCCAACTGGGCTGGACTGGCGACATCAACAAAGACACGCACACAGGGCGAGGAATCCTACAACACGTCAAACTAACGACATATGTCTGTGGCTGGTTCTACAACTATGTTACATATGTACCGCGGCATCACATCATGAACCTAGTGCGTATCAGAGCTCATTGTGTTCCTGGACATCATCAGTGTCAGCGACAACTGTCTTGACGGCTTCGGCAGCTCCGCTGACCACGCTGGCCACCTTCTCGACAACATTGGCAGAAGCCTCCTCGGCCTTCTCCTCGGCTTTCTCGGTAGCGTCCGCAATCTTCTCTCCAGCCTTGTCGGTAGCCTCAGCAACCTTTTCTTCGACCGTCGAAGCAGCCTCCTCGGCTTTCTCGGCGGCCTTCTTGTAGACGATGGATTCGGGCTTGGGGACACCGTCAATGCCAATCAACTCGGTCTCGAAAATCAGGGTGGAACCGGCCGGGATGGGGCCGATGGAGCGCTGGCCGTAGCCGTAACTGGGAGGAACCGTCAATGTCCGCTTCTCGCCAATGCACATGTCTACGAGGCCTTGGTCCCATCTATCGAATCGAATGGTTAGCACCGCCTTGTTTCCGGATCGTGCAGCGAGAAAGTGTCAACCAACCCCTTGATAACCTGACCACCGCCGAGCTTGAAGCTGAAGGGTGTCCCGCGGTCATAGCCTGGAGCAGTCGCGGGTGTTAGCATTGCACGGAGCGCAGAATACAGTTACGGCCAGGTGGCAGGGTGACTTGCTAGCATCAAACTGCTGGCCATTGGATTGGAGGGTGCCGCGGTAATGGACGTTGATCTTGTCGCCCTTGCGAGTCTTGCGATCGCACTCGACAGGAACGGTAACGTCGATGCCCAGCTCCTCGGCGGCCAGGACGCCAACGGTGGCGGAGGCCAGCAGCGACAGAGACAGCAAAATGGACTTCATGGTTATGGCTTGGTGATCTCGATAGGGCGTTTTAGGGTTGGGAAGCTGCGAAAGGTAAGAACAAAGTCGAAACGTGGATTGCGGACTCTTGAAAGGTCGTTGAACTGTTTGAGTAGAGGTAGTTGGACACCTGGCTGCAATGGATGCTCCCCTCTCAGCCAGTGAGCTAGGCCAGCAAGTGGAAGCCAAGCAGTTCTGTACCTACAAGTCGGGTACGTAGAGCCAGGTACCAGATAATACCTCGCGGCAGGCAATCAGTGGGGTTATGACGACATTCAGCCCCTGGCCCAACATGGGGGCTGGTGGGATGGGTAGGCGAGCTACCTAGGTACACAGTAGGTACCTTTGTGGTGGTATGTTGCGCATCGCCTCCGCCTAGGCGTCTTTCTACCAGTCTACTCGTCATCATAGTATGAGCGCCATGGATATGGTTTTTTTTCCCAAGGCTGAAAGGTTGAACTTGTTTGGTGGCTGAGCCGTCAATTGCTCGGGCCATAGAAAGAGAGAGAGCCCTGCATTCTGCCTCTTCACTATGCTTCACCTACTACTACTACCCGACATTGCCTCGTCTCACCGAGAGATGGCAACATGCCCATTTCCACCTTGTACACATCACCACCGCTTCCACGCTCCCACGCGGCTTTCACAGGGAACCAGTGTCCCATCTGTCGGTCTGTCCTAGCAAGGCAGCAAAGCCTGGGGCATTCGGCCTACAGCATCAGAAGACAACCACGAGAACTCATGAGTCATGTCGCCAGCATCTTCAACACACAAGGCAACCCAGGCAGCAGTCTGGACATCGGTCACCCCTTGGCTTGTTAGGCCAAGGTAGGACTTTTAGTTACGGTCTACGAGCTGCGATGCCCGAGGAGCGACGCAAATTGGGGAGCGCTAGTTACATGCCATGATATCACTTCATGCCTCCTTCAGTGAGCTTTTCCGTCTTCCGTGTTGCTTGGTATTCGTCAACTGACATGCGGCAGTTACTTACTATGTCGTCCAGAGCCATAATCCCTTCCGAGTGCCTGCCCATGGGCCTTGTTGTTTACTTTACAATCTTTGACCATCTCATTGCTGCTTTGCTGTCATCACCATGCTATGCTGGAAAGGGGGCTCGGTGACCACCGGCTGCGCCATCTGGATCTGCCTACTCCGTCCTCTCCCCTTGACTTGAACCTCCATGTGGCCGGATTGAGTCATTTCGTTTCGTTCTTTGGCACTTCCTAGCTGTCTTGCGGAGAAAGCGATGGAAATGAAGGCCAGTGCCTACCATTCCGCCTAAAACTCACCGAGGCGGTGCTGTGTACACCTGGTCCCTTGACAAAGCAATGCTCAGTCTGCTTCGCTTTGTTTAATAAACTCCTGATGGTCAACTTTCACCTAGAAATCTGAGCTCTATATAAGCAAATCTATCACTGCCGTCCTTACCAGATTCGATCTCATCTTTGTCCCAACGAGCAAGTTCTTTCGAGCCTCTACAAGTTGATCAGTATCTTCCCAGCAACTCTTCTCCTTTTCCAACTACCAAAGCACGCCAAAGTACCTTCCTGTCCAACAACCAAAATGGGTGGCAACCAAGAAACGTATATCAGTACTAGCGGGAGCCGGTCCCCCTACTACAGCTCACGCACCACATCACCGTCATCGAGCAGCAACTCAAGGTCCTCGGCGAATTCTGTTTCTTACAGGTCTGGTTCTGCAGGTACGTGCGCTTCCAACCCTTCAGTCGACATCATAGATTGCATGTGCTAACTTCTGTCAAAGATAACCACAATGTTACCGCCCGAGAAAAGAGCAAGGTCGTTGTTATCCACCACCACCAGCCCAATCCGGCCAGGGATGAGCCTCGATCTTCAGATTATTATAGGAGATAACAACAGTGCGGATATATCCGTGTCTGTCTTTTCCCTTGGGTATACAGCTGAGGAATACCACTTGGTGCCCATGTCTCAGCACGCAGGAGATTGTACGATATTGTTTTGTGGCATTACTAGACGTGGGATTGATTTTGGTTTGTAGCCTTTCATCATGTCAACTGAAGTTTCTTGGTTAGGGTAGGAGTTAGTGTAGAGCATTGGATAAGGGAAGTTAGACAGCCAAGTAGTTCAAGTTGGGTAGGTCTAATGGTGGAAGATAAAGTGATTGCATCTGTAGTCGTTCCTGCGTTCTCTCAATCAATGATCATTGCATCCGTAATAATTCTTTTACTACAGCTTTCTGGTTATGTGCTACGTTGCGTTGCGTGTTGCACGTCGTTTGGAACCTCAAGTCCTAGCTTTGCTAAATCAGTGAACTAGATCAACAATATGCTCAAGCTTGACACATCACATAAAATATTGACTCGGGGTGTGTGCTGTACGAGTGCAACGATCGAAACTATCCAAGCCAAGTACATACAGCACCAAATCTATAGACGTGTAAACGCTGCACAGCGAGATGATCTAGAGTGCATATCCTGATAGTTGCTTCAAAATTGTGTAGGTTTGTCTTGTAACGTCCTGTCTTATATAGTTAGAGTGAAGTTCATCCCCTTGCCGTGGGTAGAGGCACTCACCGCACTCAAAATAGTTATCTAATCGAATCGTGTAATTCAATCAACACTTACTAGTTGGTGGTTTATGTCTGTCCATTCAGCAATCCATTCATAAAGGGCAAGAGGCACCGCAACAGCCATGATTGATACATATCTGTTGTTCAAACTACCGCCTCTCAGTATGTAGTAACGCCATATTTTCATCACCTCCTAGCTATGCATTATTCGATTCTCGAAACGATCACTGAATGCAAGTAAAGGTTGTGGGTGTTGATCAAGCACCGCCTTCTCTCTTCGCATATTCTTCCTCAATAGCCTCCTGGTACTTTTCTTCAGGCGAGCGGGGGTCTTCATGAAGGACCCCTTCCTTAATCAATGCTTCCGGGGAGGGCCGGTGGGCGATTTTTTCGTTCAAAGAATCAGCACGCATATGCTTTGCGAGCTGGAAACGGGGCAAGATAGGATGTCAGCACGGTCCGACAAACCAACCTTGACAAGACAGCATTACCTCTTTCTGTTGTGCTATGAGCCCCGGAGCTGCGTTTGAGGCCGGAAGAATGTTTTCTGAATAAGGACCGTTTGTGCAGATTAGCGAACCTTGTTCAACATACGTGCAACTATGCGTTCCGTTGCATGGATATGAGGTACAATATCATACTCGTGACCAGTTCTTGGCGCACCGGACGATGTTTCAGATGCTGTTCGAGAGAGTTCTTGCGCTGGGGGTCGGGACGGCTAGGAGAGATAGGAGTCTCGTCGATAGCAGGAGCTTGGTTGGCGTTGTCGCTCGAGTCGGCCATGGTGTCGAATATGTAGTCACCTTTGAGGTTCGACAATTGATTGTCTGTGGCCGTTGTGTTTTTCAAAGATCAATTTCCTGGACGTAGTAGAACGAAGGCGCCAAGGTCAGGCTTGACAAAAGGATGATGATGGAAGACCACTTTATATAGTACGACGGCCCGCCAGTTCCTCGCTTCCACGGAGCCAGGAGCCAGTCTGTCCTCGTCTCCCACATGGATTGCGGCACGTAGACAACCAGGTACCTAGGTAGAATTGTACGGTGTCACATCTACCGGCCTCGGCCTAGTGTTGTATATGATTGGATCTCCCAGGCCGCTCGCTGTCACCTCTACTGCCTGAGCTACCTCACCCCGCACCTGCAATGTATGCCTAATACGTCCACAGCGCGCACGGTACATACTTGATAGGTACTCCCTACCTGCATTAGAGACATGTGTAGTATCTACATGTAGCCCTGTACAAACGGGGGGCGCCAACGTGCTCGATTGTACTTTGTTTAACTAACAATGACGCAGCGAGCTCGAATGACAGCTGGGTCCAGATGTTCACATCTGAGCTGGGAGGCTGGGGTAACGGGGTGCTGAGGAGCATAGGTCGGGATCATAGTTATGGGCGGATAAGTAGGTGGCTGTCAACGCAATAACCTTTTGATCCAGATTGCAGAAGGTAACGGGGGAAAGAGACTCGAGTCTGACCTGCCATATATACCTCTAGGTAGGCAGGTAGCGGGCACCACTGGTGCAAACTTCCACTTGGACGGTACAGGGAACAGACATTAGGGTAGTTGTACCTCCCTCCCACCTAAACTGGAAAGGCCTCGTCGAATGGATTGAAGGGCTAATTGGGCCTTATGAACCCACTTTGCCTACACCTGCCGGGCACAGTATCGACCTACCTCTACACCTCTGCCCTGACCACCATCCTCACTCATCACGCCGGCAGGATCGGATCTCCTCTCAAAGGTCCTGCACTTCCCTTGCTTCAACTCGCGCTACAGGTGCGTTCTATAACTCTAGGTCACCTTGTCTCCATCTACCTACGGGTTTTCAAGGCCCAAGCCTGCAAATCATCCGTAGGTCATGCTGTGCCTAGACCAGGTTCGAGTGATTCCGCGCGGCCAGTTGCACCAACATAACATGTCTTGAGGGTTGTTTCGATACGACAACCAGTCTCCCTGCCTTGCTGCTTGCTATTTTTTCTTGTTCATGTTTCGAGTGCCGGGGCTTCAGCTACCATGGGCCAAGTACTGTCAGAGGAGAAGCCGGCTCCCCTATCCCACGAGGAGTTGGTCAAGGAACTGGTGAGTGTTGTTCAGTGTCGCTGAACCGCCGACCGCCCTTCCTGTCGTTGAACTATGCTAATATGCCCACAGGCCAACATATTTGCGGACAAGTGCTTCACATCTCTTGAATTGTACTCGCTGAAGCAAGTCTTCAAGAGCCTGGCCCACCATGAGCAGCGTGTAGGCTATCTCAAAGAGGGCACCATTGCGAAATATCTCAAAGTTCCCGACATTCTCGGCATCTCTCCTGTGCTCTTCCAGATGGCATCCTACATTGCTGCCTTCCCTTTCTTGGAAGATGCCCCCGCCGTCTTGGGCCTGGAGCAGATGGTCATAGTGATCACTCTCATGACAGATAGATATCGGCGCGTGTTGGGAAAGGGTGCTGCTGATAAAACCAAGTTGCTGTTCAAGAGCCTGGCAGTCTACGACCGCAAATTTTCGAAATCGGCTGTCGATACGCACAGTGGCTCGTCAAACGCAAGAGAGCAAATCGAAAATGATGGACAAGGGCTTGACAATGACGAACTGGTACTTGCTGCGTTCGATGCTTTGGGCCATGTCAATCCTGATAAACTGCAGAATATGCCAGCCACTCACGGGCCTATGATACCGGGGGATAATTTTCGGAAGTTCATCATGCTCCTCCTTCTCGTCGCACCACTGGATCCCCAGGACAGTCTGGACTCCGATCCCGATCGAGTGACCGGGGCTGGGCTACAAAGCTTGAGGACAGCAGCCGAGTCAATTCTGGCGGCCTTCCTGGACGTGGAACGAAACCCAGGCGTCGAATATCTCCGCTTCAGCAAGGTCATAGCCGGTTGCCTACCCTTTCTTTTCCAGGGGCTCGCTCCTCTTTTTGAACATTTTCTTTTCTCCGAAGAACTCGACTTTCACAAAGGCAAGGATGGTACGTCCAGGTCCCCAACTATGCCTCCCGAGCCAAAGCAACCGTTATTGCAAGACACTGGATCCATCATGAACGCAAGTATCCTATCACAAATGTCCTTCTTTATCCCTGGTTCCTTGCTCTTCCGACGCCTACGCCTCTTATACGCAGGTGACGAGGACGGATTCAGCATGGGCAGTTTCGAGGCTAAAGTATTCAACTGGAAGACGCCGACAATTCTGCTTGTTAGCGGAACGCGCTTACTGGACGAGTCTGACCATCACAGCAACGGATCAGCGCCGGCTTTCTGGGCTTCTTTGCCCCCGAGACGTTTTTCCCGCGGCAGCTCTGGCGAAGCTGAGCGACTCACCTTTGGGGTCTATGTCCCCGAGCCCTGGAAACTCACTCATCGGGAGTGCTTTGGTGGAGAGGAAACAATTTTGTTCCAGCTCGAACCGATACATGACCTCTTTCGAGCATCGTCCCTAAACAAGGATTATGTCTCGTTCACCAGGCCCTCAGCGTCGACGAGCCATGCCGGGGTATCATTCGGTTGTCCACCGCCCAGGCCTAGCCAAGCATATCGCCGCTCAGGCATGATCCCACTTGGGCCCGTGTCTCTGATGTTGGATAGCAGCTTCGAGTTTGGCTGCTTCACCCATGATTATGCTTCAAAGGGAGGGGCGTTCCAGACGAGCATGATCAGAGAATATAATTTCCAAGAGCGCTTTGAGATTGGAAGTGTGGAGGTCTGGGGCTGCGGCGGGGACGAGGAAGCGAAGCACCAAGCAGAGCGATGGGCGTGGGAAGCAAGAGAAGCTGAAGCTAGAAGGAGGATCAACCTGGGGACAGGCGACATCGAAGCCGACAGAGCATTACTAGAGATGGCCGGGCTTGTAGGGAGCAACAGGAGTGGCGGTAGCATGGCATAACAGTAACAGTTTGCCATAGGGCAGCTTCATGAGCCAAAGAGCGAGCGTAAGCCTCTTTTACCGCATAACAATATTAATACCAACGAAGCATTGGGGAGACTGGCAGGCCGGAACCTTTACGGCCTCATGAACAGACTACCTTTACGGGTGCAAACCATGTCCCCGACTGTCCATTTCATATCGTACATCATTCACATACATACATACCTGAATGGCCGCCTTCCATCACGTTTGTATTCGGCCTAGTTCTTATCCCGCGACGACCCATCGGCTCCCTTGGAGCCCCCAAGCCAAGTAGGTAGTGACTCGCGGACACCTGTGGTGTTGGACTTGGTGGGATCCTCGGGCGCTACGTCTCCGGCTAGACTGCTGGCCTTCTCCTTGGCATCAGCATAGGCAGCCTGGGCTTGGGCGGCAACGCCATCCGAAGCGCCAGCAGCCGAGTCGCGCTCTGCCTTCTTCCTCTTCCTCTTCTCGAGTCTCTCCTGCAGGGCCTTGTCCTCGGCATCGCGAACCTCGAGCTCCCGAATCCACTTCTGGCGCTTCTCTTCGGCGTCCTGCTGCTCCTTCAGCTTCCACAGCTCCTTCTGCTTCTGGCGATCGGCAGCGTAGTACCAGCTGCCGGCGACCATGGCGATGACGGTAAAGGCCTGGGCAGCAACACGGGCGCGGAACATGCGCTGAACCTGTTGGTGGTCACCGCGGCGCATGGCGCGGTAGGCGCCCGTGAAGGCGGCGACGGTGGCGATACAACCGAGGGGGATCAAAGGCTCCTCGCGGAGACGGCGGGACACCTTTTGGAAGCCATTTTCGTTGTAAAAGTCACTGTTTGGGGACGAAGATAGGCGAGGCCTCGTCAGCATCGGGTGCATGCGGCATGCAGCGGTGAGGGAATCCAGCGCCCGGAAGGGCAAAGAAGGGCGACTTGACTTACGCGTTGTCGTCAAAGGAGGAGGGAAGAGGCCTAGAGGAGAGGCCGGGTGGGGCCGAGCCTTGGTTGTCTGTAGAATCGGGCATGTCTGTCTATGCCTGGCAATCGGGCTCTGGGGGGGCAGATTGGCGGCCGATTCGTAGCTTCGTGTTGGCTGTCGAGACAGGTGGAACTGGTTCGGCGATGAAACAATGGCGACGGAGACTGAGACGGGGGCAATGGCGATGGCGATGGCGATGGCGCCTGCTACATGATGGAACGGGTAGATGCAAAGGGCGAAAAAGGTCGAGCTACCCCACAACTCCCGCCCGGGCCCGGCCCCGCAACGAAGACGGTCCAGGTACCTTGGATACCTCTGGTGTACATGCACACTATCACTTACACCATGATTCCCCTCGCGCAACATGCACAGCGTCATCGCCACAAAGCAGCAGCATTCCAGTTTAGGAAACATTCATTGTCCGTTGCCCGATAGCCAAACACCTTCTGCTCTCTTGCGGCTCCTCTTAGTCGACCCCGTTGTGCCTGTCAAGGCACACGTTGGGTGGTGCCGATACACTACTAGCAGCGGCCTTGACATGGAATTTCGAACAACACCTCCCTCAAGGACCATCTCTTCCTGAGATGAGGCAATCAAGTATCCGCTGGAAACCTTGACATGTTCCCACCTCAAGTATCTTCGGGTAGCCGCTGCCAAGCTAGCTGCAGCAGGCTAGGTACCTCCAACGTACGTACAGGAGCTGGCCCACTCAGGGCGACGCTTAACAAAAATAGTGCAGACGGGGCTCATGGGAGGTTTCTGACTTCTTTTAACGCTGGCACCGACACCGGCACCCGCACTGCGTTTTCTTCACTTCTTTTCCCAAACAAAACTCACATCTCATTGTCCAGTGTTGGAGGCACACCACAAAATGGCTTCAACACAAGGTGCAGAACCGCTGCTCGTCAACGGTGCTTCCCTGCAC